CTGCCCTTGACATGTTACTGCCAGCATTTAAGCAGAACAACTTGTCCCGGTTAGCGGACTAGTACGCCGAGCCCTTCTTGTGTTGACATCTAGTCTCACAGCAGAAAGCTTGACCCTGCAAGACCAGCAGTTCCATGCTCCACTTTCAGTATGGCATCTCTGCAGCAAAACTCAACGCCATCCAAATATCTCGCTACCGCGGCGGACTCTACGAGAGACCCCCGAGGTAAAGCCACGGCATCAGGGGAGGCTTTGTCTCTCGAGAAACAGCGCACAATTCCGGACTGCAAATCCATGCGGCTGCAAACTGCCGCCTCGTCCCCGGGGGCTCCGAATGCGGATTGCGACAGCCATCCGGACCATAACAGTATCGGATCTTCTGCGGGCCAGGCCAGCGATACAGCATCAAGCCTAATAGTTGACGCCCGCCCTGGCATCACTGCTCCCCCGAGCACCTCAGGAGCGTAAGAGACTTCCATCAGCGAGCATTGCGGTTCAAGCTTGACCCAGTGACAGCTACGATAGCAGCAGCGGCTCCGCCCCCTCTTCACGACCACCGTCCGTACAAGACCTAAGAGATCGCCTGACCGAGGAGTGGCTCTGGGATCAAGATTTCCCCGACGGCATCCACGCCCTGGCCATCCGCCTCCGTGGCATGGCAACTCGCAGTGCCCTTGCCAATGGTTCGGCGGCATTAGGTGATGGAGCCCTACCGGGCCAGGAGGTGTCTTTATACCCCGACGGTCTAAGTTCATTGATTAGGAAGTAAGGCAGGACGGTGACAACAGTAAGCGGAAGTATCTTCTTACTATGGGTCCACCGGGGTAGATCCGGCTTTGATGGGATGGTAGGATCTCGGGAGGTGGAAGAGGAAACTGCTGGGCTATTCGACGATCAGTCTTCGAAGACGATACGTGTCAAAAGCGTTTGTGGCGGTTTTGACTCGGTCGACCTCCGCGGTGCGAGCTGTCGGGCAGGGTGGGATTTGTCGGTAGTTTTCGACCGAAACCTTTCCACAACGGATTGTCCTGCTAGGTTAATCCTAAGATCTTTTGCTGGAGGAGAAGCCTACCTAAGGTACCTAGGCTTGATTTGCAAGCTGTGAGGCAACTGGCCTTTGGTGGTTCGATCCATGAGCGGAACTCCGCAGCTCGTGCCTGATCGACGCCTGATCAATCCGTGGCGAGCCAATCGGCAGATCCGCTTGGCATGTGATCCCTGGAGGCCTAGACCGGTCCCATGCGCAGTTTCCATCTTGCTTTTCGCGGTCGAACTAGAACCGGTGTGTCGTCAGGCGGATTGCAGTAACTAAGTACCAGGTACGTGGCTTCCGAACGGATGAAAAACTCCGCTGTCCGTCGTTCGAGGATGAATGATGACTGGTCATATTGCCCTATAGGAGGCCAACGTTGACCTTATTCACAGCGGAACGCCGCAAATCAAGGACAGGGTTGTCCCAGGGGGGGGGGGGGGAGGACAAGCGTAGCTCCCACAAGGGAGAGATGATTACCGGCAGTGTCGCCTGTCCAACCAATGTCCACCGGGTGCTCGCCCATTCTTCACGATGAAGACATCACCCCACCACCTAGGTGATACGGCAGAACGCCCGCGCGCCCCCGACATAAGTACCACTCATCAAAGTTGCCGCCTCTACTCCCTTGCCAATCCCGATGACGTATCACTATCAGCATGTCTTGCGTCGTGCGGTCCAAGACCCCGGAATGATTTGCCCTCGGGCTTCGCCACTGGAGATGGATCGTGCGGGCGGCGATGCTCTGCTGAGGACAATTCCCCGGGCGAATGTACGGTTCGGGGGCTTTGATGGCGCGAGGCATCGTCCAAATGCCGTCCATCCTAAGGCCTAACTGTAGGATCACAAGCTCCAACGACGATCCCAGAACCTGGTCCGCTGGAGACGTGGCCCATGCCACCCTAGGTACCGTATTGGTAACTTTGGCGAATCCTAGCGCTTGGACGGATCTTGACGGAACACCCCACAGCGGTTCGGGCCGCTTCAATTAGCGGTTTTAGCAAGGGGCTCAGGGCGTTGTGGAGCTGAGCTTAATTCGACTCGAGGCGATCACGGCCGCCAGATACCCCAGTTGCGCAAGTGATGCTGGATTATCGTAGGTGGCTTCAGAAGCCCCTTCAACTCAAGCTCATCCGTCACAATGGTGTTTTTGGACTGAGGTAACCCAGAAATGGATGCGAACCCCTCTCCCGGGAATATCCATATTCGAAGAATCGCTGATTATCTCGATTGTGGGAACCCCACCAATGCGAATCGTGTGAGTACCCCCAGTCTGCTGCGCGAGAAGGCGAAAAGTTTCCCAGAGAAAGAACGGCGTCCTGTCTCTCTCTTTTCTGGGGAAGGCCTGGACGGCTTGTTAGTCGTAGGCTTATCATCTTATGGCACTGTAAATGAACTGGGGTGGGAAGCGGCAGCTAAATGGAGGTGATTTGCGGAGCCAGCTCACGCTATAAGTCTGTTGCAACTCACCCATGGAATGGCGAGACGGACTTCCATCGGACCTGGAAGCAAGAAGGAATGGCCATCGTGGCTGCCGGAAGTCACAGGGTTATAAGGTCATGAGCGAGCGGGAACATCCGGTTGCTAGATGTCGATACAGCGCCTACGGCTCCGCTCCCTCTTCGGTTTCCGACAGGGCTTCTCCATTTGGCCCTACTACTTTGATCGAGGCTGCAGGCTGCAGGCTGCGGCTAACGGCGTTTAGACATGGCGCATGTTGGAGGCTGGGGGTGGCGTTCCGCTGATTTCGTAACCGCCCCGGCCGGGGTTGCAGCGGCGCGGACTTGTTGGGCCTCCTAAAGCGGCAGATCAACCCCCCACCACGAGAATGTAGGTGCCGATTAGCGAGCGAATTGCCAACAAGCGGGCTCCGTTCGATCGTTAGTTTTCTACGTTGACTGATCGCCTGTTATCCCGGAGTCCGGCCCCGGTAATCCGTACCTTAGGTCTGATGGTTAGGGTCAATTCTTGTGGCCCGTTTTCCGTAGCAAATCGGGTTCTGTGCGGCTAGGGGAAGCACTATGATCTGCCGAGGCAGGATGCCAACAGCCCAGGAATTCCGGGTTCCATGTCCACCTTACAGGAAGCCCACGAGTTGTGACGGGTAGTGTTCATGCAAGTACTTCGAGGTTGCCGCCGGCCGTATGCAGCGTCACCTTTCGGAAGAGTAACTCTTGACAGAAGGTCGAGGGCTACCCGATCTGGAGGTAAGGTACTGTGCTGAGCAGTTTTATGTCTATCGCCTAAGGGAATGTGTAGCTTTAACAAGCACAAAATCATGGACCAAGATACAAGTTAATATAGCATAAGGAATCGCGAGCGTAACCGAATAGCTTGATCAGCAGTGGGATCACAGGTGCCAAACTCACCTTTGCGGTGACCAGCGTTGAATGTCAGCCACAACTGCTGCGAGTAAAGTCTGCATGTCAAATTACCTCCTGTCTTAGGTAACAGCGCACCCTGTGGGACTCGCTTTGATTCTCCTTTACCTTGCTGCTTTTCCTTTCGTGCTCCTGTTGAATTCGGACTGCAGTGCGTGATATTCGAGCCGCCTGTAAAGGACATAGCAGTACCCAGTCTCAGCTTACAGTACCCTGTTCCGTCCTCAGGGTAATCCCGTCGGCGCGGGTCAGATCTGACGCAACACGGGGCACTCAGATACCGATTGACATTCAGTACGCCGAGCATTTCGATGTTACCGTGACTCTTGAGTATTTTTGAGGGGGAGAATGGTCAGTGCAGGCGAGATGCAGTTCGGCGATGGCCCTGACGCTCGACTACGGCTTCTCCCTCTGGCCCACACCTCCTCCAGACCTCCACTTCCTCCCTTCCTTCCTTCCACGCAAGTTTGCTCCCGCCCCTTCCCTTCGCTCCACACGCAATGACGGAAGGTGTGTGGCCATTCCAGACGTACGGAAATCGTCAATAGACCTTCAGCGTTTCATTCTTCGGCCTCTTCCGACACATTGCCAGGAGGGAATCTTTCAACAAGCGGTCGAGCGTCGCTCTGCGGCTCTTATTGTTGACTCTGACGGAGAAGTAGGCTTGGCAAGCCTATCAAGACATCTTCATTTTGCTCTGGTTCCTCCTCACGTTTTCTTGTTTTCCGCCTCTCCGGCCCCGTCCTATCAAAAAACCCCCTCCAGGCCTTCCCCCACATCCGGCCGCTTCTCCGGCGACCCAAAGGCGTATTCCAGCAACCCAGGGCCCCGCACGAACACGTATCGCTCAGACTCATAGTCCTCGAGGTCATCAGCGGCGTGCCTCTCTCTTGCATCGGGGGCATAGTTGGCAGCATAGAATCAACGATACGCGTCTGCACGCCGCACCCGGTGGGCGCCCATCACATTGTCCCAAATCGCTAGGAAAAGTGACGAGATCATGAGCTCCCTCATTCTCGTAACGGTAGGCGGCGCCACCACTATGCGGAAGGCTTGTCGAATACCCTTGGTCAATCGTAATATATTCGCTGCCTCCTCTCGCCCGGCTCGAGGTCCTCCGCCGCTACAGATCGGCGGTCAGCGCCCTACGACTCGGATAGAGAGCCTGACACAGCCGTGCACACACCGCAACGAAGCCACCTCTCTGATTATTCTCGAGCAGCCTTGCGCTCCATTGCTTGCATGTTGAGCTAGCCGTATCCCCCCCGCTCTCTCTTCCCACTGCCAACCTCCCTCGGCTCAACTGTCTGGCAACTCCCACTCCTGTCCTCAACTTATCCTGCAAGCTACCGGACACATAACAGGAGAATCCAGAACTGTGCAGTGGTGAGGCGAGCCCACCATCATCAGGGTTTCTCGTCAGGCATGCATGGACGAGGAAAGGGTTTGGCTCGCCGCCTCGTCTCCCAGCGGTGAACTGACGCACGCCAGCAGCCATGCCAACCACGTCGCACTTGGGCCGCCGAACCTAGGCCACAATGTCTGCTCGTGAAAATTCTTGTCGTTGGGCTGCATCGTAGTGTAGTGTTTTTGATATGCTCGGTAGAGTCAGCTCCCTTTCCCCCTTTTGTCTTTAAGACTCGGTTTCCCTTGTTGAGATCCTCTTGCAACGAAGCACCATGGAGCGCACAATCCCCCCTGTCATTCCAAGTCTTGACAGTAGTTCTTGTCGTGCGTGTAACATGAAGCACGGTACCCGCTCTCACCGCAGCTCGCGATCCGACCGTCGCTGTCCTGCCGTCCTGCCCTCTTCCGGATCAGATGGCTTCAGCACAACCAATCAAGCGTCGCTCACCAGCAACACAAGCCTGTCTGACACTCCCATTGATCCTGGCCATAGCCTGTTCCGGTCTCAGCCTCATTCGGCTTCACCGCGACCCCCTTCCCTGCCATATCGGCACCCCGTGCTTGATGTCTCCTCGGTCGGCATGGCGCTGGGAATCTGGTCACAGCCAGAGCAACACCACGGGCTCTATGCAACTCAGAGCCAGAAAGCCACCGACCATGGAAGCCCTGACAGTGAAGACGACTCGGCGACATCGATGATCGTCTCACGGCACTCTCCTGCCTCTTCCCCCCTGTGAGCATCGGCCCCATCTCAAACTGACAGCCTTGCCGTGCCACTGACAACCCATCCCAAGACCCCAATGGCCATCAGTCTTAGAGGAAAGTAAGAAGAAAGCAAAAAAGAAGAAGCACGGGAAGCAGAAAAGGAAAAGGAACCACGAGACAGACCCAGGCACCGCCCCAGATGCAGGCCCTATGTACGACCGAACGCGTCTCCCTTCGACTCCGCACGTTCAGATGGGAGGACCTCCGACGTACGAGGACCATCAAGCCGACGAGTTCGAGTACCAGACCCCGGCGCCGACTCCCCCCACGTACGACCCAAGCGACCTCAACCATGTCGGCGCATCATGGCCTCCTATTGTCTTTCCGTACCCGAGCGACCTTCCCGACGCCGATTTCAAGGATATCGTCGACTAAGTGGGAACCCAAACCCATCCGACGCCGACCATGACACGACTACCATGCGAGCCATGAACGCCCGGCAAAGAGGGCCAGGGGGCTGGCAGGCAAACGGTACATGCGCAAGCTGATGTCGACGAGATCGTGAGCGAGCGTCCTCCCCTGTATGCGCTTTGCATTGCATAAGAAATCAACAGAGGCGGCAAGGGGGATATAACGTGGTGAAGAAACACGGCAAAAGTGACGTGACCATATAGAAGAGGAAGGGGGATAAACAACAAAAAGGCAACAAGGCGAAGGGAAGGAGAAGAGAAAGAAAGGCGGAAGCCAAAACGACAGTTCAGATTGACCCAGCTGGAAAAAGGATTTTCATCATTTGTTTTTCCCCTTTTTTCATTTTTGCTTTTCTCCTCGGCATTAGAGAGTCGCCACTCGACAAAGCATCAGCTCCCTTACGCCCCTGTCCTTTGCCACATAAGTGTCTGAGCTCTCCGGGTCGAGTTCTACAAGGGGGTTTTATGGCTAGGATAAAAAGATTTGCTGGAACGGGCCATATATGCAGATTGATAGATACACCTTTGGCTTCATCAGCACCCAATATCAAGTTCTATGCTTTCAGTCATACGATTGCTGCATATTCACGATGGTGGTGATGCAGCGCAATGTGCAACACTCGGCTCGCGGTTCCACACCCGCCATTGTCATAGTATGAGTATGGGATACAAGGTGACTCTGGCTACCTACCTTAGTTATTGCTTCATGACTGCAAGAACTCCTGCTAATTAACCCAATCAATTAAGACGCGACCGGGTCGGTCGGGTGTGCATGCTTGACATGGTTGTACCCGATCAATGCACATGAGGCCTGCTTTCAATTACTCTTCGAGCCATACGAACTGCTAACATGAAGTACTTGTGATGAAGGGAGCCGTTCCGATATAATGTATGACAGAAGCAGAGGTTCAGGCCTCCACCTCTCTGATCCCTCCAGGTCTTTGTAAGCCCGGCGCACGAGCTTATTGGATGACATTAAACTGCCCATAGTTGTGGCACAAGAAAGCAAACATGCACAACACCCCTTCCTTCAACGACGCCGTAGCTAAAGCGTGCAACCACCGGTGCTCCCTGACTTCTACTTAGACAGAACTCGCACCATGATTAACTTTGGGCTCCATGATGACCACCCACTCAGGGGTAACGGGCCATCCGCCGTAGCCGCAGCAACCGGGCCGCGTTAGCCACCTTCCTCTACTCCGCAACCGGGCCTGTTGTCACGCTGCTAGAGGTCACCCTGGATGCAACTGGAGATCTGACCGGGACTGCCTCCAAGCATCCGTCAGCTCGGGTACCCAGACGGGACCGTTCCAGCTCATGGTGCCGAGGCCGCCAGCACGCAGCTGTTGAGCCGCTGGGCAAGAATTCGTAAGAGTTCCAACAGGGTGAGGACACAGGGACGTAGACATAGTAACGGCAGTATATCTTTAGTACATCAAGTTCAAGGTCGCCAGAGGGAAGATTGATGTCAGCCTGCCCGGGCCGTCCATACAGCGTACCTTAGCTATCCCGAGACTCAGGAAGGAAGCCGAGTTTGTTAGAGCAGAGTCGGCTCGCATCGTTTGTCTATGGAGCGGCCGCTTGTGGAACTGCCGTTCTGTTTCCGACTTTCATCGGGGTAGTCAGTCGGTACGGGGCGTGAGCCGAAACAAGGGCGAAATGCTTGGGTTGCACGGGGTTGTGGCAGACACTTCGCACAAATCTCCGGTCTGAGGTCGGCATGATGATGCCCGAAGGCAAACCGCATTTTCGACAGATCCGCCCCTGCTCTTCTGCCTTACCGTGACCCCGCCAGCCCGGCCCAAGGAAGACCATCTCATGCCAGAGGGATAACGACATGTTGCAGAATGGGGGCCGACCCGGGTCTTTCTTTCAGGCGACCTTGGCGTAGGAAAAATGTGCGGATCATGGCCCTTGGTGAACTAGTGATAAAAAGTTGCTTGTAGAGTCACGCACCCGCAACCTGATTGATGGGCCTCCTCAGCTGCCTATCCTGTCGATTCTGGTTGTCTCCCTCTTGTTGTCTGCGTCGGCCTGCCCAGAAGAAGGCAGCCAGGTGCCCGCAGCCTTATCACATCTGCACATCTGCCCAGTCATTCCTTTACTGTAGCCACAGTGTTGATGCACCCAGATGACAGTTGAGTGGCTCAAACATTGATCAGCCAGAATGTGTTTGCCCAATAATGATAGGGCTTTTGCATGTTCAGCTATGCCATGCGTGCGGGGTCGACGCCAACCAAGCTGATTTCATGTCCGACAAGTTCTGACAGCCTGCTCTATGGAACGCACTTAGCGCCCAACTGCAGCCCGTATGCGGTTTTAGGCCTGACGCTTCAGAAAATGGTTCTCGCACTATGCGGATGCGGGTGTCTGCAATGACAGCTGCGGAGAATTGAAGGCAACCAAAGTTGCCTTCACCTTTCAGCGCATATCATAGGTTGTCTGACCGGATCGGTCTCAGTGCCTTGTCGGGAAAAGCGCCAATGCATGCAACATGCCGGGGAGACCAAGGGCTCCAGACTTAGCCCCCAAGACCTACCGAGGGAGGGCGAGACAGGTTGACCCCAGCTCAGCTGGCTTGGTGCATCGTGGTGCCCCCCATAGGCCCCTTGTCAAGACCTCATGAGGCTGCCAAATATGCCAGTATCTGAACTGAAATCCAGACCAATCAACAGGAGCCTACCTTACGTACGTGTTGAGGATTTGCGAGCCGGCGTACCTACGGTACGCAACTTGCAGAATCCTAAACTAAATACTCTGTGCTGATCTCAGGACTTTATAGACATGCCGCATGTTTTCCAGGCTCTTTGTCTTTTCTAGGCAGTACCGTCGCCGTTCGTCTTCGAAAGAGTATCATGACGGTGGGAGGTGATTTCATCTTGAGAGTCTCCCAAATGCGCCAATACAACTTAGAGTTGTCTTTTCAACAAGCTGAGAACATCATCTGCAGGAAGTCGTCCAGAAAGAGATGGTGATTGAAACGAGTTTGAGTCTCCGCTAGGTTGTTGGCTGCTTGAGATGGGTTGAATTATAGTGAGAAGGTCAATGTCCGACGAACTTGTCTTTTCGATGGATGCTTGATACTAGCAGTTGATCGAATACCCCGCAACACATGGCTCAAGATGGCGGTCATCCGACCCCCTGCCGAGCACATGTTTCAACGTTCCAGCTTGGCAGACTCCCCCCACCTTCGGCTTCGCCAAGGAAGCGGATCGGCGGGTAGATCGTCCATGAAATTACCGAAAACAGCACCCAGACTGTCGGCGCTGTTGAGCTTGGCACAAATGGATGTCCGTACATACGATCGCGACATCCAACATACCTTACATCACAAAGTACGCAAGCTGCTGTGCCGAGGACCATTAGTATCTTGCACGAGTATTGTACGAGCTTTCAGACTCTCCAGTCTTGTAACTAAAACCAAATTCTCCGTAGATGCGTGCATTCAGCATTCTCAAGTAGGAGGATTCATTGCCTCAGGTCCATCCGGCGACACCGGGATGACGTGGATGTTACTTCACTGCTCGCATGCAAACTGGGTGCATCCAACTCCGTTCAATTGAGCGGTCAAAGGCCAAGTTGTTCACAGTCTCTTGTAGCTCTTGAGATGAAAGAGAGGATTCACTAATGGCAAATACCATCTTCCATCCCAGGAATTCACAATCTAGGTACCGGTTCAAACAATGAAACAATCGGTAGTGACTGCAAACAGAAAAACGCAGCTTATTATACTTTTAAGTTTGCGCCGCATATACCAGGTACTAGTAGTTCCGGATAATTTCTGGGTGAGGTGGCCGTTGCGTGGGCCGCACAACGTCATCACCCAGCCAAGACCTGCAGAGGACCCTGCACTTTTCGCGTCCGCGCTGATGTACATAGTGTAAAGTAATAAACGAGCTGTTGGAACCTGACTTCCAGGCGATCAAAGAGGTTCACAGAGTCGGACATCCATCCTCGATGGTATGGATCTTCCGTCGGTCATTTACCAGCTCATATTGTACATGACAAACCCTGAGGCTGCTGTTATGTGTTACGTCCACTTCAGAGCCCGTGCCCTGAGCTTCTGAAACCGGCAAGGATCCAGAGTTAGCAGCCCATGAAGCAAAGAGCTTCTTCCTTGACTCCCACTGCAGGTGCAACAAGCTCCTGGGCGCGAATCTTCGTCTTTTCATCTCTCCAAGTCGCGAGTGAGGCCGTTCGCCGGAACGCAGGGCCACGAGGTTGATCGACACAACCCGCAATTCCCCCTGCCCATCCAAATCTTTCCACATCGATTACGACCGGGCATCCCCACAATCCGATCAACAAATTCAGGGGCAACCTCATCCGCACGCCCTGAGAACTTGCGCAACTTCTTGATTTTCCTCTCTTTTCCGGCACACTCTGTGTAACGCACCGATTTTTTCGCTTCATCCTCGTTTGTATTTGTACACCATTCTCTTGTTTTCGGGCTTATTTCTCGCATCAGAACCGACCAATTCCGCTCCTATACGAACTACCCACTCGGACACGAAACTTCAGCCGACGGACTGCATTCGATGCTCCACAACACACTGCGCGTTCGAACACAGCAGCTAAATCGACGGGCAATTGATGGTCTTCGACTGTACTAGAGCGGCGCAGGTCGGTACGATGCTCACCTTCAAACGTGCCCTCGTGGCCGCGGCATTCTTCATCACCCTACTATATATCACGACGCGATCTACGTCCCCAGCGGCCGCGTTATCACCGGTTGATATCCCGAAAGTCGAAGTCGGCTCGGAGTCAAGGCAGACGTCACAGACAACGGGCTCGTCAGATGAAAAAACATCTAATAGCAATGCGGTACACGCGGGTGCGAATCGCAACAGACCCCTCCAACAAGGGCAGCAGCCGATGCGGGACATGTCCAAAATGACGCTCTCGGAGAAGCTGGCATACCAATTCCCTTACGACGTCGAGATGAAGTTCCCCGCGTACATCTGGCAGACATGGAAATGGACGCCTGCACACGGCGAGTTCCAATTCCGCGAGCAGGAGGCAACATGGACGGAACAACATCCTGGCTTTATCCACGAAGTCATCACCGATCAGGTCGCCGTAAACCTGCTCCGACTGCTCTACGCGTCCGTTCCCGAAGTTCTCGAAGCATATCATGCCCTTCCCCTTCCCGTCCTCAAAGCGGACTTCTTCCGGTACCTGATCCTGCTGGCAAGGGGCGGCATCTACTCGGACATTGATACCTACGCAATCCGTAGCGCGCTGGAGTGGATTCCGGAGTCGGTCCCGCGCAACACAGTCGGACTCGTGATCGGTATCGAGGCGGACCCGGACCGGCCGGACTGGAAGGAGTGGTACAGCCGACGCATCCAGTTCTGCCAGTGGACGATCCAGAGCAAGCCTGGACATCCGGTCCTGCGGGAGATCGTTACTCGGATTACCGATCAGACGCTGCGGCGCAAGCGCGCGGGATCACTGAAGGACATTATCGACAAAAACGTAATCGAGTTTACGGGGCCGGCGCTCTGGACAGATGTCATATTCGAGTACTTCAACGATCCCCGATACTTTGACATGGCTCAGTCTCCTGGACCGATCGACTGGCACAACTTCACGGGCATGGAGATGACGAAGAAGGTTGGGGATGTGATTGTCTTGCCGATTACAAGCTTCTCCCCGGGGGTGCAGCAGATGGGCGCGAAGGACTATGACGATCCCATGGCGTTTGTGAAGCATGATTTTGAGGGTAAGAAGCCAACCCTCACTCGTAGTTTCATGATATCTATGTGCACAAAGATCGCTAACTGGTATGTGCAACAGGGACATGGAAACCCGAAAGCGAGCGACATATCGGCGAATAAGCCGCCGGCCAGCCCCGGTACCGTTCTAGAGCAATCGCCTACCATAACGTCACGATCTTTCCTTTCTCCTTGACGATCAATATCCTATTTTAATACCCATTTTCACAAACTGCATGGCTCTCGGCGTTTACTTGTGACGGCGGCGTGCTGCATTCCTAAGCGAGTTTTTCTCTGGCAGACAGCAAAGTCCGGGGGACATATAAACTGTATACAAAACTAGGGTTGACGGAAACCAAAATGCCGCCTTTGGTGCGGTGGTACATAGACGATAAGTGGTGATACACGATCCATTTTGCGTGGGACGTGGGCGGCTCGGTTCTTGGAGGGGAGGCGAGCGGCTAGGATGCAATGCTGTTGAAGCATGGATGATGTTTCGTTTTGGAGGCGACAAGCCGGCGGTATGAGAATGGACGGTCTGAGATGGCTGATGAATCTCGTGGCTGGAGGGATGTATAAAGAGAAGATGGACAAGAAGCAATTGACTGGTCAGTGCCGTCCCAGGCATGGAAATTTCTTGGTGTTGATGATAGTTCGCTGTGTGCACCTGTTCCGCGGTTCAGAACCAAAGTTCAACGTGGCGGACAACCGCAGCTGGACGCGGCTCATGCTACAAGTAGTAATCCAGATCTTTATCCGTCCTGCTTCCCCTAGCCGCGCCTGTCTGGCAAGGTACGGATAGCGCCCGGATCTTACGTACTAGTAGTTGGACTAATTAACCCAGTTCAGTTAGCAGTTGGTTGTCACCGTATCGGGCATTGTCCCGTGGTATTTCACAGGGGAAATGCCTACCGACGAAATGGGCTAGATCGTGATATATTGCGGTAGTATGACGTTGGTGTGCCAGGTCGCCTCTGCCATTACCCCTGAATCTAGGTATGTTACATGCAATGAGCATCGGAAGATAAAGTTGATGATTCCTAACTTAAGGCACCGGGACCTCGTGGGGGGTTTCGTCGTCTCCAACTGTTCAACGTCTGCCAAGCATTGAATTGCGGGGGAATGACAGGACACCCACACCCCGCATTCTCCAACTCACCGCCAAGGAGGCCGGGGCTTCAACCTTCCCTGTTGAGGTTACCTCGGGATTCGCGCTACTCTCTCTGGCAACATGAGGAGAGGGCCGAGGCGGGTTGCTAGTGAGATGATCGCCAATGGCTTGAAATGGGCGGGGAATGGTATTTTCTTTTCTTCCCCCTCGCGCTTGTTCACATCATTCTCCATCCCCGTTTCGATATACTCTCTGCCATGCCACTGTGACCGCGGCAGTCCTGGCTGGCTTGTGTCGGGTGGGAAGTACCTTATTTCAGAACGGACTGTGAAGGTGTAGGACGGAGTTCACAATGCGCCTCCAGACCCGAGCGACTACAGGAGTTCTGTGCTCTCCAAATTTACGAGAGAGTCTCGTTGGGAAACGCCTTTGGTTTGCAGCTCGCATCAGATCGTTGAGGTGTGCTGAAAGTAGCAGGAGAGGAGGCCAGGCGGTAAGAGGTATCAGCACCTTGACGCGGAGTATCTATCAGGGGCCGAGCGAGGTGAACACTGCCCTCGACTACTCGACAGCTTGAGAGTGCTGACAATATCGTAGCCACCTCTGCTGCCACACACCATCCCTGAGCATTTCGCTTCCGTCGTCTCGCAGTTTGGGGACAGGCCGGCAGTCATTTGTCGCTCGCCGACCGCAGGCCGTGATGCGCTACCAAACGTAGCCCCAGACGGGGTCCCAGCTGCTGTGGAAACGACACTTAGTTACGAGAAACTCGACCTTGCATCCAATGCGCTAGCCCACTCGCTGCGTTCCCTGGGTGTTAGGAAAGGGGATCGTGTGGCTGTGAGCTTGGGCAACAACGCCGAGTTTGCAGCTTTGACGTATGCCGTCTTCAAGCTTGGCGCCATCCTCGTTCCGCTGAACCCGGGATTCAACGTCAAGCAAATCACAGCCGCCCTGAACCATCTCGCCGTCAAGCTCCTGATTATTGGGGCCGTGACGGACCTCGCCTACAAGCCCTGCCGTGGGCGGAGCAACTTACCCCTTCTACAAGCGATCGTTCCGGACCTCGAGTGCGGGCGTGTGGAAGCTCCCGAGATCCCAACCCTCAAGACGATCGTCCTTGTCGACAACTCGGCATCCCACCCCTTGAGTGACTTTCCGCCTCTCGCCTCCCTTCGCTCACTCACCTCCTTTACGTCCCTCATCCCAGACCTTAGTGCTATCCGCACGTCATCTACCTACGCCGCTCGCCCCGTCACACCGGACTCACCACTCTCCGTAACCGAAACAAGTAGGGCCAGGAATTCACCCAGCAACCTGCCCAGACAAATAAGAGGTAAGCTGACGTTAATGCTCCAGTCAATATCCAGTTCACTAGCGGGACGACATCCCATCCAAAAGCGGCCATGCTCTCCCACACCAGCATCCTCAACAACGGCGCGCTAATCGCCCACCGCATGGGGCTCGACCCGTCCGATCTCATCGTCTGTCCGCCGCCCCTATTTCATTGCTTCGGCTCTGTATTGGGATACATGGCGACCGCCACCACTGGGGTGAGCAACAAACAAACCACCCAACCCAAAGTTAGAAAGGTTGACAGGACAGCCGAAAAGTTAACGTTTGTCTATTGATAGGCAGCCATCCTCTTCCCTTCACCAGCCTTCGATCCCCTGGCAACGCTGCGCATGGCAGCCGCCCACCAGGCTACGGGGCTCTACGGCGTCGCGACAATGTTCGTCGCCATGTTCGAGCTGCTGCACCATCGCCACCTCCCGCAGGAGCAGATCGATGCCTTCCCGACTCACCTCCGGAAGGGCATCGCGGCGGGCAGCTCGGTGCCGGAGTCTCTGATGCGGAAGCTGTATGCTACGCTGGGCCTGCGGGACCTGGTGATCTGCTACGGCATGACCGAGACGAGCCCCGTGAGCTGCATGACCAGTCCCGCGGACCCGTTCGAAAAGAGAACGCGGTCGGTGGGGAGCGTGATGCCGCACACGCGGGTCAAGATCGTCGATCCTGCCGACCGGAGCAAGGTCCTCCCTGTGGGCGAGCGAGGCGAGCTGGCTGCGGCCGGATACCTGGTTATGAAGGGGTATTGGGGCGATGAAGAGAGGACGGCCGAGGTGAGGAGCGTAGAGAAGGATGAGGAGGACGCAGATAGGGAGGTGGTCTGGCTGTATAGCGGGGATGAGGCCAGCATGGATGCTGATGGGTATGTGGAGATTACGGGGAGGATCAAGGACCTGATCATTCGTGGAGGCGAGAACATTCACCCGTTGGAGATCGAGAACTGTCTGTTCCAGCACCCGCTGGTGGCCGAGGTCAGCGTGGTGGGTGTCCCGGATGAGAGGTACGGGGAGAGCGTGGGCGCATTTGTCATCGCCCATGAGGGCGTCGAGGCCGAGGGCGAGGTGGCCAAGCCGGGAGGTGAAGGCACGGGAGAGGTGTTGACCAAGGAGATGGTCAGGGAGTGGGTCAGAACGCATCTGTCGAGCCACCTGGTGCCGAAGCATGTCTGGTTCGTGCGCGAGTACCCCAAGACGGCGAGCGGCAAGATCCAGAAGTTCAAGCTGAGGGAGACGGCAAAGCAGCTGATGGAGGCCGGGAGGTGAGGTAGCCTATGCCTTTGGCGGACAACATCATACCATGGACGGAGTACAATATGGATGTTACCTAATGCCTGAAGCCTGGAGGCCTTGAATAGGTATGGGCGTCGAGCGTGAATCGACTGCCAAGAAAGGAGCTCGATCCAGGATGGAATGGATACTCGGACCTAGCCCCGTGCGGATGGAATGGTGTAACCAGACAACTCATGGCCATGGCCAGTGTGATGGCGTCTGAGTGATTCATCTTTGAGTTTCGTGGAGAGAGAGCTTAGATCGATCTATGCAAGGGAGGGTTTGGTGCCGGAGGGAAAAGGACCGATTGACACGAGGGGCTGGGATGAGTACTCCTCGTTGGTAGGCATATGTTCTGTGAATAGAAATATCAGACCAAGCTAAAACCTATAGATATATTGTGTATCGGCGGAGAATGGACGGCCTAAGTTCCTCAGTAGGTTGTGGTGGAAGCTGTATCCCGTGAGGAACGCGATCGAGGCATGTGGCTACGGTCCCAGCCATTTGGAAAGGGCGGCGTCCAAGACAGTCAACCACCAACTCCCGAAAACCTTGGTTCTTACCACGATACCATTGAGACATTCATTCCCCTCTGGTACCCGAGCAGAAATGCTCGTGTGAAGGTCTAGGAAGCTCAACCGGCCTGAATAGAAGGAGAAAATATGTATATAAGGCCCTTGAGCCAGCAGACCTCAAGTCCTCGTTCCCTCTCTCTCACCAGCATTAAGCACATCGTCAAACACTTCCACTTGACAGTCACGAACAATACAAAATCACTCTTTGAGACTCAGCCAATAAACCTCAACGAAAATGGAGTTCTTCGCCATCCTCGCCCTGGCCGCCACCGCCATCGCCGCCGACGCCAACGCCAACACCAACAACAACGAGGCCCAGACCGCGCCCCAGGCCCAGGCCCAGGCCCAAGCTGCCGCCGCCGGCGTCGGCGCGAACGCGCAGGGCTGGTACCCTCCGTACCCCCCCTGCCGTCCCGGCAGCTACTCGTGCACCACCGACAACAGCGGCTGGCGCATCTGCGACTACTCCGGCTCGTGGGTCGTAAGTGTTTTCTCTCTCTCTCTCTCTCTCTCTCTCTCTCGCCCCCTCACATTCATTCTTTCACTCTTTACAAACAAGAAGTGGGTGACGACCGATCGCTGACGAGGGGGAAAAACAAATTAGTATGGCGGTTCTTGCACTTACGGCACCCGCTGCGTCTACAACTACCAGAATGGCAGCCCCTACTGCCTTCCCGCCTAAAGGATAAATGCCGCGCGCCATCTCTCCGCAACGGCAACGGTGAGGGGATGGATGTGTGTCTAAGGATAGGGCGGGGGAATTGTTGAATTTTGGATATGGCAAAACAGATGGTTGTTTGGTGGGACTGGCTTTGATTTGTGAGCGGTCTGCTAGGTGGGCTTGGGTTCTTGGCTTGCTTCCTCTTCGACACTCTCTCTTGCCCCCCCTTATGCAGATCTGACGTATCCGTAGTCGCGATAGTGTTTCAGGGAAGTGAATGGATAATGGTGCCAGACCTGCTTTTGCTTGACATTTGTGACTGAGGCCAGAACAAGATAGGTAGCTGGCTGGGTATCTGTACTGTTTTTGTTTACTTCTACATTCCTCCTGAGTGGAACACGAAGCCCAAGCTCCCTCATCCACACCATGTCCGCATTCCAGCACAACCCCCCCTTACGCCTCAGGCCAGTTGTTGTTGAACACAATGCAGGAACCGTTGGCACTCGGAGCGATGTCCTTATCTGTCAGGAACAGGCAGTACTTGGCCACGCTCTGCACGGGAAGATCCTTATGGGGCGCAAACTGCGACTGTGACGCCTGGATCTTTTGGAACATCTCCGTATGCAAGCCCTGGGCGAACGCGTCCGTTATGTTCGTGCTGGCCATCCCCCCGAGGAGCAGGGCAACGCAGTAGATGCCCTTGTCCCCATAGAAGCCGGCCGTGTTCTTGGTCAGGGCCATGACGCCGGCCTTGGAGACGGTGTAAGCGGCGCCAGCCTTGAACCCATGGTAGCTGGCATTGGAGCCGATGTTGATGATGAGCCCACCGACAGGCTCCTGCTTCTCGAACTGGGCGATGGCCGCCTTGGACGTGAGGAAGGGCCCGTTCAGGTTGATGTTGAGGACGCGGTCCCATTTCTCCTTGGAGCAAGCACCGACGGGCGAGAAGTCGTCCATGACGCCGGCGTTGTTGACGAGGACATCGAGGCGGCCAAACTTGGCCACGGCGGCATCGACGAGCTTCTGTACGGCGGCTTCGTCCGAGACGTCGGTCTGTTGTGCGAGGAACTTGCCGGCATGTGATTTGGTCCATTCCTCCTCGGCCGTGGAGATGCGCTGCGGGTTGACGTCGCAGATCACGACATTGGCACCTGCTGCGAGGAAGGCGTCCGCGATGGCCTTGCCGAGACCGCCAGCGGCGCCTGTGATGATAACTGTCTTGCCCTCAGCGGAAGTCATCTTGGTTGCCTCTGCTGCGCTGGTTAGTCTTAGCTGTGGCTGTGGAGAGTGTCGCCAATACCTTGAAGATACAGATAGATAGATCACTGGCTAACCTGCTGTGTGTCAACCTAAAGAGGTCCGGATCTCCTTCTTATAGTCCCAGCGGATCAAGTCTCTGGGCAACCGCGGGGAGTTTGCAACCTCCGAGCCCCTGATTGCGGGGTAGAGGAGCGGAGATGGGCGGGCATGTCGCTAGGAGTCTCGACGGAGTTGACCACGTCCTCTACATACACAGGAAGTTGACTGCTTGGCATCTTCCATACAGCCCGCGTGTGCCCACCTGCATGGAACCCTCCATCGGGACCAGTGAGATGAAGACATGGAGTCGTAAACCGGATTCGAATGCGAGAGCTAATTGCTGGGATGAGAGGGGAACGAACCCGAATACGACCACCCGAGTTAATAGATGCCGAACATCTCTTCAACGGATCCTGGGAGCTAAGGCGACGAAGGGCAAAACCCCGGTGATTCCCTCTGTCAACCATCTCCATTCCTCTACCGCCCGGTGGCAATATGGACGAGATAACTACCGGCCTTACTCCCTGACCGAAGATATCGCAGAGGGCAACCGAGATCAACATGAAGACGAATTCATGGCAGCGACAACCACGGGGCGGTTGTTTGATACACGTCGCCCATCACAAATACTGTCCAGTCGCGAGATTCGTCCGCCAGGGCCAGTTAACTCGGGGTGCGTATCTGGAGACAGGTAATGGTGAGGTGATGAGTCTGTGGAGTGAGATAAATTGTTGTGATGAATAAGGCCGGAGGGACTAGAGCTTTACCAGCAAGACCGCCAAGAAGTTTCAGCGCTTCAGTGGGGCGGAGGGGCACTTACCCCTGACAGTGTCACTGTGCGGGACTAGGATGACGAAATGGGATGGAACCTGGAAGCCGCGGGCCGTCTCAAGAATTTTGATACCCGTTGGATTCATCATCACTCCGGACGGAATTTGTAGGTATTGGAATCCAACATCCAATCGCGATACAATCACAAGCCACTCAATCCCCTGCCATATCCCGGAGAAGGGCTCAAATGAGTGTCCAGATCCAATAGAGAGGAACGCTGTCCGTCCGCAACAGAACCCAATGGACTCCTCCCTGGTATCCAACCCCAGAGTGCAGCTGGCCGCGACCGCCTTGGTGTCCGCGGCCGTCGCAGCCGGCACAATCCTGAGCTACCAGCGCCTGCAACGAAATGACCGCGTCTCTCGTCTAAAGGGATCCATCCCCCAGTACGACGATGACGAGCCCGCGTTACAATCGGTACATACTCTCCCCTTTTCACCGCCCACAAGGTCTCCTAAACCGAACCTGCTGTAATTGACCCTGCCCCGATTCCTTCTAGGTAACGCGCGTCGGGCCCCTGCCGCGACCCGATACCGAAGACGAGCACAACCAGGCGCTCGCCCAGCGCGCGCAGAACGGCGACTGGGACGACGAGCTGATCCTTGAGCAGCTCGCGCGCAACCGCGTGTTCCTGGGCGAGGACGGGCTGCGCAAGCTGCGCGACGCCTTCGTCGTGGTCGTGGGCTGCGGCGGCGTCGGGTCGCACGCGTGCGCCGCGCTGGCCCGCTCGGGCGTCGCGCGCCTCCGGCTCGTCGACTTCGACCAGGTCACGCTGAGCAGCCTGAACCGGCACGCGGTGGCGACGCTGGCGGATGTGGGCCTGCCCAAGGTGCAGGTGCTGCAGCGGAGGCTGGTGGCGGTCGCGCCGTGGGTACGCTTCGATCTGCGACTGCAGAAGTTCGATGGCAGCGTCGCGGGGCAGCTGCTGCAGGAGTGGGTCGGCGTGGATGGCGAGGAGGGGAAGGAGGGGGAAGGGAGGCGGCCGGATTTCGTCATCGACGCAATCGATAATATTGAGAGCAAGGTCGAACTGCTCAAATATTGCCACGACCACGGGCTGCCAGTGATTTCAGCCATGGGAGCCGGGACGAAGAGTGATCCCACGAGGGTTATGGTGGGGGATATCGGGGCCAGTTCTGAAGACGGGCTGTCAAGGGCGACGAGGAGGAGGTTGAAGCTGCTCGGCGTAAGCAGCGGCATTCCGGTTGTGTACTCGACTGAGAAGATGGGTGAGGGCAAGGCTGCGCTGCTGCCGTTGCCCGAGGAGGAGTTCCAGAAGGGATCCGTTGGCGATCTGGGCGTGCTACCGGATTTTCGGGTGCGAATCTTGCCAGTTCTGGGAACCATGCCTGCTGTTTTCGGGTACACTGTGGCAAACCACGTCATTCTCAAGATCACAGGTGGGTTTGCATGCGTGCCTCCGTCGCCGCGCTGACTATGCTGACTTTCCTACAGGCTATCCCATGGACTACCAACCCGCCAAAGCTCGCGACAAGATGTATGATGCCATCTTGGCGTACGTCCAAGCCAGCGAGGAGAAAATTGTCCGCATGATCGAAGGCACCCGGACGGACGTGTGCGTGGGCCTAAAGGTTCCGATCACGCCGGGAGATATAGCCTTCCTGGTGGAAGAAGTATTCAGGGGCAGGAGTGCCGTCACGGGCATTCCGACAAAGCTCGTGCTGATCCGGTGGAAGAAGCCCCGGGGGACCACCCTCGTCCGGATCGGAGAGGAGAGCGCTGAGCAGAAGTCATCCAACCTCAGGCTCCGCGATCTGGTCTGCATGACCAAGGAAGAAGCCACAAGACATCAAAAGAAGATTCTTCAGGGGGATAAGAGTCTCAAGGACCTCTACAGCCGCGAGGTGATCGAGCTTGTTGAGGCTCGACAGAAGGAGTCCGAGGCTTACGAGCGGTATAGATTAATGGCGTGAACGACGAATATGATGTGTAAGTGTCGAAGGCCCCGTGGTGTATACATGCCTCGTCCAGTGATTTTCCCAAAGTATCTAGCATGAATTCTATGCATTGCGTTGGGTATGCTCTATTTATTCTCATTACGCTCCCGCTCCGGTATGAGAAACTAACGCTCCGCTGGCCAGAAATCGCTGTCAGGCATTCAGCCCTGCCCTTCCGAATGACGAAATCAAAAACGCATTACTGATGGGTTTCACCAAGAGACCGCCCTCATTCTGCCTTAGCCATGTGCATGCCGACGCCCTCGCAGACATATCCCTTGTTGTACCACCCCACACGGGGCAGCAACTGCGCCGTCACCCACCGCGCCGTTGTCGTGTGCGTACTGCCTTCGCCGATCGGCCGGTCCGTCTTCTCCTTGCGCAACCTCTTCCCATCGATCCCCAGGTCTTCCATCGCTCGCTCAAGGCTGCTCTTATCCTCGCCCCGGGGAAACGATGTCTTACCCTCGGCCAATGCCTGGAAAATGACGAGCTGGTCCTGCAAGAACTCATCCACGATCCCGCCGGCCGATACCTCGTCATACAACTCCCTAGCTATCTCCTGCGCGAGGCCCGCGCACAACTGGACCGTGGGCCGGTTGCCCCCCTTGCTCTTAGCCTTGGGCGCTGATCTGAGCATGTCCCTGCCCCAGCGGACCATTCCCGCCTTGGCGACGAGCAGGACATATATCCTTGAATCAGCACCACTATCCTCCACGATCTTGTAGTTGACCTCCACGCCATAGAACAGGTCTCCCAGGGCGACCTCGAGATCACTCCTCAGGGTATCATGCATCCCAGCAGGGACTATCATTGAGACGTCAATCTCCTCGATGTTGTCCACAGTCGGTAGCAACTTTCCCCCCGCGTAAACGGAGCTCTCCTTGAGCTTGATCGTCTCACCCGGCTTCAAGGGCCTGAACTTGAACTCCACCGTCCCTCTCTGCTGTTTGCCCAAGCTCCACCCTCGCGAAATCAACCTCCTCTGGACGGTAATCCCGAAGGCGTCCTGCAGAACCGGAAGGAGAACCTGGTCCAGATACTCGAACGACAGCGAGAACGATACGTTGGTCCCGCCGGATATTTTCAGCGTTATCGGCTCACCTTTATCGTTGCCGGCGAACAGCAGAAAAGGGAAGATGGCCTGGAAGATGAGGAGCGTGGAGGCAGCGGGTGAGTCGGCGCTGATCTTGATGGTGCGGTTCTGGAGCTGGGAGGGTCGTAGCCTCGGAGTGAATTCTAGCGTGTGGCTACCGACCGAGAGACCATCGACTTCAGCTGCGGTGGCGGCAGCCAGGTACTCTATGGCGGTCACATGTTGGGATTTGAGGCCTGCAGTTTGTCGGTTACTCTGAGCTGGTATGCCAGTGAAAAAGAAAAATGGAGACACATAATACCTCCGCCTCGTGATCCTTCGCGATTGCCGCGGACGTGGGTGATGCGGATGGGCAGAGTAGCGACTGCTGCCAGGGCGCAAGCTATGCGCACAAGCTGTCCGCCGCCTTCCCCCGTTCGGCCGTCTAGCTCGATGGCCGGTGTTTGCTTTGTCATTTTGAGGTCGGTTGTCTCTGTCCTGTCTATGCCTGTTTGTTAAGCGGATGTGGGAAATATGAGGGGGCTTAGGTTGTTTTGTGCTTGTTTGGTGGCTGTCGCTCAGTTGTGTGAGCGACTTTGGTGTGAGTTGGCTTTGTGTTACCAGAGTGCTCTCGATCAAGGTTCAGTTGGAGAAGACGGATGGAATTGGGGAAGGTGCGGGGATGTGAAGCATGTAAGTGCCCCCGAGTGGTACAGCTCAAATCCTCTTTGCCGGAATAAATTCCATACATGAATTTTTGGTCTGCTGCATACCGAAAGACATAAATAAGGTACCTGTCGACAGATTTGGTGCTGCTTCCTTCCCGTTTGAGTCAGTCGCCGGCCCCCTGCAGCTGGCAGTGCACAGTGCCCCAGGCATCACTACCAGGTAATAAACCTGCAACACGTTTGGTGCCATGCCATCACCTAATCGCAGTCCGCCAACTTGACTCTTCCCGTCTGCCTCGAACTTACGTCGGGGCTACACAAACGCCACAGCCATTCACTCGAGTCGACTTGCTAGACTCGGCATCTCGCGCCGGCCAACATACTGTGCCCAACTCTTAATGCGTGTCATACCTTCTATGCACCAACGCTTTGCTCAATCAAGGCTTTCTGAGTCAACAACAGCCTCAGGGGGGCCACTTCTGTTGCGTACCACGGACTGTTCATCCGCACGAACTGACCCCATCCACATACTAAGTAGCATAGACGTCATCCGCTTCTAGCCGCCTCCCATTCTTGGATGTCATATCGCCCATGACCGATTTGACATTACTGATTAAGTTACATGGCCGTCCGGGACATCCAGGAAAGCTTGAAGCATGGTTGAGACGATGACAAGCAATTGCATACCGTCCCACACGGCAACCCGCTTCGGGTTGCGCGGACCCTGCGCCCTAAAGCTCCAGGTACATACGTACCAAGGGACTCGCCGGCATTGCGTCTGTGATAGAGTCGGAAACTAAGAAGACCTACGGATACCAGAGACCGGGCGAAGCTTCCAACACGGTCGCCGCCGAGCCAGCTTTCCAATTCTGAGATCTCTTCTCGAGGTAACGCTGTCTGGCTTTCTCGACACTGCACTTACGGCTTTGGTCACTGGCCACATCTACTATAAGACAAAGACGGAATAGAAAATCGTGACAATCTCACACGTCCTTGGAAGCCATCGCCAGGTATTCGCTAATAGCACTGTCATTGCAGTGAGCATGAGCCAGGAGCTCCTCGATGAGGATGAGCCTCTCCTCCTTCAGGGCCTTCTCCTGGGCGACGAGGTCGGCACGCTTTCTCTCCAGCTGCTCGGACGTGGACTTGATCCGCTCCTCCTTTTCTCGGTTTCTATTGCGGTTTCTGGTCTCGGTCCTGCGGCGGCCGGCCCGCAGCCTCTGCTTCTTGAGGTTTTTCCAGATGGGGTCGTCTCGTGGTGGGAGCGAACTGGTGATGGTGTGTTGCAGCTGCCCCCTCCATTCGCTCGGCGGCGAGTGCTGCTCTGTGATTGGAGCCGCCTGGCAGATGCAACTCAGATAACGGCGGTCCCGACAAGATGGGATTCAGGGGCAGCTGTGTAACCTCGGACGCGGGATCCATTATCACTGGTCCCTGGGCGGTTGACAGCACCGAACAGGCCAGATGATGGTGTGACTCGCATGGCACAGGGTTCCATGGTGGATCTTGCATGGCGGTTGCTACGGCGGGAGCTGCCAAGTTGATGGTCTGGGTTTCGCCGCTTCCGTAGACACTGCCCATCGGGACTGGCATGACGAGTTGGCCATCCTCTCCGCAAAAGTGGTATTCTCCTGTGCTCTGGCTCAGAGAGGCGAGCAGCACATTGGCGTCGGCGAAGTTGCTCGTCCATCCGTAGAACGTTTCTTCCACCGGAGGGGGAAAGCCAGTGCTGGAAGGGACTGTGCTGAGGACGGCGTCATCAACGACCCAGTCGCGGGGGTCAGCCGGGAGAGCATCTTGATACGGGCCAGGAAGTTGCGTATGAGCTAGCGACATGATGATTGGGGACGGCAAGCTTTTCGTTGGATATGGTGCTGTCAGCTCGATCTTGCGAGATGGTTCACTGGATGGTGGTGTAAGCTTGATGGGATGACGGCGAGCGGCGAACCAAAACAACCTGGAAGATATGTACTAGACAAACGTCTTGCGCATAACCTGACCGGGACATATGTGAGATACTCCAGGCTTGTTTCCTAGCTTCCGCCGTCTATCGCTATGCTATTGGTTCCCTCGCGCCACCGATGTGACACATCGCTCTTAAAGCATAAGTCACAACAGGAAACTGGGTCCATCAGCAGGAGGATGGTGGTGTTGAGGCGGGCGCTGCTCCGTTCTATGGTTGGTCGGGACAGCAGCCTGGTCATGCCGTCCTGCATGTGCAGGAGACGATCGTTCCATTCTCATCGACCTTGCCCTAAGATCTGAAGCATCGGTTCGTAGGGCCCATTATCGAAGAGGATTCGGCATATAAGTTATAAGTTATAACTCGGGCTGCCTTGGACAGATCCAAACACGCCATTTCGGTTGGTCAGTGCCTCTACAAAGGGCAGTCAAGGCCTGTCCGAGTGATGAAGCCCATCAGCTCGACGATATTATGGTGACAATGCGCATCAAGGATCTGCCCATCGGGAAGATCGCATGGTGTGAAGAAACCTCGGCAGTCCTGCCTCTGAAAGGGTTCGCCGGTCGAAGGTATCTGCTGGTCGGGCTGTAGGTCTCGGTGAAGCCAAAGGGTTCACAACACTGCAATCCGCAATGTCTGCATAGTAGAGTAGCCTGTAACCTACTGCTTGAGTTGCTTACTAAGGAAGCTAGCTATCTGAATAACAGAATGGTAGAACTATATACGGCTTCCTCCCTAGGTTTCCCTATACCTAGGTCTCTGGAACATTTGGAACAATTGTCGTTCCTATTGTTCTATCTAGAACAATGCTCCTTGGCGTTGTTCCTTGGGAACAATTGTTCTTGGCATTGTTCCTAATCTCCCTGATCCTTATTGGTCCTTCCTAGTCCCTAATAATTAGACACGGGCGCTGCCTGCTAACTATATAGGTCGGCATCTACTAGCCTCTACAGGTTAATCTATAACTTTCCAGTCCTAGACGGACCAATAAGAATGGGATCGATAGGATCGAGGTTCGAGCCAATCGAGCGGGGATGGATCGATGGATCGGTGTTCGATAACATCGATCCAGGAGATTCAGGTACGAGGGTACCTAGAGGAGGAAGCTATATATAGTTCTACCAATCTGTCACTCATTCAGATAGCTAGCTTCCTTAGTAAGCAACTCAAGCAGTAGGTTACAGGCTACTCTACTATGCAGACATTGCGGATTGCAGTGTTGTGAACCCTTTGGCTTCACCGAGACCTACAGCCCGACCAGCAGATACCTTCGACCGGCGAACCCTTTCAGAGGCAGGACTGCCGAGGTTCGGTCACACTTTACTCAGTGCGCGTTTGGTATAAGTCCGGTAGTATATCTCCACCAGCCACCTAGCCACACTAGCCACCCGGGCCCACTATAACCACCAACGCTCACGAGAGTAAGGTCTGTGCCTCAGAGACTAGGGGCGAAGAGAAATCTACGCCGCCAGCGTCTTCTGCTGTAGTGGATTCTAAAGCAGGTGCCCTTAATCGAAGCCGAGTTTGAACGAACCGAAGGTAGCCAAAGGCGGCCCACACGCTGGATATAGCAGGAAGAGGAGCAGACCCATTAGGACGATCTAGTGGAACAACCATTTTCTGCTTTCAACTCCTCTCCCCTCCACTAGTGGAATGCCTTTTCCTATGTAATTCGGGCGATGGCCCGGTCGGCAACCCGTTCGATTCTGGAGATTCCAGCTCTCCCTCTCTATCTGTTCTATAACTCTATCATAGAAGCCCAACTTCCCAATGCTAGTAAAAGCCCCGTACGCATAGGCCAGAGCCTGGTTCTTATTGCTACTGAGACAAGTCGAGAGCAGGTGGTCTTCAAGTTCCGCTGACTTCACCATCTCAATGTATTCCTGCCGCTCACGCCATGTCTGCCTCACTCCTTCATCAAGGGGTTGCCTATCTCGGTCATATTTCTGAGGGAGGTCGAAGGAGACGGGCATGGCCTGAAGGAACTCGGGAAACGCAATTACCTCCCAGGGTACTGTACATGCCCCTTCCCAGTCGATGATGCCCGTGACATCGAAACTGTTCTCGTCAACCATGATATTACTATGGAGGAAATCGTCGTAGCATAGGGGAAACGGTCCATTGTTGCTTGCGGAAAGCCGGCTAGCCATCGCTTTGATCTGTGATGGGAACTTGTTGATGATAGAAATCATCCACTCCGCTGGAATCGGTCCTCTCTGCATCATGCGCCCAATAGTCTCGTTGTCCCACTTGAATTTGACGTTGTCAGCCCAAGCCTCGAAAAAAGCAGCTGCTGTGTTGAACGGGCCGCCGATCCCTGGTAAGGGGCCGAGCTCGTATCCTCCCTCTCGATTTCGAACAATGGTGCCAAACTTTGGGAGTCGTATGGAGGTTATCTGAACCTAGTGAATGTAAGCCCCTGATCGAATCAATCATGAGAAGCTTAGACGAACATGGCATGTTGCCACTGAGCGATAGAATTGTCGACGGTACTGCGTGGGTATCACGCCACGGTGCAGCTCGTAGCCGCCAAGGGCGTCCATGGCGACGATGCCGGGGAGGACTTCGATCAGCATGTACGCAACTGCCGCTGGGTTATTCTCGTCGAGGGCGTATGCAAAGACTCTGGGAATAGGCAAGTCGGAATGCTCCTTGATGTATTGCATTGTTGCAACCTCAGTCTCGAGCTCGGCGTCGTCTGCGATCTTGATCCGGACCCGGGCTCCCCAGCGACTCCGGTCGGAGAACTCAAGCAGGCGAACAACGTTGTTGAGCCCGCTTGTAACTTGATCTAGAGCAACGCATTCTAGATGGCGGTTTGCATTCGAGGCAGTGAGGCATACCTGATCCCATTGGGTTCGTCGGAAACACCTGGCGGCCCGGCTGTCGCCGCTTTGAAGGAAATCATCGACGGTGGTCCAGGAGGAGGCCGAATCTGCAGGCATAACGATACCGTGTTGGCCAAGAGGCTTCGCCAATCAGTGCGTTTGTGGTTTCTCGTTCTTCTTTCTTTTCCTCAGCTGGAAGATGGGAGATAAGGATTCACCAGGGGAGGTCTGGTAGGGAAGAAGGAGATGAGGAAGATGCAAGGGAAATGCGCCACGGTGGCTTTTGGATTGTAGCACCACACAAAACTCGGAATTTCATCGGCACATTTCAGATCAACGAGAGGGCTGTCTTCCTGACAGTGAACTGAGACTTGGACTGCAGGATTTCGGGCCTTTTCTGAGGCAGAATCGGCATCCAACGACTCAGGGGGAAGGTGTGAATTGAAGCTCTTGTTCTAACGGGTGACAACCTAAAACTATCAGTCATGAATTCCATGCATTGTGTCGGGTCCGAGGACACACCTAAGGCCAGTAGCGGACTTTGAAGATCTCCATCATTCAACAATCCCATGCTGCTACCTGTTAAGTCATGCTCGGTGCCTAGAACCCAGTGGTGAGAGGCTATGTGGAGTGACGGTCGGGAAAGTCCTTTGCTCTTTCCTTCTCAGGACACCCTCTTTACCGCAGTGCACCAGTGACTACCGCCTTCCCATTCTTGCCTCATCTAGGTAGTACACCATAGTGAGGTGCCAGGTACTACCTCAGTACGGTACCTTCGGTTAGCAGTCTCGAAAGTCCAGTCTCGAATGGAATTTCTGCCAATAGCAGGCCTCTTGCTTGTGAAGAAATCCCACCGTCTCCTATCCAAATACCTACACAGGGCAGCAAGAAAGGATGAGAGATCCCACAAAGCCCGCATGTATTTCTCCGCTAGGCATCTACTAGCCTAACGCAACTCTTCTGCCGTTTCTTCGCCCGAATTCACCGAGGCCTCTGCAGTACCCGAGCCAGATTCTGAGAACCTCCTATTCCGTCTCGGATACGGATCTCCAGCTCCCCCGAGCCACCGCCGGACTCCGCTACGGCCTTCCCTGTTGTGTTGACGGTTGTGCAAGAGTAGCCACGCCCGTTGCGTCCTGGATTCAACGTTCCACATTCGATTCGCCGTAGGGTTTGCTTGGCTGTTATCTTCAATGTGGAGCCTTGGTCTTTGGGTCAGTGACATCCTTTAGCTGAGTCTGGAGGGGAGTGATTCACCTGGAGAAGTCCACGGCTGGCGCGGATGCCCATGAGTAGGTAAGGTTGTTAGATTCTTCGTCCAACAAGCTTGCGAAAGACAGACTCTTGTCAGCCATGTCATTTTCAGAGTCGTCGTTTCCAAGCTCGGCCTCGCCTAAGTTAGCCTTCTCTCCTGAAGGAGCAGACTCGGCGATCATTGTCGAATGGCACTTGGACTCGGCCGCCTCGGTGCTGTTCCGAGACTCGTGCGTGAACCGGGTAGTATGGTCAGGGACGGCATTGCTACCCCCCTGAGCTGGCAACTCGCATTTCGTCGCCAGCAGAGGCTCAGGCGTATTTGGAACAGGAGCAGGCCCAGTCAGGCTGGTAGCACAAGAGAGCATCTCGCCGTTGCCTGCGGAGGACATAAGAATTGATGAATGAATGCACTCCTTGGGAAGTATGTCTGGGATCTGGACGGTTCGTTCAGTTTAGGAGTTGATTACCTAGACCGGTCGCCAGTGGGCGTAGGTAGGCCATGCTTTTATACCATAGGCTCCAGTACATGTCACCATGACCAGACGGAGTCCAACCCGCCATTTCCCCATGTCTCCATCTTCATGCCGTGACCCGTTGGCCAGCGAGGCACCGGGCTGCTTGGCCGCATAATGTCTGTCGCCGGCCGCAGCAACGCACCGGCGGCTGGCGCTACCGAGTCTGTTGACCGGCATCCGCCTAGTGCTAGATGACTATCTAGGAAACCCTAGTCGTTTCACATCCCGGATTCCTCGGTCGGGGACAGGGGAGGATCAACCACGGGGAAGCGGTTACCACTGATCCATGCTGTTCCATGAGGACAACGTGCAGGACAGGGTGATAAGGAAATCGTCAGCTGTTATGCTGCATAAGTAACATATACTATTCACGGCAACCTGTGTTTAGATCATCACAACTATGTGTATAAGTCGGGTTAGGACTCCCGAGTCAGCGCAAAGGCAACGCAAACGGTGGCGCCGGCGCCGGCTCCGTCTCTGTCTGCATGCGCAATGACCATTCAGGCAGGCGTGCCAGGGGTTCGTCTCACCGGCTGCTGCGTGGTTCCGCTGCCACGAATAAGTGCTGAAAGGCGAACCCGGGAACATTCCGACTGTATGAGAACCTGGAGGAACCGGCGAAGTAACGTGGCCTTCTTCCGTACTCGGCGCATGCAAGAAGCCACACCGCCCCCGCCTTCGACCGCTGTGCGCTGGAACGGGTGGCTGCACCATGGAACCGTCCTCGGGGCTCTCCTGCGTCCTACCTCGGCCTACTAGTAACCCCATACTTGGCGTTTTACATTTGGCATTCTCGGTGCACTAATGAACCGGTCGATTTGTGACACGGCCGAGGGAGGAGGCTGCGAGAGAAGATGAGGACGGTCTATGCACCTCTGATAATAACGGATGGAAGTTGCGTTCCATCCCCGGGTTCTGATAAGCTGCGAAGTTGTGAACTTACTAGTAGTACATCCCTAACTCCGTGTAAATGCCGAATCAGACAGGCGCTGCGACTCGGCTTGATGCAAGGGTTTGTGGGACCCAGAAAGGCCGGTCACCACGAACCAATTTCAACGTAGGCAGCAAGCTTCCGGAGCAGCTGTGCAATAATGCCAAAGGGTTATCATGTTCATGAGTGTCAGGTGAGAGAAGGTTATGTACCGGGTATGCAGGCATCTGTGTTGCATTCTTGGGTGCACTCCAATTAGACAGACAGATGACAGAAAGAGTCCTTCTCCGCTATGACCCGGAGCATGACTGTATTTTCACCCTTTCTCTTTGTCCTGTTCGCAATCGACCTTCAACGGGGCCGGAAGAAGCCTTGCGGGAATGGCTAGAACGAATCAGGAGACCTCGATTTGATGCTAAACGGGGGGTCTTCCCCTTCTAAGTTCATACAGAATCTGCCACAAGGTTATGGCAGCCTATGTAATTCCCGAGCGGGATCCTGACCATGTCTCTGATGGCCCTGATCAACTATCCACCATCTGCAAGCAACTATCGTACGGGGCTATTATTGTACAGAGCAATTAGCTTATCGGCTCCGCAGGATCTGTGACACCATCACTTACCTGGAACAGCCTTTGTTTATAGTTTTAGTCCTTCTTTTCTGTCATTTCGGCTTTGTTTTGGGACGGGCTGGTAGCGTTGTTGGCCGGCCGCTGGAGGGAACGAACAAGTTGACTCGAAAGGCATCCTCAATCTTGCGCTCAGCCGCCAATCTATATGCGAGGATTGACTGTTGGACGTCCGTCGTGTGTTCTTCCCTTCGTCGCCTTTCTCTCTGCGCGGCCTCGACGAAGGACATGGTCCAGCTTCTGTCCGCATAGCTAGTTTGGGAGTCCATAAGGCTGGGTGTGGCTTGAATGACCTTCCCTGTCATGTTGTTAGTGCACCAGGAACACAAGGGAATAATCAGACTACAAAAGAGGCGGGCTGTATCGTACAGTGAAGTGTCAGGTCTGGGGGTCGTTTTAAAAGACAACTTGTTCTCCGATGCCTGAGCTTGCGAATGCGTAGCTGGGAGCGAGGAACATGGCCGAGAGATGCTCAGGGAAGCAGCCAAGCAGCATACCCTACTTAAGGGTTACGCAACACCAGGCCTAGGCCGTCATGGAGCATCATCACCTAGAATGCGGGATAGCTAGGGGTAACCGAGCTTATGATTCGAACAAGGTTCTTGACTTGGGCTCAACCCCAAGGAACGTTGACACCCATTTCATGCTCTCTATCATCTACATGTACCCTTGTCGGCCACGCGATGACAAGGATCCATGCTAAGGCTGCACCTTCAAGACCGCAGATCGAGACTGGACGCGTGGTGCCAAGGGAAGCATCTTCTGTCCTAAAAAAGTAGATTATCAACTCATCGTCATGACTTAAGTGGGCGGACAGTTCCATTGCGTCATGGTAGCGCGTCGGACGGCGCAGAATCTGACAAGCAGCTGGGGTAGGCCGACAATGGCGCTTGATGGGGACCGTTGAGCGGCAACCGGGGATGGTGCCAAGCCGCAATTTAACGTTGAATCGACCGGCATTCAGATCCTTCGCCACGTGGAAATTGAGATCGAGCAGGGATCCGACCGGGATCTTGGTTTGATTCCGAGGGTTCGAGGAGCATGGGAGCGGGTTGAGGAAGAGGGTCATCAGTCCAGTCCCAGTAAGCTTCAAAACGAAAAGGGCTTGACAGGGAAATTAACTGGCTGATGGAGAACCGCGCCGCAGTGATGCAGGTAGGCACTGTGTCAAAAATACCGGCGGCCACGCTTGCCATCGCCGGCAACCAGAAAGAAGTGGAAAATCCGACCTGAGTATGCGCGGTCCCTACGGTGGAGAAGGGCATTCCTTATGCTGCCTCCTCGGTCGGCCGGGTTTAGCGCCCCAAACATGCATACACAGCAGCGAATCGGGAACTAAGGCTTGTACAGGTAGTTGATTAAAGCCCGGTCCCGGTCGCCACGTGGGCATTAACAGTTTCAGGTCCCCCTTTCCATAATACTGGAACCAGCGACGTTCACCGGGGCCATCCCCTCCCGCTGCACCTAATACTAGGAGTGGGCTCGCATTGATGCCCAGAGAAGCAAGAGGCGATCTGCAGCAAGAAGCGGTGTAGTCGCCGATAAATCTTGTTCCACTAACGCTACCAGGAAAGTAAGAGACGTAGCACCTACATACAGAACCGAATGTGGAAAGAAAGGCCATGCAGATGACATGGCATGGTAATTTCGTGATTTTCGGGTGGACGATGTCTCAACAGGCTGACACAGCAAGGCTCGTGTTTCCCATTTGTCATGTTTTAACTCGGCATCCCCGGGGCATCTCCTTTATCTACATTGATCTTGAGCGAGAAGTCAATGTGACGTACGCCTTGGTGTATGGAGCTTGTAGAAAGGATATCCACATCTGGGAATATGTTAGCGGACAAGCTTCCCCATTTGTCCGAGTCTGAGAAGTGTAAGAACATACCGTTGCAAATGTAGCGCTCGGCGTTGTCCTCGGTCAACCCCCCTGACACCTCAAGCAGAAACTCTCTCTTGCCCTTCCACTTCTCCTTGAGGCTCCGCGCCGTCACCTTGACGCCATCACCAGTGAAGTTGTCGAGCATGACAACGTCGGCGCCGGCGGCAATGGCTTCATCGGCCTCCTCCTCGCTCTGCACCTCGACTTCAACCTTCACGCTAAACCCTCCTGCCGCCTTGGCAGCCTGGACGGCCTTGGTGATACTGCCGCGGCTCCACACGTGGTTATCCTTGAGCATGGTCATGGTGCTCAGATCCATACGATGCGTGTCCGCGCCGCCCACCAACATACCATACTTCTCCACCAGCCGGAAGCCCGGCGTGGTCTTGCGCGTGCCGGCCAGAATGCCCTTGTAGCCCGCGCTGCGCAGGTTGACCAGGAGCCGTCGGCTCATGCTCGCGATGCCCGAGCACCGGGCCAGGATGTTGAGCGCCACACGCTCGCCCTCCAGCAGGCCCCGCGCGGGTCCGCGCACCGTCGCCAGCGCCGTCTTGCCGCCATGGTGCGTCTCGATGTGAGAGCCCTCGCGGGAGTGCCACTCGACCGTGCATCCGCACTGAGCAAAGACCTCGTTGAAGAAGGGGATGCCGGCGAGGATGCCGGACGACTTGCCCCAGAGCGTGGCCGTACGTGGCTCGTCGCCGACCACAAAGCCGCCTACGTCGAAGGAAGGGGTGTCCTCGGCGAGCCAGGCGGTGATCTGCGTCTTCCAGGAGGCCGGGAGGAGGTGCTCGAGCGAGCCGTGGTCGAGAGGGAGCTCAATCATGATGCGACAGTTTGCAGTGAATAAATCGTAGCGCAGGGGAGGGGGGATATGAGGTATCGTTCAGTTAGTTGTGAGTCAACCGCTTCAACAAGCGGCGACAGTGTGCCGGGTTTGGTACCGTGGCAGCTGTGAAGGGATGTGTCTTTCTGAGGGCCTCAAAGCCAACAACTGTAAGCTGTGGACAGGTGAGAATTATTGGGGAATGATGGTGTGAGAGAGCAGTTAGTAGCAGCTGAGGGTATGACAGCGTTTCAGTTGTTGTTATGAGCGGAGCCCTCGAAGTGGAGGAGGAGGGGCATCTTGCATCTTGCAGTGCCGCTTCCCCAATCCCCAACCACTGCATGCAGCCCGACCCAAGTCGGGATCCACATTCGTGGTTCTCCAAGCTCATAATGAATGTCTGTCAATCCACCGCCTACTAGTACATACACACAGATGCTAATAACAAACTGCGGTTGGGACTTTTGAGACAGACAACAGTGTGGCACAGTTTGAGGCGGAAACGGGGGCCTGGCAACGCATGGCTGATGACAAATGACCGGACATCAGGGGCTGGATGACTAATCTCGAAGCTTTGTTTGGGCGAGTCAGGACAAGACAAGCATCCTTTATTTATTTACTTGCTAACGGTCCTCCAGCACCTCCGTAACTTTAAGCATCGACTGGCATATCTCAAGCTACTTGCATCACGACTGACATGGCACCGACGAAGCCGACCAAAAACACAAACCGGAAGGCTGCCTCCACTACTAAGAGGCGGCGCGAGAATGACGCGTCTGCGCCTGATCGCCGAGGGAAACGTCAAAAGATCGCGCCAGCAACTGAACCTCTCATCCAGGACCAGGCTGCAAGGCCACGGCCAGCGAGGCAACCCCCTGCCAGCGCATTACCCGTCCCGAACAGGAGACCGACAGAGCCCCTGAACATCTACGTTCTTGGGGCCAACAGTGGTGGCGAGCTCGGCCTGGGGCCCTCGGTCAGGTCCGGAAACGTCGGGCGACCGCGCCTGAACCCGTACCTGTCTGGTTCTGCGGGCGTTGTCCAGGTCTCCCTTGGCGCGATGCACGGTGTTGCCCTCACGCTGGACAACCGGATACTGACGTGGGGAGTCAACGATCATGGCGCGCTGGGCCGTGACACGTCCTGGGAGGGGAATCTGGTGGACGCGGGTGGCGACGAAAGCGATAGCGACGAAGACGGCGAGCTCAACCCAAAGGAATGCACGCCATCACCGGTCGATACGAGTGCTATCCCCCCGGACACCATCTTCACACAAGTGGCCGCCACCGATAATGCCACCTTTGCCTTGACCAGCACCGGTCGTGTGTATGGATGGGGTACTTTCCGGGTAAGCCTCCCCCCTCCCCTCCCTCCATTGTAATCCGGTGTTCAACACGCTAAGCTCTCAGCAGTCAGAGGACGGGAAGTTGTCCTTCACACGAACCGTCAAAGTGCAGTCCAGACCTGCTCTCATCCTTTTTGTCAAGGATGTTGTTAAGCTCTGCTGTGGAAGCAACCATGTCCTGGCCCTCACAACTGATGGCTTCGTGTACACCTGGGGCAGGGGCACCGACGGCCAGCTTGGCCGCCGATTCTCCTCGAGGGTTGTGGACTGGAATAAGGAAGGCCTCATTCCACGCAGGGTTGCACACTTGAAGAGCATCGTCGAGATTGGATCCGGCTCCAATCACTCCTTTGCGATTGAGCGCTCGGGCTTAGTGTATGGCTGGGGGTTTAACAACGCTGGCCAGATCGGAGTCGTCGACAACAGCGGCGAATACGAATCAGCGTATGATTTCGCTCTTACGGTTGCTGTCCCGAGCCTTGTCAAAAGCTTGGTAGGCCTCCCGCGGATCACGCAAATCACCGGCGGCAACTTTCACAGCATGGCAATCACCGAGGACGGAAGGTGCCTGACCTGGGGACGTCTCTATTCGTTTGCTACCGGTCTCAAGATCGACACCCTGCCTCTTGATCTTGTCGTTCGCGACTCGAGAGACAAGCCCAGCTTTCTCAGGGTGCCGACTGCTGTCCCGGGATTGTCCCCGACGCTTGTGGCAGCAGCAAGTGAGCACAGTCTTGCAGTCAACACGGACCACAAGGTCTATTCTTGGGGTCTCAACCTTACCAAACAGATTGGCCACAAGGAAGAGGAGGTTGAGGTCGCCACACCGCTCAGTCATCCCTCGATTGTGGACAAGCGGTTTGTGTGGGTTGGCGCTGGGGCGCAATACAGCATGATTGGCGAGCTTGCTGCCCCAAACTAAGATTTTCTTTGACGAGATTTTTGCAGCTGGGAGCCCTTGAGAGACAAACCTGAAGCGGAATGCAATCATCCAACCCTTCCGAGAAGGAATGAGCCAAAATTGGAAGAACGTTCAAACAAGATGCTGAATATACGTCGAAGGGACGACACAAAGGAAACACGGAGAAGTGGGGAGAAGAAAATGAAAGACGAAGAACAAGCAAGAATAGAAAAGAAAAAAGAAGAAAGAAAAAAAACAAAAAAACAAAAGACTGAGACCAACCTGCTAAACCGAGAGACATATGACATGGGTTGAACGAATAGGGTTCAGGGTCAGGCGCACGGGAGAAAGAGAACCACCGCAGTTCGAACAAGGACAACCCCCGAGAAGCCGATAGGCTGGCTAATAAGGTACCTGACTCCCGGGATCCCAGGCTAACTGGTCCTAGGGATGAAGCACAAACCACCCGACGAGCATGGCTTTGATCAGCCCTCCCGGGCCCTGCGGGGGCCTGCTGTGAACAGTCAAAACTGCATCTGGTAAGAAAGCTGTGCTGTCCGGGTTTTGCTCTGATTATTGTATGCAGGTAATTAGGTAATTGTCTTCACCGCGATCCCCCGAGCGGCTTCGGCTGAACCGAGTAGCAACTAACCTAGGTACCCTTTGGCAAACTTAGCTTCTCCCCGTCGCCCGACTCTGCGCTGGGACTCAGCCCCTGCAAGGGATGAGCGAATGTATTGCACACATCAGCCTTCAGTTACCGTAGCACATGTATTGTACGATACGTGGTAGGTTGTCGCATCCCCCGTGTGGGACAGTGATTGCAGGTCAGCATCATAATTAGGTAGCAGGTCTCCTCAGACCACATGCAGAACAATATTACCTTGCGGGATTCTGAGTCTATCCGCCCTGCTGGTCTATTGTATCATTTCCATCTGCCGTTTCGAGAGTGAGGTAACCCAACGATCAGAAGAGACCATGAAGGAGCCAGCAAAAACAGACAACCCGGAAGCAACAAAATGTCTACCGTTATCTCGCCTTGAAATTCTCGGCAGCCCAGAAAGAGTCTCCTCGGAGAAGCTATATACAAAAAAGAGACCTGGCAACAAGCGACGAAAGCCTTAAATCGTCACATAGCCGAAACCCGTTTTTAGATGGAAGACCCCCGCCAACTCCTCCAGATACAGAGATCCATTTGAACAGAACAGAGAGATGTAACAGCCCGCTAACGAGCACCCCGTAAATTCCTAAATCCCCACAACCAGAAGGAACGAAATGAATATGTATGGTAAATGTACTTTTATGGAAGTAAAGGGCCATTTTTACATGACGGGGATGCCCTCATACTCCGCATAACCCAAAGCAAGGTTCATGTTCTCTGTTTTGGTCCCAGCATCAGCATCTACGAACCACGAGATAAGTGAAAAGAAAAGGAGAAAGACTTACGCAAACATTGAGTAGCAGCGCCCTTAAGCAGGTTATCGATTGTGGCGCACACCACGACCCTCTTCCCCGACTTGTCCACCTCGAACCCACCGATCTCGACGCCGTGCTTGCCGCTAATGTTCTTCACCAGCGGCGCCTCGCCCACAACCTTGACCAGTTTCTCGCCGGCGTACCGGTCCTGGTAGATCTGGCGGATATCGCGCGAGGTCATGGTCTTGTTCAGCGGAATCGAGATGGTGTGGTGGATGCCGCGGAACCACACGGCGACGTGCGGGATGAAGGCCACTTGGGCGCCGAGCTGAGAGCTGACCTCGCGCTCGTGAATATGGCCCGTCAAGCTGTACGGCATGATGTTGTCCGTGAGCAGGCTGACGTCGTTTTTGGGAGACGGCTTGGTACCGGCGCCCGAGTAGCCCGAGATGCCAAACACGTGCGGCATGCCACCGAGGTGCGGGACCAGCGGCGCGATGCCGAGCTGTGCCGCCGTGGCGTAGCAGCCGGGGTTGGCGATCTGCGTGGCCTGAGTGATGGTCGCCCGGGGAACGAGCTCGGGGAGGCCGTAAGTCCAGGTGTTGTCGAAACGGTAATCGGCCGAAAGGTCGACAATGACGCTCTTGTGGTCCGAGTCCTTTCGGCCCTCGTAGACAGCCTCGACGAATGGCTTGCACACGCCGTTGGGCAAAGCCATGACCCAGCAGTCAATGTCACCACGCTTCTCCATGTCCCGAACGTCCTCGGGACTGAGGTTCTCATAGATGACTTCACGCTTGTTATAGCCCTCGAGCTTCTGCCCAGCAAGCTCACGAGAAGAAACATGGCGAAGGTCCATGTTCGGGTGAGAGTCCAGCAGACGGATCAGCTCCTGGCCGGTGTAACCACGAGCGCCGATGAGGGCCACCCTGGCGGGCTGGGATTTCGATGCGTTCTTCTTGCCAATTGGCGGGTTCGGGTTGGTCTGCGTGACGTACGTCCTGCCGCTGGTGCGCCCAAAGACGGGCGCTGAGAGAACGGGGCGGCGAGCAAGGGTGGAGTAGCCTCGGGCCTGTTGGGCTACAGGCTTGGAGCCGCTCTTCGCGGCCCGCTGCAGCCGGGATTCGAGGTTGGAATCGCCGAGCATGGCCCGGCCATTCTGCGTGAAGTCCTTCATCAACTGAACGATCTCGTCGCCATTTTCAATCCCATACCAGAACATGACATCGCCGTTCCGGGTGATGCTGCCGTCAGCCTTGTCGAAGAACCACCCGAGGTTCTCGTCATCCTCCTTGACGGTCCAAACAAGCTGAGGATGCTCCTTGCGGAGGGCCGTGAAGATGTTGTCAGCGACGTTGGTCAGCCACCCAGACTTGGTGATGGTCAGGGTGGCAAGAGTAGCCTGGCGTCCGTTACTGGCAGGTAGCACAATGGCAAGGGCATTCATCGCCCCATCATAGTACGCCTTGAAGTTGTTCTCGCCCAGGAACTCAAGGTACTTGTCTACTGTGGCCATAGCATCGGGACCGTCGCGATCCCGGATCAGGACCGCCTTCAGAGTGTCAAGATCCTTGAACTCGGACAGATTAGTGGCCGAGAGCAGCTTGCTGCCACGGCGGATGAGCGTACCGGCTCCGGAGTCGGTGAACAGCTCCTTTTGGAGCTCTCCTGGATGGATGATGGCGACGCTGGTTGCGCGCGGCAAGGTGTCCAGCAGCTCCTTGATCTCCTTGATCTTCAACCTAGTGCCGTACTTGACCCATGATTGCGACATGAGGTGCTCGTACTCCTCGTCCAAGTTGATAGCCGAGATTCTCTGGCCCGCAGCATCGAACAGACCACCTTTCTCCGACAAGTAAACCACCTTCAGGGGTTCCAGCGCGCGGGCCAGCTCGGCGGCAGCGACATCGGCGTTGACATTGAGAATCTGGCCGTCGTCGGTCTCGGCCATGGAGGTGAGGATGGGAAGATAGCCGTTGTTGATGGCGGTCTCAATGGACTGCTTGTTGACGCCGGTGATCTTGCCGACGTAGCCCCACTTGTCCTTGTTGAGATACTCTGCCCTGAACATCCCCGTCGTCAGGGGCTGAGCGTGCACGCCCTTCTCCTCCAACTTGTTGACCAGGTTCAGGTTCTCCTGCAGAAATAGGTCGCGAGCCACGCGCAGTGTCTTGGCGTCCGTCACCCGGATACCTTCTTCGAACTGCGGCTCGATACCGGCCTGTTCAAGCAGGCTGTTGAGCTGGGGGCCGGCGCCGTGGACGATTACGGGGTAGAGGCCGACGGTGTAGAGGAAGGCCAAGCTGGAGCACAGCTCGTCCAAGTAGTCGGTCAGAATGGCGCCGCCGACTTTGATGACGGCGAAGCGCTGCGACGAGACGGATGTGAAGAGCGAGAGGTACTGTTGGACTTCGCGCTTAGACCCCACCGAGGACAGAGTCTGCACAATCATCCCCCGGGTGCTCAGATCGGTGGTTCGAGCTGCAGACGAGGAGAACGATCTCGCGCGGCGAAGGGCAGCGGGGGCGGCGGCCGCACGAGACCGCATGGGCAGCCGGCGGACGCTGCGGCGGGCGCCTGCCCGGAGGGCGACAGCACAGGCGGAAAGCATCTTGAGAGCCGGGAGTCGCTTTCTCGACCGGAGGAGGGTCCTGGTTGCGCGGAGAGAGCGTAAAAGAACGTTGCACGACCGGAGCTCGAAAGAAGGGAAGCCAGAAGCCCCGGGTGCTTTTAACAGCGATAGAAGTGTAGCAGAGCGGGTGCTGCTTGGGCAACTACCTGAAGCTGCTGTTTGACCGCAACTGCACCACGAATGAGTCAATTGCCGAGGGACGACCTACCATTGACTGCGGGAAAGCAGGCTCGCGGAGAGTCAATGGCACGATGGTCGGGTCGGAGGCAAGCCGGAGTTGGTCAACAACAAGCAATCCACGGCTGGTTGTGGAGGGGCACCGGGGCAGCCAGGGGCAAGAAAAAAAATCCCTAGCCCCGAAGCCGGTTCTGCGCTGAGGGGAAACCACGATCCACCTGTCAATGCGACTTCGGCAACCTCGAAAGCTGGCTCGGCTGGAATTTGGAAGCCGCTGAACATGGCCGCAAGATGCGTCAAAAGCATGGCTTTCTGGTTCCATTGCAGTCCATGAGAATAGCTCACACTAATTTTTTCTACCAACTGCATCTTACTTAAGGCTGTTCAACGCCCACCGTACACAGCATATTTCCTCAATGGGATCCTGGCGGGGGGCGGCCTTTCGCATCCCCAATGCCAAGACAGCTGGAGACCTGCCATGCATGCGCGGATCACTGTGCCATAATGCAGGTCGAGGGATGTCCGGTACGTCGGTGGGCACACAAGCTGCTTTCCAATGTTCCAATAGACTCGGAAAAACGACACAAGCACGCATACTACGTAGTAGTGACAATTCCAATTCAAGGTTTGAGAGTCATGAGTTGGCGTCAGGAAGCTGCCGTCGTCTTCTGACTCCCAGTCTCCAGATGTTACTCGCTTCGCGTGGCCGGCCCTCTCATGCTTGCAGCACTGCACTGGATCATGACATTGTCGTCCGTTGAAGACCCGCGGTGCGCTGTTCTCTACTTCTCAAGTGATGTAGACTCGTCATGACTGCCATGTATTAGTCGCATGGGAATCCGCTCCCTCGCAATTCATCATAAGTACAGGTACAGCCGGGAGAGGTCGTTCGCTCCCCGACTGAATCACACGCAACGCCGGGCGGCCTGCTGCCGGACTTGCAAACCAGTGCAGAAGACCGCGAAGAAAATCAAAGACTCCCAGAAATCAAAATCCCAGATGAGCACAAACCCCATTCCCGGCGGATCATCATCGATGCGGAACCCGTTCTGTCTGCTCATACCCGCTTCTTCATGATCATAAATAGGTATGCTGGATTACTTTCTCGTAGCAAGCACTGTAAAACGGTCAGCACATTGTTGTTCTCCGCATAAGCGAGTCCAGAGACACACATACCTGATGGGATGATGATGATAGCGAGGAGGACGATAATGCCAATAATCAGCCAAATACGCATTTTCATATCCTGAGAACTGTCAGATATCAACCGCAAAGTGTATGCAACGCGCAACCTCACCTTCCACCACATCTTCTTCCGAACCTGGTTGGCGCCGCGACGGAAGCTCTGTGCAGACTGCGCCAGGTTGTCCGTCTTGTCTTGCAGATGATCCAGACGAGCGCCACGGTCCGCAACTTTGTTGAGGTTTTCACGCATGACGCCAACGGTGTCGTCGATTTGCTGAAAGGCAGTTAGCAACCATTTCCTCGGAGAGTCAAACGTAGCAATTCCAAAGGAATCGAGGTGCAAGCGAGACCTGGGTTGGACCCTGTATCGAGGCCAAACTACTCTCGCATAGCTGTCAAATCCTCTATTCCCTAGGCCGCCTCCGTTCCGCGACAGACGGCCGAAGTGTTGGCATGAGGTCGACAACGCTGTCCGGCGCTTATCTTAGGTTTGCGTGAGCGGTGATATGGAAATTTATCCGGATAACTGCTAGGTAGTGGAAGCGATGACGTTTTCGTTAGTCGTTGGTCGCTAGTCGCCGGCCGCTTGCCGCTTGCCGTTGGCGTTGTAATCGCTGCGGATGCTCGACCGAACCGCGTCACATGCTGCGCCCTCGATTGAGATTTTTCTGTTGCGAAAAGAAAGCAACCCACCTCCTGGATTTTCCTTGTCCTATCATTTTGGCCTCCCTGAGCCCCCTGCCCGCTGGGAATGTAGGGGTCGTACGGCCGGTCATACGGCTCAGACATGTTGGGCAATCGGTCGCGGTGCGGTCGGTGTTGCGAGCGGGAAAGATTCTGACAAACACGAAGCGATCGCGAGCTGTGTGATTTCGCGGGATATTAGGAGCGCTGATGCAGAGCGATGGAAATCGTACTCGGAGGTGCGATGGAGGATGGCGGATCAGAGCGAGGTCGTTGGGTGAAAGAAGCGGGTTGCGCAAGGTGGTTGAGAGCCTGTTTTGTGCAGGCGACACGCCAGCCAGACAACCAAGGGGCACCAGGGAATGCCGGCTGTGTCAGGCCGGGCTAAAGGGACTGTGGAGCTGCCATTTGGCCTCTAACATGTTTGCACGTAAAACTTGGGCTGCAACTGTTAGCGTTGTAACAGTCCTTCATCAGCCACCGCACTTCATTCAGCTCAAACAATGAAGTGATCCACCTGCCAAGACCGCGAGATCAACCCAAACTGCAGGTCTGCATGTGCTTTGATCTTGTTGGAGAGATTGGAAGCTCGTATCATATTCCTTGCCCCGATCTTCTGCTGTCATTGCTGCTTCAGGCTGTGTTCTTGTAGCTGGACTCAAGGTGCTCAAGTGGTCATGCCAGAATTGCTGCATGGGTGTCGTAAGCATATAGGGTCCCAGCCACGACAGATCCCAGGCCAGCCTCGGCGGTGAACCAATCGCAAAGGAAGCTGTATCCTGCTCTTTCGAGTGAGCAAGCAGAAGCTCTGGGCGAGAACGCTCTACACGTCCAAGAGCGCAGAAGATGCTGGGGTTGTCGCAACTCTGTTTCATCGTCCTCCAATGTTTGGATCCGCAGCTTCAAGTCATCAGCTGCACACAGATCGGATCTCCCGCATTTTGCCGCTCAGTGACACTGTGTACGCACATAGCAATGATGCAGCCGATGTGGTAATTTTCAGCGTATTCCAGGTGGTATCATCTGCACCGGTGACCTCAACGTTCCACCCTAACCCTTGCATCTTGGCATTAGCTCGATGACGGACCCGGACCATTTTTCCGAGTCGAGAATCGCCGCTCTTAGCCGACAACTTTATCACCCGCTCGCCGGCCGACTCTCCCGGGCATTCAGCCGTCCTACAGCACAATGGCGTCCGCTATACCCATCCAGAGGATACAGGTACCGCTTCGGCGCTCGCTAGCCTTCGCGGCAGGGCTCTCATTCCGGTCCTATGCCACTGTTCCCTCAGCGTCCGATTCGCCACAGCAACAGCAGGACGCCGGAAGCGCCTCAGGCCCAGATACAACCAAGCCACGCCCGACGTACTTCAAGGACACCACCGTCGCCCCGTTCTCGGATTTCCTCCCCTCCTCCGGCCCCCTTCCCCTGAGCGAAGCGTACGCGCCGCGCACGGCAACCGTCGGCCCGGAAGGGCGCAAGCGCACCATCACCCGACTGCCCGACTGGCTCAAGACGCCGATCCCATCGGCCGGGTCCAACCCAAACTTCGCCAAGATCAAGGCCGACCTCCGCGGCCTGGGCCTGCACACGGTATGCGAAGAGGCGCGGTGTCCCAACATCGGCGAGTGCTGGGGCGGCAACAACAAGGCAGCTGCTACCGCGACCATCATGCTCATGGGCGACACATGCACACGAGGGTGCCGGTTCTGCAGCGTCAAGACGAGCAGGGCGCCGCCCCCTCTAGACCCGCACGAGCCGGAGAACACGGCGGAGGCGCTGGCGCGCTGGGGCCTGGGTTATGTCGTCCTGACCAGCGTGGACCGGGATGATTTGGCTGATGGCGGGGCGCGGCACTTCGCCGAGACCATCCGGCGGATCAAGGCGAAGAAGCCTACCATGCTTGTGGAGGCGCTGACGGGGGATTTTGGCGGGGATCTCGAGATGGTGAAGATTGTCGCCGAGAGTGGGTTGGATGTCTATGCGCATAATGTCGAGACGGTGGAGGGCCTGACGCCATATGTGCGAGATCGGAGGGCCACGTTCCGGCAAAGCCTGAAGGTGCTGGAGCATGTGAAGACGGTCAGGGGGAAGGAGGGCATCATTACCAAGACCAGTATCATGCTGGGGTTAGGAGAGACGGAAGATGAGATCTGGGAGACGCTCAAGGGTAAGATTCTCCACCATGTGTCTCATTTCCAGCCTGTCGATGTCTTGAAGACACTACCTAACATTGTTATCTCCAGAACTGAGAAAGGTTGAGGTCGACGTCGTGACCTTCGGCCAGTACATGCGGCCGACCAAGCGGCATCTCAAGGTCGAGCGGTACGTCACGCCAGAGGAGTTTGAACTCTGGAGACAGCGCGCCCTGGACATGGGATTCCTGTACTGCGCCAGCGGCCCACTGGTCCGGTCGTCTTACAAGGCCGGCGAGGCGTTCATCGAGAACGTGCTGAGGAAGCGGGCCGGCGAAAAGGCTATGGCGGCGGAGGCATTGGGCCGAGCCGTGGCAGCGGGAGAGACGAGCGACAAGACTCTGTAGGCAATTCTGACGGAACGGGACTTAGAACTTCAACAATATGGGATGGCGTTTCACACACCATTCACGGTGTAAAAGGGGTGCGCGAGGATCACATAGGAATAGGCGTCTCAGGAAAGGGAATCATCACATGCGGTTTGGTATTTTTACATGGTTATACATAATAGACATGGGGATATGACCATAATCCCTTTCCACCCTCGGCTTCGCGTTGCTTGGAGCGGAACAAGCCTTTTTCCCTGGCGACTCTCTCCTCCTGGGGTGATTCGCGCAGGTTGACCCATGTCATGACCCCCCAAGCTAAACCATCGTATCCAAGTCAGCCATGTCCGAGAGTCTTCTCTACCAGCTAGCCTTCTTCACGCCGGGCAAGTTGCCAGCTAGCGCTTGCAGCCGGAAGTTGTACTGTGTCACAGTTGTCAGCCTACTAACATATCCCCAACTCATCAGGCAGAACTGCCGTACTCTTGACATCTTGAAATCGCCGAGTATACCCCTGCCCTTCCCGCCGAGGATACACCGGTTTCGGATCTGGGTCGGGCGCGTGTAGCAGTGCATCTGAGTTAATTGCAGCTGAGCGATGGCGCGTGTCCGGGCGGGCAGCGTGGTGTTGCGGATAATGTAGCGCAGGGCTTGTCTGCAGGCTGCCTGTCAGCAACACTTGAGTCCTGAGTCGGGGGGTGCTATGTTAAAGGAATCGCCACCTCTCTGGCTCAGCGGCTGCAAATGCCTTGCGCTTCGAGTGGTCGCGGATGATTTTGATGTTGGTGAAGCACCCAAGGTCGAGCTTTTTTGCCCTGAACATGGACATCTTGGCGCTAGTCTACCCAAACCACGGCTTGAGATCTTCCTCGTCTACTCAGGAGCTGAAGGAGGGCCCGGGATGTCGTCGGCTGCGCTTATCGCGATGCGATGTGGGCTGGTATGGGTTATTGTTCCTCGTTCTTGTCTGTTTTGCCGGGCGGTGTCTCTCTAGCTTACCGTATCGGGTTAGTTTGGATGCTACTGTGCACAGACCACGAGCTTATTAACGTTATACGGTAAGTCCAGCGGCCACGCCGCCGCCACAGTGCGTGCCCGTGTTGAGGTTGATGGGTTGAAGACAATGGACTCACTGACTCCCGTCAGTAGGTACTGCTTACGATGGTGTATTCCTAATATGAAGTCTAAACTCATAAGCTGGTAACTTTCCCATGCCATGTCTAGCTTCGTTCGATAGGATCTGCTGTGAAAGCACTACGATTCCCTGAACAACCTATGCACAAGGCAGGAAGAAGTCGCCGCAGCCGTAGCATCATAGCATGGTGCCCTCGCTCGGCTTCACGAGACCGCGTGTACATCAGGTCACCCTGTGCGACGGTAGTGGTCCGCCCCCAGGGTGCCTTGGGCAAAAAAGCAAACTGCAGTGTGTAACACTCCTTCCCCTCATTATGCAGCGGCCCAGCTCAGCCTCACCACTGAGTTGTCAGCCATGGCTCATGAGGCCGGGTGAGCTCTGCTCAGAGCTTGCGTCTTTGCCGCAACTCCTCTTCCTCAGAAGGATCCGTTCTGTTAAGACGAAGACTGGACACTTGAGCATTATTGAATTGAAATGGCAAACCAGGTCGCAGTCAACGACAAGGGCCTTACGGTGCTGTATGAAGCTCCGCATCCGGTGGTCGAGTAAGGCCCTCCCCATTTCTTCCAGCTCGTACCACAGCTGAACGATTCCAGCCTCGTGTTTGTGCACGGATTTACCGGGCATGCCAAGGAAACTTGGACACTGAAAGCTGGCAAAGTAAAGAAGCGTCGTCAGGAAGATGAGCTTACGGAACAGGCTCGATGCGCCAAGGTCCCGAGGCTACAGTTCTTCAGCCGAAGCCCGCAGAGTATCGAGACGCCCACGACGACGGCGACGCACGACACAGAGAACGGAGACGAGGCAGCACCCCAAAGAAAACAGGCGAAAGATGTCTACTGGCCGGCAGACCTTGCCTGCCAGACGATCCCAGACTCGAGAATCATCACGTATGGCTACGACACTAAGATTCGACACTTCCTTGCGGGGCCGGTGAGCGAAAACAGCGTCTACGACCATGCTTGGGACTTGCTCTGCTGTCTTCATGCTGTACGAAGCACCTCCAAAGAGAGAGAGCGGCCCATCATTTTCGTTGCCCACAGTCTCGGTGGCCTTGTCGTCAAATGGGCTTTGGTACGATCTCGAGAATGTCAATCATCAAATGCCCATCGTCATCTGTACAGCGTTTCTGAAAAAAACGGTCGGCATCATGTTCTTCGGCACACCACACAGGGGGGCAGATCCTAGGAACATCCTCCACCATGTCCTTCAGACTTCAGCTAAAGCCCTCGGCGCTCAGGTCAATGAACAAATTGTCCGCGCGCTCATGCCGGATGCTGAACTCCTGCCGAAGTTGAGGGACGAGTTTACTATCTTGTGTAATGAGAAATCGTGGCCGATATTCTCGTTCCAGGAGGAATACGGTGTCTGGTCTCTGTTCGGAAAGAAGGTTGTCGACGATCAGAGTTCTTGTTTGGATAATCCCGCTCTTGAAATCCGACAGCACATCTCGCGCAATCACATGGATATGTGCCGCTTTTCCGGCCTCCAGGATCCGGAGTACAGGAAAGTGGAAGCCGCGCTGAAGCGTATTCTCGGGACGATCGAAGCCCGAAAGCGTTGCGAAAAACGGAGTCCGATGGAGAGCAGCATCTCAGGTGATCTCAGAACTTCCCTGGTAGAACGACTCTACTTCTCCAAAATTGACGAGCGACTAACACACCTGACCCCTGCTCAGGGGTTCACGTGCCGCTGGTTCCTGGATACGCCGCAATACACATCGTGGCGTGACATAACCCAGCAGGCAGACCATGGCGGCTTCCTCTGGATCAAAGGCAATCCCGGGACGGGGAAGTCGACGTTGATGAAGTTCCTCTTCGAGCACGCAAGGGAAGAAACGGGGGCCGAGCCCTCTCAAATCACTTTGTCGTTCTTCTTCCTCGCACGAGGCACTGCCGAAGAGAAATCGACGGCTGGCCTCTACCGCTCTGTTCTTCACCAGCTCTTTGAAAAGGCGGGAGATCTACGAGACAGCTTGGAGTGTCTAACGCTTGACGGTGCACGGGGTATTCAGCTTAATGGATGGCACGAGGAGGCCTTGAAGAAGACGTTTTGCCGTGCCGTTCAAGGCCTTGGCAGTCGATCGCTGACAATCTTTGTCGATGCCCTCGATGAGTGCGAAGACAGCCAGGCAAGGAACATGGTCTTCTTTTTCGAAGAGCTTTGCGACATGGCCCAGCAGAAACAGGTCCGGCTACGTATGTGCAATTTCTCGCTTCGCTATCTTAAAGCCAACCACTGGCCCCAACCCGAATCTATTGTCATCCTAGTCCCCTCCCTCATCGCTGACAACGCTACTTTCCTAGGTATCTGCTTCTCGAGCCGGCACTACCCACACATCGAAATAGAGAAGGGTATCGAGCTGACATTGGAAGACGAACAAGGACACAAAGAGGATATTGAAAAATATATCAAGACGAAGCTCAGGCTATCCAACAAGAAGACCAAGCTAGCGCAATCACTCCACGCCGAACTCCTCGAAAGATCCTCCCTGATTTTCCTCTGGGTCGTTCTGGTCGTCGATATTCTCAATTCCGAATCCCCCAGGAACCCAAACATCGACAAGATGCGCAAACGCCTTAGGACAATCCCACCCAAACTTGCCGACCTGTTCGAAATGATCCTCACACGAGATGAAGAAGGGCCCAAACTGATGCAGATTTGCCTTCAATGGATTCTCTTCGCAACCCGACCCCTCAAACCACAAGAACTCTACTTCGCCATCCAGTTCGGCCTCAATGAAGATTCTTGTTCTGGCCGCTGGGACCAGGAGGCCACGGGCATGGACGATTTGAAGGTGTTTGTGAGGCATTCGTCCAAAGGCTTAGCCGAAGTCACGCGCAACAAGGCCTCCGAGGTCCAGTTCATTCACGAGTCCGTCCGTGATTTCTTGATGGGCAGGTACGGGGACCACTGGTCTGGGGCCGGCACCAACTTCGTCGGCCATAGCCATGAACTTTTGAGGGACTGCTGCTTGGCCCAGCTGGTCGCTATAGTCCAGCAGAACGTTAACATGCCGCGTGATATGAGCCCTCAATCGGTTCAAATTCGGAAGGATGTTAAACTGGAATTCCCGTTTTTCGAATATTCCGTCGCCGGGGTTCTGCATCACGCCAACAGCGCCCAGCAACACGGCGTGGACCAGATGGCCTTCATCACGGAGCGTTTCGCGTCTCATTTCCGGAGTTGGCTAAAGCTCAACAACTTCCTCGAAAAGCACGGGGTTCGGCGGTACGAAGACACTGTCAGCCTTGTTTACATACTTGCAGAAAAGAATCTGGCCGAGCTTATCAAGATCTATCCCCGAGATGGATCCTGCTTCGATGTTGGGACTCACAATCGACCTCCGCGCTACGGCCCGCCTATTTTCGCCGCTCTGACAAACGATCGCCATGATGCTGCGCGGGCACTATTGGAAGCCGAAGTGCGAGTCCAGCCGCCGAACTTCCAACTCCACCGCCTTTGCCAGCAATACTTCGAGAATGAGAGGCAACTCAGAAGCTTTGACCGTACTTTTACCTTCAGCAAGCAAAAAAGTGTCTTGTCTCATCTTGCGGAGCATGGGGACGAGGTGCTCCTCTCCTTTCTGCTGAATTTGGTTCGGGTTGAGATTAACTCAACAAATGATCTTAGGTACCCGCCGCCTCTGGTATATGCCGCTAAGAAGCGGCACGCAGCGGTCATGGAGCTGCTCCTTGAGGCGGGTGCCGATGTTGACTCAGTTGATGGAACTCGGCGGACCGCTCTGTTATACGCTGCCGCTAACAGAGATGAAAGAATCGTGAAGCTGCTGCTCGACGGGGGAGCTGACCCCGAGGCGAAGGACCCGTCTGGCCGGACGCCCTTATCTCTTACCCCTGAGCTCGGGAATGAAAGTATCGCGAAGCTACTACTAGACTGGGGAGCTGACGTCGATTCGAAGAACGAGTATGGCCGGACCCCCTTATCTTTTGCCCCTGAGCTCGGGCATGAAGGTATCGCGAAGCTACTGCTGGACTGGGGAGCTGAGGTCGATTCGAAAGACTTTTTTGGCCGGACGCCACTATCTTATGCCGCTAATCGCGGGAAGGACGATATCGTGAAATTACTGCTTGACTGGGGAGCTGACCCCGAGGCGAAGGTTTCGTCTGGCCGGACGCCCTTATCTATTGCCGCTGAGTCCGGGCATGAAGGTATCGCGAAGCTACTGCTGGGCTGGGGAGCTGACGTCGATTCGAAGGACCAGTCTGGTCGGACACCATTGTCATATGCTGTGGTGCCGAGGGGTGTCACATTTCTAAGTAGTAGGGAAGAGGGGTGGAAGGCTGTCGTGAAATTGTTACTTAAGAATGGTGCCGATGCTAGGGCGGAGGACCGCGATGGTAAGACGCCGCTCTCTCGTGTCGCTGAGCGGGAAGATAAGGCGATGATGGAGTTACTTGCAGGATAGATCCCCCTCCTCAGTCTTGCCTTACACTTTTAAATTGTAGAACTCATATGTGGATAGAGCGGTACAGGAAAGTGGCTTGTGATGCTATAGTGTTGGAGTCCCTAGCTCATCCATGTGCGATGCGAATCTGTGGCAGCAGCATGGTGACCGAACCACTACAGCACCAGCCGGGGTGCGTACTTGCATGGTCAAGTCGGGAATTCTCTCTACCTAGGTGCCATATCATTTATACTACATCCAGGTGCCGGTATTGCAATTTCATAAGCCACTTTGTTACAAGCTTTGCTCCCTTGGCTGCTGATTGCTTTCTTAACGGCGATTTTGTGTTCTAGGTTGACTTCTTTGCTGCTCACGGTGCCTCCTTCCTAGCAAACCGACCACGGCCTCCCTCAACCCCCATTTCCTCTACCAGCAGTAGATCAACCGTCAACTTGGAAAGACAATCCTTCCATTCCTTTTTTGTGTTTCTCAAGCCATCGAGTGCTTTCGAGTTATCTCCAGCCTCGTATCCTTCCTCAACTCGTCAAACCACTTTTTCCTTTTCCCTCTTCACTCGTCATTAAAGTCACGTCTTGCTATTGCCAACAGCAACCGACCATGTTTCGCCGCCGCTGGTCGGGCCTCCCGGCCGATCCTGTCTTTCCTTCCGACCTGAAAGAGCTCGGGTATGTTTTCTCGCCCCAGTCGACGCCGTCAACCGGGTTGCCGTCCTAACCAGTGCCTACCCGCAGCTACTTCATCAACGACATGGACGAAATCCGCTCCGTCGAGTACTCAGACTACTACTTCAAGTACTTCCTGACCAAGAACACCCGCTGGAACGAGCGCCAGCGCTTCGCCTTCAACGGTCAGCCAGCCACATCGCCCACCTCCCTCCCACGTTTTCTCTCCTCCTCTTCGCTGTTCACCGCGCTAAGTCTAACGCTTCCGTCGCAGATGCCGTCACCAAAATCATCCGCACCCGCCTCACCACCACCGAGCACTTGACCACCGTCCCCCTGCCCCTCGGCACGCCGCCCTCCCAGCCGCACGTCCCGATCATGGTCTCGGCCAACCTCTCCGCCGCGACCCGCGTGGTCCTCCTGGTCGGCGAGCCCTGCCAGTCGCTCGGCGTGCTCGCACACCGCGTGATCGGCGGGCGGGGCGGCATCACGCGCGGCTCGGCGCTCGGCCTCATCCAGGGCCTCAAGACGCAGCAGAGCTCTGCGTCCGACCGGGCGCCGCCGGGCGTGGTGCTGGCCAATCCAGGGGAGCTGTGGTGGTGGCCCGAGGGAGGGCGCGGCCTGACGCCGATCGAGCGGCACCAGGTGCCCATGTCCAGCGCGGTGCACTACGGCCGGCGGCACGATCCCAAGGTGAACGAGGTCCCCGAAAACAGGAGCGTGGCGGAGCATGTTAGGGGGGTTTTCGAGGCTGTTGTCATGGGGGATATGCTGCGCAAGGAGGCTAAGGTGGATGTTATTGCCGTCGGGGATGCTGCGGACGTCGTAGAGGCGTATCTGAATGATGACAAGGTCTGGGAGAAGGTCAAGGGCCGGCTGGGCTGCTTGGTGGTTATGGGCGGATTTTACAACTCGGACAACTTCAAGTGTGAGGGGTTCAAGGAGTTCATGAAGGAGGTTTGTTCGGATCCGTTCCATCCATCCATCCATCCATCCATCCATCCATCAGTTTGCGTCCGACCGATATACTGACGCAACAGTTGCAGCGCGCTCGGGCCTACATCATCCATCACACGCCCCTCGACACGCCCATCTCCGGCGCCAGCGGCAACCCCGGCGCCGCCGCCTTCACCGCGTACGGATGCCCTGTCTACAGCGCGGGTGACACCAAGGTCACGGAGACGATGCTCATCGACGCTCAGCCGGCGGTGCTCAAGTGGATCCAGCGGGTGGCGCTCGAGGGAGACGCGTACAAGAACGAGGAGCTGGAGTTCTTCGGCGAGGAAGGCACCGGTATTACCACCGAAGCCTTGGACTCGCCGTGGATGGACGTTGCTGAGGAGAACGGCACGCAGCCGAATGCGAAGGAGGGGGTTACGCTGACGGACAGTGCAGCCGAGAGGGACTCTGGCGAAGCGCAGGCCCAGGAGAATGAGTCTGCAAAGACCGGAGACACCAAAGCCAGAGCCGATGTAAAGGAGGTGCAGACTGACGAGGAGGCCATGGGCGGTGGCGAGAAGGTCGAGGGTGGTGAGAGCGAGTCCAAGCCCTCTCCGACTCGCGAGGCCCATGGCCCTGGAGATCTGGCAGATCTGGCTAAGAGAACGGATGATGTCCAGATCACCGGTTAGGTCGGCGCGGGTGGCATCCTTCAGTTAAGTCCCCGGAGAAGGGGTTACTATCGATGCTTTCACATTTTCTTTTTATTTAGCAGTCTCGCGGGGTAGCTTCAGGGGGTTTTACGCACCACGCAACTAGTAATCGGCCAGATACCGTAGTTTCTCAATCTCAGGACCTAACTACCCCGTATATGTTCCCAAATATCAAGTGATATCACTTGTGTGCCCTCTCCAAGGTAGGTACACATTCCCGAATCTGCCACCGTTGTTTACTCCTCCGGGACCGGACACCGCCATGGTACGATGAATTCAGTCCACACGACACCCTGGATAGCCCCCCTTGTACTCGTACATACTAGATATGTCTCTTCCGTCAGAGCGGTAAAGATCAAGCCTGCAAGAACGAGAGTATCCCCCTCGGAGGCGGCGTCAGATCCTCAAGCAAATCCCTCGCCCGCCGCTGCCGTTCCTCAATAACCTTCTCCTCCGCCGCCCACCGATCCGTGTCCTCCGCCTTCGCCACGCCAGCGCCGCTCTCCCCCCATAGACTCCCAAACCACCTGCTCGCGCCATGCGGAGCCGACGAAGCCTCTTTCCTCGCCTTTTCCTCCCTCGCCAGCTTCGCCACCATGGTCGCCCAGTTGCCCAGCCCGGTATCGAGGCACTCGCGGCAGGTCGACCGCGCCGAGTCGGCACGCTCGTGGGCATTCTGCGGCAGTTTGTGGAGCTGTTCCTCGGCTAGGTCGACGGCCTCGCGGGTCCAGCCGAGGCCTTCCTCGCGGCTGGCGGCGGACGAGGTGTACATGATCTCGCCAACGTGCAGACTCAGGGCTGCCTCCTGGCAGAGGTCTTGCGGGTCGCGGACCGGTGGGGAGGTTCCGTCTGGCGGGGGAGGGGGGTAGGGGGGAGGGGAGAAGAGCTTCTTGATCAGGGACCAGGGAGTGTAGCTGCTGCTGCTGCTGCTGTTGGGAGGGGTGGTGTTGAGGGTGGCGGCGAGAGAAGATGTGGCGGATGCTGAGCCGGGGGAAGGAAGGCTGCGGCGGGCTCTGAGGATGGAGACTAGCATGGGAAGGGCGGCGGAGATGTTGCCTTGGCGGGCGAGGAAGGTGGCGTAGGCCGTGAGTGTGTTTAGGAGGTTCTCGGAGGGTGGGCCCGCGGCTTCATTGAGCGTCCAGGTCGTCCTGTCGAGCGGCTCGGCTGGGAGATTGGGCCGTTCGGAGGCAGCTAGGCGCACGGCATCCTCGAATACGATCATTGCCGGGCCGGCGATGCCCTTGTAGTCCAGCCAGGAAGCATAGGCCAGGCCGGCCTCAATCTTCTGCCGATTTGTGAATCCAGGGGTTGACAGGATCCGGACGTAGATGTCGTCCGGCGAATCGAAGCGCAGTTCGCAGTCTTCCTCTCTCGGCGCACCCTTGAAGCCGGGGGGTAGCGGTTTCGGGAATGGATTTGAGGGCCCGATCATGACTCCCGGAGGAAACACGATATTCCGCGACTTATCTAGCACCCAGCCGTCCATGTGCTCGGCGGCCTTAGCGTAACCCATCATAGCCTCAAAGTAGCCCCGCCTCCATTCCTCCGACTTGGCAGTGACGTCCTTTGTCCCTGGCGGACACTCGTGCGGCGCATCTTTGACATCCCTGCCGTCGATGTTGGGGTCATGCAGGCGCTTGAGTGTCGTCTCGAACCACCAGGCCACCTGCAACCAGTCGGTGACCTTACCCGGCATCGGCTCATAGCGGGCGCAGTTGCCGCCGCGGAGGTCCATGCGCGTCCTGAAGCTCCATTCGTGGGGGGTGGGATACCTGCGCTCGAGGCGCTCCTGAACGATGGCGAACCAGGCGGCGAGCAAGGAGAAGCCGGCAATCCAGATGTAGCCCGTGTATTTGATGCCCGTCTTGATCTCGTACTTTAGCTGGGCCCTGCGCTCCGTTGTCAAGTAGCGCACCCGCGTGCGCGCGGTCGGAACCGAGAGGAAGGGGATTTGCGGTCGACGACGGAGATCAGTGCGGACAGCGGTGCTTTGCGCAAACGTCCGCAGAAGCTTCCGGGCGCCGCCACGGCGGAAGAGAAAGAGGCGCGAGCGCATCGCGGCGGCGGAACGTAATAGAACAGTCGTCCAGTCTGCAGTCACTCAGTCTGAAGTGTCATAAAAAAAACAGTCCCAATGAACATGGGAGCTGATGCCGGAGCTTAACGCATTCCCGACTGTGCTTGGCTGGTCCTCTCTGTGAGTGATGGGTGGCTATTAGCAATGGCCGAGCTGCGTAGTGTAGGCGGCGCAAATGCGGGACGTTGATCAATGACGATCGATTGGCTGTGTTTCTCTGAGCTCCGGAAAAGTTTAACTCGACGTCCGCCAAGCTAAGGCGGCATCTTGGCAGCCCCGCATCGGACGGGAGCTTGGGTCATCTCGGTCTTGTGTAACGGGACCGTGCCGCAGCCACTCGCAACCCGCAGAGATGTTTCGACTTGACCACTAACAGGCCTCTGTGGAGATGAGCCTCAGATTCGCCATGCCATACAAAGAGCGCAGAAACCTTCCATCGGCCTTGAAACCAATGGCTGGCCACGCGGCGGTCAAACCCTCCCCTGTGTCAAGACGAGCCCGGCCCAGGGTTGTCTGGTGGATTCCCTCCGACTTCATCTACATGTCGTAACGCTAGACTGGAGAGCTTCCAGATCACATTCTGGTACCTATGGTTAGGATTCATAGGAATTTAAGATGGGCGGTTTCTTGTCACGATGGACGGGGAGGCCAACCCCGCGGGTCAGGCCTTCGTTCTTTTTTATTTTTGAATCTCTGTTGGACAGCTCCTGGAGAGCAGTCTCGCGGACCGCATTCACCCAACATATCATAGCTGCAACGGCGCGGCTGGTACCGTGCCCTTCCAAAGCAGTCACTGGCAATGGCCACTCCCCCGCAGACACAGCCAGTGCAGCCGTTCATCCCCGGCTGGACCTCGAAGCCCTTCCCCGCGCTCACCCTCTCGGCTGGAGGTCTTCTCGCGCTCGCGGACCTCCATACTATCGCCCAGCGCACGGCGCTTACGGGCGGCGCCAGCTGGATGGACAGCCTGGTGCTGGCGCCGGGGATCCAGTACCAAGCAGCCGCGGACGAGCTCTTCTGGAAGGGGGCTGCCGCGTCCATTGTCGATGTCGTCGACGAGCACGGCGGCGCTGCCGTGTCGCTGAAGCTCGCCAATGCCGCCACATGGCACTATATCCAGCGAGTTGCGAAGCCGGGCGAGACGGTGACGCTTAACGTTGGCCGCGCCGTAGCTGCCCACGGTTCGTCATACATGCTGCGGCGGACAGATTCCGGAGACCAGGCAATGGCATGGAGGGTGGGGGGCAAGCCCGATCTAGGCTTAGTCTCGCATGTGCTGTACCTGATCAGCCCCGTGTTGACGCTCGCCGCCATAGGATTCCTTGTGATCTTCAAGGACTGTAAGTTCCGAGCGGACCTGACCCATGATCCCGCACCCTCACCCCTGAGGAGGATGGCTAACATCTGGCACATGAAGGGTGGGGTCTTGTATCGATTCTGGGCCTGATGACGTCCCGCGTTCTCAACATTTGGGTGATCAAGCAACGGGCCTCACACCCGGAAGAACACCTGGATGAAGCCCCCAAGAGGAGCAGGATATTCGGTCGCTCTCGGTCCAAGACTCGCGAGGACAAGGAAAAGAGGCCCACCCACGCCCTGAGGTCACCACGCCGCCACCGCTTCTCCTTCACGAAAACCCGTGAACGCGTATGCCATTACCTCGTCCGCCTCGACAATATCGAGAGCAAAACCCTGGTCCGGCTGCGCGGCAAGGCAAGCGACCTCCGCGCCATCACAGCTCAGAGATGGTACGTGCCCCCCCCTTTTTCTGTTTTTTACCTTTCCTTCCCCCTCTCAAAGCCGGGAATCTTCCCCATCCTTGTGGTTACCTGGGACTTCCTGAAGAACAACATTAACACCCATCCCTTTCGTTTCACACCAAAACCAGGCTCCGCAGCAAGACACACCTGGAAAGCTACCTCGAGGGCGCCGCCAAGCTGCTGGTGTACCTGGTCGGCGCGCTGTCGGGCAACATGACGCAGGCCGGCGCCATGATCATGATGGCGCTGCTGCTGGCGTCGGCGGGCCTGCTCGCGCTGAGCAACGCCAAGGCCAAGACGCTGACCGTCAACGGGCGGGAGGTCGCCCCCGTCGACGAGAACGGCAACGCGCCCTTCTCTCCTTCGTCCCCTTCCGCTCCTGCCGGTTCTCCTGCTTCTGCGGCGGGGCCCGGCAGCGGTGCTGCTACTGCTGCTGGTGCTGGTGGGAGTCCGCTCTCTAATGAGGTGAGGCGAGCCGATGTCCCAGTGGACCCCCGGAGTGATCAGGACAGGGGACGGCCGAGGCAGGGACCTGGGGCCGCTACCGGGGCCGCAGGGGTGAATACAGCGCGTGCGGGTGTAAACACGACTGCTGAACAAAGTCGAGGAGTAAGAGGAGGAGGAGGAGGAGGAGGGAACCCTGCGGATCTCGCTGAGAGAGGTCATGCAGGGTTCGTGAGGCGGTAGAACTGAGGTGTGGGTGAGCTGGGAGGAACGAAGTTTGCAGGTGGCGTTGGTGATAGACTGGTAGTATGGGTAGAGGCGTTCATGTGGGCCTGGCAACTAGATGAGATACCCCATCCATACCGGGACAAGTTTCGAATAGCAATGAGAGAGAACGAGGAGAAAACCTGACCTGCTTCATCAAGCAAGTATTGGAACCAAATACCCGCTAACAAATGTTGCGGTGCGCCACTATCTTCTCGGCTTGAGGTATGAGGCTGACACGGCAGGATGGAAGAAGGGTGCATGAACCTGGCCGTGTGTAGGACAGGAGCCCTTGCACTGGAATGCCGGATACTACCTCTAGTGCAACCGAAATCCAGCAAGGTCAGCGGAAGGGTGTGCAAACATGTCTGGGCTCGTTTCCATTGCTACGAAACCCATCTTCTGGAATAAACAGCTAGTTCCGTGTAGGATAGTAGTGACTAAAAGAAGGGTCAGAACTCATGGTTTGTGAGCATGAAAGGAGTGTTGAGCCTAGACGAGAGCGCGGGGGCAAACGGACGTGGTCTATGACATCGCGCTATTATCTTGCGGCCGGAACAGCCAAACAAACGAGTCCAGGGCTCCAGAGGTTTCTTCGCGCCTGTCACACAAGCGAGGCTAGAAGACCATGGCGTCGGATAAACAACCCGCTTCAGGGGTGCTGCGCGCTCAGGAAAGCTTGGTATTTATTTATCTGAAAGCATAGACGTTTCTGATGCGGTATGCAAGCTTGTAACCAGGAGGCGTAGTTTTTATCATATTGACACCTAGTCCTAACCTCACAAACCACTCAACAACTGGACTTTGCCTCAACATAACGCTGAAACGTATGTTTCTGAAGCGCCCTTTGCTCGTTGATGATCTCCCACAGTTCGTCGTTCTGTCTCTGTAGCTCTTGATCGCCAGCCGACTCAGCAGCAGCAGCGGCAGGCTGATAAAAAGCGGCTATTGCATCCTCCATGGCCTCCTGTGGGAAGCCAGTGGCGTTGAGCAGCGAGTCAAATCTGGTTCCAGTGGCCGCGTATGTCTCGAACTGGCCGGTGAAGGTGTATGCCCGCTCGGCCTGCGAGGGCTTGGTAATCGTTACAGTCTTCGTAGGCTTGTTCGCCGGGAATGGCGAGACAAACGCGACGTTCGTGACGGCGGCGTTGAGGTTGGCAAGCTCGACTGGCGACTTATTTTCCGCAATGTCCCATCTCATGATCTGGCCTCGCGGGTGTCCGGTGAGCAGCATCGTACCGTCGTAACTCAAGCTCAGGCAGGAAGCCGGTCCAACATCAGGCTGCGTCGCACCGAATGGCGAGCTGATCTGTACCACTGTTGCGGCATCTTCAGACCCGGGCCCCAGGAGAGGCTTTCCGGCAAACAGCTCCGTCAGGTACAGCGACCCGTCCTCACACGAGACGCAAACGGCTCTGGAGGACGGATCGAGAGCTAGGCAGAGAGGAGAACTGGGGAAGAGCACAGTCCGCAGGGCATCACCAGTCTGGTAGTTCCAGATGATACAAGATCTATCCTTGCTCGCCGATACACAGAAGTTTGTGTCACTGCTGACACTCGGGCTCACCGAGAGACCTGTGATGGCGGTCCTGTGGTTTGAGAGGCTGCGTTGCGGTTCGTGCTCAGCGGCAGAGTCCAGCTCGAGCAGCTGGGGCAGAGACCACACGTGGATATCCGAGTCATCAGACCCTGTCAAGACATGGAAGGGCGTGGCAACCACACACGATACGGCCTGAACGTGGCGGGCCGGCGTCGACACGAGCCGGCCAGTGCATGTCTGCGACGGGCTATGTCAGTGGACCAGATACACTTCAGGACTGCCCAGCGAGAATCTCACCTCCCATAGCATTAGTCTGCCTTCTGTCGTGCCCATCACGAGGACGTCTCCGGCCAGGGTCAGGCATCGTATCCTCTCGGGGAAGGCTACAAACGCCTCCTGGTTTCCACGGAGTCTAGAGTAAACATGCACGTAAGCCTTCTCATGCTGGGCGGCGAAGACGTGGGTCTCGCTAACGGCAAGACAATTCACTGGGGCCGAGCTTTTCTTGAATGTCGACTTGACTGAGTATGTGGGACTGAGGGTGTGGCAGTAGATGCCGACATCTTTGGCAATGGCCGTGTTGGAGGACAGAGGGGGCCCGCAGATGGCTGACACGAACTCCTCCGAGAGCATTGTTGTTGCGGGGCTGGCTGTCTTACAGCTCTCCGATTCTCAGCCTCCCTTGCGTCTAGAATGTTGTAGTCGAGGCGGGAAAAGTGTAAAACCCGACTAGCTCTTTCAACCAGAAGCTAAAATCAGCCACCAAAGCGAAAGGGTTGGTATTCCAAGCTTCTGTGTGTTTCTGGTTGGCACCATCAGCTAGCTCCTTGCAGATTGTCTGATCTGGATTCCGGCTGGTGAGCACGAATGGTTGGTTTCACTGTCACAGGTGTTGCTGTGAGACAGGTCAACGTCCTCCTTTGTGCACGTCGAAGCACGCAAGGGAGCACACCAATTCAAACACGGTGAGGAACGGTGTAGCTCCTATGGCTGGGATCGGATAGGAGCAGAATCGGGTTGTGTTCGGCTTCCAAGTGCAACTAACATTCAGGTTTGCTTCAAGAGGACAATGGATCTCGATCACGTCGGGTCTGCTTGAAAGATTTTGGTGAAAAGAGCCAGGGACTGCAACTTTCCCTTTTTCATGCAGACCAGGGCTTTGATTGGCTGTACGAAAGCTTTGACCAGGTTCTGGGCCCACCGTCGAGATTCCCATTGTCGATCTCAGCCGCACAGCAACTTACCGGTCTCCATACGGCCCCGCATCAACAAGTCCCGGCCCACATGCAACCGGATCCAAACCCGGTTAACTCAACGACAACTCTACAGTAGCCATTCTGTGTGATTTGGTTACAGAAGGTATCACGTTTCACTTGAGCGAATTGGACGACGAGAGTCATATTCTTGGCTGTCATTTTCCGCTATCCCTTACCGATAATTGATATGTCCCTTTTCGTTTTCGTTGTGGCGATCCTTACCGCTTCAAGTCTCCCTGCATAGTGTGTGCCGTTATGCATTGACAGAAACAAAGTGCAGCTTGGCCACCTCTCACTTCTCGGGGAATCAGATTCGGATGCAGTGCGCTTGTTGACCGCGGCCTGCCGCATTGCCCGCCTCTGCGAGTAGGAGAAAACCACCGCCTCGATGGGTCGAATACTCTGGATCCACATGGCATCGGAGGCTGCCCGCTCTGTGCGCCACTGCAAAGTATGTACATGTGAGCGGTTGGGCTGTGTCGACCATCGGTGCCAATATTTCGGGTGTGGGGTCTTTGGGAGATGTCCTGGACTGACCATCACGCCGGTGACCGGCAAGGTAGGTGCGTTCTGTGGCTACCCGTCGTGTCTAATCGGTCCCGTCGTGCTCTGAGCCTCTGACACGAGCTCAGCCCGCCGCCCCTCAGTGTCGAGGCAGACATTCCAGGGCGGAAACTGCAATATGTTTCGTCTCCTTGCGCAGCTGCAGGCAATATACTGGGAAAGAGATTAGTCGACGATGCGCCTGGTGCTTCCGGCTACTGCATGGCGCAGTGCACATCCAGGAATGCCGCAATCCAATTGCCTCGCCGCTTGATAGCAGCACGACTGCTTTTCCGAACCTTCTCTTGTTTTGGGTGCCCCTCTCGGTCGGGCCTCCTGTTCCTCCCGCTTGTTTGTCCCTTCGATGCGGGCACAGGCTAGTGAGCAGCTCAGCTAACCCCCTTGCTGCACGACAGCACTGGCAGACCAAGGTGTCACGACATCGGCTACACCATATCCTATCACAGCCCCCTGCGTTAGCTCAGGGAGGGAAGAAGGGAAAGAGGGAGACTTATACACTAAATCATCCAGCTCTGGTTCCGCAGGTCCTTTCCACAGCATGTCCGCATCGAGGAACCGGCAAAATAACCTATCCACTGACAGACCTCAACCTCTATTCTGGCACCACAGCTAGACGAGACCTGGATCCTGAGTTACACAGGCTTCTGTTCCTCTCACGCGTGCGAATCTAGGTCCGGCCCAGCGAAACGTTCGCAGACCTCAACAGATCTGTGCAGGGGATACGCGCCACTCCGATCTGTGCCGACCACATCGAGGGCATCACCCCTCTGAGCCTGATAGTCTTCTCATCCGACCAGCCTCCCATGTCGTCTGCTCCACCAGCGTGCTCCTTTGATGATGAGGTAGATGCGGGAGAATCCATCATGGAAGGCAACCTTCCTGAGTTGCTCGCGCAAGATCTCGAAGCTTCAGGAGCTATCTTCACGTCTAGAGACATGACCGCTGGTTGTCCGGGGACCGGTCTCGCAGCGCCCGGCTTAGATGCGAGTCCTTCGTTCGAAAGGCTGCGTCTTTCTTACCGCACAAGCTACCGCCACTGTCCGCAACAAGAGGTTTCCATGAACCTGCTTCATCTGGAGTCGCTTGTGATGGATGAAGCAGCATCATGCTTCGAGCACCATGACGACGGGCAGCAACGGGGCGTCAAAGAGCGATCACCAGATTCATCCAGTGTTACGTCCATAGCAATGGATCCTCTCTTCATCCGAACTCGACAACCATCCGTTACCACGGCGGCCACGTCGCTTTCTGGCCGCTGCTCCCTATTTTCCTCGCACAACCCGCTGACCCCAAATTGCTCTCAACGCTCAGCCCGCTCTTCGAGCAGACGCCGCAGTTCGCCCGGCACTTGGTACGAAGCGGACCCGGAGTCGCCGCGGGGCGGACTCAGCTCAGTCTCTACAGCAAGAACTTCGATTTCTGATTCGTACGCACTCGCATCACACCTTGGCGACAACCCCATCATGAGTACATCACCGAAATCGACTGCCGACTGGGTGGAGATGCCCACTATGACTGCTCTAAACTCTCCCGGAAGCCGCTCTGGCCATACCTCACAGTCGCGTACTCCCGCCAGCCAACTACACCTAGAGAAGCCTCGGATTGTTACCATTCCGCCAGCATCCATGAGCCGGAAAAATGCGGTGTCGGCCAAAGAGAGCCGCTACGGTGCAGAGCCGAACCCTATGACGTCGGAGACCCAGGGAACGGCGGCCGTTCCGGCCGTTATCGAGAGGCAACGGCATGGCAACCGCTTTCTAGATTTACAGTCTGAACTCAGTATGCCTTTGATCGCGATGGCTAACGGCCGTACCATCATCGATGCATCTGGACCACCCTCGACGGGCTTGGCGAGGCATCCAGTTGAGCCGGATAGGAGCGTGATTTTTGACGATAGTGAAACTGGCGCAGAGACGCACGGCGAAGTACTTACAGAGGCTCGAAAGCTAACATTCGCAAGTTTTCGCCGCTGGGTAAATTCCGGTGCTGAAGCCCCGACCTCACCGCAGAATCTCAAACCTCAACCGCCAAACGCGCCGTCGCCTGGAATCCCGCTGCCTCCAGAGGTGATAGAGTCCCTGCGAGTGTCCATAGCATGCTTCCCAGAAACGATGCTTCTCACATCAAGCCTCTCGATCGAGACTATACGTGCGTACTCCAAAAGGTTGAAGCACCGCACAACAGACTTAGAGCGCCACTTTGGGAGTACCCACAAGGGGTCGATCTACCCGTCAAGCTCTCGCAGCGATGGACCGAACAAGCGCTGGAACGTGACGTGGCTAGGAACTGGGCGAAGCAGCAACTCTTCCCAGTATCACCAGCCTCCTCCACCCGGATCGTGGTCCCAACAACAACACGCCTACCCCTTGAGTCAAAGCCATCAACCACCAATCGCCGGCGGCGATTCCACACTGTCCCTGGGCCCGATTTGGGCCCCAATCAGAAACGTCTTTACTTCCGCATCCGACTACATGTGCGACGCTCTCTACGCACACCTGCTCGCCCACAACTACATCACGTCCCTCTTACCCCCTGCCCGGCCTGTGTCACCTCCGCCCACTCCACCGCGACGACCGAGCACAGGCACAGGGATGGGTCATCCGCAGCGACGTCACGAATCAGCAGACGCCAACGAAAGTAGGAACCTCAAGATCCCGCAGAAAGCCGCCAGTCTGTTGGGCATGGACGACCCCGTCTCCACGAGGGCCGCGTACCACCAGCAGCAGCAGCAGCAGCATCAGCAGAATCAGCGTTCCAAGGGAGGACGTGGCCTGCTCAGTCGGCGGTTCGGTAGTAACCGGGCTGCTCAAGATATTTTCTCGCTTTCGTCGCGGCCCGGTACCCGCAGCGGAGTTGGGGGTTGTATGAAGGGCCAGGAAGGTACGGCATCGGTGGCGGTGATGAGGGAGATTCAGGCCGGGTTGGGGAGGTGTATTGCCTTGTTGGTCGCGACAATGAATAAGGAGACTACCGGAGGAGGGCTAAGGGGCGCTTTTGATGAGGATGAGAACGAGGATGAGGATCACAATGGGTTGGTGTTGGTTGCCCGGGACGGGGACGCGGAGAAATGGGATGGCGGAGAGGTGGACGAGAGGGTGCAGCCTGTGCTTATGAGGGCGCTTTACGAGGTTGTGAGGTGTGCTGAGGCGGTGAGCTTCTAATCCGTCGATGCTTTGGTCGGTCTTCCGGGGAGGAAGAGAGCGATCGTCGTATGATGATAAGGGTTTGATAAAGTTGAAGGGAGGGGGTTTGCCGCTTGGGGTAGGTGGTTGTCTGGCGGTGCCACGGTGGGCGCTGTTGGTTCAGTTTCTGTGGGCTGCGTAACCGGGCTGCCTTGTTATTAGTGCCTTCTATTTTGCGTCCTTTCTCTTTTTCACTACCAGCCTCGAGGTAATGAGGCAGTTAGGAACGGACAAGTACTCTTTCTCCAAGACGACGCCTGTTGATTCGCTTTTGGTCTCACATTTGACGTTCCCCAGCGGCAGGTGACCCCTCGGAATCCCCTCTTCGCTCAACACAGCGAGTCGTATGACCTACATATTGCGTAGACTGTAGCCAATGCACGTTAAGAAACACTAGGCTTGTCTTCATGACCCCCAGGCACCCTCCGTTTTGAACTAACCGAGAGATTGCTTTCGAAGTACCTGACGTCTTTGGTCCGGTCTATTCCATAGACGCCTGTCTTGCCCAGGGGCTGCTAACAGCCCAACGGGTTAACAGGGATAGATACGACATCGACCCAAACACTGCTGAACATGTCCACGACATCCGGAAGAAAGCGATGGTCCTGTCATGCGTGTCCGCATGCAAACAATGAGCAGAGCTATCATAGCTGCGAAGCGAGGGGTTTGCCGGAAAGAAGTTCAATGTCTGCAAGACGGGGAGTCATGGGGAGTGGAATGTACAGGGACAGGCGTACGTTCTCAGCAGATGGTGCCCGGATCATCCGTATGCGTGCAACACAGTTATACATATATATAGCATATCACGGATGGGTCTAATCATATGCGACCTCGGGGTTTCGGTCGTCTTAGACATAGGGATATTCGGAAACAAGGCAGATTGGCGGCGTTTGGAGGATGGAGGCTGCAGAGATCATTACGTAGTAAGACCGGCTTACCGATCCTATTCCGTCCTTTCGAGCCACGTCTCAACATGTGATCCTGAAAATGAAGACTTTTTCTGTGCCAGAGACTTCGGGGAGCTTGCCGAGCCGCCTTTGCTCCCATAACCGTCCTCGTCGTCAGAGTCCAATATTTTGAACCACTCGTGCTCCCATATTCCTTTCTCGTCCGCGGCATACTCCTCGAAACGCAACCAGCCGAAGATCTGTCGTGTTGCATTTTCTGATGCGGACTCTCTTTCGCGGTCCAGACCTCCATACGAAATGGGGATCTGCTCTGGACTCGTAAGGGGCTTTGGTTTGAGCGGAGTAGTTGTGTGCATGTCTGTACCCCCGCGCGTAATGGGACAGACTTCCACGCTGCCTTCGGCGCAGTCCCAGGAGAAGCCTTGATATTGGAGCACGTGGTTCTTGCACCTGGCATGCAACCGAACTTCAACGTCTGTATCGTCGATTGGTGTCGTACCGAACGGCCTCCATTGGCAGACGGGCGCCCGATCGTGGAGGCCAGTCCTGGATAGGAACAGTAACCGACATTGGTCCGCCCGGGAGACCCGGCCGCGATACACGGGTGGGCTGGAGACAGGTTGCTGGAGGAATGATTGGATGGTCCCGGACCAGACTGCAGAGGGAATGCCTATGGGGATGCAAGCATACCGAACATCTTGTAGGAGTTCCTTCTGCAGCCCTAGGATCGTCACCCCAAGCCAGAGGGAGGCAACCTGGGGTACTCGATCCATGAGCATGCGCGCGAGCACAAGGGGTCTGTCCTGCGCTAGCGAATCGATAGCTGCACGGGCCCCTGCAACCAAGGAGTCACAGCATTGCATTCTATGCTGGCATCGCAGAAGACACTGAGTAGTATAGGGCGCATTGCCGCAGTGTTGCAGCTCAAGGTGATGAGCCTGTTCAGGCGCGTATCGTCATACGTCCAGTCATGCCGCAGGTACCCATTGGCGGGGTTGGACTGCCGGGAAGACGATAATACTGCATCCTTTGTCGATGGTTCCTGGTCGTTGATGGTGAGAGCTGGTAGCTTCAAGCGCCGCCCGGCCCCCATAGACGGAAACAGCAGGACTGTAGCGAGCGCGGCGTGGCTCTGATCCAAGATGCCATGACGAACACAGAAGTTGTCGAGGAACCGGAGGGCTTCCATGAACGAAGGGGGCTGCGGCGAGATGGATGGGTCGGGTCATGGTGACAGAATAAAGCAGGGGCCGGACTCGAGTTTGAATGACCAAGGGGACAACAAGATGGTATCTTGTGCGAAAGCCATGCTTGCTTGCCAGCCTTGATCTGGTGCGAGGATGGCGGCCCACCATCGAGCCTCTTCTGGGCTGGCGTCGCCAATCATCAACGTCGCGGCGGCTTGATGAGCTTGTTGTTTGGTCGTCCCGCCGTCAGGATGGCCGGCTGCCCGCTTGTCCGTATATGTGAGAGAGCATGGCCCGGGCATAACTTCAGCCCACTTGGCAGACAGTATGTATGCTCATGCCAAGATGAGAACCGAAACGTAGTTCTGGTCCTTTCTATCCAACCACGACGCCATGTCCGACCCGCGCTCGGGCGTTTCGAGGATGGACACCGAGATCGCGTCACTTGAGCCAACCTTAATCTTCACCGGCTGGTGAAATGGTGGTAACGGATGCTCACAATCTGACGGCGCCGAGACCCAGGCGCATGAACCAGTCGCATCTACTCACGTATGCTTGCTGAACTTGGTGCTTTTCAGCTTCAGGCCTCGCAGAAAGGCAGAGTGCAAACGGAACGCGTTGTGGACAGCAAGGTACGAGGCGGGAAGGCCTGGGTTCTCAATCGCGTTGTGGTAGAGTGTGAACCACAGCTTGAAGCTTGCTTCGTAGACATTGCGAAAAGCGTCGGCACTCAGCCGGACCGCGTCGTCCATGGTTGTGTTGGTCCGAATTGGTCTCGCCGAGGGTCTGTGTCTGGCGCCACTTGTTCTCTTGACCAGTTGCCGATTGGTGACAAAAAGCAAGGGCGAGCTCAACCTGGTAGGTGGGTCCCCAAAAGGCAAACTGAATCAATAACAATGTTACCTAGGTACCATATGTATGTACCACGAGCACGGATACCTAGTGCATAGGTAAGTACTTCATAGCCGATCAGAGGTTGAGGAAGCTGGGCAAAATGTCCGGGTGCTTGTATTTGTGGAATGGTAGGTATAGGTAGGTTGGTTAGAGGAATTGGTTCCAAGAGCCCCGGCCAGTGCCTGATGCTTTTAAACCCCAGTGTGTGTTGAACCTTCCAAGTTCCAACAAAGTGCCAGCCTACAAGCGCACCATATGCATCCAGCATCCCATGCCCTCAACCAGCCCCATGCAATACAATCCATGATCCACCCCTGATTTGTTACCTTAAGTTACCTTCCAGGTCCTCAGCCTACCTGGCACGTGCTGGGTACTTATCCCGTGCCCGTGGTGGATACGTAGAGCCGGCAACGGGCCGGCCCCACACTTCTGGGAGCATTCCGAGAGGACATGGGCCGGGACCCCACACAATTGTGACATGACCCGCACGTGCCACAGTTCGTTATCTTCCGTGACCTCTCGGAGGCCAAGACCTCTCGTTCCCCACTCCTCCGCCCGCCGGACCCGAGCCGGCGACGCCCATTTGGTCCTTGGCTCCGGCCGTGCTCTCAATCACCGAGAAGCCTCGGATAGGCAACTCCGTAAGAGACAATTGTCACAAGTGAAGCCCACTAGCGCGGCGTCGCGGCCAGACTAGAGCAGGATTGCTGCTCTCTTCGCTTGAACCCCGTCCTCGCTCGGCACTCTCCACTCCCTTTTTACACGCGGGAATCCGACATCAGATATGGATTCCATCGAAGTTCGAGGCAAGACGGCCCCAGCCCCACGGCCTTTACGCATCGGCAATGCCTGTGAGGCGTGCAGGGCGGCAAAGGTCAAGTGCCAGGGCAGCGCCCAGGTGGGAATCTGCAAGAGGTAGGTTGGACCGTTCGGTGGTAGGCCATTCTATTTCCGGATCGATGGTGCCATCCTTCACCTGGAAAGTAGTGGCCGGATCTCTTCCCATCTGCTTTTGTCGCTCCCCACGTCCTTCTCCAGCTCCTGCTCTTGGCTAACTGGTTCCACAAAACAGATGTCTTGATTCCAAACGGGAGTGTATCTTCAAGACAGGCCCACGGACACGGCGGCCGAGACAGAAGCGGTAAGGTGGTCGCTCATTCGCCCTTCTCCCAGCCCATGTCCCGCTATATCTGGTATTGACGCTCTCCCAAAGTCTCAACAGCCAGACAGCAGCTGCCTCCACCACAGGGAACACCACCTCAAATTCCACATCCAATCCTCCGCCACCACCAGGCCCCTCCAAGACCTTCACAATCGACATATCAATGCCTGCCGAGGACGACATAGCCGACTCCCTCGAGGCCCTGCGGCTAGCGCACGACAAGGCCATCGACATGCTCATGCCTCACGACGAATTCTCGGCGGACGACTTTGAATATGAGCACGACGACGACCAGGGGGTAGAGGCGGAAATGGAGCACGACTGGCTCGACCCGGACCCCGACCCGGACCAGGACCTGGCCTCCTCCGTGACGGGCTCCGGCTCTGTGTTCTCGCATGCGTCGTCGCTGTCGACGCCGCCTACCGGTAGCAGTGGTTCTGCGGCCGAACGCGTCCGATCTGATAGCACACAAGGATCCAAACCCGCCATTGCCAGTAAGTCGCGGACGATAGCGAGCCTAAGGCTGCAGCCACAGTTCAATCTCGACTCGGCGGAGAAGCTGCTCCAGACCTTCCGGGAGGTCATGCTCAGTCACTTCCACTGCGTGGTGGTGAGTGAGAGCGATACGGTGGCGAGCATGGCCAAGGAGAGGCCGTTTGTGCTGCTGGCTGTGTTGGCGGTCGCGAGCGGCAGCCGCACGTTGCAGGGGCATAGTCTGTATGATGAGGAGTTCAGGAAAATCCTGGGGCTGAAGTTCGTGGCGGGCGGTGAGAGGACGCTGGAGTTGCTTCAGGGGTTGGTGGTCTATGTCGCTTGGTACGTTCTCCTTTTCGCTTGTAGCGGGAGTAGGACAATGTCAGCGAAGGACCAACACCGGGGATCATCGCTTCCCCACAGCATATGCCACTAGTCGTAGAGTTAGGGCATACTGACCTTCCAGGTATCCATTCCACCTCCGGCCGAAGAACAAGCAGGCGATACAGTACAGACGCATGGTGGTCGACATCGTCACCGACCTCGAGCTCGACGAAGATCCCGGCTGCGACTCCATGGATTTCGCCCCGACACCAGAGCGTCTCGACCAGGTTAGGCTGTATCTGGCAAGCTACTACCTCGCGTCGGCGTAGGCCAACCTCCCCTGTCTCACGACTTACCCCGACCTCCAACTAACTCACTCGGCTCCCAGCTTCGCCTCCACCTGGGGCCGCACCCCCTCCCTCCGCTACACGGACTACACCACTCGCTGCTGCGACCTCCTGCAGCGGCACAGCCCACTGCGAGGCGACCACGTGCTGGCGTGGCAAGTCCGCATCGAGCGACTGAACGAGGAGACCAACGACCTGCGGCGGACGCAGCGGGGCCGCTCGCAGAGCGAGTACCAGATCGGCCTAATGATCCGGGGCATGGAGACGCAGCTGGCCGAGTGGGAGGCCCGCATGGGCCCAGAGATGCTCTCGACAACGCCGTCCCTCCGCATCGCCGTGCTCTTCACGCGCGTCTTCCTGTCGGGCGCGCCGCTGCTCAAGCTGCCGTCGCCGAAGCTGGTGGGGCAGCAGCCCGAGTCCTTCCCGCCGGACCCCCAACGCCTGATGGCGGTCATCCCCGCGATGCACGACATCTACGAGTACTTCCTCACGCTGACACCCGCCGACGTTAACTCGTTCATCGGTATCGAGTGGGGTGCGCTGATCTTGTCCGTCATCCTCGGCTTCCGCATGTCGTTCCCGCTTGCAATCTGTCCGGACTGGGATGACCGCGCGGGGAGGGAGCTTGTCAAGTTTGGAGAATACATGGACCGGCTGTGCAAGATGGGCGGACAGGACTATGATGTCGAAGAGATCAAGATCAGCCTGGCGCCTTCTGTTGCTCCTCCCCCGAGCGGAGCAGCGGTTGGACAGGGCAAGAGCAGGAGGGCCATGGATGTCCTCAGCGCGAGCAAGATCGTGCTGGACATGGTGAGGAAGAAGTTCCTGAAGCGGGTTGCCCGACTGCTGCAGCAGCAGGAGCAGCAGCAGCAGGCAATGCAGGCCACGCTTATTGCTGCGGCTGCTGCTGCTGCAGTGCCGCACCCACTACCGCCCCACGGTTCGGCGGTCGGCGGGTGCCCGATGATAGACGGGAGTCTGGAGCAGTTTTACCCCTACTGGGACGAGACGTTCACGAACGCCCTGGCTGCCGGCGGGTTCTCTGCCTCCGAAGCGCCGGGCGCCGGGCACGCAGATACGAATATTGCTGGGCTGGACGTGCCGAATGACCTTTGGACGGCCATGACCATGGGCTGGGCGCAGGGCGACGTGAGCTTTGAGGATCTATGATGACGACGATGAACAGGGATGGAGATTCTGCGCGGGTTCGCACGAGCAATGAACGCTCAATTAAGCTGTTAAGAGATACTTCCCATGGATTGGCAGTGGCATGGGTCAATCTGGACATGTGAGAGAAAGGCGGTACGGACGGAGTATGACTTCGACAGCCAGATGTGCCGGTTTCGATGTGCTGTTCGGCTCTCTTTGTGGAAATCTGGTGCTGGCCATCATATTGCAGGAGTGGAAGTCCTCGATTTGCTTGGTTACTCTCCCACTTCCTACTACGTTTGTCGTCCTTATTTCAGTCCCATTCCTGGTTTGAGTTCTACATGCGCTCATCGTCGTGCGTGACTGACCTGGATAAAATACATCACGTCGCTCCGGACGCCGAGGACAGAGGCGTGAGAGGTACAAGAACATGTCTCGTTTTGCCCTTATTAATCGCGAATCAAAGCGTCATCGAAGTCATCGGACAAACGAAGAGTGGAGACCATGTGACAAGAACTTGAAGCGGAAGCATGTCATCGCTAAAATACTCGGGACTCGAATCGGCCACTCATGAGTGATAGTTACGTGTGTAGAGGAAAACATGCCCCACAATATCTGCAAAGGGTTGGAATCTGGCCTTCGTTCGATGAATCATGACTTGATGAATGGTGGAGTCATTGCTGGGCCAGATCGACAAATGCTTGTTCTCGCGATGTTCCGGAAGTCAGTGCACCTATCCCTGGGTACGGCTGGTATCTCCCCGCTTTCGTCATGATGATTCCGAACCGTTTCCGCCTGAAATACATATTGTTACACAGGTATGTACGGGTAAACGAGCATACATACAGGATAGAAATACATACATACAATATCTGTACGATTAGTGTTATCTTCGCAACGAAGGGATGAATTGAGTGGCTGTTGTCCATATACAGGATCCACTCCGCGTTGAAGAACTCTTGGCACGCCGTATTGTATCTAATCGAAAAGTACATGTACAAAGCTACCTTACACTACCAGTATCTAAAGTCGTCTGCCCGCTGCTCAGCAGAGCTCAACAGTGGCTTCGGAGGCTGCCCGTTTTGAGGTTCTCAGACCCGATCGCTCCTCGTCAATCCTGAGCTACTGTCCTACTGTGTATGCGAGGAACCTGTACCCGGCAAGTTAGGTAGTCCCAACAAGTTGGAGCTGGAACCCGCTTTCCGACACCGTGGAGCAATGAGTTTTGCGCATGTTGTTGCATGCTGCGGTTGACGATCAAAAATAATCTGCGGCAGTCCGATCAAGTAAGAAACAGATTACCTTCACGATGAGTGTGCCTTGCGGGAATCGACGGCCCCCGTCCTGCAGGGCGATAGATCATAGGGCTGCCCACCGTGAGAATTTGTCAGGCCCTCCAATTCGGCCGCGAAAAAAGGTGTGTGGCATTGCTTCTGCTTCCCCTTCAGGGGTGTCGGTGTTGCGCAACCGAACCGTCATGCAGGTTGGAAAATGCCGGGTCCAACAGGAAGCGTTCCCATGAGGGCGTGAGCAACGAAGTGGAGCGCTCTCCTCGGCTTGGCTCCCTCTGATAACCTCAGAGGACGAGATCCAGCGTTCCGAGCACACACCTTATGTACTAAGGTAGGCAGTAACTACCGTAGGTAGATTTTACAGTACGTACATACGGAGTAAGCACTGAACTTCCACACAGAGATTGCTAAACTGTTCTTCTGGCGCAACAGCTACCCCCGCGAGATGTGTGCGGCCAGTGATCACGAGCTCGAGCTAGTTACGTTCTTTGGGTAGCGCAACATATGTGCCATGCGACGGCGAACGGCGCATCGCAGCAGTCTTTGGCTGACATGCCCACTGGAGAGGGAAAAAAACGTGAGTCCTGCGCATGCTGCATTGTAACTTATAAGAGCCTCCCGCAGCAAGCAATTTGTTCCCGCGGCTAACACGACAGCGTGGGCGGGGAGAAACCCCACGTTAGGAGGGAGGATGGCAAGAAGGAGGGTCGATCGCATGACTGTCTCGTTGAGCCGTTGGGCACCAGCCGGCCGCGATGGAACACGGAGGGCTCGACCTGGCCTTGTTTTAAGACTGGAGTTGGAAGAATCATCCGTGCTGACACTATTGGATAGCCTGCGTGTTGCACAACCTCGCAGTGTATGTATTGAATGTACGGTACACATCGGACACACTCTGTCGAATCACGCTGGCCGAACCGGCTTCTCACTACCCTTCTGACCCGAAGTGGTTGCTGCTCGTCGACGCAGCCCTTCCCTTTCTGGCCCCAGTCCAGATCGAGGATCTTATATGCGTGTTGGGATGCATCGCGTCTCCACAGTTCAGGTTGTACATTACACCAACAAGGGAACCAACAGCATATAGGATGGAGTGAGAAGGCGAAACTGGCCGAGGATAACCACGGCCCCGATCGAATCCTGAGCCGAATGCAGGAAGGCTTGCAGGTTAGGCGCGGCTGTCGGAGCTCGCTATGACCGTCGCGGCAAGAGGACTTATGTGTTAATAAGTGAGTCCTTTCTAGGTGGTGTACTTCGTACATCCGACAAAGACGATGAGCGGCGAAGTCTGGGTCAACTCGCAACTTGCGCCTATCTTTCGGCTCGACGGAGGAGGGATCATTGGCCATTATTGGCGAACCTTGGTTCTAGCAATATCCCTTGAACTCTCAAAAAGCCGGCACCGCAATCTAATTGATCCCAGTGTTCGAGATTGAGGACAGACACTGCAGCCAACGTTGCGGAGCACTTGCTTGCACGCTGGATGAATCTCAGATGTTATGAGGATCTCTCGCTGATGAGTGTGTCATGCCGCTGTATCTCTCAGTCGGACTCTGATTGACCAGTACTGTAACACGGGTATCCTATATGGTACACGGACTAAAGTACGCGTAATGAAACGCGGAAGAATGATAACTTACATTATCCGGTCGTCCTGTACTACCGATATTCCAACACCGTTACATAGTAGCCATCTTAGAGGAATTAATTCCGTCGACGAGGTCATCAAGACGGTCTCCCATTACAGCTACTTGCTAGATGATGCCATGGCTGCTGGTGTGCGCCCAGCTCAAAGACCTCGAATACAATGTTCTGGTCTGTCATCAGCCCCTCAAGTCTCTAGTAGTTACCACGTACCTCTTCTCGACGCGCACAAAATATCCAAAGTAAGTGCGCCGCATCTGAGAACCAAATCGTTCCAGAACCTCGGCTCCCATGTCGAGGAGCCTTACAACCGCTCTTGAACACTCCATCCGCTTGAGCTTGAGTGTATTCTCCGTGTAGCGGCTCTAGATGGTATCACCACGGGCCTTTACGCTATCTTTCACCGGTTCTACCTACTCGCCTCAAGGCCCACGATCACGTCACGACTTGGCATCCGTACAGTGTACCTTCGTACTGCGGTCAGTCAAGCTGAGATCCCCCATCTCGGCCCGAACGTTTGCCGCTTCCTGCCATATCTCCGTACCTCCATGATCTGTGGAATGTGGCGCCTTCGCCAAACTTTCAACAGACGTTCTGGGCCTCGAGATCGCGGGCCAGATCTTGGCGACATCAACCATACGTGTGCCAGATGTGTGTGAACGCTATGCAATGCGTGCTGCTCGATGACAGCACGTTGACGGGAAACAGCCCTAGAGCAGCCGAGGGGTCAGTGCGACGGTAGGCAATCAATCCAACCCCGCGTTACATTGCGAAGCGGCCGGCTTGAACTGCGTCTTCACCCCGAGGCGCGACCCTTCTGTGTGTTCGCACGCAGTAGGGTTGCGTTGCGCCGGACCGGTGAGCCTCCTGCTCACTTAGCTGCATTATAAGCCTGGTATGCGCGTTCGGTTTCTGCCGTTGTGACTCGTGAGAGCAATAGGGTCGTTCTTTTACCTGAGGTAGATTGAACCGCGAATGCCTTCTCTGTCGAATTCGGCTGACCTTGACTAATATACAAATGCCACCAGCGTCTTTCACAGGTAGCTGTTTGGGAACATTTAAGTCTACTAGTAGATAACGTTAGCAGGGCTCACAAGCACACACCGATGGGCGAGACCAGGTTTCGGTGCGGAGGTGTGATGGCAGAGTTTGCCTGCATGTGCGTGTCCCCATTGAATCGACACCGGGAAAGGCCCACACTCCTGCCTAGGACCTAGTGTACTAGGTACTTACAGACCTGATACAAGTATGGGCTGCCAATGGCCATCCCGCATTTTTCATTTTTATCAGCGTCCTATGTACGGAATATGTCGCGAGAGCACGACTCCTTCCAACAGGTGCATATAATACATAGCAGGTAAGTGGGCTGCAGCACCAACGGTCCGAGGCACTTGACTGGCTTGAGGTGGTGCTTGGGATCTCTTTGCTGTAGACAAGGCCCTGTCGAGAATACCTACCTAGGTACCTAAGGCACTCAGTACCGGCAGTTCCATCACAGCTCTCTGGCACGACTGCTACGGTCTAGACCTCAAACATGATCGCTCGAGAGCTCGAGACTTGGAATCTACACAGTAACACGTGCCATCCACCTCGCCTGGGAAAACAGGTAACCATGTAATCTGTCTACGTATACTTACACCAAGTACGCCAATTTGACACTACTATGCCAGGTAATTATGTATTGTTGCTGGTGCGGCTGGTTAGCGGGACTGTGCACACTACGTAATCTCGTAACTTTGTGCGTTTAGGAGGTGTCGGTAATTACGATACAGTCGTGTACTGTACTAGTATGGTTGTAAGATATTGCCACATCCAGGAAGGCGCCCCCCAGAGAGCTTCCAGTGATCCAGTCAGCACTCTGAATCTCTCAATCTCGCCGCAACAGCTTGGGGTTGTCTGCACAGAGCTTCTGCCATCAGCCCACCAAAATCTTTCTCCAACACCCCCAACTTTTCCATCCTCTCCCAGTTGGTGATTCAACCTACCTTACCTTACTTTTATCTACTTTGCGCTGCAGTAGCTGCACCGCGCTCCTCCACCCACCGACGCATCGTCTTATGCGCGCCGCTCAACGCCATCATTTAGACTTTCTATTCCTCGGATTGGTCTTCGCAGCGTACCAACCATAAATACGTCCGTACCGGCCCCAACACGCAAAAGCTTCTCTTTCATTCCCCCTGCGGTACCATACAGCTTCTCCACCAGTGGTGGCCGCGCACTGCTGCGCGTTTCCACTCGTTGTCAACTCGATCCGCGCGATCGTCGCTCCAACCGTCTCCATCGCTGCGCTTTGCGCTACATGTGTCGCGAGGCATGAACGGGGATCTCAACCCGTCTAGCGCGTCTTCTGCCGCGCCCGCCAACAACGCGTTCGCCCCTCTGGCGTCGAACCGGACACGTCCCTTTCCCGCGGCCGGCACCGCGACAAAGAACACAATGGCCGTTCCGGCATTCCTCCCGCCCGCGCAAGCCTACAGGGCGCCTGCACCATCTCAAACCGCATATGCGCAACCGCTCTCAGCCCCCCAACCGTTCGATCGCGACATCATGAAACCCCTGGGCAACCAATCTTCCGCGCCCCCCCCAACCCTCTCCTCAGCGCTGATCCGGAAACTACCACTTAACACCTCGGAAGAATCATTGCGCTTGATGATGGTCTTCTCCCAGGAACTTTGCGATGTCGAACTGTTGCCCGTCGAGCAGTCTGTCGATGTGGGGTTCCGATCTGCCATACTCAAGTTCAAGAGCCCTGCGGGCGCTCAGGAAGCGAAGAACATGCTTGACGGCAAGTCGAATATTTCGAACGACGCTGAAATGATTGTCGAAATCCTCGGTAGCTCAAACCCTCCCGCTCTTGGAAAGAGGTTCACGAATGATGCGATCATGACTGCCTCCGCTGCCGCACCCTCGACCTCAGTGTCAAGACAGGCGTCCAGATTCAATGGAACGTTCCAGTCGCTGGAGAAGATTACGCCTCCTGTGGGCAATATGTACGGAGAGTCAGCCACTCATGAGGCTGGTGCGTCGTACCAGAACATTTTCGGGCCCCAATCACCAATCGGAAACCACCTCGCGAACGGCGCCCATCACACCAGTAAGTCACTCATCGATTCTGTCGATGATGACGAGACCAAGGAGCTGCTGGAGGATCCTGTTGGCTTTGCAGAGAACGGTCCGCAGCGTCGTCAGACAGGGCCTCAACTGCCCATGTCCCGTATGGCCACTCTGTCGCTGAACACCACTCCGACCCCACCTAGCGCCCACACTCCGATGCCCTATTACAACCACCTAGGCATGGGATCACTATCCGGGCTCTCAAACGCCATGTCTCCGACGGCAATGGCCGGTCCCGGAATGGGCTACAATCCGCAGGCGCCATACCGGATGAGCAACTTTCCTCCTGCGAATCCAGCAGATCAAAACCCGCCATGTAACACACTTTACGTTGGCAATCTGCCCATTGATACGTCAGAGGAGGAGCTCAAGGCCATGTTCTCGAAGCAGCGAGGATACAAGCGGCTGTGTTTCCGAACCAAGCAGAACGGACCCATGTGTTTCGTCGAGTTTGAAGACGTTACTTGCGCAACCAGAGCGTTGCACGAGCTTTACGGAACGCCACTCCACAACAGCGTCAAAGGTGGCATCCGTTTGAGTTTCTCAAAGAACCCGCTCGGCGTTCGTTCCGTCCAAAACCAGGGACAAAATGGTGCCGGTGCAATGGGCGGCATGAACGGAATGCATGCCGCCGGTTCGACGAATGGATTCACCACCGCATCCGGTCCTCCGCCCGGGCTAACCGCTCCTCCCGGCCTTGGCATTAACCGCGGTGGATACGCACCATCCTCTGGTTTTAATGCTGCCGTGAATAACCTGTACAGCTCCCCGACTGCCTCCAACGCACCCGGTAACCCGTGGGCCGGCATGCACAACGGAAACGGGCACATCATGGCCGGCCCGGCTTCGGCTTTCCCGCCATATATGATGGGCCGTTGAGACGGATTGAAGGTAGCACCTGATACTTGGAGGCGTGCTTTCATCTCGCCTTGACGCGTTCTTATTCTTCTTGCCTCTAACCGACCGCGTGGCCCTCTTTCCTTAAATCATTTCCACGCTTGTCCTTGTGCGAACCACACCTTAACACTACACTCATCGGTACACGGTTGGTGAAAGGCAATTCTTCCTTTCCAGCTTGAACACTCATGTTTTGCGATTTCTTATTGCGTCATTCCGGTTGTTGCATCTGTCTGACTTGATTTTGCGGCGGGGCGTCGGATTCCTAGAGGTTGCCCTTTTGATGCCGCTGGGGCGTTGGGAGAAAGCAGTCTTGTTTGGGGGTCCCTGGTCTCTCGGCCACCTACCCCTAGCCACCTTGGGTTTCGCGCATATACCGTCATGACAAGCAATGCAAGGGACAAGGGCGCGGAGTTTGAAGGCGATATGGGAATATCATGGCCTACTGGCGTCACATCGGTTTAACATTATCATCACCGTCACCATCATCACCACCACCAACCACCACCATTATGACGGAAAAAGGAGCATAGCACGCGGTACAGGTCTCTTTTTGCGGCATTAGGCATCCGTTGGAGTTCTGGCAAAGGCAGCGTGGTGCACATGGCACACCGCTGGAGAGAAGGCTGCTTTTGCCCGGCGACAGACAGACGCCCAGATGAGGCCGTTGCCGCTGAGGAGATTTGTTCCGCTTGGCAATGGTATTCTGAGTCCAAGTTTGTCTACCAGATCGACGAGCTCCGGTACCACGGTCCAATACGGCGACACAGGAGTGCTACTCGAGATACGATTTGGGAGTTATCGTTGTCAGGTCCTCCCCTGGTCTGTGTACGACGACAAACTCCGGCTCGTTTACGGCGGGACGAATACGACCGGTCATAAAGATGTCGGCGAACGGAAAAAGATCTAAGAAAAAGAGACGGACAAGGAACACGGGAAACATCATGTCAGGGGAACAAAGAACGCACAGGCGCATCTGAGATACCATCAAAACACGGGAAGGGAGGGTTGATATAGCACCGGCGCTTTATACACCATCGGGAAAAGGGTTACATCGAGGGTTGGCTTTTTGGTCGCCGGGCCTGGCATCGTTTCGTTTGGGCTCCATCGGAAGGCTGCGCATCTCGAGATGGCATCGGCGCCATCTTCTGCACTACTTGTCCCATTTAAGTTCTCATGTGATGGTCTTTTCTTTTCCTGTGTCAGCGGAGGCCGTCGCGCCTGCTGGCTGGGTTGCGAGTTGACTCGAAAGGGCACTAGTCCTCGCGAGGATATCCATGACCCCCTGCGCACCACGACGGCACCAGCTATCTTTTTTCTCTTCCTTTTCCTTTTCTCCTCATGAACAGGGTTATCATAGCAGTGGTGTTTCTTTGATCCGACCGAGTCGTGCGCATACGTCATTCATCGCTGGGGTTTGGGGTTGTTGCTGATGGAAAACGGTTTATTGGGAGGATACCTTTGGGATTTGTGGGTTGTGTTTGGTTGATTCCCTGGGCACTGTGGCAGATGCATGAGGGGAGGTGGAGTTGTTTTCGGTTCGACTACCCATGTGCTTTTCTTTCTCTGCTTTTCTCTTTTCCATGTCGGGAGCCGGTAATGGATGCCTGGGACTGTATCGGATGAACGATGGGTTGCAAAAAGCCTTCTCGTTCTCCGTGTCTACGTACTTTGTCTCTCAGATAAGGAACCATGAGGCTTGTGTCGTCCGTGGCCCATCTACCTACGCCCATGCATTTTCCCGTCGTTTGCTGTCACCGGGCTCCGACCGCCCCTTGGCGGATGCGTTGCACCCACCCCGACCCTCGCCGCCCCCGTCGTCGTCGGCCTTGTCGGCGGCGGCCCGGTTTGTGTTGGCAGGACAGGGCCATGGGAAACCGGAAGTTCGCACCGTTCGTTGCTGTCGAGCTCGCCACGCGGAGCCTCTTGACATATTGTGTACCCGTTAGCATGCTTGAGATAAATCCATTTGGTTCTTCGGTTATAAAGGCACTCGATCAATCGTGAGGGACCAAACTCTGACTATGCTGCCCTTCGGCGGCTCCCTCCGCGGCTACCCCTCTCCCTGGGACGAGTAGCCCTATCTAACGTAGAGGAGAGGTCCAAGGGCCATCCCACCTCACTGCCTTCACTCGTCGAGTAGGTTGTGAAGGGGCGAAGCTCCGTGGCAACGCAAGGTTTCAGGTATTCCGATATCTCAGGTTCTGTGGCTGCACACGTCTCCGGAACGCTACTTTAGGGTAACACGGACGCTTTGCCGTATATTAGTGGCAACGGTGGGTGATACAGAGAAGTGAAGCTCGCTAAAACCGAAGGACTCTTTAAGACATCGCACATATCGCCGAAACGTTCCATACCCACCGCGCCACCGCACCAACCACGGCATGATCCCTCATGTCCTCCGCGACCCCGTGACATATATCCCCCATAGATCCTTCACCAACCCTACCCATCCCCTCAGCCTCCTCGTCAGATTCAGCATGGATAAGTACCTCCACACGAAAACCTCGACCCGCTCATAATCATGCCCATACACCTCCCACACGGCCTGCTTCCTCTCGCCCTCCCGCTCCCGTCCCCCTGCGACGAATTCGAAGCCCCCAGCCTCCTCGCCCGCAGCATTCTCACCACCACCATCATTAGGCACGTCGACAACCCTCAGCTTGGGCCCAACAAGCAGCGCCCTGCCCCGGATCTCCTCATCCGCCATCAGCCGTGTCGCGGCATCGACCACGTCCTCCAGCTCGGCCTTCGCTCCGCCCGCCAGAAGCGCCAATGCAGCCTTGGGAAGCAACGGCGTGTCGACAAAGTAGGGCGTCAGCGCGTTGACGCGTATGCCCCGGGTCGTCCACGCCGTGCCGCGCAGCACGCGGAACAGGCCCATCACGCCGTGCTTGGAGACGGTGTACTCGGTCTGGCCGGGCAGCGGGGACAGGCCTGCGATGGAGGATATCAGGAGCAAGTGGCGGTCGCGGGCGGGGCTGGACGAGAGAGAGAGGTAGAAGAGTGCCAGGTGGGTGGTGTACATCACTCCGGTGAGGTTTACGGCCAGGACTTTGAGGGCTGGTGGGGGAGGCGGGCAGGCGGCATCATCGTTGTCGAGTGCAACGGGGAGGTCGAAGACGCCGGTTGAGGAAGGGTCCTTCTCAACAATGCCTGCGCCTGCGACGACGGCGTCGATGGAGCCGGTTGGAGAGGAAGCGGCGGCGGCTCGGAAGAGGGCGAGTTGGTCTGTCCAGGAGGTTACGTCGCAGTGTCGGTAGGTGATGACTTGATCCTCGGTGGCAAAGGGAGAGCAGCGCAGCTCGGCGACGAGTTCCTCGCCGGCGCGGTCGTTGACGTCGCCGATGATCAGGTGGGCACCGTACCGAGCCCAGTGACGGGCAAAGGCGGCACCAAAGCCGGACGCGCCACCCGTGATGAGGATAGTCTTGTCGGCGAGCGTGGACGTGTCGTACGGCTTACTGCAGTCAACGGGGGGTGACAGGTTGATCATGTCGGCGGCACTCCAGGGGTCGCCTCTAGAAGGGACGGCCATGTTGAACTGCCTATGAATATGTTAGTCAAAGCGTATCAGATACTGGTCAGAATTTCATGTTGGTTGGTGCTGTTCCAGCAGTTGGGTCTCTGCCCCTGACTCAACTGATTCGGCATCACATCCGCGTCGATGAACCTGTAACTGGACTCCCACCTCGCTCTCCGGACCGAGTCTGTCCCCCACTGTCCCTCCCACAGGGCTGAAACCGCAATGTGAAAGTAGAAATGCGTCTCACCTTTATGTCGAAACAGGTTGACTGCCTACACCAAGCAGAGGGTTAGCTGAGACAGAACACATAAAGGACGAGGTATCAATACGATAATGCATGAGAGTTTCAAGAAACCTGGCCCTGCAAAGCACCAAAACTCACAAACAAGCTAGAAAGGAAAGAAGAAGAAAAAAGAAAGAAGAAACAAGCCCAGTATCCGTCAGCTGCCAAGGGCGCTTTAACCATGAGGCAAATAATCCTTGTCAGGGCAACGAGCTAATGCGCAGTGAAGCCAAGCTAGCGATGAGGCGCTCTCGGAATGGTCTCGACGCTGTCCTTGACTCCCCAGTAAGCATGTTGAGTTGCGCTGCGCGGTGATTTTCGCAGGGGTGCCGTAGCTAAACCAGAAAGGCGCTGGATGGTGACCCGAAGTTGTGCAACACACCCGACACTATGCCTTGGGGAATGCGCCTCCTCGAAGTCCGCCTTGGCCCTCAATGGAACATTTCTCACCTGGTAAGTTATCACAAAGTGACAGTATCCCATGCAGATACCGCTGCCCTTTTCCAGGATTGTTGTTCACCGGCTTTGCCAGTGTGAGGTCTGTTGTAATGGGTGTTGGCTTTTGTTCAACTGACTTGGTGTGCTTGGCACAGAAACATGCCGTTGAACATTAACATATAAGAAGAAGGCGAAGCGAGCTTGAAACATAACTGGCTTCGAAGGTCTTGCCACGTGGAATCCTGCCAGGGGGATCATCGGATGGTACGAAGTACTGCAAGCAAAGAAAGTAGTCGCGTGGGATCGGTGTCGAAAAGGGTTCTGAATCTAGAAAATGACCAACATTTAAGAAGCCCTGGCCACTCCCACGCGGGAGGACCGACTCGTGATATCTCACATGGAATTGCCGATTATGTGCTTCGACATGAATGCAACACCTGTTGCGATTAATGGGGTCTCTTCCACCAATTCCATGGAAGCACTTGTGTTCTTCTCAGCCTTACACGTCTGACAGTATACTAAGGTAGTAGTTTAGAGACAGACCCTTGTCAACGTGGAAGTCAAGGGTCTCAGGGAAGTGGAGAGCTGCCCCTGCTTTGCCAGACCGCCCGGCTCCACGGTCACCCCACCGGCTCCGATTGCGGGGGGCCGCCCAGCATTCAGTGGCGGGGCATTGAGCGGGATGGCGAGACAAAAAGTTCAAAACACCGAGTCCAGATCAGGGAAGACTGACTCACCTGTCGGGATATATATTTCGTATATTTCTCCTTCCGCTGGAAGCTTGACCGCGATTACTACGGTAGACAGTCCATTGCATTCACAGAAACTGCCGAGCATGCCTCAATTACCAACAAAGAACTGCGGTAAGCTTCCGAGACCGAGCGAAGTTTTACTCCGCCGAGAGGTATTGCATCATGAGTAGGTACTCACTGACGACGTGTCCCTTCACAGGCGTCTTGGGCTGCACCGGCTCGGTCGGCCAGCGCTTCATCCTCCTGCTCCAGCAACACCCGTCCCTGCGCCTCGTTGCCGTTGGCGCCTCCTCGCGATCGGCCGGCAAGAAGTATCGCGACGCCGTGCGGTGGAAGCAGTCCAGCCCAATTTCGCCCGAGGTCGGCGACCTAGTCGTGCGCGAGTGCAAGGCGAGCGAGTTCTCCGACTGCGACATTGTCTTCAGCGGGCTCGACAGTGACGTCGCCGGCGAGATCGAGAAAGAATTCCAACAGGCGAATCTGGCCGTATTCTCCAATGCGAAGAACTACCGCCGCGACCCGCTCGTACCGCTCGTCGTGCCCACCGTCAACCTTGACCACCTCAACTTGATCCCGCATCAGCGCAAGACGCACGGCCTGGAGAAGGGCTTCCTGGTGTGCAACAGCAACTGCGCCGTCATCGGCCTGGTTATTCCCTTCGCCGCGCTGCAGGCGCGCTTCGGCAAAATCGACACCGTCTCGGTCGTAACGATGCAGGCCGTGTCCGGCGCAGGGTACCCTGGCGTGAGCAGCATGGACATTATGGACAACGTGGTGCCCTTCATCTCGGGCGAAGAGGACAAGCTCGAGACGGAGGCGCAGAAGATTCTGGGCAGCATCAACGCTGATGCGACCGCCTTCGAGGAGCAGAAGACGCTTCGGGTGTCAGCCGCATGCAACCGCGTGCCAGTCATGGACGGTCACACAGCATGCGTGTCACTGCGCTTTGCCCAGCGGCCACCGCCAACGGCCGAGCAGGTCAAAGAGGCCATGCGCAGCTACGTGTCCGAGGCGCAGCGGTTGGGTTGCCCTTCGGCGCCTGAGCCGCCCATCAGGGTGTTTGACGAGCCTGACCGGCCGCAGCCCCGACTCGATCGTGACCTGTCCAAGGGCTACACCGTAAGTGTCGGTCGTGTCCGGGAGGATGAGAGCGGTATCTTCGATATCAAGTTTGTCGCTCTGAGCCATAACAGTAAGTGTCTTTGAAGTTTTACCGTGTCTCGACTTCGATTTTCGCTTGCTAACGTCGTTCTAGCCGTCATCGGCGCTGCCGGCTCATCCATTCTAAATGCCGAAGCCGCCGTCCTCAAGGGCTTTGTCTAAGTGGATGTAACACCATGACAGCATGTGCATGCGTTCAGCACCGGCGTTGAGGTTGCAATGGCCAGGGATGCGCTGTTGTGATTCTGTATTTCAATGGGTAGCCATGTGGTGGGACCCGGGTTAGTTGATTCCCATAGGAAGCAGGCATAAAGCCGGCCGGTTCGGATATTGTACGCATGACCGGGATTGGTTGCTCATGGTGGTGAGGATCGGTCCGTGACTAGCTGCGGAATATATCTCCGTGACACGGACACCACGTTGCCAGTTCAACCCTAAGATCCGGCGTGCGAGGAGTGGGTAGAGACATGGACTGGCGGTCATCATGTCGGTATGCGATAGTGATCCTCGAAAACTCCTGTGCGACAAAGCTCGCTCCTGTGCGGCTTCGGTTGTCTATGTGGAGGGTCCTGTCGACTACCTAGACGAAGGCCGACATACCCGGGGGCCAAGCCGGAGCCAGGTTCCAAGAGACCGGGATAGTGAGCAGCTACGGCCGGTTAGGCGAGGCACGCGGCACGCGCGCGAGAACACGGCCCAAATCGGAGCTTGCGATGTGCCACAACAGAGTAACGTTAGCTTTGAGCGGTCTGGCACTGTCTGGGCACCTCCTCGGTGCGCAAGCAGCTTTCCACAGCAGGGTCCCGAACGGCCTAACCCATCGAAACGGGATCCATGTTTGGTGGAAAGCCCGGATCTGAGACAGACGAGTCATTCTCAGAAGCGCGGGACAATGTCTCTTTCGTTGGCCTCGTGTCCGGGGCAGCGGGTAACTTCTCCTGCGGGTGTGCTTGTTGAATGATCGTCGTCGAGGCGGCAGAACCTGGAACCGCCACGCTCGGTTCTCGGTTCGCTCAACGGCCGAAGCGAAGCTGAAACCGCATCCCTTCATGCTATCTCGGTCCTTGGAAACCGCAATATGACCTTGCTCTATACATACCAAACGCAGAGTCGGGAGCGTCGAGTCCAGTCGGTTTAGTTGTTTGTTGGCGACGAGTCAAAGGGACGATGCAGGCGCTTGTCCGCGTTGGACCGGATCATAGATGCAGATGGGAGGTCCATTCAAACTTCAGCTCACCAAGCAATGGCCGAGGTTTTGTTATTATTTTAGGACATCCGAATGCCCAGCTCGGGGTTAATGTTAGGTAGCAACGGTCTGCTGTTCCGTTCCCGTTCCACTTCGGGCCATTGGTCGCGCGATCCTTGTAGGTTGTGTGTACGTCGGTACCTGGGTAGGTCCCTGTAACCGTTACGTACCCCCAACCTGCACTTACCTCCCATCAATCCACAACCCCGCGGCTTCAAGAGAGAACTCTGGAGACTGCAGTCGACAACTAACCCGACTGCGTCGGTTCTTATGCGCCATGTCGGCAGAAGAAGCAACAACAGCGGTCCACGAAAATGGAGCGACGAACCAACCTGCAGCAGCGGCGCTCAGCGAAGAGACAAAGGCGCAAGTGCAAGATGTTCTAACATCCGAGGTGCGCGGTCCGTCTCCATCATCGCCACTTCGAACTGCACTTACACTGCTCGTCTAGATTGGCATATCGGTGATGCTCAACCGGCTCAAGCAGAGCATAGCCTCCGTAAAAGTACGCAGCTTCCCCACCCCGTTTCGGAACCGGTTGTGCAGCTGCTGACTGTTGGAGCACAGGAGTTTGCCCTGTTCCTCAAGAAGCGCTCCATCCTCGAAGACGAACACGCGAACTCGCTCAAGAAACTATGCAGAACGTCGCAGGACAACATCCAACGCGGAGATCACCGGGGAGGCACCTTTGGCAAGGCGTACGAGGAGATGATGGCCGTCCACGAGCGCATGGCCGACAACGGGTTACAGTTCGCCATGTCGCTGCATCAGATGTCTGAAGACCTGACCGAGCTGGCGAACATTGCCGAGAAGTCCAGGAAGGGGTGGAAGCAGAGCGGGCTGGCTGCCGAGCAGCGCGTGGCCGAGCTCGAGGCCGCTATGCGCAAGTCCAAGACCAAGTATGACGCACTGGCTGAGGAGTACGACCGCGTCCGCACCGGGGACACGGCGGGTCGACAGGGTGGGAAGATGTTTGGCTTCAAGGGGCACAAGTCGGGCGCCCAACATGAGGAGGATTTGCTGCGGAAGACCCAAGCGGCAGATCAGGACTATCAGGGCAAGGTTCAAGTGGCGGCGACGGAGCGGACGGAACTGGAGACGAAGACCAGGCCCGAAACGGTACAGGCGCTTCAGGATATTGTGAGGGAGTGCGACTCGGGACTGGCATTGCAGATGCAGAAATTCGGTACGTTGTTTCCCCGTTGTTTCCCGAGTCCGGGGAGATTGAATGGCCCAGAATACTGACGGATCCGCAGCTTCGTTCAACGAGAAGCTAGTGCTCAGCAACGGCCTTGCGATCAGCCCCCTCAAGCAAGGGGCCGAGTCGCGCAGTTTACGGGAGAGCATCCTTGCCATCGACAACGACAAGGACCTCAGCGAGTACCTGAGCAGCCACCACTCCAAGCTTCCCCCAAGGACAGGGCCACCGAAGTATGAACGCAATCCTGTAGGTTCCGTTCCTTCTTCCACGAGGCCGCGATTGTAGTTAACCAGGGCAGCTTCTCGAGACGCAGCATCGAGCGGGCACTGCCACCCAGAACCCGCAGCCGCAACCAGCGGCGAGTGCGGTCCAGAACCAGCCGCCGCCGCCAGGCATCTTCCAAAATTCCAGGTCAAGTACCTTCTCCGACCCTGCCCTTTCCGCACCAGTCCAGGGGTCCATGGGTCACAGCCACGGCCAGAGCATGGGATCGCTTCCGCTGCTGGGCGGTCCTCCGCGGCCGTCGTCACAACCACAACATGAGAGGAGCTTTAGCCACGGAAGCGCCATAAACCAAAGCAGCGGGCCGGGCCAACAGTATCGGGGTCCTAGCCCGCAGCAACCACAATCCCAAGCGTCCAACAGTAGATTCAACAATGGCTCGTACAGCTCTACGCCGGGATCTCAGGGGCCGCCGCAGCTTGGGGCTTTGCCTTTCCAGACTGCCCAGCCCCAACCGTCTCAGCAGCCAGCCTATGCACAACCGCAACCGCAAGGCAGTTCAGGCTCCAGCGCGCCCCAGCAAGATGCGGCGATGGGGCCTCCCCAGGCGCAGCGGCAGTCGCCACCAGCGGCGCTACAGTTGGCTCCATCGCGGCCAATGTTTGGTGTCTCTCTCTCCGCGCTCTATGAGAGAGATGGGCTGGCGGTACCGATGGTGGTGTACCAGTGTATTCAGGCGGTGGATCTGTTTGGCCTGAATGTCGTGGGCATCTACCGGCTGTCTGGCTCAGTACCGCATGTAAACAAGCTAAAGCAGCTCTTCGATACCGGTATGCCGACCTTGTCTTCTTCCCCGCTCTTTTCCGCGTGGCCAGCTAACGGTGGCGTAGACTCCCGCTCAAGCAATCTCGACTTCCGAAACCCAGAGAATTTCTTCCACGACGTCAACAGCGTCGCCGGGCTGCTCAAGCAGTTCTTCCGCGATTTGCCCGAGCCGCTCATGACGAGGGAGAACTACTCGGCCTTTATCGAGGCAGGCAGTAAGTCGTACCTAGCTATTTCAAGTCGGCAACTTTATCCAACAGAGACCTAACCGTGCCGATCAGAAAACGAAGACGACATCGTCCGCCGGGATTCCCTCCACGCCATCATCAACAGTCTCCCAGACCCCAACTACGCGACACTTCGCGCGCTGACGCTGCACCTGCACCGCGTCATGGAGAACTCGGCGACAAACCGGATGAGCTCGCAGAATCTGGCCATCGTGTTTGGCCCGACGCTCATGGGCACGGCGCCCGGGTCCAATATCTCGGATGCGGGCTGGCAGGTCAGAGTGGTGGACACTATTCTACGGAACACGTATCAGATCTTTGATGATGACGATTGAAAGGGGTTCGACGTGGAGGAAGTCCCGCTGGTGACGGGGTGTAATAGTACCGTGGCGCCTGATTCAAACGATGAAACGAGGAGGGAGGAAGCCAGCTACGTGCCATGGGAGGGGGTTTATAATGATCTACGGTTGCCTCGCATTTATTGACCATGTGGCCATCAGAAGCATATTTCCAAAAGCTGGTGTATCACGGGTAGCATAGGATTCTTTAGCAGGCGGCTTTTATATTGACTTTATTATTCCAATCCCGCAACACAGTGGCTATATGTTAGAGAAAACCGACAACGAGCCTGCTTTAAATACCCCTTTCAATGTATGCATTGTAATCTGTTGGCATGGTGATCCGTTATGTCAAGACGTGCGGCAGCTGTCCATACCTTCAGGTTAGTTAGCACTCGATGCCAAATGAGCCTGAAGCTCAAAAGCACGAGTCAAGCATCTCCTGGCAAAGAGATAACAGGACCAGAAACGGAAACTGCATTTGGCGGGACGACCAAAAGCAAACATGAGGAAGATAGGGTGTAGAAAAGGGAGAAAAAAGCAAACTCCTTCGGGAAGGCTCGAACTTCCAACCTCCTGATTAACAGTCAGACGCGCTAACCAATTGCGCCACGAAGGATTTGATGTTCTTTGCACTTCAAACACCGTCCTACCAAAGCACTTGCGAGCCGTACAGCACGGTCACATCTACAATACCGACTACAGAATCAGAATGTAGCATGCCAAACAAAAACAATATCCTATATTACTTACTTTGACTCAAGTGAGACTGCCGGGTGTACAATACATGGTGCTTTTACTGCTCATGGAATGATCTCTGCATATGTTGCAAGCTGCGGAGGAGCTTGTGTGCTGGTGAACTCGCGTCTTGCAATGATGTTTATTTGTGGGTAACTTTCCAGCATCCATTTGGTATTCTGCACGGGTTTGTGTTGACTGGGAGCCAAGCGGTGGATCTGCTGGTGAGGCCGTACTAGGTAAGGTAGTAGTAGTATGTGCACGATGCCTCTCGGACTAGGCAGGGCACCTTACTGTTGAGCGTCCTCAGCCTAAAGCCCGGCGAGGATGGCTTCCATAATCGATCTATGCCCAGATTTCCTCACGCCTCGCAATAGACTCATCGCAGCGTAACGCGTAGGGCATGATAGGTCAAGCAATGCGACATTCACAAGCAGATCATCAACAGGAACTCGGTATTGCCCTGATACATTCTATATGCTTTCCCACAATCTACACATAACATACGTCTCGTCTACAACGGCGCCCGCCACCTCATATTGATCTGTTTTCTCCTCACCTAGCCTCATAGTTAGCAAGGCGTTCTTTCCCTTTCCACCAGAGCATCACACATTGCGCAGGGTGGTATGACGACGGAGTGATGAGTTTTTACTTACCATCGGAGCGAGTGCAACAACTCCCAACGCAAGCGCCGCCACCGTCCCCACCAGCGACAGCTTATTGAACCCTTTACCAAGGATATCAAACAGGAAGCTTGGCGCAACCCTCGTCCCGAACACATCGATGCCGTATGCAAACACGAGGCTGGTGCTCTCGACGACGGCGGGTGCGGTGACGATCTGCTTAACGCCGAGCACGTCCCGCTCGTGGGTGATCACGCTCTTGGGGTCGATCTCGATGGCCGGGTGGTACTTCATCAGACCCTCCTCGGCCTCGGCGGGGGTTGGGTCGCGTCCGACGGGGCGGCGCGGCTCGAGAAGGGCGCGCGGGATGCCGACGATGCCGTGCGACTCGGGCAGGTAGGCCAGGACCTGGCGCGAGGTGATGCCTTGTCTGGTCTGGGTGACTTGCAAGGCCGAGACGGGGCCGCTGAGGACGTAGGACTGCGACACCACCGCGGGTCGGGCGACGGCTCCCGTGGGGATGTCGATGGGATCGAACGACGAGAATGTAGGGGCGTCGCCGAGCGGGCCGCGATTGTTGGGCTCGTGGCTCTCGTAGAGGTCCGAGACGACCATCTGGTAGCCTTTGATGGTTTGGGCCGTGTTGTCGCGCACGGAATACTGGCCGAAAAAGGTGCAGACAAACCAATTCTCGGCCATGGCGCACTCGATGGGCTTGGCGAGGTCGACGCCGTCGTATTTGGATGAAGTCAGGATCTGGCCGGAAACGGTGTCGAGGAGGTAGACGGTGAGGGTGCGGGAGGCGTCGTTGACAGCCGCGACCACGAGGGTGTTCGGGTTGAGGTACTTGTACTTGACCCTGCGATCGCCGAGGACCCGGCCGATGGAGGCAACAGGGTCGTGGGGTGATCGGCTCGCGATGTCGACAATCCTCTGCCCCTGAGGCGGGTGGAAGGTCCAGGAAGTGGACTCGAACGAGCTCGTGCCGTTGGGGACGAAGACAACTCCCTTCAGCTCGCCCGCCGTACCTCGCGTGACAACCGTCGTCCGGGGCGCTACATGCACGGGGAGCTCACCGATCTTTCCACCGCGACCAATTCGCAGGAGCTTTTGTTGCCCCGAGTAGGTGTCAATAAGAGCGGTGCCCTGTGTGGTGGCTTCCGGACTCGGGCCCTTGGCCTCGACGACGTCGCCAGTGTCTGCTTTCAGGACCACAAAGTCGTTGTTGGAGCCGAGAATCGTGACGTGCCCTGTCGAGTCGTGCACGTGGATCCCCTTGACATCCCAGCTGCTGTCTTTTGGAATCCTAAACGCCCTCTTGCTCCACACCATTGTGCCGTGGTTGCCGACATCGAGGCCGTACAGCATCCCGCGCTTGGTGGCCAGAATGACCAGCTTGTGGAAGCCGAAAGTATCCCGCACCAACTTGCCAGATGACACTTCGGTCCCGAGAATACCGCTCCTCAGCCTTGACGGAACCCCCTCGAGCCAGGCCGGGAGATATCGGAGGTCGTTGATATGGCGCTTGACCCGGTGGACGTAGGCGTGGAGGGGATTGCTATGCGCCTCCTGCTCGAGCGTCCTCGCCAAATCCTCGCTCTCGGGAATCTCAGCAAAGGTGGCAGCAACGCCTCCACTCATGCCCTCGGGACGGGTCCAGGCAATCTCGCCGTTGCGGATCAGCACCCAGTCGTCCGCATCTGTCACGGCTGCAGCCCTGACCGCATAGCTCTCCCCCTCGCCGGCCTTCTTGATGACTTCGGAAACACCGTGCAGCGCAGCCGTTCCCATATCAGCGCCCTTCAGGGGCCAGTGCCCTAGCGCACCATGGGACTGCGATGACAGCAGGATCACTTCGTCCTCGGTGATGCGGGTAAAGTAGACATTGGCGCCGTTCGAGCTGGTCGAGAAAGCGCCAGGTCCGGGAAGCATTGGCAGCGTATACGCCTTGGAGATCGTGTTGGTCTTGAGGTCGATATGGAACACTTCGCCTCGGTGCGCAGTCGACGTTCTGCTGTGCACCAGGAAGTGAGGCCGCGACTGCACTAGATGCGGCGCGTGGATCTCAACCGCGACAGTCCCCTCCGACAGCGGGAATTCCTGCCGGGTCTTGGTCCCCAGCACGTTCACCATGAGCGTCTTCCGGGCGTCATCCGTCCAGGCCACAATCGGCGCGGCCGAGTTCGCCCCGACAAACATGACGTCCTCCCTGCCGTGCACATCCGCCTTGGCCCCGATCACCATCTCGTCCAGCTTCCTGCCCGTCAACGTATCCAGCACCGACACCTTCAGGTTATACGCGCCGGGTGCGCCCTTGAGCGACACGACAAACACCTTCTCCACGTTGGTGCTGACCTGCAGCGGCACGTCGCGCGTGACCTCGCGATGCTCCCACACGACGCTGCCGTCCTCGGCGCTCAGCCTCTTGAGCACCGTCGCGCCGCGCTCCCCGCCCAGCTCCTCCGCGCCCTCCTCCTCCTCGAACAGCACCAGCACATCCTTCCTGCCGGGCCCGCTCTCCGTCATCTCCATGACCTCCAGATCCCTGACCGGGCCGGCCAGCTCCACCCAGAACCGACTCCGCCCGCTGATGGCATCCCACGCGTGCACGGCCGCGCCATACCCGCTGACAACCCACCCTTCGTCCTCGCCTGCTCTCAGGAAGCCAGCACTCACCCCCCCTTCCTTCTTGTTGTTACTATTACTAGTAGCAGTACCACCCTCATCACCCCCCCGGCGACTGTGCGTCGTCGAGGTCGAGGAGAGGACCGAGTCCCTCATCAGGTACTGCCGCCACAAGACCTCCCCGTTCCCGGGGTTGACCGCACCGACCACGCCGACATCGCTTAGTGTGTACAGCAGGCTTGCGCGGTCGTCGGGCCGCGGGCGGTGGAAGAAGGTGGTCTCGCGCTGCGGCAGGCCAATGAGCAGGTGGTGGTAGTCGATGTGGTTGACCTCGTCGCGGAAGACGGCGTGGGCGGTGTGCGGGAAGGCGGCGAGCGGGAGGAGGGTGGTTAGGAGGAGGGATGGTGAAAGGGGGGTTCGCATCTTCACTTCTCGTCGTCCTTTTAGGGATGGTTTTCAAAAGGGGGACGCGAAAGTGAGAGGTCCAGTAGTGGCGGGCAACCCGCGCTGCTGGGTTGTATCTTTAACTGGCCGGCTTCTTGTGTTTTTTTCTCTCTTGGGACCGTTATCGCGTTGGTGGGCCGTGCTCCATTACCGTATCAAATTGGAGGTGATGCTCAACGTCCAGCTGCGAAACTTGCCTGTGGTGGTCGAGAATCCTACTGGAGAAGCTGGAGCTCCGAAGCTCACTAAGCCGCGGAATGGAGCTTCTCCAAAAGGTGTGACGTTGAATCAAGCCTGCTGTGGGCACACAGGCGGAGCCGCTTGCCCCTGTCAATGGCCCGCCCGGCCTTGGCGCCGTGATGTCAGATGGTCAACGAACGAGACCATCATTGATAGGGGAAGGAAAATCTGCCTCTGGAATGATGCGTGTGCTTCTGAGGATCAAGAGTCATTTAACGTGATTTGCTCTCGAGTAACTGAAGTCTTTGTGAAACTCATGTTCATAGTTTTCGAGGTCTTATGAGCGCTTAGTTGTGGGACACTTGGAGTACCACCCCAATCCTGTCTGCGGACGCTGTCCACTTCCCATCTTCCTATACCGACAGTACCTTACGTACAAGTACAATCAAACCTCACATTACCTACTAGCTGCGTCAGACTTGTACGTACAATATCCCAGCGCCGTAGACTTAGGTTGGTCGGCAGCTAACATTCCAAGGTTGCTTGGAGTACGAATGTCCTCCACTTGGGTATCAAGCCAACATATATCCGTACTGTACTCCACAAACCAACCACACTTTACTGTGTAGCACAACGCACAGGCAACCTCCGCTTGCTGATCAAGTGGACGACAAGATATGTGTGTCCGACAACTCCACCCCCGAAGTACAGCGGAAAAGGGAAGCATTGCTTCCGTCGTCCCCCCTCTTGACCGCCCTTTGCGGGGGCCTCAGTTTTCGTCCACACGCCTCTCGATCTTCATTGGCACGCAGTTCCACGAGCAACCAACCCTCAGGAAAGGCACTGGAACCGCCTGGCCAGCCTCGCCCAGTGCCGTAAATCTGTCCGTGTCAAGAAAAACTGTCGTCCGCCCGATGTGCCGAAACTCAACCCACTGCGCCACCGGTGCAATTGTTTGCCTCCCACACACCGAGCAGTTGAGTCCCTTTTCGTGGCAGATATCTGCCGCCCTCTCAACCGCGGCCGCCAAATGTTTCGGCCGCTCCCCTCCTTCGCGGAGCCATGCCATGACGACGTCCAACTGTCCCGAAGCCACGCAGGTGCCGAGAGCTAACTCAAACAGGGATTTCACCCCTTTCGCCTTCACGGTACTGCTGGTGGTCCGGGAGTGGAGCTGCATCTCTAGGTCCCTTGGCGCGGCGAGCTCAGTGAAAGGCTCCAACTCCAAACTAGAGTCCTGAATGGTGCCCGGTTTCAGGTCGGGGAGTGCGAAGCGGGAGAGGGTCGCGCCGGTGCTGTCCATGAACTGGACAGGCGTCCGGAATCGGACTCTCGTCGTGAGCCCATACCAATCGGGCCTTACTTTGACATTCGGGCGGGGGCCAAACGTGCGCTCTTCGTACTCGTTCGCGCCCCAACCAACGGCTAAAGCGGTGTCCAAGTCGGGCTGCCAAAACCGGTTGGGCAGGAAGTTCAAGTTGCGGAGCTTGCTGCCTTTCTGGAGGAGCCCCAGAAGTTCGCCAGGCAGGAATCGGAGCTCGTTCTGGGCGACGTTGAGGTGTTCTAGGTTCCTGAGCTTTGCAATGGCCGGTGGGATTCTCGCGAGCTGGTTGCTCCTAAGACTGAGGACGGTGAGGTGCTCGACGTTTAAAAGAGCGAGGGGAAAACTCGTAAGCTGAGTGCTGGACAGGAACACCTTGATCTGAGGGTCTCTCTGCTCGAAAGCAACGTCCTTAGCCACATTCGGTATCGGAGAGATATCAGAGATAGGTTCGAGAAGGCCTTCAGGGATGGTCTCCAGGGCCAAGCCACTGGATTGGGCAAGTTGGTTAGAGGAAGATATCAACAAACCGGGCTGAAGAGGCCGGCTCACCTAAGATCGACCTCTTCCCAGCCATTCTCAACGCAGGTGCGGATCTTGCTGTAAGCAATCCGCTCCGCCCACGTGGGCGGTGGCCGAGTCGGAGAGAGCGGCATCGTAGCGCGAGCCGGGGCGGGGGGTAGTGGTAATCTTGCAGCAGCGGGTTCCATATCGACAGCATCGTCCGTATCGCTCATGGTCCCGTCCGTTCCCATCCAGACACCGCTGTCAAGCTGTCTCTTGAACTCTCGCTTTGGGTGCTGGGCCGGATCGCCGACTCGCCTGGGCGGGGGGTAGCTTACAGGCGTGTCCTCGCCCACCCCAGAATCCGAGGATGCCGGGTGCTGATCAAACCAAGTACCAACGTACCGTCGCTTGCGGCGTCCTTCGTTCTGATAGTTGTCCAGGGTGGGATCATCGTCACTGGAAAATATGGCGGGGTCACTGGACGTTGCCGAGTGAGGAGGGGAGCTTTCGGCCTTTCTGCCTCGTTTCCGTCTAGTATTGGCGGGTAGCGAGACGGGCAAACGGGGCAGCGTAGGTTCCTCTTCTTCCATAGCTAATTGAAAGAGAACCCCGGGTTCGATTTTTGTGATTTGCACTCCTCAGGGCGGTCGATTAAGGAGCACGGGTGGCTACCTTAATTCTGCAGGCGCAGCACAAAGTCGGGTACTGTATGTAATATGTACTTGATACACGTGCCTATTACGCAGCAAAAGTTTGCGTCGAAACGCGACTGTCGGCCTTGAGAGTTTGGGAGAGCCAGGAACAGGTGTCAAGGTCGTATAGAATATATACAGTTGAATTAGAATGTCTGGGTCATGAGAGGAAAAGGTGGGAAAGAAGTCGCCGGCTCTACGCGTCAGTCGGTCGCGTCTAGAAAGTCAACATCCCGCCACCTCGGCCCCGCCAAGCCCCACACAGTACCGGGGAGCTCGAGCTAGCCCCAACTCTCGCTGGCGTCATTGAAGCTCGGGCCACCACAGCTACATAATAGGTACGGTAGGTGCACTGTACATGTAGTACTTATGCCTGTAGTTATAGTAACCCCGGTCATATCAGCTGGTCCCGTCGTCACTCTGTTCAAGGCCTCACACATCGTGTCACTGGAAGGACCTTCCAGTTGAAAAGTGGAAAGATTAGGGAACTTAACTAAGGTGAGGTGTGTTTGTTAAGCGTGTAGTACGCCTACTACCTAAGTATTTGGATGCGACTAGAGCTAAGGAAAAATGATAACGTCTGTGTGATGTAGGTCAGTACTAGTAAGTATGAAGAGACCGTCTCTCCCATGAACTGAACGCCTGAGGACCTGGCAAAAACCACGAATTGCGAGACGAGGTGTCTTATTGCCAGCAAAAGCAACTCATTCGCCAAGGCCAGAGACCAATCTCCATTATCGCAGAATGTCTCCCCTCCTATAATCAGCCTTCCTGTATTCCGGCGTCATGATCATGCTTCATCCGCAACGCCTATATGCGTCCCCACTTCCCATCACTGTGAAGTCATAGAGGACGAGACCTGATCGGCAAGCTCCAGAAGCTCGAGTTCCTCTTCCTCTCCGAGGTCGTCGTTAATGGCCTGATCAACCTGGTCGGCCATCTTGACCAGCTCCATTTCCTCGTCAGAGCCCAGGTCGTCGAACTCGGCCGTGGCCGTACCGGCGCTCACCTCCACAGTGTCCACCGTGGCAGTGGCGCTCACGCTTACGGCCATGCCCCCGTCCTCGGGCTCGTCGTCGTCCGAGATGTAGATGGGAGCCGACCCTCCGACCTCGCCTACGATCATGGACGACGCGGGCAGTCTTGCCGAGGAAGAATGCTGGGGCAGCAGCTCGTCGTCCGAGGTCAGGTCGACCACGATCTTGTCCTTGTCGTCCGCGGGACCGGGCAAGATAGCCGCGGTGAACGGGTTCTTCAGCTGCCACTCCCTCGCCTCGCGCTCCCACTCCTCCACCTCGCGCCTCTTCTCGGCCTCGTCCTTCTCCTTCTTCTTCTCCTGCATCTTTTTCTTGCCACTCCTGGCCATCAGGGCGCCACCGACGCCGGCGCCATAGCCATAGCCATGCTGCTTGTCCTCCCCGTCCTCCTGCTGCTGCTGCTGCTGCTCCTCCTCCTCCTCGTCGGCATCGTAGGCCGGTCCGTTCTCAAGCTCCAGCTTATAGCCGCATCCACCGACCATCTCGCCCTCCTTCGCGTTCCAGACCTTCTCACACACCAGCACGCGCTCCCGCCACTGGGCCGTCTCCCGGACCTTCTGGACCAGCCTGCCCCTCAAACACTCTGGGCAGCCGTAGCGAGGCGTGGGGTTGTCTCCAGCACCACCAGCCGGCGTGGGGGTCATGGTCATGGTCATGGCCGTGTTGGTATTCTCGTACATGTTCGGCGCCGCGGCTGGGAAGGGGTTGGCGATGCCGGTGCCGGTGCGGAAAAGCTCCCCGCCACCACCTCCACGGGGCGAAGAAGACTGCGCGCGGACTCGAGCCTCGGCCTGGGCCTGGTGGAATTCGGGATCATTCAGCGGGTCGCTCTCCAGCACCTCCTGGTAGTCGCAGTCCCGGACGTTATTGTAGCGGTTGCTACACACGAAGCGAAACTTGCCCTTGTGCGGCGAGTTGCCGTGCGGGTTGAAGCGGCTGCGGATGCGCCGGCCGGGACACTTGGGGCACGGTCCGTACTTCATGAGCTTGACGCCGGGGCTGGTGGTGGCAGGCGAATGGGAAGCCGCGCGGCGGGAACCCGGCGAGGCGCGAGAGCCAGCGGCGGCGGAGAGCTTGGGGTACGCCTTGTTCTTGTTCCCGTTGTTGGTGGACTTGGTCACCCGACCGCTGAGGACGCCCTGCCTATTGGAGCCCGGTCCGGAAGGGCCTTCTCTCTTGGAAGCTGTTTGAGAGAAAAAAGAAACAAAAAGTCAGTCGGTCGATCGAATTGGTGGAAGGAACAGTCAAACGAAAGAGGCAAGAAGCAGAAGAGATACCCACGTTTGCCACGAGCCATGTTGGATGAATCGACGCCGAGTAAGATATAAGTATCTTCAATGTGGCGATGACCAGGTCACTTGCCTGGGAAGAGGTCTTATGGCGAACCCTGAAGACCGTTAGAAGCCCGTCAAGAATCAAGATGCTCGAGACGGGTGGCTGTGGTTGCCTCAAGATGCCCGAGTTTCCATGAGTGATGCTTAAAAGCGAGGGGCCTGAGGTAAAGGGAAAGGAGCGTTTTTTTCTCACAAAGGTTTGGCTCTCGGTGTTTGAGCACCACACGGCCTCTCTGCTGCGGGTCACACGCTCAATGACGGGATACGGCGGAGAATAGAGCGGAGAGCTTGGGGTTCACACTGTCGAGCCCACCCCACAGGTGTAGACGACAAGAGGAGGTGTGTGGTTCTCACTGTGAAGCTGAGATACTCCCGGGCCGAAGTGGCTATGGGATGAATGAACGAATGTTGGGACGGGCGGGTATGGGAAAGAGGAAGCCTTGCCGCCTAAGGCAAATAAGGACTCGAACAAGAGAAAAAGGGGAGGGGGGCTTGCCTCTCTGGTTGTTGAAATAATTCCGGAGGAAAGAAGTGTGAATCTGGAAGCGGTCCGAGGATAAACAAGTGTGTTTTTCGGGAGCTCTGCCGAGAACTGCTTCACCCCAGGAGACAATAGCCTCTACGAAAAGCGAATACCTGCGCGGCCGGCAATAGACAATTGATGGTCTGGAGCCAGGGGTGCAAAGTGACCATCTAAGCAGCTTTCCGGTTCGCACGTCCGGGACCAGCATTTCATGTCGAGACTAGCACGCCGGGAGTAATAAAGAGGAGAGCGGCTCCGGGTAGGATACCATGCTCCCCTACATTCAATCAGTCGACAGCGGCAAGCTTACATTAAACAGCGACCAAAGACAATGGACAAACCCAGTGGCGCCTAATAGGATCTGTCCACTACATTGCTCACGACAAGCCCCCCAGGGATGGCAAGCCCGCATACGGCTCTCTGCTTGCCGTGATAACCTCCGGGAGTAGACTGGTGATCAACAATTAACAACAGCAATGAGCTGGGCATGTTCTTTTTCCTCCTAGCTGTATCCCCTCAGTATGTCCTCTTGATGATCGTTTCCAGCAGAGGAACTGAGGAACTCGATATCGACATAGAAGGAGCTATGGATAGCTTATGGTGTTTAATGATCTTAAATCCAGTGTTTGTTATCCTGCTAACTTGTGCTAAGACCTTCAGATTTCGAACTGTGTAATTGTTGTTGAAGAGTACCTATTGCCCATATCCATTCACAAGACATCTTGTCACATTTACACCGCTCAGGGCTCCAGGTAAGTGAGCTCAAGAGATCAGGTTCGATTAGAAGTTATACAGTTACCTTTTCTTCCACACTTCGTATCCCATGACGCAGCGAACCTCAGGCACGCCATCATCTCTTGGGTGTGTTCAAGTGCGTCCGCTTCATGCATGGGATTTAAATCATTGCCGTTTATGGCTCAACATGGAAAGAAGCGATTTCACATGGTGAACTTTGAGCCGTAACCCCTGTTATAAATCATTCTATAGATAGGTACCTGTATGTTAACATATCCTCGAACTTACTCCCTAACTCTAACTACAACTTCCTGACACTCGGGTACACCACCTGACTAGAATTCAAACCCCAGAATTCGCTATTTTATTCTCTAACTAGACATTCCTTGTAGCTCAGTAATACTCACCAAAACTTACCTCAGCTCGACGTTGGTTCACCTCCTGTCCTGCACGGAGGAGGAGCACACACTAGGTAAACCACGATCTTTCACACTACGCTTGTCTCCAGAGTTCAGACACTGTGGGCTACCCGTATCATCTCCTAAATCGTGGTTCTGCGACGTATAGGATGAGCTCAAGGTCCAGAACTCACGCGTCCTAGGTAGGCAAGCACCACACTCTTTCATTGTTTTTCAGTAGCTCACGTTGAGGACCGCGTAAGCTACTAACAAATGCTTCAAAGGAAGCACGGTCCTGTGAATGTCTGCCATGGATGTCCAGTGTTTATCAGGTTGCGATGCGACAAAAGGAAGCCTTTGGCCGTCTTCGGTGGATAGCGTTGAAGTGTGTGCCTTGGAACATATGATAAGGTAGCTACTAGTAGAGTCTTTGGCAGGAAACTGCATACCTGGTAGGCACCTGACGACCTTGCAGAAAGGTAACCCAGAGAGCCAGCAGGAACCCTTGTGGGTTTCCTCGACCCACAACAACGGTCTATTGCAGTTCTCTATATTTTCGCTCACACACTCATGGTTGGCTACAACGCATCCAACACATCTCTGGGGAACCATCCGACATGCTACCCCAAACAACCACCGCTTACGGCAGCAGTCTCTTTGGTGTTCGCGGATAGAACGCTGCCAAGTGGACACTCGGCAGGTTAAGATACCACGCCACAACACGGTCCAAGCCAATACCACCACCGCCGTGGGCGGGGACACCTGCCTGTCGGAAAATGTCGACATACTCCTTGATACCAGGGCTCGCGGGATCGATTCCCTTGGTGCGGATCCGCGCCTCCAGCTCGGCCGGGTCGTTGATACGTTGCCCGCCGGAGCAGATCTCCTGGCCCCTCATGAATAGATCATAGGCGTTCGTGACCTTGCGGTTGGTTGGGTCCTCCTTGGCGTAGAAGGGACGGGCGCTCTCTGGGAACTTGTCGAGGACATAGAAGTCGGTGTTGTACTTCTTGCGGATGAGCGCGCCGAGCGCCTTCTCCTGTGGCGTGCTCATGTCCTCGTCGTCGCTGACATTACGGAACTCTTCGGGGCCCTCTTCCCGAAGGAGCTTCTGGCCTTCCGCGAAGGTTAGGCGGACTGTCTTGCCGAGCTCGGGGAGGAGGAACTCCTCGGACGGATAGACCGAGCGGACCAGAGCAATCTCGTCCGCACAGCGCTGCTTGATGTTCCTGAAGATGTGAAGGAGGACGCCTTCGAGCATGTCCTGGTTGCCGTTAGCCACAGTGGCGGGTTCCCAGTCGGGCGACTTCGAGCAGCACATACCAGAACCTCCCGGTAATCCTTCTTGATCTCCATCTCCATATCTAGACCGGTAAACTCGGTCATGTGTCTCGGCGTGTTTGAGTTCTCGGCTCTGAACACGGGGCCGATGCTGAATACCCTCTTTCTGCCGCCTGCAATTTCAATCTGCTTGTAGAACTGGGGTGATTGAGCTTGGATGCGTTAGCACTTTCCACAGTCGTCGTAGAGCCAAGGACAACGACCCACCAAGGTACGCATCCTTTTCAAAGTAGGGCAGGCGGAACACGTTGGCACCACCTTCCGATGCCGCAGCGATAAGACAAGGGGGCTCAAACTCCTTGAAGCCGTGGGACCTCAGGTACGACCGGTACAGCTCCTTCATCTCGGCCCGAATGTCGGCAATAGCTTGCTGGACGACTGACCGCTTGTGCATGACAATGTTGTCAAGGTGCGTAAGCATACTCGCCGCTGGAATACCTGCCGGCTCACCGGCAGACGCAATGCTCAGCTTTTCCACACCCTGCTCCACTGGTACGTCCTCGTCGCTGAAGTTTGCAATCGGCCGGTTCGCCGCAGCGAGGGTCATTCCCAGAACGGCAGGCGCAGCGGCGTGGATAAAGCATTTGGTGATATGCAGCTCGTAGTTGGAGACCCGGCAGCTCTTGACGGGTTCGAGCGGCTTCTGCACCGTGCCCTCGACAACGACGAAGCTCTCCGGGTTGATGGCGCCAACCCACTTGACCATTGGCCGGCTGACAGGCGTGCCCTCCGGACTCGCGGCGACGACACCTTGAATTGACCAGTTACCCTCCTCGCGCAGCTCGACGAAGGCCATCTTGGCGCCCTGCATGCGCGCGTTCTGGATCCATGCGCGGAGCTCGACCTTTTTGCCCACATGCTCCTCGCCCAGCGTCTTGAGGTTAACCTCGACAGCGTCGGGGGAGAGCTTCGTCTCATGCGTCTCCTGGCCGTAGTTGTCCTTGGCGAGGTCCTCGGTCTGGGCTTGGGACCCGGACGCTGCTGCTGCTGCTGCTGCGCGCTCGGCAGCTCGGCGGGCCTTTTCGGCCTCCTTCTTCGCCTTGGCCTCGGCCTTCTTCGCAGCCTTCTTCGAGATGCTACCGTCCTCGCCGCCCTCGGCAGGAGGGGCCGCAGCAGGAGCCTCCGCTGGGGGAGGCGCCGGGTTCGTGGAGGGCTCAGCCATTTTATGCTCGTTTATCGGTGGGAAGGGCAAAAGTTCTCGACAAAGGTTCGAAATAGGTGGAGGATGGGCTCGGATCGAGTGAAATATCCGACGCCTCCAGCTGTCGCGTGAGTCGGATACTACGAGTCACACCTCAGGAGACCTCGGCCTGACACGTCCAAACAAGGAGTTGAGGGGCAGCCGATCTTTTTGGCGGGGCATGGAGGGGCAGCTTCAAGCAGGCTTATCAGGGACTCAACGGCGCTCTAGAGCCCTAACCCTGATATTGCATGTGGATGTCACTCTTAGAGATGTACTAGGACCTAAGGTACTTCTAACCTCCCATATCTATCTCGTTCGCGGTAATGACGTGTATGATAGATTGTTGATTGGGGAAATGGACTACTGAAGTCCGGAGCTATGCAAGAGTGAACCTTTCATTATCTGGTGGTTTCTCATCTTCTGACAGGAGAGCACGTGGACACCTGGTACTACAATATCCAGTTACCGGGCCTCCACATGTCTGTATCGCCGTAAGCGAATTTGCTCAGTCCCTTATTCAACTATCGAAGCAGCAATTACATCAAACCCAAACACGATCCACGGACCTATTTGTAGACGGCGGACGCACCTTTCAGACGCGGTTGGCAACCATGGGCCCGAAACGCAACCACAGCGCGCTTGCAGCGGATGACAACGAAGATCCGTCCTCCCGCTCGTCTAGCAAGCGACGCCGCGAGCAGCAGGGCTCGAAGCCGAGACAGGGAGAGGGCAAACCCGACCCGACTTACGGCCAGCGAGTCGCCTTCCCCGGTCTCGACGATGATGAGCCGGCGCAGGTAACCGACGATGACCTGGAATTCGAGGAAAACGGCGACGCGCTCGCCTATCTCAGAGCCGTCCGGTAAGTTTTACTTCCTTCCCCCCTTGTCCCCGCCATCATCGCCCAACATCTGCTAAACCGCTGTTCCCGTTCCCCAGCCGACTACAGCCCAAAGCGGCGAGATTGGAAGAGACATGGTAAGCTAATGGTAAGTATCTCACAGGCAAGAAGCAAGCAGCGTCCCGCATGTCCTGGTAGCGCCCAGAGCGGGCCCCCAGCTCCCTCCACACCTCCAAAGCTCGGAGGACATCGACCGCAGCATCTACGACAACGGAGTGGGCGACTCGCGCGGCTACTACCATGATGGCGCATACACCGCGATGCCCTCGGACTCCGCGTCTGTCTCCTCTTCAGAAGAAGAAGAAGCAGCAGAAGAAGGGGAAGAAGTCGATCCTGCGGACCCAGACCGCATCGCCGCGCGGAGCGCCGCGCTTCGCAAAGCCTATTTCGCCTCCCTGACATCGCAGTTCCTCGCCCTGCGGCGCCTCCTCCACCGCGACCCGCCGCCGCGCCTCGTCGCGTCCTTGTCCCGGGACCACGGCACCGAAGTGGGCTCCTTCGGCGCCAAGTCCTCGACCTTCCGCATCTGGACGTGGCGCATTCGCTACACGGACCCGCTGCCCGTGCAGGTCGCCGCGCTGGACCGGCAGAGTGTGCTGAAGCTCTTGCGCGTGATCTTGGGCGGCAAGTTCATCCGCCGCGGCTATGAGCTGCGCGAGCGGACGAGCCGGTGGATCTGGGCGTTGCTGGCGCGCTTGCCCGACCGCGGCGAGATGGATTATGCCGAGGTGGGGTGGGTGAGGGAACTGGGAAAGAGGGCGGTGCTTATGATGGTCAGTATCGCGCAGATGGAGGCGCTGAGGGAGGAGGTGGATGGGGATTTGGGAGGTGCGGTCGAAGGGGAAGGAGACGACGAGGATGAGGAGGGCGGATATGTGGGTGAGGTAGTTGTTGATGAAGGGGACGAGGGAAAGTGCGTTGCTGCGCCACAGGAGCATGACAACGGCAAGGACGAAACGGCGGGAGATGTGACGGAGTCCAAAATCGTGAACCCGAACGTCAATGCCGTGCAGGACGACGAGAACGGGGAGTTGGACATGGACATCGACGATGGGGAAGTATCTGATGACGAGGGAGCCACAAATGCTGGGAACAAAGACGTCGGAGCCGACGACTTGGCAGCAGCGAAGTCACGGCTTCTAGCCCGGCTCCAGGATGCCCAGGACATCAAGCCAGAGGAGCCTGCCGATGCCGCCGAGGCGGACGCTGACGAGCACCAGCGCAGCGGGGACGGTGAGGAGCCAGCGACTATGTTTGACGAGATCAGATCGCGCGTCAACATGCGGGCAACCCTGAACATGATTCTGACTGTGGCCGGTGAGTTTTATGGGCAGAGGGACCTGCTGGAGTTTCGGGACCCTTTTCCTGCGCTGTAAGTCTGACGGCCATGTTTGCATGTTGAAACATTCATGATGGCTACCTAGGCTGGGTCTATGTGTTTCCAAAGGTAAATTGTTATTTAATGTCTATACCATTCGCAGGGCGCTAGGGAAATGTAGCTATACCTGAAGACTTGGAACTTGAGTGAATCCGAGCTTTGGTTTTTGACAAGTCGCTGCCCTCGGTATGATAACTGATCCCACAGCTAAAACCTAGAACGCCATATGCCTTTGGAAAAGAATGCAGTTCGCAGAAGACCACCATGGTATAATGCAACCCGTTCATCCCAGCCGATCGAAGCGGAACCCAACCACACCACGTAATACCACCAACGCCAAAAACGCTACAATGCAAAACACACCAGCACCCTAGGCATCAGTTCGCCCTGTTAAAAACCGTAAGACCCCACTACTCAATCTCCATGTTCCCGTCCACGCCCAGTCCATAATCCAGGAAACTGGCCTCTTCGAAATCATTCCCATCCACCATGCCCTGGATATCGACCATGATATTCTCTTGTCCCACTCTCGCTTCGTCCCCGGCGGTCGCGACCTTTCTGCCCTGCCTGGGCCGCCGAGGCACAGCTAGCAACCGTGCATTCTGCCACAATCCGGCCGGAGGAGTTAAGCTGCGCGGCGAAATCTCCTCTTCAAGCCAAGCATCGTGGCTGTCGCTACGTAGGCGGAAGGGGCCGTTATGTTGTAGTGGGTTGCAGGTGATTTCGTCTTCCTCGGCGGTGAAGGAGCGTTTGCGGGTTGAAGCAGTCGCCGTGGTGGTATTGAGGTTGGGGCTCGTGAAAGAGGTGAAGTTGCTTGCATCGCTGGCTACCGTATCTTGACTGCTTGTGAGGCCGGGCATGGCATCTTCATCGTCAGAAGTGCTGTGTGCTGGTTGGAAGGCCAATCCTCCAACTTTATTGATTCCGCAGAATGGCTCGAGCTCGCGCATCGTTGACGCATACGCTGGCGTAATTGCTGCCGGAGTTTGGCGAGAATTCCTTGTGCTGTTGTTGGTTTCCGCCCAGAGCGAGAAGGCGCTGTAGGTGCTGCCCGTCTTGTAGCCTTCCGGGATGGCCTTGCGGACCCGCATGCCGACCGTCAGAAGGTCGGTTTGTACCTGTGGTGTGAGATGAGGAGAATCGAGGGCGGTCTGCTTTGTGGAAGTCGACGCAGAATCAGCGCATGTGGTTGAGGACGAGGTCTTCGCAAAGAACGAAGTGATTTGGCGTTGCGAGGGATCGCTGGCTGCGCCGGCGAATTGGCGCTTTGTGCGAGGGCCCGACATTGCCTTTTCTTCTCAATCCTGGGGTTTTCAATCGATTGTTATGTGTGCGCACGCAGAAACTGTCTTGAATAATGCTGTTGCTGTCGGGAATATCGTGTCGTGTGTTGGTTGTTGAGAAACGGATGGAAGGACAAAGAGGTTGGGAAAGAACGATGGGTTAATCGTGGAGGTTCCCAAGTTGGAAGTCGCGACCGCGTTTTGACGCGTTTAATTGAGTGGGGCCTTCTGCTATGAGGTGGTTGGTTGTCGCTCACAACTGAAGCTTCCCTCGAGTTAGCAGCGAGACCGTTGAACTTGTTTGCCAATAACGTTACCCAGCGGCGCATGTCCTTGAATATCTGAAGCATCCGCGTCCTTAACTTCAGGAGCAGTGCAGCCTTTTTGACTATTTCTTCTTTCTCCCACTAGGACAAGCCCTTCGCCGCAATCTCGCGTGTGCATGCTTGGGTAAGGCTCTTGTGAAACAAGCATTGTGGGCTCCTCAGCTTCGGAAGTGGCTGGATATTGCACCATGCCGATAAGCTCGTGCAGAACGGGCCACCGGCCATACCACAGTAGGTAGCATGAAACAATTCCAATTCGAGTCTGGCACAGAGAGCTTGGGTTCCAACCTTAAAGCATTCATGAAAGTCATCCATGGCGGCCAGGAATTGGCCTCGGTTGGGTGAAACTACTAGTATTCTAAAAATACACAACACCGTCAGGCCCCACGCATGTCATCTTCCACTTCCATTCATAACATCATCAAGGCCTTCATGCTTTGCAGAGGATTTCAAGAATATATAGCGTGCAAAGAGGGGTTGCAATAACATGTATATGGAGGGCGTCGCTGTGGTTGTCCCATTTAGTGCATAAAAGCCGGCCAGAGAATAGCACGGAGCCGGAGCATTATCCGTCACATCAGATTGTTGAGCATAGAGGTGTTGTGGTCATGGAATCTCATCAATTTGTCGTAGAACGCGACCCGATTTTCCCCCTCCCACTGCACCGAGGTCCTCGGCGGTCCTCAGCGATCCCACGTCCTCGCGTTTAGCAGCCTACCAGCCGCCCATGGCAGGTCCGTCTAAACGCTTGTGAAAATGCCTCTGCCAACGATCCTCCCAATGCAGTATCATCTGCCTGTACAGCCAAAGACAAGACCAAGGTTCGGAAAACGCAGATTGAGAGAAAGTCGGAGTAAGTCGATGATGCTAGATATCCGGACCCCAAACGCCATCCCAGGTTGCTGTGCGGGGTGATTTTTGGCGAATCCATCTTCTATCCGCAAATGAGATTGATTTGACGATCGAGTAATGAGTCTAGACGCCCAACTCAAGCCAGCCTTGCAGATACCGAGAAGATCCCATTACCATGCCATTATGCCCAGAGAAAGAAACAGCCCCAAACAGACCGCTTACTTCCTCCGGAATGAGCAGCCCTCGGTGAGTCTCGCCTTGCCACCGGTGGGCTGGCAGAGGACTGTCGTGCAGCCCTGGCAGATGACGACGGTTTGGGCGTGGGAGAAGACGGTGGTGATGGTGAAGCAGCCGGGGCACTTGACGTCCATGAAGAAGGAGCGGGGAGCAGGCACAAGCATCTGCGGATATTGTCAGCATCAGCCATCAACAAACAAATCATCTGCTTGCGGTTTGAGCGTACCTTGAGCTTGTGCTTGCGGGCCTCGGCGGCCGGGCTGGGGTTGAGGAGATCAACTGCGAGAACCTTGGAAATAAACAACCATCAGCAACATGGCTCAACCCATCAGAGCTTCATCCTGCCCGCTGATGTCCGTCTCTCTCCATATCGATCCATGATTCGTTGTAGCGCGGAGTATCGCCAAAGTCTATGATATTCGACGTCGATTTCCGGCCTTTTTTCAACGTGTCGTTGATGCAATCCTCGTGACCCTCAAGACGGACATCGAACGGGCAGAATCGCACAAAGTCGGCAGAAATTCGCTTCTTACCATCTTGTCTGATTATTTCCCGTACGTGGAAAGGACGAGCTGATGCTTGATTGATGAAATCTGGGTCGGTTGGCGGCAGACTTTGCTCGTTGATGGTTGCGGAGGGGATTTTCAGAGGCCCAGCAGGAGCAAAAGTCAAGAAGCAAAATTTGGGACTGTGAGGAGCGGGAGGCAAAATTGGCTAGCCTCGGCGACCCTCAGTTAGGGCTTGCTGGAGTGACCAATCATATGCAGGCTAACCCTTGCATTTGTCGAAAGAAGCGGAGCTGGACTTCCGGCGAGGAGCCTCTGAGGTGGTGGGGTTACACTGTACCACCGCGGAGGCGGGGCATCGAGGTACCTAACCCTACAAGGTACCTGGATGTATGCCATCACTTTCACTCGAGGAGCTAGCATCGCGTCCTCAACACTATCAGGCAGCAACATGGAGGAAACATAACAAAGTTACCCGTGGCTTAGAGCGATCCGTATCGAACCAAACCGTCCATAACCGAGACTACGAATCTCCTGACCTCTTCCGCTCACACACATCCTCAGTTCTGAACTCGTGGCTTCCTTGCACCTCAAGATGGCAGCCCCCGCGGACCAACGGATCGCGGTCCCCATCGATGACCCAAACGCGGATACAGAATGGTCCAGACCGCTTCGCTTGCATTCTACCTTCGTTCTAGTACTTACAGTATTACTCACAGGAACGACATTCTGCGCAAACACGGGATCATCCCGGAGAAGCCCCCATCCCCGACCCCGCTCATCGAAGAGGCCATCCTCGAAGCGCGCCGGCTCGCGCACGAGAATCGTCTAGAAGGCAAAGACCTGTCCGACCTCTCCGACCTCGAAGACGAGGAAGACGAGGCCTTTCTCGAGCAATACCGGCAGAAGCGCATGCAGGAGCTCTCGGCGCTGCAGAAGAAGTCCGTCCACGGCGCCGTCTACCCGATCTCCAAGCCCGAGTACCAGCGCGAGGTCACCGACGCCTCCCACAACGGGCCCGTGTTCGTCAATCTCACTTCGCCCCAGGGCAGCAACGTCGAGTCGCGTGTGCTGTCCCAGCTCTGGCGGCAGGCGGCGCAGGAGTATGGCGAGCTCAAGTTCTGCGAGATGCGCGCCGACAAGGCGATTGAAGGGTATCCGGAGCGCAACTGCCCGACGATTCTTGTCTACAGCAAGGGGGATATCGTCAAGCAGGTGGTCACGTTAGCGACGGTGGGCGGCGTCCGGATGAGCATGCTGGATCTGGATAAGATTCTGGTGGAGGTGGGCGCGGTGAAAGATAGTGATATGCGGGTGATCAAGCGGAGGCGGGCGGCGGAGGATGGCGAAGAGGAGGGAAAGGCAGCTGGTGCGAGCAGAGGTATCAAGAGCAGTAGGGACGCGATGAAACATGATGACGATGACGATTGGGACTGAGCGCCCCTGGCTGATTTTGGGGTTGGGTCACTCGGCGAGAGCGAGCCGGGCCATCTCATGAGGGAAGTCGAAGGTTAGCCTGTGGGGTTATGGCTCTGGCTGCTCGAGCGTCTGGACCACCTGGCTGGGGTTGTGCCTGACTCTGACACCTCCCCTCCCACTCTGGCACCTCCCCTCCCTAGCCTTCTGCCATTCGAGGCCAAAGGTTGCCTAGTGGTTTAGGGTAGACGGCCGAGGGGTGCGAGGGACCGCTGAAGCCGACTGCGTTGGGCAGTTGAGCGTCAGCCATGCCTCGAGGAGAAAATGCTTGTTCCAGACCGCCCGAGGATAGGGATTTGTGCCAATTATCTTTGCTCTGTTCTGTCTACTCTGAAAACTGACGATAGTCTGGCTACCCATAGCTCTCTGTCCATTATCTTAGTAGCGGTCAGGCTTCATCAGGATGGGGTCAATAAGAACTCAGCAAGCATAATAAATCGCTTAGTGATGGCAAATAACTCAATATTTCTCAGAATGGAGAGTTTATCATCAGACATGAATACGCAGAAAACCCAAGGATCAACTTATACCCATCATGATCACCGCGGCGCTCCGGATATGGAAATATCTTGGGTGTAAGTCGTACTGCACACTACCCCATACAACCACAATAAACAGGAATCCATTGCAAGGATGATATTAGCGCAAGCCATGTCTGCAGACACATGGCCTAGTGACTCCGTGACCCTCCGAAAACAAATTACAAGAAGCAATCCGGTATTACCTCCCTTCCCTTACGCTATGCCCTGTACTCGAATTGGGGGAAAAGTAGATAACCTCAACGCCGACCTGTACCCCTACACCCTCGAACAGTCTACCGAGACGCCAGAAAAGCCCCCTTTCTTGGATCTGACTGCCGAGATCGAAGATTAAAATGCCAAAATATCGCGTGAACGGCGGGCCGAGGAATAAACGATTTCCTAAAACTGTCCGACCCGCTCGGTGCCACAAGCAAAGAGGCTGACATGGTGGCCTCCACGTGCGGCACAGCCCAGGAGCATCCTATGCGGGTGGAATGCGGTGGCAGTGAGGGGGCCTGCCTTGTGGCCTTGCAAGAAGCTTGAGTACGGCTCAACGCGGGTGATCTCGTGCCCGTCAAGGTCGAAAATCTTGACTAGATGGGTAGATGTGCCCCTGAAACACAGTTAGTATGTGAATGTTATGTGGAAGAGCTCGCGGTGGGAAGTAACTTACACAGCAAAGACGGGCAAATGCTCATGCGTGCTCGCCGTCCGCAGGACATCATTGGTCGTCTGGAACGTCTTCAGGGGCTGCTCCATGCGGATGTCCCAGAGAAGAACCTTGCCGTTGCGACTAGCAGACAAGAGCTCGCGCTGGCCCCCGCGCTGCATGTGCACCGAGCGCACCCACTGCCTGCTCTCGTCCTTCCATTTGCGGACCATGGCCTCCTGTGGTCTCATGCGCGTGTCGAAAACACGGATGGCGCCGTCACCGAAGCCGGCAACGAAGATGTTGCCGGTCATCTGGTCCGAGGTTAGCGATGTGACACAGGAGCCGGACCGCGCCGGTATCTCGTGAGTGCACATTTCGTGGCCCGCATTCCAGATCCGTATGACTCGCTCGTCGCCTGCAACCAGCACGTGGCCGTTGACCTGCTGCCATTCGAAGACCATCCCGGAGTTGACGTTGGAGGGAACCATGTGGGTCAGTGCACGCCACGAGGATGCAAGTTCTACGCTTGCGTCACTGTCGTAGTGGTTGTAAATGCGGATGACACCGTCCGAGGAGCCCGTCATCAACAGGGCTTGGTCATCCTCGTTGATGAACTTCATGTCTGAGATCTTGGAGCCTTCTGGGTTGCCGTTGGAGAAGCGACTCTGCCGGGTATTGGTCTTCCAGTCCCAAATCGTCACGGTGTTGCCGTCATCGGCAACCGCAAGGTGGTTTTCGAATTGGTGGAACGTCATCTTGGATGGCTGAGAGCCAGTAAGAATCACACCGGCTTGACTGTTCCACTTGTGTGTTCTGGCGTGCGTCTTCTGCGGCTGTGTCTCTCTAAGGACAGCCTCGTTACGAGAGCGCCGCCATAGCCGCTCGTTGTACTCCCTGCTGCCGGGCTCTTCGCCCTCGGGTGCCTTCATCTGAGGCTCCCGGAAGTACTCCGTTGACCAGTCCAAAAACGTACTGGCCAAGGGCAGGGCGGGCATTTCTTTGAGCTTGCGCTCCTGGTAACCAGCGCACAGTGGTTCAGGGGCAACATGATAGTTCGATGGAGGCGCACCTTGGTCATGCTGTTCCGGGGGAGCATTTTCCAGACTCGGACCCTTGCGGCTCCGTTGCGAGAATGACCTCTGCAAGCCGGGTGTTGCGGGCGGGGTTGAAGAAGTCTTGGAGGAACCATCCGCCGCTCCCATAAGCGGCCCAAACAGATAGCTTGCGGTCCGTTTGAGGAGACCCGGAGATGGCAACGGCTGAGCCGCTGCAGTACGGGTGCCCGCTACGCTTGTCCTCTGGCTCATGTCTCCTCTCGACACTTTCCTAGCACGCCGGAGGATCTCGTCCATGAGATTGTGTGCGGTTGCGCCGATCGGCGATTGCAGCAGGGCGTGGTGGACATAGTCGAGAATGGTGGTGGCGTCCCTCTGTACCTCGGGGTGCGGATCGACGCTCAGAATGTTGATGTGCTTCCAACATGCTGCATACACGGAGTCGTGTGCCACGCCAAACGCGGTGGGCTTGATGGTGCCGTCTTTCTCACGGTGCTCGCGTCTCGCATAATGCAACCCCATCTTGTGTTCCAGGCCGTCCTCTGGCGGCGGGAACAGCTGGTACTCCTTCTCCTCCAAGAGCTGCTCGTAGGCCGCAACAATAAACTTGGGTTCGTAGCGAAGCACGAAATGCGAGAAGAAAACGAGGAGTTCCTTCCTGACGATCGGGCTGCCGTCGGTAGCCATCTCCAGCATGGCCCAGGCAATGCCTTCCTCCATCCTCGCCACCTCATCGGTTAGATCGGGAATGCCGAGGAACGTGGTCATGGCGTGCGCCATAGCGGCGCGGACTTCGGGCTGGGGATCCTTGATCAAGAAAGAGAGCTTATGATGAGCATTCTCCCGGATACCCCTCCACTTTGCATCCGGGAGATCTCTCCACAACTGACTGATACACAGGCACGACCATTGCCGGAGCAGTGGGTTCTCCGGGTGCGCGATATGGTGAAGGCAGTAGGTCATGATGTCGGTCGAGTTGCAAACGATCTGCCCGGGCTTGAATCCCTTGCACAGCATGGCCAAAATGAAGGCGCACATGGCCTTGTGCTCGTCGAGGACGGGCCCGCCAACGAGCGGGAAGCTCTCTTGCGGCTTCATGATGACGGCGAAATACGTGTAGCCGTTGTCTTTGATCAGGTCCTGCTGGCAAGAGATGTCGACGGCGAGAATACGTGTCCAGATGAAGACCATGACTGGCTTGAGCTCCTGCGCAGCCGATTGCAACAACTTCAACACGTAAGGGAAGATGCCAATGCTCAAGGCCAGCTGTACCGCCCACGGGCCGAGGTCAAGGAATCTACTCAGCAGGATCAAGGCTCGGAGCCGATGCTGTTGACTGAGGAGGACCTGAAGCACCACAGGAAGCTGGTCAGGGGGCTTTTGCGAGACTGCGTCACCTCTAGTCAAGTAGATCTCGAAAGCCGTGAGCTGCTCGGTGAAGAATGTCGAGTTGACATACTCGTACTGGAGGCCCTCCGTCTCCTTTCTCTCCAGCATGGGCAACTGCGCGAGCGCCATGTCTACAGCGAGGTCCCAGCTCTCCCACAGTGGATGCCGGCGGGTGTCAGGCAACTCAGGGTAGGACTGGGGGTGGCATCCGTAGACAGGCATGATGCGCTGAGCCAGGAGGAAGTTGCGGAACAGGGCCGCCACTTGGGTGAGCGCGTCAGCATGGCACAGACACGAGGTAATTTGGAGGGATGATGATGCGATGAACATGCTTACCCATCAAGTCTTGCCGGAAGAACTTGCGGAACAAGGGTCGCGGGAGAGTTGTCCAGGCAATGGTATCCGTAATAGCCGTAAATATCCAGTTCAGTTCTCCCAGAGGCGTCCGCCGTTCCTGAAGTCTCCCCGGAAGCTTCCTCGCTCTCTCGGGATCGATCTTCTTAGTCTTGAGCGGGTTTTGCAGAACGAAGAACCAGAGTGCCATCTCAATTGGCGTGGTCAAGCAGCAAGTGAAGATATCTGCCGGGATACGATGGTTCGTAGGGAGGTTCTCCTTGGAGTCGCAGGCGGCTAGATGGATGTAAGGGCGGTAGACCATCTTCTCGTAGTTGGCATCCTTCGAGGCCTGTTCATCCTCCTCTTGCTCGTGCTTCTCAACGAACTTGTGGTAGTTCTTGATGATGTTGCCTGCCTCGGAGCAATCCCACACGAAGATCGTGGGAGCCTGCAGCCACTGCTGGAGATCATACAGCGACACGGGAATGTACTGAGTATAGTTCTTATTAAAAACCCAGATCTCGCCAGACGCGGTCGGCTTCGGGACTCCATGGCCGTTGTAATGGAAGAGGACTCGCTCGTCCTTGGCATTCCGGCGAAGGGATATGCAGAATTTCTTCGTCTCTTCTATCGACGGGTCGAGATACTGCTTGTACCGGGTGCGGAGGGCGAGCGTCTCGTACTGGGTCTGCAGCGCCTTGCCAATGTTCTCCAGTGCCTTTCCTACGGGCGGGACGGTGGGATCCTGCCAGGCCTCGAGCTTAGCGCCCGGTGTGGTCCGCAGTTGGTCAGGCGGCTCGACACCAATGTTCAGGCATATGGCGATGGCGGCGGACACGGTTTTGAGCCGGTCACGCATTCGCCAGTCCTGCAGCTCGAAGGCTGGGGTCTTTGGCTTGCCTGTCGTTTCATGCCGTTTTTCGGTGAAGTACATGTACCAGTTCTGGTTAAGATAAAGTCAGTCACAGCTGGTTTTCATTATCAGTCTGCACTTAACCGTGAAACCAGACGCAAGGCACTGCAGCGCTCCTCTCAATGGCCTGGACCATCCGGAACCATGCGGAACCATGCGGAACCCATCATGAGGTCGGTCCGGACCCGTGGTGCGCCTCAAGCGGGTATGGAGTGCACTGGCCGCTTCACTTACGCGCCGAAGGCGAAGACAGCAAATCGCAAGAATGAGATCACTTACATTAGCAAGCTGAGCGATGATGTCCTCGGACAAGTAATGATCCTCAAAGCCATGTCTGGCGCCCAGGTCGTAGTATTCCTCATCGACATCGTCATCAATCCCCTCGTGCCGCAGGCCATATTCGCTTTTGGAGCGAAGCAGTGGCGGCTTCGCTGGTCTTGCAGCAGCAGCGCGTTGGTCATCGTCGCCATGTCCGTCTTCAGCTCGATTGATTGACGGAATACCCTGCTTGTCTCCGGGCGCACTCGACGGCCGTCGAGACGACGGACCAGGCGACGCCGACCTCCTTCTCCCATCGGCAATCTGCGGTCCGGGTCGTGAGTGAGCGCGGCTGGGAGACATAGCGCGCATGTTGCCGTTCTGCCCCGATGCTGATGCCGACACCTCGGCGTACTGGGCTTGGATTAGCGACACAGCGTGAGTGGTTTGGCGCGAGAAAGAGCCGGGGTGACGGGCGGGCGACGAAGCAGCCGACATGTCACGGGCAGGGACCCTGGAGAATTGGGCTGAGCCTTGCCCTCGCGCGAGTTGGGCAGGCTGCGGCACGTCCAAAGAAAGGGCCGTCATGATGTGCTAGCCCTGGGGTCAAACCATGGTCCTGCAAGCGGGAGGCAGAGATCGACAATGTAATGTGCACGTTTCCTCCGGCGTGCCTAGTGAACGTAGAGGTGTAGTCGGGGTGGACGGAGCTGTTTGTTTCCGGATGACAGGGCGGCGGCAGAAGCCACAACGAGTGTTAACACACGGGCATCGGAAGCGAAAGAATTATCGGGGCGCTTCGCCTATAGGGCTTGGAAGACTGAGAATGTTTTGTTTATCTCAGGGCTTGGCGATAGCACAAAGTCGTAAAGAACGCCTCAATCAAATCCCCCGAATCCTTACTCGAACCGTGGATGGGAGGTGCTTGACGTCGGTCTTAAAGTCAGGGTCGGGATTAGTTACTCCCGTCACCATGCAGAGGTCCTTGGCTGCCCTGACCGGGACCCTCACCGCCCAGAATTACCTTCTGTACATAACTAGTAGGCCCCCACTGCCCCGCAAGCTGGTAAACGCGTCATTTGATAGCCTCATGGGGAAGCTGCGGCTGAATACCTTATGACACGTGATGAGCTGAACCAGAGTGTGTCGGAGCCTCGCTATCATCACTGTAGCATGCCATTGTGTCCACTTATTTGATCTGGATTCCTTCTAACCGTCTACGGCCTACTATTTATTGTACAGCATTTGCCACCATCGGGCTTGAACACGGTCACAGACTACAGTAGCTGACGTTTTGCAGCTTTGTGGTGAGTGCGGTGCGCAATAACGTTATAGGTCAATAATAACGGAGTTCGGATCAAACTAGTCAGGGGAGTTACGGTAGCCGATGTATTTCACGAACACACTTAAGAGCTACATACCTACCTAGGTAAGTACCTTAGGTAATAAGGTGTGTTATCCGTACCTTCCACAGACCGGGCAGGTCGTTGCAATCGGATGGCGCCCCAAGGTACATGCCCCTCAATGTGTAGTACTGGCACGGTAAGGTGGTTCCGTGGTGTATCTGGAGCATGAACATCGACAAACCTACCTTATTAGGGACCTTATCAGTCAATTTGGGCAGTTCGCTAAGAAACATGAAACGGCTACTTTGGGGGGCCAATACCACCTCCCAGCAGAGGCGCCATCAGCGCCATCACTATGCGTTTTGTCCTGTCAACCCGAGAATGTAATATTTCCTAGACACTCATACTATTCGGTCGTTTACGTCTTGAAGTTCGAGCATGTTATCTCCAAAAAAGACATCAGGCGCTCTTCAATAACGTTATGCGCGCTCCAGCTGGGGGTGCTGGGGTGTAAAGTATGTGCATGGCTTCCAGATCGCCTATTGGCCATCAAGCACAGACGCGGCGTCGGCGGCACTCAACGGCTCAGTGGTGCCAGAGAGTTTAGAAGCGGCGATGATTTGTATCCGTACTAGTATCAGCTCGTGTCAGCTATTGGCAAATAAATGCACTCCCATCAAGCTGAAGTCCGGTCTTTGAGTCTCGCCATGATAGTCTTTCTGTATTCTGTAACCAACCGTGAACGTGATTACCCTATTCCTGCTCAAAGTTAGCCGCAGTGCAGGTGACCATACCTATATTCCCGCAGAGATGTGCCATTGCAAGGATGTCCAGTGACTGAGCGCACATCATCCGTCTTTGGCTTCGCAGAGAACTCCATCATTGGCCTAGCTAACGTAGGATAAGGGAGCCGTCGAGATCGTTGAGCCAAGCTCGCAACGGGACCAGAGATATACAGCCGACGGAGGAGTAGCTCTAATATTATTGCCTTAATGACAGCGGTGAGATAGCTGCAGACCTTCTCGTGCTCAGCTGCTGCTGAGCGTGTTCTGAGATGGGACACTTGAAAGAAGCGTGCTTCTGGAAGACTGGCAGCCCATCAGCCCCCTACTGCTGTGCTACCTACTGTGGCACATACATCTGCGAGCACGCAGACAAAGCTAACAAGGTAGGTACGTAGGTGGGAGGGTGGTGATGGTAGCTTGGAGGTGGGTGATGGCAACCTGTGATTGGCCTGGACACTCTGTTCTTCGCACTGTCTTCACTGTGCGGTCGTTACTGTGAAGGGTGGGTGTTCCACTTTGCCATCCAACGGGGCCCCTTGTCCAATCACAGTGGCGAACTCGCATGCACGGAGCCCCCGAATTGAGACTGATCCATGATGGCAAGACAGCTTAACTTGGAAACCTTCCTCAGGTTCTCCCAACCCATGCACATTAAACTTTCACCTCTTCCTCATCTGTTACTTGAGACCACATCGGCCACGCAAACAGTTGCACATTCAGCAGTGATGCACTATTCCATCACGCCTCCATATTAGCCTTCTTTTGTTTGCATCTCTCTTAGCTGAGCGCTCTCTTCATCATTTTCAATTGCTAGTCCTCAGTTCAGGCACGCCGTGGCGGCTGACAAGGACTCCCCTCATAATAATAAAAGACAGGTTGAACAATCACAACCTATCGCGCCGACTCCACCGAGGCCGATGCTCCAGAGTGTCGATTCCGTCGCCGGCATTCCTACGCTTTCCGTGTCGCTCGCTCTGCACCAGCCCGTCAACCGTGTCACCGGCTGCTGCACGATCCCGTCCTCCCCCGACGCTCATTCGGTCAATCGAGAGACGTGCACCCCTCGAGACGCAGGTCAACCAATCCATCTGAGTTCGCGACGACTCTTTGCCGACAATCCCTGCCGCGCGCTAGCCTAGCGACCGATCTGAATCATTCGCCATGGCCTTTCTTTTCAAGTCGAAGAAGCACCAGGACCGAGGGCTCACGAGCCGAGATGGATCCCAAGGCCCCGGGGCGGCGATGGGCGGCGCGACAACGCGCGTGAGGGAAGAGAAGGGAGCGCGCTCCACGCCGACCGGTAGTCTTGGCTCGATAGACAACGACGGCAGCATGGGCAGCCCAGACCAGCCGTACGCTCGCCAACGAGGCCAGAGCCTGGATCAGCAGCAGCAGGCTGCTTCGCCAATGCAGCAACATCCCGGCGAATTACCAGTGCGTTTTCCTTGTAGCAACCCCAGCTACAATCCTCCTTTCGGTGGAGCGATCCGAACTAACATGCAGCTTCAGCTTCGCAACGGCGGCCCACCGCAGTTGGCGACCAACCCAAACGCTTCGCTTTATCCCTGGTCGCAGCAGAGGTTGACTTACACGTCGTCACACCCGAGTCCATTCCCTCGCTATGGCGCCGCCGTCAATTCAGTCTCGTCTAAGGAGGGCGATATCTACGTGATGGGCGGGCTAATAAACAGCTCAACCGTCAAGGGTGACTTGTGGCTAATCGAGGCCGGGGCCAACATGGCCTGCTACCCGTTGGCGACCACCGCCGAGGGGCCAGGGCCAAGAGTCGGGCATGCGAGCTTGCTGGTCGGCAACGCGTTCATCGTGTTCGGCGGAGATACGAAGATCGAGGAAACCGATGTTCTGGACGAGACGCTATATTTGTTGAATACATGTAAGGAGAACAGCGTGATTTCTTCCCTGGACGGCCTTGCTGACATCTTGAAGCGACTAGACAGTGGTCAAGGGCGTTGCCTGCAGGGCCTCGGCCTACTGGTAGATACGGGCATTCCTTGAACATCCTTGGCTCCAAGATCTACATCTTTGGTGGCCAGGTGGAGGGTTACTTTATGAATGACCTATCCGCCTTTGACCTCAACCAGTTGCAAATACCCAACAATCGCTGGGAGATGCTCATCCCCAGCAGCGACAGCGGAACTCCCCCCCAAGGCAAAATCCCACCGGCCCGGACAAATCACTCCATGGTTACCTTCAACGACAAGCTCTACCTGTAAGTACCCGTACTCCCAGGTTTGCATCGCCGCTCACTGACATGGCCTAGGTTTGGCGGTACGAACGGATTCCAATGGTTCAACGATGTCTGGTGTTACGATCCCATGACAAATCTCTGGGCCCAATTGGATTGCATAGGCTACATTCCGTCTCCGCGGGAAGGCCATGCCGCGGCACTAGTTGACGATGTCATGTACATCTTTGGAGGCCGAACGGAGGATGGGGCGGACCTGGGCGATTTGGCGGCGTTCAGGATCACCTCCCGTCGGTGGTATACCTTCCAAAACATGGGACCATCACCGTCGCCTCGATCCGGGCACAGTATGACTGCTGTTGGAAAGAAGATCGTGGTTGTAGGAGGAGAGCCAAGCTCTGCCGCTACCGCTGTGAACGACTTGGCACTCGTCTACTGCTTGGATACTACGAAAATCCGATATCCGAATGACTCCAGCGCCAACGCGCCGAGGACCAGGCGGCCCAGCGATCTCACGACACAGAATGTGCCCCGTAACGCACCTTCCCGAGAGGGCTCAAATGGCCCGCCTGAGGCTAGAAGACAGATCGGAGCGGCCGGACCAAACGGGTTTAGGTCCCCAACCAGCGAATCAAGTCCGCAAAATCTTCAGCCTACTGGCTCTTCTAGACTGCCGAGGTCTACGGGACCAACTGCACCCCTCGGGCCGCCTCCTCAAGGGAATCCCCCAAAGCCAGGGCTAGGAGCTCCTCCTCCCCGGCAAAGAGCCCAATCCCTGGAACGGCAGGAGCAATCCCCTACATCCCCGGTGACGTCGCCCATTCCACAGCAAGTGGCAGTGCTGAAGGCGGGCGACGGCTCCGCCGTCAATGGGAGACGTACCCCTACACAAAACCCTCCGCGGTCGTCCTCCAGGCAAGCGGAGTTCCAGGCTATTGACTCGACGAAGCCAAAGTCGGCCAAGCAGGGACGCAGCCAAGGGTCCGTGGACAGCTCAACTGAGCCGGCTCTCAAGCAGGTTGTGACTCGACCGTCCTCTCCTCCACCACCCACTCGTCAAGCCAGCAACCCGCTATCGCGGAGGTCATCGACCCGGAACTCGCAGACGGTTGCCCTGCTGAAGGAGCTGGATGCCGCGAGGAATCGTAATGCATGGTATGCATCTGAGTTGGAGTTGGCGCGGAAGGCCGGCTACGTACCGAATACTGCTCTCAGCCCAGTCCTCGACGGCCGAGCCATGGATACGTTCGATGACGAGGATAAACCACTCATCGAGGCACTGCTGGCCATGCGGACAGAGCTGGCCAATGTTCAAGCCTCCGTAGACAAGCAGGCCGTCCTGGCAGCTAGGCAGATCGCGGAGGCCGAGAGGCAACGAGATGCCGCCATTCAGGAGGCAGTTTATGCCAAGGCAAAACTAGCAGCAAGGGCTGGCTGTAGTGCTAACAGCACCCCGCGCCTCGATAGCGAGAAGGATCCCGATGACCGAGCTGGCGAGATAAGCAGGAAGCTTGCTTATGCGTTGAACACGCAGAAGGAGCTCCAGGGCCAGTTGGATCGCCTCGGTGTCGAGTATGAGGCTGAAAAGAAAGCACGAAAACTAGCGGACGAAACCGTCACCGCGGCGCAAAAGAGGATGACGGAGCTTGAGAGTTACAAACAGCAGAACGCATCCGAACTCGAGCGGTTAAAGGCAGAGTTGCACATGGCACAGCGCGAGGCGCGGGAGCAGTCAGTCGCCGCCGCTGAAGCTCTAGCAGCAATGCAAAAATTGCGTGTCGAAAAGGAGGAGCTGGAAGAGAAGTACGATGAGGCTGTGGGAAGCTCCAAGGATCATGTCGAGACCTTCGAGACCCTGCGTGGTGCGGTTACGGCTTCTGCGGAGACCAAGGCTCTATTGGAGCGGAAATTGGACGAGGAGCGGGCCCTCAGAGAGGCGGTCGAATCTAAGCTCAACAAGTTGAAAGCGGAACACGAAGCAAGAACCGCTGAGCTTGTCGCGACTACGCAACGATTACGGGATGTCGAGGAGCTGGCCGAGCAGCATGCCAACGAAGCCCGGGTGCATCGCGAAGCTGTGATAGCCGGTCTCGAGAAGATCTCGATGAAGGATCCGGCGAAATCGGAAAAGGAAAGCAGTGAACGACTCCGCACTCTCCAGGGGCAGATAGACTCGGCCAATGCCCTGGTCAGGAAGTATCAGCAAGAGGCGGACAGCGCAGCAGACAGGTTACGGGGTGCCGAGGAGCGAATCGCAGGTTTGGAGGCTTACCAGGAACAGGCAAGTCGCGAAGGTGTCTCGATTCGGCGGCAGCTGCAAAGCGCTCTTAGGGAGACGCAATCTTTGCAGGCCACAAACTCGGAGCTCAAGCAGCAACTTGCTAAGCAACAATTGGAGACGAATGCCATGCTTGTGCAGTACAACGCTCTAAAAGATATCCTCGGGGAGCGGGGCATCTCGCCCACCACAGCCGTGCGGATGCGCGGCAGCCCTCGCGAAGGGTCTCCGGAGCAAATGCGTCTCCGCGAGCTCGAGCAACAGCTCGGCGCCGCGCAAGCCGCCCTGGAAGAGACAAGGGCGCAAGCTGCAGCCCAAGCACAAGAGTCAGAGTCGACGTACCGTGACAAGCTTGCGCAGCTCGAGAACGACTATCAGTCGGCTGTGCACTACGTCAAGGGTACCGAGAAGATGCTGAGGCAGCTCAAGGAGCAGCTTTCGCGCTACAAGACCGAGAACGGCCGGCTAAAGGAGCAAGTCGCTGAGTTGGAGGAGAAGCTCAAGACTGGGGAGTCGACGTCGAGGAGCTCGCAGTCCCCCGCGGACTGGGAGACTCAACAGAAGGCGCTGCAAAATGAGATCAGTCGGCTTGAGACCGAGCTCAAAGACACGGCCTCCAAGCTTGAGCAGCAAGTCGAGGCGATGCGGCTGGAGTTGGCCAAGGTGAAGCGGGAGCGTGACGCCGCGGCCCAAAGCATCGAAGAAGCACAGCAACGCCTAGACATTATCAAACGGGAGATGGAGCAGCTCCAGCACGAGAACGCCTTGCTTGAGCGCCGCGCCCAGGATGCCGAGCACAAAGTCAGCGCGCTCCTGGACCAGGTCGAACTCTCGGTCGACAACTACCGCCGACGCAGTAGACAGGTGCCGAGCCTGAACTCGGAGTCGACCGGTGTGGCCGCTTCCGGAGCCGCCGGCGCCACCAACGGCGGCAGCGCTAGTCAATCCAACCACCGCATGCCGGGCCACATGCGCCAAGAATCCGCGACCAGCGAAGCCGACAGTCTGTATAGCCCACCTGTCGGTGTCGGGATTGGTGGTGGGCTGGGACCCGAGGCGAGGAACAGTACGGCTCTGGATCACCTCGCAAACGAGCTGGAGACGCTGCGGAGCCATTGGGAGGCTACGAACAAGAATTATCGGCTGAGCAACGCTTTCGACTTTGACGTCAATCAGGCCGGGTCGTCATCGAAGGATGAACCGGTGAGCTTAGGGTTGAGTGAGAGCCTGGCGGATTGGAGGAAGAGGCTAGATGACAGCCATCCGGACAGCCCGGGCAGCGCGAAGTAGTGGTGGATGGGACTGGTGGAACGGGATTTTGTATACGGCATGATATTGGAAGAAGGGAGTTGCGCGGATGTGTACTACTAATCTTCTGCTTTTTCTTTTCCCGGCGGGAGACGGGGGAGGGGGGCTTTTCTTTTCGTTTCTCACTGGCGGCGCCATGGCATATTCCCTTTTTTTTTTCTCCCTTGTCACTGACTGAGCCTTAGAGGCCATCATTTGTTTCAACCCTGTCCTGTCTCAAGTGCAGTGTTACAATTTTCTGTCTCCATTCTGTTTTCGTCCTTCATGATCTAGCTTTCTCATTGTATACTGAAGGAGATGGTTTCAACTAACGGCATGGTCGCTCTCCATCTTGCTTTGGTTCTACTTGCGTGTTACAAGATATGGTGGGCTGCTTTCTGGGTGATGTTGGTTGTCTGCAGATGTTTTAAAGAGTGGGAGGAACAAGGGGTTAGGTGTATCTGCTCGTCTTGCCGACTACAGGGGCTTTTTGTTGTTTTAATACCACATACCACTGTCCCTTCCGATGTGCTTATCTGCTTACTGGAGTTTGTTGGATATGTTTGGACACACAAAGAAAGTTTGGCTAGGTAGTTAGGGGTGTAGCAGCCTGTGATTTTCCAAGGAGATGGAACGGGCTCAATACAAGGCTTTGTAGCGATCTTCTGAGTTCCAATGGTCCGTTAAGATGTTTTGGAACGCTTCCACCTAAACCAGTGCTACTGTCCGACCCGCAAACCACTATGCAAGAGTCTAAATCGGCTGCATGCCAACAATCTACCATGAGGAAGCACGCAGTCCTCTTCCAGATCTCATCATCCCATCTTCCAGGCTTTCAGCCCCAGGCCGACTACCTACGGTACTGAACCATCACTCATATCCCCCGTCCTCCGTTCCCCCTTGGCACCGACAACCCAGAGAACGTGCCCCGCAGACCGGCGCCCCCTAATTCCCCGTGTACAGACTGACATAAACCCCCCAGCCCAGCCCAGCCAAAGCACCCACCAAGCTCCGCGCCTCGACGCTCGTCAAGAACACATAGTTGACGAGGCTCACAAACGGCCAGAACCGCCACCCAGCCCGGACCAGGTCCCAGAACTCCCCCCTGGCGCTCTCCCACACCGCCGCCCAGTTCACGTCCGCATACCGCACGGCATCCCGCCCGAGCAAGGCCGCCCACGAGCCAGCAGCCTCCTCCCCCTCACCGCGGACGGCCACGTAGTGGTGGCCCATGCCCTGGCGGATGCCGTGCATGAACACCGAGAACAGCACCGTGTTCACCGCGGCGCCGAGCGTCTGGTCCAGGAGGGTCTTGGTCAGCGTGTTGCGCTTGTTGAGACGCGGTGGTTGCTGCTGCTGCTGCTGCTGCTCCTTTTTGTCGTTGTTGTTGTCATTGGATGTGCCATAAGCAGGCCAAGTGCCCTCGAGGAACTCCTGCCAGAGAAAGTTGGGTGGGGTGGACATCAGGGCGAAGAGGACGTATTGGAAGACGGGGATGAAGTCAATCTTTAATGAGGTCTGAGATTGAGGTTGTTAGTCTTATATGGTGGGGAGGGTCTATTGAAAGGAAGAGAAAAAAAAAGGACGAAAGACGGACGCTGTTCTGGTGAGCCGTGATGGCTTGAGCCAGGATGTTGGAGACGGCTGAGATGACGGCCGTTTGGATAGTGGCCGTTACGATTGGCGGTGCCATGGTTGCTGCAGGTTGTTCCTTGAACAGGGAGCGAAAGGAGAATGAGTGGGTGTGCCACAGGGTATAGTTAGATTGTGAAGGCCCTGCGTTGGTGAGTAAGAGATGATAAAATGAAAGCGGCTGTTCTCAACTCACTTTCTGTTGTGATTGAAAGTTGACAAGTGTAACATGGGAGACCCACTCGCTCACTTTAAAGAGCGATTCTGTCCTGTGGTTGGTTTAACGCTGTTCTGTCGACATAATAAACGTGGCATTGGGACAACTGCAAATGGATAGGTAGATGCCTATAAGGTACCTAGGTAGCTTCTGTGTACAGATAACCCACCTTGCTATTGCAAATTCCGGACTATATTGAAACCCACAGGGAGGGATCTCGTGCCCGTTGAGCACAGACACCTAGGTACAGCGGCGTCAATATATCTCCGGGCTTGGTGGCCACCCCGCCTGGAACTGCGTAATGTCTTCGCGACTCCTCGTTGAGCTCGCCCTCCGTCCGCGTACTGCGACTGCCACAGGAGTCGTTGATGTACATACATACACTCAGAAGCTTTCATACATGCTGTCCATCCCACGTGTCATTCCCCAGCGATACTTCTTCGGCTGAAGCGCCCATCCCGGCATCAACCTCTAACCACCATGGCGCTACCCTAGCCTTCCCATCTATAGACCATCGCATAGCGCTCTACGACCGGCAGAGAATCCACATGAAGAAGAGCTGTACAACATATGAATAGAAAAAGAGAAATTGTGTCCGTTGGTTCCTCTTTGTCCGCGAGTCCAGTGGGTGCGTCTGCATCGGGCCGCGGTTGTCGCTGTTGGTTTCTGGCAAAAGAACGTACTTGAGAGACCGCATCTGACATCACACATCAGCTACGTGGCAACCAGCACGGAACTTTCAGGCGGGTTACCTACCAGGAAAAGCGAATTCGCCAAGAAAGTGTAGATAAACACCGTCCACCCAATCCAACCACCAGTCCCCTTCCCGCCGTTAACGACTTCGGCGACGCTGATCGTCACGATGACGCCCACGAACTTATACCCGGAGTACGCAACCAGGTCCAGCAACTGTGACTCGTTCGAGATGTTGAGCAGATAGCACCCCAGCTTCAGGCCGAGTAGTTCGACAATCACGGCCACCAGCGCCATCGTCGCAATGTATCCAAAGAGCTCCGGCTGGAACTGGCCCTTCAGCCCTGAGATGAGCGCCTGCAGGAAGATGTAGGTGACCAGCGACATGACCGGGATGTACATGTCCGGGCTGTTGATGTCGTCGCGCGGCGGGAGATACCAGGCCTCCTGGCCCGACGGCCCCGTGGCTTGTCGTCGCGTCCATGGTTTGTGCCGCCAGGGGAAGAGTACCAGGAACAGCTTGTTTATTACGTAGGAATTGGTCACGACGAAGTAGTGCTTGAGCGCCGAGACATTGACGAATCGGTTTACCTGGCGATTACAGAGTCTGGTTAGTGTGTGAAAGGGAGGTAGGGCTTTGGCCTCGTGGGAGGTAAGCAGCCAAGGTATGCTAACGTTCTGCTCGATGTATTCCTGCCCCTGCCGGAACGCCGTCTGGCCAAACTGGGATGCGAGTTGCGCGGCAGGGTCGTTCATGAAGTTCCCGTATGGCCCGAACAGGTGAGTTCCGCCCGATGACGGGGCGCGCGCTTGTTGCGGGTAGGGACTGCCATCGTATGCGCTTTGTGATGGAGGTACGGGAGGCGGGGGAGATCTCAGCTGGGGAACTGTCGAGACGTGTTGCGGCACCGGGTGGTGCAACGGAGGAGAGCGGCCGTAGCTTGCGCGCTGCATGGTCGCGAGTCTTCAGATCGGGAGTCTTTAGATCGGCGTCCACTGTGGTACGAAATGGGCAGACGGGAAGCGAATGTGGTGAAGCACAGATACCGCGCTGCCCGATGTGAGGCAACTGAGAGGATGTGGTGGGTATTACTGGCGTTCAGCCCTTGCCTTGAAATGCTGAGCTCTGGACATGTGTTTTCATCAGCATTGGATTTGTTGGCAATGCGGTCATCCCCTGAACATTCACAGACGCCCAATCATACATTGCGATCTTATCGATAGCGCGGTCTAGGTACCCACACCCAGGTAATAGTTATCTGAACCCGCCACGACCACCTCGACCTAGATCCATGAGGTTTCCGATCCAAGCCTACTACCTTACGCACAGGAACAAGCTCGGCGCACGGCCTGCAATTCACGATGTTAGACGCATTCGAGATCATAAACGCATCTGGTGTAGTTCTCTGGTCGAGGACCTATGCGCCCGTCAGCCCGGCCGTTGTCAACAGCTTCATCTCGGATGTCTTCATCGAGGAGAAGAGCACCGTGGCAAGTGCGGTGCAGGGCGCGAAGGATGGCGCATCGGCGGCGGCCAATCCGCCATACCGGCACGACCAGCACAGTCTGCGATGGACCTTTGTCAAGGAACTTGGCATCATCTTTGTCGTGAGTGCCAATTTCAAGAAGAGCGATCGCATCCTCCATAGGCCGCCAGAGCTGACACGCTCGGCAGGCAGTCTACCGCTCTCTCCTACACCTGCCCTGGATCGAGAAGCTTGTCGACAATATTAGGGCCATCTTCGTGAGCCTGTATGGTGACCAGCTCACTAGGCCGAACACCACAATTGTGGAGTGTGTCAAGTTTGATGAGTACTTTGACCAGCAGCTACAGGAGTTGGAGCAGGGCAGCGGGAAGTCGGACACACGCGCATTCAAGGCCGACGTCATAGCCGAAGATAAGCCCCCTTTGCCGCCTTCACTCGCGCACAATCAGAAGTCCAATAAGACATCTCCCGATTCCACGCCCATCGCAACGCCGACCAATGCCTCACGCCCTTCAACTCCCAGCCCAAGCCACCTGTTAGTGGCAAAGCCTGGCCCCGGCGGGAAGTTGTCGCGACGAGCGAGGAAAATGCAGAACAATAACTCGGCGCCCGCTTCGTCAGGGGATGAAGGATCAGGACGAAAGACAAAAGTGGCAAAGCCGGCTAAGCGGGGAAGGAAGTGGGATGCGGATGGGCTTGCGGACGAGACCGACGATGTGCAACTCGACTACTCTGTTCCCGCGTTGACGAGCGACAGCGAGGTAGAAGCTGGTTCGAAGCAAGGCGCCGTTGAGGAGGTGGATGCTTCCACATGGGGATCGAGAACGAAGGGGAAGTTCGTGTTGAAGGAGCTGGGGGATGAGGTCCACTCCATTCTGGCGGACGTCGACGCCAAGAAGATCGCCGAGGACAAGACCGAATCCCCCAGCGGGCTGGTTGGATCTGGCTTGAGCGCAATCAGCGGGTTATTCAGGAACGTTGTCGGTGGCAAGGTCTTGACGAAACAGGATCTGGAGAAGGCTATGAAGGGCATGGAGGAGCATCTTCTCAAAAAGAACGTTGCGCGCGAGGCCGCGGTGCGGCTGTGCGAGGGCGTTGAGAAGGAGCTGGTGGGGGTCAAGACGGGGAGCTTTGAGAGTGCGTTTAGTTCATTCTCACCGTTTCCACCTACGGAAGATTGTTGCTAACCTGCTATCTCTAGGCATCAACACCAGGATACAAAAAGCCATGGAGGCGTCCCTCACAAAAATGCTGACGCCGACCTCCTCGCTCGATCTCCTCCGCGAGATCGACTCCATCGCATCCCCGCCGGCAACCTCCCTCCGTAAGCCGCGGCCGTACGTTATGTCCATTGTGGGAGTCAACGGCGTGGGCAAGTCCACCAACCTGTCCAAGATCTGCTTTTTCCTCTTACAGAACCAGTACAAGGTGCTCATTGCCGCGGGCGACACTTTCCGGTCTGGTGCCGTTGAGCAGCTGGCGGTGCATGTGCGCAACCTCAAGGAGCTCACGGCTCGTGAGGGCGGCAAGGTCGAGTTGTATCAGAAAGGGTACGGCAAGGATGCTGCCGCCGTGGCTAAGGATGCGGTCGCTTTTGCTGCGCAAGAAGGGTACGACGTGGTGTTGATAGATACCGCCGGGCGCAGGCATAACGACCAGCGCTTGATGTCGTCGCTGGAGAAGTTTGCCAAGTTTGCTCAGCCGGACAAGATCCTGATGGTCGGCGAGGTACGTACTCGGCCTTCCGTCACTCCTTATTACGGAACTGTAGGGAAAACATTGCTGACCGGCGCAGGCACTCGTTGGCACGGACTCGGTCGCGCAGGCCAGAAACTTCAACGCCGCCTTTGGATCGGGCCGGTCGTTGGATGGCTTCATAATATCCAAGTGCGATACCGTTGGGGACATGGTCGGCACCCTGGTCAGCATCGTGCACGCTACTAACGTGCCGGTGCTGTTTGTTGGCGTTGGGCAGCATTACTCAGACCTTAGGAGCTTCTCGGTGAAGTGGGCAGTCGAGAAGCTGTTGAGCAGCGCATGAGGGAGCGTTGCGTGGCGTTGCGTTGGACATGGGGCGCGTCTTTCGCACTTGGAGTATCGATTGCATCCCTTGGGTATGGTTCATGTCTATCCATGGACTGGATGATGTTATGGTACAATACAAGTACCTATAAATCTATGAAGTGAATCTCACGGTGTGTGATGCAATGCCATTGAGGGTTTTAACTACGGTACGGTACTTGTATGCCTCGCCGTGGCTCCATCCGTTGAATTTACCTTCGCTATCGGGCTTCAAGAGCCCAGGATGACTCCGAGGAGGATTAGGCTTTGAAAAGTCAGGGTTAGGGCTGCATGTGGTTCTCGTCCGCTAATTATCGAGCACGTGCTGTCGTGCCATTCCAATCAACCTCGAGGCCCCGCGTCGCGCTTCTCAAGGCATCGACCCGTCTCTATCAGCGTGTCTGCCGACCACGTTGGTCGACGCCCTTCGCTCTCGGCCGCGCCGCACAAATGATGCACACGCCAAATGGCTTCCGAATTCCATGGCAAAGCGGCTCGGCCCGGCCAGCAGCAGCAGCAGTATGGCTTCGCTAATTCTGCAGGGCCGCCCCCGTCCACTCTTGCTGCCCAGCTCGTCGAGAATATTTCGGCCTCGACCAAGCTGTCCCGGCCGGACGAGACCACGGAACTGAAGCGCCTGTTTGCCATCATAGAGAAAGTCAAGAACGATCCCGGATGCCTCAAGACCCACGATGAGCGCGTCGAGCACAACCACCTGCTGGTCTACGTCTGCGGCGGCGTGTTCCTTGAGAGCCTCAAGCTGGACGATGCCTTTACAGATCGGGAATGGCTGCGTGCAGAAGCACTGAAGGCCATCAACTTCCTGCAGGTGACCATCAATGAGACACCAACTGTCCTCAAGTGCACCACCGATGGCAAGACGTTCCTGGGACGGGGAAGCGAGCCGCTGTGGCTGTGGATTATGCCCAAGCTGCTCCGCATGCTGGGTCACAGACGGTGTCTCGGTATATCCAGAGAGATTGAAGGACTGTGCCGCAACCTATTGCTGCTGGCCGCACAGAAGCCGGGTCTCTGGGACCTTGGACGGTCTCTGATGCAATACTTGCGGATGAATCTGAGTGGTGAGCTTCCCATCCCCTCCCCTTACTTGCTCTTGCTGTAACGCTGACATCCGCGTTCCCCCAGCGATTTTTGGTCAGCTCAATTCAGCCATATCGCACTCTGGAGAACAGCCGATAGAGATCAAGTTACCGCCCAAGGCCTTCCTCGAGAGCTTCTCCGATGGTGCACCCCGCGGCTGCACCTTCGCCCTTCGGGATCCTGAACAAGCTGCCCGACATGCCGTAAGCCTCCTAGCAATAATAAGAGCTACTGTTATTTCCAAGTCAGACTCTCGGGCTTCTCTCCTCTACGGCCAGGATCTAATCTGGCTCTTGGACAACATACAATCCTGGGCCTCAACTTTGACCAGCTGGCCCACGTCTCTTGGAGCCAACCTTGACACCGTCCTCCAGATAGCCATAGATCTGGTCGAGGCCCCCTCGAGCTCTCGGGACTCGGACGTGGTGTTCTATCACAAGGCTGGCGCAATTTTGGCATTGGTTTGCACTGACCTCTTGCAAAACCCCAGCTCACTGCTTGCTGAAGATGAGGATGGCGTAACTCTCAGACGCGTATTTTGTCTTGCTTTACTCTGGCTGGGAAGAGCGTCTCATGACCACGCGCCCACCTCTCGACTTGTAGCTTCCAGCTTGATTCCGTCTGCTCAAAGGCTGGTCATGGAGAACCCCCTTGTTGGCGAGGGCACCGATCTTTGGGTAGGTTCGGCCCTCTTCCTTCCGGCCTTATTGCTAATGCGCTATTCTAGCGAAGTGTTCGCCTTTTGAGGGAGGCGACTGCCACCCATCCACCCGAGCGGCCTAGCAAGGAGACAGACCCAACTATGTTCGTGGATAGCGAGCTCCGCCACCAGCTCTTGAGATTAGCGCTCCGCACGCGGAGCGGTCAGCCCCGCGGTCCGGTGGCCAAACGCCGAAAGCTCGACGATGAGGAACCGTCGTTGTTGCTTGAGGTAGCGAGCCAGCTGTGCCAGTCGGTGGACGCTAGTCCCTCAAGTGAGATCGAGGAGCTGGAGTCGCGCATCATGTTCGTCGTTCCCCCTGATTCCCTGACTGCATCAATCCTAACCCATTGCACAGCGATCGGTTTCCCCAAATGGATGAAGAGCGCCAGTGTCATCTCATCGACCTGATATCCCGTATTGTCTGCGCTGCTGATAGTACCCTTAAGCTCAAAAGGACCAAGCCGCAGGGGCCCCTCGTTTTCCAGTGCCCCTTTTGCTCCGCCCCAAAGCGGGACAACCCACCGCCACCACTGCCACTGAACCGACATGAAGCCGCCAAATCACTTGGAATCGGCACCTTTAGCAAGGTAATCAAGCTCCCGAGCTTCCTGGAATCGAGGAAGCCCAGAGTGACTGCCATGATTGTCCTTCGACGCATCGCACGACACTCGACGGATGGGGATCTTTGGGACTTGGAAAAGCCCGGTCCCGGGCAGTGGTGTCTGCAGTCACTGCAGAGCTCCATCCGTGAGCTCCGCATTGCCGCTGGACGGGCACTTTCTGTCTTCATATCCGAGCCACCAACTGCTAGGTTTGACGGCGAAGTGTTGAAGCGGAATCGATCCAATGCCCTGGGCATTCTCAAATCGCTTTCGGACAAGGAAGCCCCGAATCTGCACGAGACTTGCATAATGGCCTGGGGCCAGGTGGGCAGAGTGGTCTCCGCCGAGGAGCTCAACCTGGTCGTCATCAAACTCGTCGAGTACCTTGGACACCGCAGCATGCTAGTGTCCGGTTTCGCCTTCAACGAGGTTCTGAACCTCGCTGACTTCCGCGGGAAGTCAGTAGCGCAACTATTCCAGCCCTTCTGGCCGAGCCTGGCCTTTTCGGTCGTCAAAGACCTGGTTTCCAAGCCGCAGACGGCGCGGCTGGTCGCCGATTTAATGCAAATGAGTGTGCCGGACCTCCTGCGCATGCTGCAAGAGCATGCTCTTCCATGGCTCGTGCTCACCAAGAAACGGGACGTGGTTCAGAAATGTGCCGAGGCCCTGGGCTGGAAAGAGACATGGCAGCTGTGTACGGATCCGGCCAACCTACCATCCATCCTCGCCCTTCTCCTTGTGCAGGACGTCCCTGATATAGCCGGACATGCTATGTCGTTGCTCGTGCACGTTTCCTCCCATTTTGACAGGTTTGAATTCGTGGAGCTGCTGCGAACGGACCCTCTTATGATCGCCCTAGAACTCTTCAAGGCTGGGGCTGAAGCGAATGACGCCCGGAAAGCTAAGGTATGTCAGGTTGCTAAAATAATAAAGGGAGGAGGGCTTCAAGAAGTCTAACAGGGCACAGGTGCATGCGGCGCTCAATACCATGGCAACTCTGCTCCTCGCCGACCAGAAGGACAAGCGGGTCAAAAAGTCGCACATCGTCGGACGCTATCTCCAACAGCACGCCCTCGGTCTGACGGCACGGCTGAGCGAAGTCATCAATGATACCATGCTATCACGCCCCCCTGTTTCGGAACAGCGGCGATGCCTGGGGGCGATGGAGGAGATGGTCAGGGTTTGCAACTCGTATGTGTGTATTGCGCGACCTCAGATCTCGGCTTGTCTCATTTCGGCTCTGGCTTCCGACGAGCTACGGTCTGCCGCCTTCTCCTGCTGGGAGGCCATGCTTACTCACATGGAGGAAGCCGACGTGGAGGCGCTGATCGAGACGACGTTCTTCATCATTGGCTGCTATTGGACATCTTTTGATATGGCGACTAGGAAGAAGGCGAAGGGGCTGATCTCGACTCTTTTGGACAATCACAAGGGCATCGTCGAGATCTACTCGAACAGACTGCCCTCGCTGAGCCATATTCCCGAGTTGGCAGACCTCTGCAAGGCAATAGACACGCTCCGCCCTCCCTTGGACACCATGGGCACTTTCGCTGTGTTTTCCCGGCGGCTGAGCCACGAGAACCCCGGCGTAGTTGAACAAGCTCTGATCGAGCTGAACACGTTCCTCGAGAAGAACCAGGGCTCACTCCAGACGTCGGCCATCAGCGAGCAGCCGGGCCCAATTGTGCCGGCGCTTGCCCGTTCACTTTTGGACTGTTCTGCCAAGTACAGCGGCTGGGATGCCAATATTAGCCGTCTATGCGCGCAGGCTATCGGGCATATGGGCTGTCTGGACTCGAACCGTCTAGAGACGGTACGCGAGCAGAAGCAATTCATCGTCCAGTGGAACTTCGAAGACGCTCATGAGACGACTGACTTTGTAGCCTTCATGCTCGAGAACGTGCTCGTCAAGGCTTTCTTGTCGACCACCGACACCAAATTTCAGGGGTTCTTGTCCTATGCCATGCAGGAGCTCCTCAACAGGACGGATTTCAAGTTCGCCTGCGCCTGCAAGGGCCAGGGCGATAAAGAGGTTCTCTACAGGAAATGGCTTGCCTTCTCAGAGAGCACGCGGGAGGTTCTGACGCCGTTCCTGTCGTCAAAGTTTGCGGTGGCGCCAATGCCGCAGCAGACCACCGAATACCCGATCTTCAGGCCTGGAAGGTCGTACGCCATCTGGCTGAGAGCTCTTGTTCTCGATCTCCTTCGCAGTGGCCAGAATCTGTTCAGCCAGGCCCTCTTCGAGCCGCTTTGCCGGCTAATCAAGGTTAAGGACCTGGCTGTAGCGGAGTTCTTGCTGCCGTATGTGGTTCTGCACGTCGTTGTAGGGCAGGAACACAGCGATGAGTTCAGGAACAAGATCGCGGCTGAGCTGGTGGCAATCCTGGAACACCAGCCTTCCGAGACTGCTTCGTATGTCGAGAAGGAGGAGGCGAAGCTGTTCTATCAGGTATGGGGAAGAGCCTACTGGTTCAAATTCTCAGGAGGGGTAGTAGCTAATTGCACGACAGGCTGTGTTTCGAATCCTCGACTACTTCATGATGTGGCTGCAGGCCGGGAAGTCGAGGCCGGGGATGACAGCGAGGGGTCAAAAGTGGATTGGATGGGTCGAGTATGTCATCGGCCGTCTTGACCCGGAATTGATATCGCAGCGAGCAGTTGACTGCAATGAATATGCCCGCGCGCTGTTCTTTCTGGAGCCACACATTGAGAAGCGCGAGAAGAAAGCCGAAAAGGAAGAGAACGAGCGGATCTTGCAGGCGTTGCAGAACATTTACACGCAGATCGACGATCCCGATGGCCTCGAGGGTGTGTCGGCGCATTTTCAGCATGTTACCCTAGACCAGCAGGCTCTCAACCACCGCAAAGCCGGCCGATGGACGGCAGCGCAGACTTGGTACGAGATCAGGCTTGCCGAGAACCCCGAAGATGCGGATATCCAACTGGACCTCTTGACGTGCCTCAAGGAGTCCGGCCAGTACGGTCAGTCCGATCCGACACCTGCAAGCACTTCCGTAAGCTAACGACCGGGCCGTGTACAGATGTGTTGCTCAACTATGTTGAGGGAATTACTGTGAACACGGTGAACAGGATTGCGCCCTTCGCCGTCGAGGCGTCGTGGGCCACCGGCAGATGGCAAACTCTCGAGAAATACCTCCGTCTGTACAATGCCGGAGACGTGTCTGAGGTGTTCAACCTCGGTGTCGGACAAGCGCTGCTCTGTCTCAGGGACGGCGACGTGGAAAAGTTCAGAGAGCACATCCAGATGCTGCGAGAGAAGGTAGCTGGCTCCATGACGCACTCGGCGACATCTTCACTGCGAGCTTGCCACGACGCCATGCTCAAGTGTCATGTCCTCGGCGATCTGGAGATGATTGCCAACGAGAAGCTCAAGGGAGACGGTGACCAACAAGCGGTCCTCACAGCGCTGGATCGGCGGTTGGAGGTGCTGGGGGCGTACGTAAGTGACAAGCAGTATCTGCTTGGGATCCGGAGAGCAGCGATGGAGCTGATGCGGTATGTTCCCCTACACTTCATCATGACGGGAACCATGGCTGATTCCATAGACCCAAATTCGGAAATGAGGACATCTCGTCTCAGTGGCTTTCTAGCGCTCGGTTGGCCAGGAAGTCTGGGTCGATGCACCAGTCGTTCAACGCGGTGCTGCACGCTCAGCAGCTCGGGGACGGTTCCGCTATTATCGAGCACGCTAGGCTGCTGTACAAGGACGGCCATCACCGGAAGGCTATTCAAATCCTGCAACACGCCATCTCCACCAACTCATTCATCAGCGACAGCTTTGCTGCTCTCAGCGTACCGCCGACGTCGAGCAAGGGGCCCGAAACACAGCGCAACCTTCTGACAGCGCGGGCCCATCTTCTGCTTGCGAAATGGCTTGACTCAACGGGCCAGACACATGCCAGCGCCCTTCGCTCCCAGTATCAGCAGGCAGCCAAGACGCATCCGCAGTGGGAGAGGGGCCATTACTACCTCGGCCGCCACTACAAAAAGGTCCTAGAGTCGGAGAAGGCGCTCAAGCCAGACGATCAGTCGGATGAATATCTGTCTGGCGAGATCGCAAAGCTCGTCATCGAGAACTACCTCCGTTCCCTCAACTTCGGGACGAAGTATCTCTCCCAGACCTTGCCCCGGATACTGACCCTGTTTCTTGAGCTGGGCGCTCAGGTTGACAAAGCGCCGGATGGCAAGATCTCGTTGTCCCGGGAGCTCCACATGCGCAGGAAGGCCATCCTTCATGAGCTGTACAAACACTTCCAGAAGCACATCGCTCGCCTACCGGCATACATCTTCTACACCTCTCTCCCACAGATTGTGGCAAGAATAGCACACCCGAACCTAGAGGTGTTCAAGGTGCTGGAGCAGATGATTCTCAAAGTAGTGGAGGCGCATCCCCGGCAGGCTCTCTGGAGTCTATTCCCGCTCATAACGGTGCGACAGTCCGGTGATCGCCGAACTCGAGGGCTCCAAATTCTGCAGGCTGCCCGTGGAATCAGCAAAAGGGTGGATGGCTCGTCCTACGATCTGAAGCAAATGCTCAGGATGGGCGAGAAGCTGGCTGAGCAGCTTCTCTGTGCTTGCAGTAACGGTGATTTCCCAAGCAACAAGAGCACCACGGCAAGCATAACAAGGGACCTCAACTTCAACCACAAGTGCACGCCCTGTCCGTTGGTTGTCCCGGTCGAGGCTTCCCTGACAGCGACGCTGCCGACTCTGACGGACAACGTCCGAAAACACAAGGCCTTTTCCAGAGACGTGATCACCATCGACGCGTTTCTGGACCACGTGCTGGTTCTGGGCTCGTTGGCGAAACCACGCAAGCTCACAGCGCGGGGATCAGACGGGAAACTCTACGGCTTGCTGATCAAGCCGAAAGACGACCTCCGCACCGACCAGCGCCTGATGGAATTCAACGGGCTCATCAACCGCTCCCTCAAGCGCGACGCCGAGTCGAGCCGCCGGCAGCTCTACATCCGCACCTACGCCGTCACGCCGCTCAACGAAGAGTGCGGCATCATTGAGTGGGTCGACGGGCTCAAGACGCTGCGCGACATCCTGCTGGGAATCTACAAGACGCAGTACAATATCCAGCCCAACTACAACGAGATTGCAGCCAAGATGAAGCAGGCCACCCTGTCCGACGCCAACATCCGCATCTTCACCGAGGAGGTCCTCGGCCAGTACCCGCCCGTGCTGCCGGAGTGGTTCATCAAGCAGTTCCCCAACCCGTCGGCCTGGTTTGCTGCTCGGCTACGGTACACCCGCTCGTGTGCCGTCATGTCCATGGTCGGCACCATCCTGGGCTTGGGCGACCGCCACGGGGAGAATGTCCTGCTGGAAGAGGGCAACGGCGGCATCTTCCACGTCGACTTCAACTGCCTCTTCGACAAGGGCCTGACCTTCGCCCTGCCGGAGCGCGTGCCCTTCCGGCTGACGCACAACATGGAGGCCGCGATGGGCATCTATCGATACGAGGGCCCGTTCAGGCACTGCAGCGAACTAACGCTCAGGATCCTGCGGCAGCAGGAGGAGACGCTCATGACCATCCTCGAGGCCTTCATCTACGACCCGACGCTGGACCTGCAGAAGAAGTCGAAGAGACATTATGAGGTGGTCGAGATGCGTCCCGCGAGCGTGGTCGAGAGCATCAGGCGGAAGGTTAGGGGCTTGTTGCCGGATGAGAGCATCCCGTTGGGAGTGGAAGGGCAGGTTGAGGAGCTGATCAAGCAGGCCGTCAACCCGAGGAATCTGGCGGCCATGTATATTGGCTGGTGTCCGTTCCTGTAGCGTTTGAAGCTTGGTTCTTGGTGTCCAGGGGGTGGAATTGCCATATAAAGGGCCGTCTTGCGGATGAGAGGCGATGGTATTATGTCAGATGAGGTGATGTTATGGCTAGCATGAGGTTACGAATGCCTTCGATGACTGTTATATATTTTTTTTATGTTGTGGCGTCTTTTCAGGGGTAAACGGAATAATCGTTGTCGATAACATCCATGGATCCCAAGCAGGCAGTTGAGCAGCGTGTTTAGGGGCCCGCCACATTGACCCCCAGCACACGCGCCCATCTGTGTAGCCGATTTCATTTCTGGGGCGCACCTTCCCTTCCTTTTTATTAATCTCTCCAGCTGCCTAAGGTACCGGTAAGTTATTGAGTCAAACTTCTTATTTTCCTGTCTCATTAAGGTCACGGTAGTAGGTAGTCTGGGCAATCTTGTTCCAGAGTTGTCTTGCGTTTTGCCAAGATTTTATCCGCCAACAAAGAGCGCTGTCCCGCTGACGAACGAAGCTCACCTCACTTCGCGCCGCTGATTGCCAGTGACGCGCGACCCGAGTTCCATCCCGACAGCCGTCTTTCCCTTCTCTTCGCGCCATCTTCTTCCTCAAAAATTCTCGAGTGACATCCAAATCGAAATTAATTGTTCGTCTCAAACTGTTTGAGATGTCGTATCGAATTGGTAAGTCTGCTTCATTCCGTTCATCGCCATCGATTTCGCCTACTAGCATGAAAAGATCATGTTGAGCTCTCATCCCAGCAGCTCGAGCTTGCAAGTTGGCTAGCTGGAGCTTGAGCTTGCATCTCCACCCACACGAAACCCCTGAGCATCCGTCATTGCAACATGCAGCCCGTTCATCCTCATGAATCTCCTTTACGGCATCACTTTATAAGGGGAACAAGATAGCTAATCCGCACAGAAATCTCGCCCAACAACCGGGCTGGGTGCACCGACAAGTTGTGCAAAGATGCTAAAGCCAAGATCAAGAAAGGCGAGCTGCGTCTGGGCAGCTGGGTAATAATTCAAGAACACGGCAGTTGGAGGTGGAAGCACTGGTATGCGAGGGCCTTTCAATATGGTCCTAGGGTTTTACGATCGGAAGGAATCTAGATGCTGACCGTGGTGGATTTTATCAGGGGATGTGTATCCGGGGACCAGGTCGTGAATCTGCGGAAGAAGATCGAGGACCTTGACCACCCTGGCGAGTCACGGTACATTTGTGAGTATCAATTGGACTGTCTCAGTGCCTCCGAAACGGTCCCAAGCAAGGGGATGCCGAGACTGACGTGGCGGATAGGGGATCTCATTGATGGATGGGAGGAAATCGAGTAAGTGCTGGCTTGCGTCTAGATCGCTGTTTCCATTGTTGACCGTGAGTAGGAATGACCCGGAGCTGGTAGAGAAAGTGCAGAGGGTCATCAGACAGGGACATATTGATCCCGAAGATTTCAACGGGGTGAGGATCCCTGGTCCAATAATTCAGTTGACGTGAGGCAGCAGTAGCTGATGTGGACGATTAAGGACCCGGAATACAACAAACCTGGTCAGAAAGGCATCCGTCCGACTCAGAGGAAGAGGAAGGTAGAGGAGGTAGAGGATGACGGTGATGAGGTGCTGTCCCACGCATTTGGGGGCTTGGGAAGTAAATACTGACAGTCTCAAGGACGCCGAGGCGAAACCGAAGAAAGCCCCTAGCAAGCGAGGCCGCAAAAAGGCCGAAGCCGACGAGGAGGACGAGGAGCCGGAGCCTCTCACAAAGAAGGCCAAGCGCGGGGCCAAGAAGAAAGCCGAGCCTGAGCCTAAGCCTGATTTAGAGTCAGATGCCGAAGCTGAGCCCGAGCTCGAGCCCGAGCCCAAGAAGCCCAAGAAGACGGCTAAGGGCAAGCGCGGCGCCAAGGCTGCGGCTGCCGTCAAGGAAGAGCAGGAGGAGTCGGAGCCGGAGCCAGTGGCACCGAAGAAGAAAGCTGGGAGATCCAAGAAGGTGAAGAAAGAGCCTTCCCCTGAGCCGTCCCCTGAGCTCGGATCCGAGCCGGAGGAGCCGGAGGAAGAGGAGGAGAAGCCTGCGCCAAAGGCAAAGAGAGGCCGGAAGGCAAAAGCTGTTGAGAAGGACGAGGCTGCCCCGGTCCCGAAGAAGAGGGGTAGAAAGGTGTAAGTAAACTTAGAATGGCGTTTCAAACGGGGGATGGATGCTAATATCACCGCAGAGCTGCTTAAGCATGGCGAACCTCGAACCATGCAGTGCTACCTGAACGACTTGAAGCCCGGAACACTACTTCAGCCCCTTTGTATGGCAAGGGATGTAATACTCTCTTCGCAATTCCCTTTCATTAGCTTCCTTGGCCAACGAACGAGGGCACTTCCTGTATCGTGTGTAGCTTCACCAGTCAGAAAAATTGCTCCAAGATATTTGAGGACGGCGCAGATGCGGCAAGGTCGCAGCATCGTTGTATGATAATCCACCTTGAAAGCGGATCTGTCAAGGGGATATAGAAGGAAATCCCAATAGTGAAAGTATGTTTTGCTCGCTTTCTGTGTTTCGTGGACCTTCCTCCTGACCGGCCAGCCTGACAGGTGTGTTTAAAAGGCTATCCGTTTGTCCACACAAGCTGGCCTGCTGGTGGCCTTCCAACGGGCCTAGTACCTATCTACAGCCTGAGATTCACAATCTGGAAACCGATCTGGGAGGCATGGATGGTCAGAGATTCGCGGCACAGGTTGTGCTAGCCCGCCTTAGACAGTAGTAAGGGTCCATGGGCCGGTCCGGCGATCGTGCCGCAACTTACGCCGCAGCTACAACACCGCCAACTACCTCTATGTTTTACCCATGAGGCGCAGCTTGGAGGCTTGACTTGAACGATGAAGCACATGTGTGCATCTTTCTCTCAGTCCGTCTTCTGCCGCTGGCCTTCTCGGTACTCATGGACTCAATGTGACATACGGGCGGAACTTGGGAACTGGCCTTCCCATTGATTGCTACCTGATCGTTCTTCTAGAAGTTGAGGGAATGTGGCCGGCAGGGGTAGAAACATGCGGTTCGTGATCACTGATGGTTTCCGGCTGAGGTTGTCTCGTGCTACACTAGTAGTGTGGTATAGTCCCATAGTCGTGTCGTTTTACATACTAGTACTTATGTGAAGTATGTCGTAGTATGCATGGCTGTCTTGACCGCAAACAATGTGATTGGAAGGACTAGCCGAGACGGTTTCCGGCTCCATTTACCACCTGCATGCGCCATGACATCACCGTCTAGACATTTCGGTGGGCACTGGGAACCAAATCGCCCTCGCAAGCGCTTGCAATTACCGAGCCAAATCGCTTCTGGCAACTCTTTTTGCACCGCAAACTTATTAGTGCTGATGCCCAACTTCGCCGAGAGGAGCCGCATGAGCCTTATTATGGTGGAATTGAGGTGGCGATCAGCATCCAGAGGTCGGACCCAACGGGTTGTGGAAGGAACCTAGGGCTGAAGCCTGAAGAGTGGTTTGTGAGCCTGTGACCGGGGTGAGCAGAACCATCGGAGAGCTTATCCCCCAGGGCAGCTCATTTTCAGTCATCATCCATACCCGTGGACACCACCCAGAACCGAATTCCGAGGACTGATTGATTGGCCATCTCCCCTCTCTTTTGTCATCATTTCTCACGAGCGGTGGCTGGGGCGTTAGTAGGTGTGTGCCTGCGGCAACCGTCCAGTGACATGCCATCCAAGGATCCTCCTCCGGCCCACCGAGACAGGCCTCGTGTTGCGTTTCGGCGGCCTGTGACACATTGGTACCCGGTAAGGTACCAGTATTGCAGTTAAGCCTTGCTGTGAAGCCCAGTGGAATTCCACTTTCCCGCGTCGTGGAAGATTCCCGGTCTCTTGGTGAAGGAAACGGTGTCGCGGTGGGGCGGGCCGGTGCCATCTGCCTTGTAGGGCTACACTACATAGGGCATCCGAATGCAATGCATTACATGGAACCTCTTCCGCTGCGAACGACATCGTGCATGGATGTACGGATTATGTACATACAATACTGTGCTGTACATTACAGACAGGACAGGTAGGCGCGAATCTACCTAGGTAGGGTGTTGGGAGTGGCCTTGCCAAACGCCAAAGCGGCAGCTCCAGGGCTGTGTGGGATGACGATGTTGGTTTCGAGCCCAATTTAAAATCCCGAACAATTGGCCAGCTCCGCTAGCCCGCCCGGGCCTGAAACCTCACCAGGAATTCCCAGTCTCCAAACAGGTGCGGCAAGGGGAGCAGCCCAGAGAACCATCCAGTCCCTGCTTTTCTATCGTTGACCAGGCTGGCCAACAGCGCGCCTGTTCTGCGGGCCTGGTCCGTATCCGGTTTGCGGCATCTCAGTTTCGAAACATCTTTGGCCGGTTTTCTTAATACCGGCCGGGACCCTGCGACTTTCGTTCGATTCCACCATACCTAGCTCCCTGTGAGAATCCAGCAAGCGAGAAAAGCGTGCGTGAGTGAGACCGAGTGACGGAGCCAGAAGAGGCTGGTGTCTGCCAAGGTCTCTGGTCACATTGGTCCTGCCCCGCCTTGGCTGCCGCCCACGAGTCCCCTCCCAACTCCTGCCCTTGACCGACCTAAACGTCACAGCCCCGACCCGGCTGCACTACATTTCCCACCAGCAACCACACGTTTCTGATCTTCTCAATACTTACACGCACTCCACGTTTACTTGCCGACCAGCCAACAGGTCGCCTGGTGTCGCCGTTCTCGTCCGACCACCTTCTACCCCTCACTTGGGTCAACCGACCCCGCTTGATCGCCGGCCAGCTGCAGCTTACACCACAGAGAAGTGCTCGCAAACACCAAAGCAGCAACCATGTCCAGAAGCCGAGTCGAGTTCGGCGAGAGAGAGTATATCAGGGAGGCTCCGCGCCGTCCTCCCGCGGATTTCGATGAGGTTGACATCCGTGTGCGTGAGCGGGAAGACCGCCTGCCGCATTTCATGCGCGAGGAGAACAGACGGGCCGAGCCGGGTCAGTTGGTCCTCAGACAAAGGGAGGTCGAGACCATCGAGAGGCCGCGTCCGAGGTCACCCAGCCCGGTGCGGGTCCGGGAGCGCATAGTCCAGCGGGCCAGGAGTGTTAGTCCCCCGCCGAGGCGACTGGATGAGGAGGTGCGCTTCCGTAGGGTCGTGAGGGAGCAGAGCCGTGGGCCCACTGAGAGAATACGCTTTGTTCCTCAGCGCTCGCGCTCGCCCTCTCCAGAGGTCCAGGAGCGTATCCGGATCGTCGAGAGGGAGAAAGAGCGCGCTCCGAGCCCGGCTCCCCCTCCACGGCCCCCAACACCGAAGGTCATCAAGGGCCCGACAATTGAGAGAGAGGTGATTACGCACTACCGGGATATTGACCATGGTGAGTATTCTCTGCCTTATCCCTTCCGGCACTGCCTTCTGACACCCTGCAGGAATGGTGGTCGCTCGCCCTCCTTCGCCGCCCCCCGCGCGTCGCGCTGCTCGTGACACTGAGATTGACATCTACACGTCCCGCGGCCAAACAGAGGTCGACATCCACAGGCGGGCTCAATCCCAAACTCGCCGGAGGTCGCCTTCCCGAGAACGGCCGCTACGGCTGCCAGTCCAGGCCTACGACGACGAGGTGACCGTTCGGGCGGACCGTAGGCACTTGGAGGTCGATATCGAGCGCCGGCGGAGCGTCTCCAGGGGACCACAACGACGTGCGCAATCAGCAGCCCCGCCAAGTCTCGACTACGAGGACGAGGCGTTCGAGATCACGTCCAAGATTGACAAGCGGGGCAAGATGGGCGAGGCCTGGAACGGCATCACGAAAGACTGGGCTATCATTGACGTGCCGCCGGGAACGGAGCGAGTGCGCATGGATGGCGCCGGCGGCGCCTCAGCCGAGGTAACGTGGCAGAAATACAGCGGTGTGCGCCGCACCAAGTTCATCCCCGAACGCGAGGAGAACTCGGTAGTGTCGTCCTCCACGAGCGTCTCGGAGCTTCGTGCGCCGCCCGCAGACCGCAACGAGCGGCGGCTGAGCGTGCACGTCGTCGACAAGGATCGCGACGGCAGCAGAAACCGCGAGGTGGAGGTCGAGAAGGTGACAGATCGCCGGATTGCCATCCGCAACTCGACGCCTCCCCCGCGCCGTAGCGAGACGTGGACAGAAATCACCAAGGACCTGGTCTGCCGCGAAGCGATTCAGGAAATGGGCTACGAATATGAGGAGACCGAGTTCTTCTACTACATCGTCGAGTACCTAGCCTACGTAAGCCCTACCCTCCTCCTCCTCCCCCATCTGCCAACCTATCCCACACAACTAACCGCCCTGTGTGAATAATATAGGAGGACGTCCTCCGCCTAGTCCAACTCTCCGACCGCATCCGCGCCGCCCGCAAGGAACGCGCCCGCGAAATTGCCTACGAGCGCGAGTGGCGCGACGACTGGGAGCACCGTGGCCATCACCATCACCGCCGCTCCCGCTACTCGGTCGACTACGAGGACGAGCGCGTCGTCGAGCGCGAGATCGTCTATGATTCCCGCCATCCGGGCAAGGGGTATCGCCACTAGACTTGACCCTCATCTGCACGCTTACGAGTTCAGTGATGACCTGATGACCTAATGCGAAGCGAAGCGAAGCGAAGCCAAGCGAGTTAGTGTTACTCGTTCGATGACGTCTTTTAGACTGGCTGGCTTTTTGGATACCTGCGTCAGTTAGCTGATAGTGTGGGGTCGAAGCCAGGGTGGTTATTTGACGACGTGATGGATCTTTTGGCATATTTGTGGTTTTGCATCGTCTTTTGCTGTTTTTGGCTTTCCTGCTTCTGTTTCTTTTAATGAGTCATGGCTGGCATGATGGTTGTCGCTCCCTTTCAGCATGTTCATGTTCCTTAACGACCCTGATGACCTACACAAAAGAAAAGATGTTTTGTACTGTGATTGGATTGGCACTTGGTTATTGAGATTAGGTTATATTGTGTGATGGATGAATGGATGAATGATGTATGTTTCGCCTTCTCGTTCTCTTCTGGTTTTGGTTTTGCTGTCATGTTATGTCCTAGGTACTTAGTACTTAGGTACTTAGACTTCTGTACTGCGAAGCAACATATCCGAGGTCAACAGGGTGTAGCTTAGCTGAGCCAGGTTCTCAAATCGTGATCTATTTCTGATTAGAGCTCGAGTGCTGTCTGTGAGGCTGAGGGCTTTCATTGCTTCATGACCGCCTGCTGTGACGGCGTCAGATTGACTCCCCTTAGCCGCTGCTTAAATAGAGAACTGTCTACCGTAGGTTCTTTCCCATGCTCTTAGTTCCCGTTCCGCCTCCGCAGTGCAACGAGCAATCGTATTTAGCTTTTTGGGTCCCTAGCTACGTATGCTAGTTGCACCCAGTGCAATTATACGCAACCTTATTTCCTAGATATTACCACGATGCCCCCTTTATAAAACAGGCTTGCGATTGCACCAAAGACGCCAACCCTCGGGAGTTATACCTCGTCCCAATCCGGAGGGCCATTGGAAAGGACATGCTTGACAACCGAGCCAATGGCGCCTTCGGCCCCAGGCCACACCCACTCCCTGCGCACCTTCTTCCCCTCCTCCATGAAGACACCCGTGACCTTCAGTTCCAGAGTGCCGGTGCCCTGGTTGGGGCCGAAGTCGAAATACACGCCATACTCGCCCGTGTCATAATCGATGATGCCGTTGTTGTTCCAGTGTATCGTCCACTTTGGCAGCGGCGGGCTTGGATCAGCGCCGTCGGGCGTCGGAGGGGCAGGGGACTTCTCCGTCTGCTGCCGAACGAACCGGTAATACGACGCTGCCATGGCGCAGGGCACGGTGGCGTGGAGGTACGTGAAGAGCGCCTCGAGGCAGGTGTTCTCCTCGGGGGCCAGCGGGGTTAGCGCGACGAGTGGGTTCGGGGCGGTCGGCTGGCCCGATGGGACGAAGGAAACGGAGAAGGTTGCGCCCGAGAGGGACTGTAGAGTGGGCTTGAGAAGGATCTGTACACGGGCGATTGGCGTGATGGTCAGGTCGAACTGGACCGTTGGCGGCTTGAGAAAGACCTCGGCGAGGGATGTCGACGCCGGGACGCCGGGCATGGGTGTGAAGGGCGTCTCTCTCATGGTAACGGTGGGAGTGCCGACCCCGGCACCATGAAGGACGGTGTTGAATACGGCCAGGTGTCGCGCACACTTCTGGATGGTTCTGTCGTACTCATAGTAGGTCATCAACGGTGCGAGGATGGAGGCCGGAGGGGTAGATCTCTTGTTGGCGCTCGACTCAGACCGCTTCTGCTCGTTGGCTCTGTGTGCATTGCTAAGCAGGAGGCTGAAGGTTGTACACAGCCAATTCGCTAAGGCGTCTTGCGCGCCTGCATGCTCCCCGGATGATGTCGCTTCCTCCTCACCAAGAGTCACGAGCTGGAGGGATACGGTTTGTGTGTCGTTCAGGGGGTAGGTCACAGCCGAGCCCTCCAAGGAGACACCGCGGGTGCCCAGCATGCGAGCCTCCCTGTTGATCTCAAGCCACAGCTCGCGAGCAAAGATGTTATCTCGCGACTCCTTAACACGGTCCTGGAGCGGTGCATTTGGGGCCAGCGGCCGGGGCAACGACGACCTGCCAACGGTAACCCCGTTCTCAAGGATGCTGACTTGGAGACGCTTGGTTCCGCCGCCCATCTTCCCATGCTCGAGCCGGATGGAACCATCTGCTGCCCTCCTCATAGGCGCAATGCTCTGAGCCTTGAACTCGGGGGCGGCATTTGAAAAGCCGAACTTGACGCCCATAGTCTGCGGCTCATAGGGCATGCGGAACGTCTGCCAACCGGCCTCGCTCACGGCCAGCACTTCGGACCAGTATTTGGTCTCGAAGCCAATCTCCTGCTGCAGTCTTTTGGACGCGGCCAAAGCCGCGTCGGCGGCCTTGTTCAGGTCCATCAGACGCTTGCCAATTGCCACCAGCTTGTTGTCGGGCACTCTGCCGTGAGCAAGAGTCGTGGGAGCTTCGAGCATTGAGGCGCCGAGGGTCCCGATGCCGACCATGTCTCGCAGGCCGGGGCTGAAGGTGGCGACGGCCTGCGCCGGGTTCTCTTTGGACAGGAGGAGGGACACGAAATCGAGGGCGAACATGGATGTCTGGTGGGTTTGGTTGATGGCACGAAGCAGCTCGTCCCGGGCGGCTGCGACATCCTTCGCTTCCACAACATCGCTGCCGGCCTCGGACGGGGTATCGGTCATGTCGACATCGCGATCACCGTCGGCGCCGTTTTGGCGGGCGCCGACCTGGGCCTGCAGTTCGGCCGAGTTGAGAGCGCGAAATCCGCCAGGCTCGGTACTGATGCGCCGGATGAACTCCTCAATCGACCGCGGTCCCCGGCTCGGCGCAGGACGCGGCCGTAGGGAAAAGGGCCGGTCGTTCATGATGTGATTACGGACGACAGGCCGTCGAATGATGTCGCCGAAGCGCGGGCGCAAATCCCACGTCGACACCCTTGTCTAACCTTTGCTACCTTAATAAAGCTTCCGCAGGAACGGTTAGCGGTTACTAAATCGACCCGAGTCTGCCCCACTCACTCTGCGTCAGGTTACGGTGTATGTATAGTACTACGTAAATCGCAAGCACTGTTTACGTAGAAATCGAACCGGTGCATGTCAGTCCATAATAAGCCGACAACCACTGGACAGGAACAAAACATTGAATACATACCTAGATGGCCACTGCCTAAACAGTATACTAACCCTAGGTAGGGATTAACATAAAGCGATTCTATTGAAAGCCCGCTCAAGCAACCTGGATGTCACATACTCAGTGGGCCAGAGAGTGAGTGCATATTGAGCATATTGAATCGGGTGCCATGTGAAATCAGGATGGAAGTTGGTATTGAACTGGAGCTCCCCAAAGCTGCTGATCATTCATCATTGCTCCAAACTACCCCACTAATTGCGCGGTTACGTAAGGCACCTATGTCATGACGTCGCGCTTGTGCTGGACTTGGGGCTGTTTAAACCCCTCAGGATCCAGCGACACCTGAGCGTAACCCCACCAAGAGCAAGGCTCTCAGAAGGTCACAATTCCTGTGCAACGCCAACAAAAGACGCAAGGCCGGACTAATTGATGGACTTAAACAAGCCACGATTAAAAGCATACTCGGCCAAGTGGCCTATTTATCATAGAATGTGAATATCTGGCAGACAATGCTTTGAATGGAAGGAACTAATGCGTGTCTCGGTCTCTCCTTGCGGTGTCGGACTGCCCCTCGTTCCCGATAAGATAAGAGCTTCTGCCCAGAAAAGGCCCGATGGTGGTGTTGCTTTTCACTCACCTCGTGTGATTCTGGGTTACGTACCCCGAGTTTCATATAGCACCTTACCTAACCTCCAGCCCGCGACTGCTTCAAAGAGGGGTGGGCAGCAAGGCACTGCAGTCTCCATCGGACTCTCTTCCCGCTGACGTCCCAGATTTATATATCCCAGGCGAACCCGCCTGGCATGCCAGGACCTAGCAATAGCATAAACTTTCCACTTCGGCCCTTCTCCGCCCTCGCTCCTCCCTTCCGGGCTCTCGTTGCTCTAGTACTCCTCTCGATTCCGGTCAGCGTATTACTTCGCAATCGCCGAGCTCTCGCCGGTCTGCCGTCCACCACGTCACAAACACGGTCCGAGCAGCCCAAAATGGCGCCGAAGAAGAAGATCGCCATCATGACCTCGGGCGGGGACTCGCCCGGCATGAACGGCGTGGTGCGGGCCTGCGTCCGCATGGCCATCCACCTGGGTTGCGACCCTTACTGCATCTACGAAGGCTATGAAGGTCTTGTCCGCGGCGGTAATCTCATACGCAAGATGGAATGGCACGACGTGCGCGGCTGGCTGTCCGAGGGCGGCACACTGATCGGCACTGCCCGCTGCATGGCTTTCTACGAGCGCCCCGGCCGCTTAGCTGCAGCACGGAACCTGATTGCTGAAGGCATTGACGCGCTCATCATCTGCGGAGGAGACGGATCACTCACCGGAGCCGACAGGTTCCGCGCCGAATGGCCCTCTCTGCTCCAGGAGCTTGAGAACAACGGCGAATTCACAGCAGACCAACTCGAGCCATACAGGCACCTCAACATTGTCGGTCTCGTCGGGTCTATCGACAATGATCTTTCCGGTACGGACGCCACGATCGGCTGCTACTCGGCGCTCGCCAGAATCTGCCACGCTGTCGATCTCATTGAGGCCACTGCATCGTCTCATTCTCGCGCCTTCGTCATTGAGGTCATGGGTAGACACTGCGGCTGGTTGGCACTGATGGCTGGCGTTGCGACAGGCGCGGATTTCATATTCATTCCGGAGAAGCCTAGTGAGCACAACTGGAGGGAAGAAATGTGCGGTATTGTCGAACATGTTAGTGATGTCACTCCTAGGCCCCTCGTGGCTATTCTAGCAGAAGCTGACCCTTGATGGATAGCATCGGAAGCTGGGGAAGCGCAAGACAATCGTCATCATCGCCGAGGGTGCTCTCGACAGGCAGGGAAACAAAATCACTCCTAACATGGTGAAGGACCTTCTCGCCGACAAGAATGGCCTGGGTCTCGACACACGGATCACAACGCTGGGTCACGTCCAGCGTGGAGGGACGGCCGTCGCGTACGACCGGATGCTTGCGACGCTGCAGGGAGTCGAAGCTGTCAAGGCTGTGCTCGAAGCCACACCTGATACGCCCACAGCGGTTATCGCCATCAACGAGAACAAGATCGTCAGGAAACCGCTCATGGAGGCCGTGCAGGACACGAAGAAGGTGGCCAAGGCGATAGAGTGCCAAGACTTTGACCTGGCTATGTCTCTACGTGATACGGAATTTTCGGAGCAGTACAAGTCCTTCATGATGACGACGGCAGTGCAGGTGAACAAGGATGTCATGTTGCCGGAAAAGGAGGTAGGCACCCGCACCTGAACCAGGCCAGCCGCTTTGGGTGTTAACAGACTTTTTCAAGCGCATGAGAATCGGCTTCATCAACGTCGGTGCCCCCGCAGGCGGCATGAATGCAGCCGTCCGGGCGGGCGTGGCCTACTGCTTATCCCGGGGACACGAACCGGTGGCCATCTACAATGGCTTCGCCGGGCTCGCTCGTCATCACGGGGACAAGCCCCTGGGCGCGGTTCGGGACTTCAACTGGCTCGATGTCGACGGCTGGGCTAGCAAAGGCGGTTCAGAGATAGGAACTAACCGCGAGCTTCCCAGCGAGTCCGGCATGGAGGCCATCGCAAACCTGATCGAGCAATACAATTTTGACGCTCTGTTCGTCATTGGCGGGTTCGAGGCCTTCCACGCGGTCTCGCAGCTGCGGAAAGCAAGGGACCAGTACCCCTCCCTCTGCATTCCCATGACAGTTTTGCCTGCTACTATCTCCAACAACGTGCCCGGAACCGAGTACTCGCTCGGCTCCGACACGTGCCTCAACGAGCTGGTCGAGTATTGCGACAAAATCAAGCAGTCCGCCTCGGCCACCCGGCGGCGCGTCTTTGTCATTGAGACCCAGGGCGGCCGCTCCGGCTACGTCGCCACCCTCGGCGGTCTCGGAGTCGGCGCTGTTGCCGTGTACACACCAGAAGAGGGCGTCAGCCTGGAGATGCTCGCGGCCGACGTGCGCCATCTCAAGGAAGTCTTCACGCACGACAAGGGCCAGTCCCGTGCCGGCCGCCTCATCCTAATCAACGAAAAGTCCTCCAAGGTCTACAACGCGCGCCTCATCGCCGATATCCTGCGCGACGAGGCCCATGGCCGGTTCGAGAGCCGCGAGGGCATTCCGGGTCACATGCAGCAAGGCGGCGTGCCCTCGCCCATGGACCGGTGCCGCGCCGTCCGGCTTGCCATCCGCTGTATCCAGCACCTGGAGCAATTCGGCCGAAATGTGCACAACAGGGTGAAGAATGATCCTATGAGTGCTACGGTCATCGGAATCAAGGGCGCCAGCGTGGTGTTTACGCCGATCGCTAAGCTCGAGGAGGAGGAGACGGATTGGCCGAACAGGAGGCCCAAGGCGGCGTTCTGGTTGGAAATGAAGGAGATCGTCGATATCCTGGGCGGGAGGCCGCAGCACAGCGTTCCGGAGCCCGACTTGGTATGTTGCTTTCCGCATGCCTCCTCTGCTAACCCCATTGTTCCCCCTTGGATGTAAGGGATGCGTTACTGACCACCAGGATCCATGTTTAGACCGGTGTCAAGGCGAAGGACGTCAAGAGGGGGCTTGAGGGCCCTTGAAGTTCTGCACAGTAAGGGTGTCTCTTCGAGAGGGGCGAATTGACCTCGCTCAGAATTGTGCTACATTCCAGTCTTGTTGCGTTTCAGTGTAATTGCTAGATGGGATACGTGTCTTACGCATGGTGTAGAGTTTGGAAGGAGCCTCGGGAATGCCGATATGTTTGAATCGCGCCTTTTCCATGTCATTGGTTTCCACATCTGTTGTGCTTCGGGGGGTCCTCGAGCGAGACTTGCTGTCATTCACGGCACCGCTCAGATGTAGTGTTTACACGGCATGTGCTTGCAGCTGAGTAGAGGTTCTTTGGTACTATGAACAGGAGCAAGGCTCTGTCTCCCATGCCTTTTCTTATACGGAGTTTACTCCGTCACAAGCCATGCGCAGGCTCCCTGCTTCATGGGCCGGGTGGGGCAGCTCGAATGCATGTGCTCAGTAAGCACCATGCCACACAATGCTTGGCAGGGCCGAGGAAGCTTGTTGCCGTTGGACTGATGCTCACTGCCGCCCTTTTTTGTTGTGGTTCGCCAACGTCTTCGTATGCTAACGCAGAGCCATGGGTTCTCGAATGTTGAACCTATGGTTTGTTACCTATTATCCGTGACATATCCATGCAGTAAGCTGACGTGGGCCAAAATCGGAAACTCGAAGTCATCAGATGACAATATAGCGAGTTTGGGCCGAGGGTGTTATTAGCGGTGAATGCAAGGTTCCAAAAGTCCGGCCTTTTCTTGTTTACCTTTTACATACTCCGTACCCGAGCTTAGGAAACTCGTGTATCGTCCAATGGATAGCCCCAGGTAGGCACCGAATCTCTGTTTAGAAAACTCTCCGTCCGCTCGCGCTACGCATGTACAGTTCAACCCTTGAATGATTGTTAGCGCGGAACAAGCGACAGGGGCTAAAATGCTATGGTTGACCCCTGGTCGCTCAAGTCAGACGCTAACAATCATTCAGGGTTGAACTGTAGGTAGGTTGGTATCAAGCCCACAGTGGGGCACTGGGTAACGGTCTTGGGGTTAAGCAGGCAGAGCTATGGAAGCGCTATGAACTAGCGTAAGGCTGCATCAGCATGCTACTCCGGAGAATTCTGCGGCTCTCAGAAACACATGTTACAGTTCAGACTTTTTAGCTTGTTGTGGGAAGTGGAAAAATAAATGAGGAACTACTAGTACTATAGTGTATGTGCCGCAGAACGTGCCGTGATCGGGGGATTGTGAATTGATTGGGTTCCTTAGTATTAGGTAAGATACCTTCCTTACCGTAATACTGTTTATGGCTCCGTAAGGTAGCTGGAGGACATGGCTGAACATGCCCTGGATGTTTCACGACTTGAGAAATGCGCAATGCAGCCCAATAATCAAATCAAAGACTGGGCAAAGTTGGAGCAGACTGTCCGACAGAAGACCGTTGTCACCAGCCGAAATGAGAAGGCGCGCTGAAACATGACACCCGTTCAGGGCTAGGCAAGGGGATTTGCGGTCGGCGGTCAGCGCCGGCATTCAGCGCCATCGGCGCCATGCAGCATGGTGACATCGCCGAAGGAATGGGTCTGGGGAGCTCGCTTTGCCCGATCTCGCGGGCTCCTTCCCGCGCCGCCTTCCCGCCGCCTGGCCTTTTTTTTTCTACCTCTTCCCCGCAGAGCTGCGGGTTTGTTGTTGGTTGTTGGTTTCATCCGTTCCCTTCCCCACGGGACGCTGCGATCGCGACGGCGTTGGCGGTCAAGAGGTTTAAGCCTCGACTCGGCAGCCGTGCGCGACTGCGACTGCGGGTTCCTTTGAGTCGAGTGCCAATGCCAAAGCGAATGGCGCGCCTCCTACCGGGACTGCTCCTCCTAGGGGCCGTCGTCTCCCCGGCGTGCGCGGCCATCACGGCATGGTTGACGGAGGTCGGGCCTCAGATCATTCTGCAGAACAAGACGACCAGCCAGATCCGCTACAGTGCCTGCAACAGCAATGACCAGGCCCAGTACTCGTACTCGGACACCAGGTTCTTCTCGCTCTCCCACAGCCCCAAGAACGGCACGCCGCTGGCCGGGGCAGGATGGTGGAATCAGTTGAACACAACGTATGTGAGATGGCGCCTTGCTCCGGGCAGCAGCTAGCCCCCATGGCTGACATGCCCACCCAGGGCGTCTTTGTTCTACATTGACCACAACAACAATATTGTCAATGCCTTCTACTACTGCGACATGCTCACCGGTCTGTTTCAGCAGACGGGCGAATGGGTTATTAGCGACGGCGTGCCTTCCATCCACACCAACTCCGGCCTGGCTCTTGTTCTCCTGGGAGACGAGGCCGGCTACCGTCTCTACTTCCACGACGACGACGGGGCGATCAATGAGCTTGGCTACACCCCAAACGACAACGCCTGGAAGTATCACGGCGCCATCTCCCAGGATATCAACTCCCTGCCAGCAGTAGCCGCCGCCTTCAGTGGCACCAACAACATCACCGTTGTCTCGCCGCGTGATGCACAAAACATTGCCGCCACGAGGCTGAACAGGGATGATACATGGTACAGGAGTATGACTATGCCGTGGCCTGTATCTGGCAAGCATTTTGCACTAACACCTCCGCAGCAACCCTGCCGCACCCGCTACAGGGCAATCTGAGTCTCGCCACCGACGACACGAACCGGACCGACATCGCGATCAACGAGACGGCAGCCGCCAACTTCAGCTTGCCCGCGTGGGACGGCATGACGAAGGGCATTGGCACCAGCGTTGACAGCGACAGCCGCTACGTGTGGTACATTGGCAACGATGGGTTTCTCTACTCGGTGGCCAACCAGAACGGCACCTGGGGCCCGCGAGCCAACCAATCCAGCGCCTTCTGGCCCAAGGCCGACGAGCCGAACGGCGAGCTCGCCGTTGCCTATGACTTCAACACCAGCCGGGTGAACATCTACTACATTGTGAAGGGCCAGCTCAGCGAGATCAAGTACCAGGACAAGGTCTGGAAGGCCTGGGCCACGCTCCCAGAACCGACCACTCCGGCGACACCGTCCCCGACGCCGACCGTGACGAGTTTGCCAAACTCCGACTCGGCCGGCGGCGGTCTTGCTACCGGTGCCAAGGCCGGCATCGGTGTCGGCGTCTCGCTAGGTGCCATCGCCCTGGGCGCCATCATCGCCGTTGTCGTTCTTGCGCGGAGGAAGAAGCAACAGGGCTTCGAGCAGCAGCCGTCTTACCCAGAGGAAGGGTCGACGACCCTCGGGCCCGACACGCCGTCACAATCATACGGATCCCCGGCCGTTGCGCGTGCCTCTGCTGGGCAGTACGACTGGGATGGCAACACCTCTCCCCCACACACAACGCCTCACCCTGAGGTGCAGCAGATACACCAGCTCGACGGCGGAAACGCGCCCACCGAGATGGATACGCCAAAGCCCATGTACGAGCTGCCTATCCAGCCCTATGTTCACGAGCTCCCGGCCGATCCGCCACAGCCGCGGCAATGAGGTCGGGAATCTACAGTCTAGGGAAGACGCTATTAGTAAAGTGGGAAGAGGGGAGGGCCGTACCCAGGCGGGAGGCCGCAGTTCAATCAATGCAGGAATGTCACGGATTAATGTCGGGGAAAATACGCCAGACTACTCGGACTGGGGAGTAAGCATTACTTTTTCAAAGCCTCAGCTGTTTCTGGAAGATCATTCTCATAACTCATTGGATCCATCGCCTCCACTCCGTTCTCATCTCGTTTTAGATACCAAACCCTGTTTTTTCGTTTTGTTTTTTTCTACACATATAGCAATCTTGGAAATACCAGCTTTATGACATTTTGCCCGGCATCATGACTGAAGAAGCATCACATCCGACTGAAATGAGTTTATAGTAACAGGTTGAACGGAAAAGGCAAAGCGCTCTTATCCATCAGGGCAGGAATTAAGAATCCAGATCGGCTGGCTAGGACACATCTTTCTGGTCTTACACCTGTGACACTGTTTCTTTTAGCCCTTGTTGTTGATAGAACGCCGGGAATCAGTACCCGACCGCTGTTCATGGTGGCACAGGGACCCTGGCCGCTGGTATGCGCTGCCATTGAAGACAGATAGGTTAGCAGGCAATAGGGTTATTATGTAAGAACAGGTTGAACCGAGGGCGGATGTTAGGGGCTCTCCCCCCTCTTCTTCCCCTCCAGCTTAGAGCCGACGAGGAGAACGACATTAAGTATGTACGCTGTACACGAATACAGAGCAGCATACTGTACTGTATTTTTTACACCAGTCACGACGTGTCCACCCCAGCAGCAGCAACGCCGTGAGATATAAGGGAGCCGCAACTTGTCTAATCCCTCGTTGAGAAAGCCATGTCATCACATCATACGACGGTTGTGTCTGTCCGTCTAATCGACCGAGCAACGTATACAAGTAGTATATCCGACCAACTCCGTTATCTCACTCCGTTCCTTTCCCCACCAAGACAAAGTAACCGAGCACTTTAAGTAACCGTGAGGCTTCCTCTCTGATGAGTAGCAATGGGGAAGGAGATGGGTAGCAGATCGCGGCACCCAGGGCCCAGTATGTGGGACAAGAAAGAAACGTCAGCCACTTGAACCCCAATAAACACATGGCCGGGCCGGGGCCAAAGCCAGAGCTAGATCGACAGGGGAAAGGCACACTCTATTGAGCCACTGTAAACTCAGCACAATCCACATGAGCTACAAAAATAAGCAAGAAAAAACAACAGGGCCGTACAGCTTCGAGACACCATCAACGGCGAACTGGAACTACTGACGCGTCTCCAGGCACGTTGACACCAAACAGATAAGCCAACTCGCGCTCGCTCAAACGGCCGACATTCTTGCTCTGGCCCTCGTCAAGAGCGGCCTCGACCAGCGTCCTCTTCTTCTCCTGCAGGGCGAGGATGCGGTCTTCCACGGTTTCCTTGACCAGGATGCGGTGCACCTGCACCTCTCGCTGCTGGCCGATACGGTGCGCGCGGTCGACGGCCTGCATCTCGATGTACGGGTTCCAGAAGGGGTCGCAGATGATAATACGCGATGCCGCCGTGAGGTTGAGGCCGGCGTTGCCGGCACGCAGCGAGACGAGCATGACTTTCGTGCGCGGGTTCTCGGTGAAGTCCTGGACGGCCTCGTCGCGCTGGTTGCGCGACATGCTGCTGCCCGTGTAGCGGCAGTAGCGGAGGTTGAGCTTATACTTGATCTGGCACTCGATCAGGTCAAGGAGGGCGGTCCACTGCGAGAAGATGATCGTCTTCTCGTCCGTTTCTTGAATCTGCCGGAGCAGTTCGATGACCTGGGTCACTTTGGCCGAGTCTTCCCAGTTGTCTCGGAGGTAGTGCATGTACCGACGGCGGGCTTCCTTGTTCTTGCCGGCCTCGATGCGGAGTTTTTTCAACATGCGAGGGTCGACTTCTTCGGGCTCGGATTTGGCCTTCCCCTTTCCCTCCTTCTTGCGGCTCTTCTTAGCCTTCTTCATAAACTTTTTCTCCTTTTTCGCCTTCTTTTCCTCCTTCTTTTCCACCTTTACCCCCGCAGTAGCAGCGGCTAGTCCAGCATTGAGTATGGCATCATCATCATCATCATCATCATCATCATCATCGTCATCATCATCGTCATCGCCGGGATCCTCATCTTTGATTCCTCGGCCAATCTCGTCATCCGGAACAACAAAGTCTGCTAGGCTTCCGAGAGACTCCGTATCAGACTCGGTGTCATCGTCGGATGAGGCGTCATCAGAATCCGTCGTCTCTTCCTCGTCCTCGGTAGCAGCTTCGTCGGGCGGAAGAGCTTCGGGCATGTGCACTTTCCGGAACGCGGTGAGGTTGATGACTTTGGTGGGCAGAACCTGGCCACGGCACACCGGACATTTGGCAGTAGCATTTTCATTACCCGACCTGATGTTGTTCTGCGCCGAGGTCTCCGTGAGCGAAGTGAAACACTCTTGGCACGTATCATGGCCGCACGGGATGATAAGGATGGGGTCGTCGACGCCGTCGTAGCAGATAGGGCACTCGAACGCCTCGATAGCTTTAATACGTTCAACCACCGTGGCTTCCAACTCCTTCGCAAGATCCACCATTTGGGTATCTGAGGTAGCTGTGGTGACAGATTCAAATTCCATGAGATGAGGGTGACAGCAAGCCTGACGGAGGCGCAACAACAGCACAAGGATGTTGCTGTAGTTCTTGCCAACGGTTCCTGCACGAAGATACTTGTTAAACAGCACCTGAGATCTCGACTCGAGATCTCGGTAGAACTGCTGCTCGTCGTCGGAGAAGGTGACGTGTTCCTCATTCTCCGTCTTCGGGGGCAGTTGCAATATGGGCTTGCCGTCAATCTTCGAGTTCTTCATACGCCTCAACATAATGGCCTTTAGGACAGCGTGAAGTTTCCGCATGGCGTTGTCCCGGGAATAGTCCGACACATTGCTCCTCGGAGCTAGGCTCCTGAAGTCCTGCACACTGGTTAGGGCTAACTCGGGATATCGTGAAATCTGGACCGCATCGGCCTCGTACCTTCTGGAACATCTTGAAATCGCAATATGGTCTGATCTTGAGAAAGCGGATCAACGGGTACAGCTCTGACACATTGTTCATCATGGGGGTGCCGGTAAGGCACCATCGGTAGGTAGCAATGAGGTGGTGTGCCGCTTGAGAGCCCTGGGTCTCCTTGTTCTTGATGCACTGCGCCTCGTCGAGAATGATGCGGTAGAACCTGCTTCCACGGTGGAGCAGAGGACACTTTCTCGCAAGTTCCATATCAGCTTCCTCCCGGTACTGGGCCGATTCCTTTCGTTGGTCGACATGCTGGTTGTATCGCTTCCACTCCGAAGCTAGCGACCCATACGTCGTGAGCACGACGTCGTACTTCTTGAGCTCCGAGTAAGCCGTTCTCTTTTGGTGGAGAAGATAAACGCTCATCTTGTGGGTTCCCTTCAGCTTCTTCTTCACCTCCTGCTCCCATTGTTTTATGAGTGCAACCGGGCCTATGATCAAGTTTGTCTGTAAGATGTTAGAAAAACCCATATTTAAGATACTCGTCCTTGCTTGCTGGAAAGACCACAACGTACCTTGACATTACGATCAGGAGAAGGCCGTGAAACTATCAATGCAAGAGTTGAAATGGTCTTGCCGAGCCCCATGTCATCCGCCAGTATGCCGCCCTTATTCGTTCCCATTTCCATATCTGTCATCCACTTCAGTGCGAGCTGTTGATGAGGAAAGAGGGAGTATTTCATGGCCTCCGGTGTCTCGCCGCGTTCCTCCTCCGGAATTTCCATGTCTGGACGGATATTCGAAAGAAGCTGCTGAATATCTTCTTCGGTCTTACGCGGATCGTTGACATAGTCGTCGAGGAAGTCCATGAGGCGTGAGCTGAGGTGGTTTCCGTCCGCATCGACCATGGCATTGAAGTCATAGCCGTTGACACGATTGATAGTCGCGGCAAGACTCGAAGGCTCTGTCGATGGCCCTAGTCGAGGATAGTAGCTGCCATTGGTCATGAACCCAGGCCTGTCGGCTGCCGAGGCCGACGAGAAGTCATTCAAGTAAGGCCTGGCGTTTTGTCCAGTTGTCTGCAACATGTGGCCGATAGGACCGACTGACGGCCAAGCGGCCGGCGTCTCCTGCCGTGCCATAGACGATTGCCGTGCCAACTCAATGGCAGGAACGTTCGTACCAAATCCGCGCGGTGTTGGAAGGGTTACGGCTCGCGAAAGAGGCGGCAGAGTGGGCGCTGAGTGCGCTGCATCGTACGAAATAGGAGTAAGCGATGATATTGGAGGCAGCGAGGGTCGAGACGGCTGAGATGCAGTGCCCAAGGACGGAGGAAACCTCTCATTGCTTTCGTCATCGGAGTCCACGTAGGCCCCGGGCATCCGGTACCGGTTTTCCCTCGGCTCAGACTTGACAGTAGAATGGCCCGATGGATGCCCCCTGCTGGCCTGGCCTGCGAAGGAAGAGCGGGGTTCCAGTTTGACGTGGTCCGTACGAGCTGCGTTCCACGAGGGAGCGGACGTGGGGGAGGGTCTCCCAAGGATCCGGTCGAAAGCATTATTTTGCCCCGGTTGCCACGATCGCGCAAAACTGGATTCGCTGCGGGACGGCGAGTCGCGTCTGGCGAGTTGTCTCGCTATGGCAGCATCTCTGTCAGCTTCTGCTTTTCTCCGCCGCAAACGTTCCTCTGCTTCTCTCTGTCGCCTGATACTTGAGAGGAACTCGGCATCGTCGTCCCTATCAGGCTGGCATTAGCTGCACTGCACTGCCTAGAAGCTGGGTTGACCTGGGCTGCTGGGTCTACACCGCCGTGTCTGACAGGCACGGGTCAATCGACTCACCCGGTGAGGTCAATAACCGGCACAATGTCCTGATACTCGTCATCCCCAAACTCGTCGAAGCTGGACCCGGAATCCCCTTGGGCTGGACTCGGCGTGGTTCGTCTTGATTTGGCGATCCCCCGGGTTGATGCGTCAACATCGAGATGTGAGCTCCCGATGGAACGCTTCCGCGACGACATGCCTGGGTTTGACCTGAATTCTTCCCCTGAGCTCGAGCCCGTCGAGTGTGTTTTCGTAGGTGGAGTCGACGCCGAGCTATCTCCAGCCCCGCCGTGGCCTGAATGCGAACCTATGCTGCGAGCCTCGGCGAGCTTGCGCTTGAGATGCGCAATCTCAGCTTTGACGTCTGCGACCTGCTCCTCGGTTGACGCAGAGTCGGAAGACTCGAGGAGAGAAACCAGCACGGCTTGTTGAAAGCTTAGCTCCTCGGAAAGCTGTTCGATCAGAGCGGAAGGGTTGTCTGAGGAGGATTGGTCGGCCGGGGCTGAAGAATCGTTGGCCCGAGACGCCATCTGCGTACCGCTGCGTACGAGGCTGTATGATAATATGCGGGACCGACTCTAACAAGGGTGAACGGAAGGCTGCAGCAGGCAGCGCCCAACAACACGCCGTTGAACCGTCGATTTCTCGTATGGGAGGACACTGCAGCTCAGATGCGCATGGCCAGTTTTTTGTCGCCTGGCAAGGGAACACTCAGCGCCAGAGTAGTACTAGTAGGACTAGGATAACCAGGACAACGCCAGTCTTTCCATCCAAGGTCGAAGTTGCGAGAGTACGGGCTGCCAGAGCCGACAAAAAACACCGAGGTGGGTATCGTTTGGTCTTGGGTAGGAGACTAGGGCGGCAGCTCCCTAATAAAACGGATTGTGCCCGGTTTTGCTTTGTGTCACAAGACGGAGCCTACCCTTACTGTTGCCGCGATTGCCTTAAAATAAGTGGTGAGTAAGGGAAGGAGGGAGATGCGCGTGCGCGGACGGACGAAGTGCAGGAGCCACACCCCACCAGAAGAACACACCAGGAATTACGCCACCACGATAAATCTTCCACAGTTGACAGCGTTAATAACCCATGGTTCCTCGTCTGCGTAAAGGGTCAGTAAAACGACCCAAACCCTCTCCAGCGCGCTCCAGCGTTGCCTTGTACGCACCCGGATCTCTGGGTCGGAGCCCTCTCCAACTGGGTCTGCATACCATTGAAATGGGGCAAATGCGCGCAACACGTCTTGGTGCGCGCAAGCGCGAATCCCATTTGCGCGTCCGGCAAGCACCCCTGAGACCAAGCCTGAGCAGACCCACGTCTGCCGCACTTGAGACCCACTGGGCTTTGGTGGGCGAAGATCTTCCATTCCTATCACAGAACTACCTAACAAGTGGAAACACCAACGAAGATTACCGTGCCTAACTGCTTTGGTTTTCAAGTTGCCCCTATAATGAACGAACGATCAACGATTAACAAAGGGTGTTATTGACTGAATATGTATGACTTTGAATGAGCCGTAGCTCCAAAAGTTCTATGAAAACTTTGTTGAGTGGCTGTGGCTAAATAAGGTAGGGACATGCAGTGTAATGGTCCCCGCTATTACATGCCTCCTGTCCAAAATGACGCCGTAGGTCAGGTAGGTAATCAAGTCGTAAACGAACCAAGAAGACCCAGAACGCCCAACAAACAAATCGGACACCAGCAGCTCAACACAACTCCTTGTAACACCTGAGAAGTCAGAACACCGCACAGCTACCCAAACCAAGCAGCTAAGTGCATATCGAGGCGACTAGGTGCCATATCAAAGACATGGTCATGAGGGACTAGTCTCTCCCGCGTCTTCCCCTTTGTTTTCGCCGGAACCTTTAACCTTGTCCCACCAGTTGCTGACTTTCCCAGTAAACCAATTCCAGAAGTCTTTGACAGAGGACTCGACCTTGTCGATGGCCGACGCGGCATCATCACTGTCATCATCACTTCCACTGCCATCGTCGTCGACAGTCCCTGAAGGTTCGCTGGTGGGTTGTGGGACAGGTTTGTCGACACCAACCTTGATGGTCGGCAAAGTCGATTCCGCATTGCTTGTTGGCGCTGTAGATTCCGCCATGCTTGTTGTGGCAGGATCGACCAGGACGGGCTTTGTTTGCGCTGTGGCCACCGTTGTCGACGTTGAAATTGTATGGCTTTCTACCGGATCTGCGGGAGTGTCCACCTCGTTTATGGAGGTGTCATTGTGTAGACCTACAGGTTTCAAGGGCAGTCGCAAGGTACCGTTGTTTGGAGCTGGAACAATTCCGACAGAGTCGCACAGCATGTTGTAGACCTCGATGTTTTCTGAGAATATTAGCAAACTCCAAAAAGAAAGAAAGAAAAAGAAAGAAAGAAAAAAGGTAAGAGTTGCAAAGAATATAAAGTAAAAGTAGAGTCTGAATGAGAGAAGGGCCCGAACGGGACAGTACTTACGGAAGACCTCGACCCGACTATTTGGGGCGTGTGGAAAGGCCGGACCCCGAGCGATGAAGATTGCCCTCATCAGAGGATGCTCGTGGTCGTAACCGTGAAGGCCACGTGGATGGTACACAGCGCCCTTAGCTTGCGCTTCCTTCAGGTTCATCTCCTCCATCTTGACGAGCGCCCATCCGGCCTTTGGAACAATCCACAACGGGGCAATACGCTCGTTAGCCGAGAAATGATACCTCTCCGGCATGTTGACATCTCGCAGATAGACCTCCAGATTTGGGTTCTCTTTGGTTTTCTGCGCCAAGTCCTCGTAGATGCCTTGTAGGTCGTCCGGGTTCTTGGGTCTCAGCCCAATCAGCGGCCAGCCATCGGTGTGCTCGATCTTGGTGAGGTCCACGATGTCCTCGAGCTGCACGAGTCGAGAGATGTCGGTGGTGGCCATGCCATGGTCCGAGACCACGATGACATTTACAATGCCCGTGAGATGCCGTTTCTCCAACCCCCTGAAGATGTTGTCAAGCATCTTGTCCACTTTCGATATGGTGAACCGGATCTCAGTGCTGTTCGGGCCATACTTGTGCCCATCCGAATCGACGTTGGGCACATACGCTGCAATGAGCTGCGGCCGGTCGGCATCGGGCATGTCCAAGAACTCGAGAATTCTGTCGACTTTCCTCGACAGCATCTCTTTCCCGTTGTACTTGTCTACGTACGTCGGTTCGGTGTCAGCGATGCGCACCTCGCTCCCAGGCCACATGTGAACGGCCGTTTTGAGTCCTTGATTTTGCGCTGTGACCCAGAAGGGTTCCCCATTCCACCACTTGGGGTCCATGCTCCGGGAAGGGTCCGTGTAATAGAACTCTTGCTGTAACGAAGGGTCCCAGAAAGTGTTGCCTACAACTCCATGTGACTCTGGATACAGTCCAGTCGCGATGGTGTAATGATTTGGAAATGTGACACTCGGGAATGAGGGAAGCATGTAAAGCGGTGACACGCCCTCCTTGATGAACGCGTTGAGTCTCGGCGTTAGTCCCCTGTTCAGGAAGTCGGCACGGAATCCGTCTAAGCTGATGATGATGGTGGTCGGGGCGAACATGGCGGTGCCGTTGCTGACCAACTTCGGCTGACGCGAACTCTTCCGCCCCAGCGACAGCTTCCACGCCACCAGAACCAGAATCGCAAATGCCACGGCGACGATCGCGTGGAACAGCAGCCAGCGACGACAGCTACGCTTCCGTTTCGCTTTGGCGTCAGTGACATGCAGCAGATGCTTCCGGTCAACTTCGTCGCTGTCGTCGCGATCGCTGCTCTCGCCGGTTGAGCTACCGTCCTTCATGCCACCTTCCTCCATCTCATACATCAGCTCGCCGTCTTCGCCATGCTGCGCGTGGGCCAAGATCCTATCCCTCTTCGCCTGCCTTCTTTGCCTCCTCGCTTTCCTTGTCTCCTGGCCGAGACCCTCCACCGATTCGCCGGGTTGCGCGGACGGACTCCTAGACCTCGACGGAGACGCATCGCTCAGCCGCCTTGTCAACAGCTTCAGCGGATTTGGAATGGGCAGGCCAGACCCTCTACGCTGCCTGTCCTGTTTCCTGCGGCTCTCCGTCACCAGCTGGTCCAGCTCCTCCTCCTCCATTAGGACGAGCCTATCGTGCGCGCGCAGCTCGCGGCTGTTGCGGGCACGCAGCTGACGCTCGTCATCGTCGCTGTCAGTATCCTGGTCGCTGCGGATAGATATGGCGTCGGCGTCGTAGTCGGACGGAGAAAGTAGTGAGGCGCCGCGGGCGCTCGCGGCGTTTGTCTTCAGCGACTGGAGGGGCATTTTAGGAGCAGCGGGTCGGTGACCCTACCGTTCGATCGACATGGGGTATCGATATCTGCGCGTTTTGCGGGACTGAGAGTTTGTCAGTCAGTCATGGCAGAGGACTGCTTGAGACGAGATGGTGACAGACAACGTTGAAACAATCAACTTGAGCCTGAGCATTACCAGTTGAGAACTGAGATGATAAGGTAAGATGTTACCCCTGGTTCAAACAAGGGTCATGCAGACATCAGACAAATGATTGGTGAGCACCCCTGGCTGATCCACACTCCGGCAACGGTGGGCCGGCAGTCGAGACATGGAACGCTTGCAGGCATGGTTTGGGTTTTCGCCCACTGGCACTCGCCACTCCTGCCAGCAGATTCTCATTCTGCTCTTCCCTCAATGCCCAGAACCTAAGAAGCGGGATGTACAACAATGGCGCGGACGAGTCATTTGAAGAAAGAGGCAGAGGAGATTGCAAGCCTGTCGGGCAGACCGTTTCAGGGTTGCTAATATCGCTGATACGGAAGGTGCTTGGTGTATCTGTGGTATGAGCAGATCACTGCTCACCACTTGCACTCAGGCACAATGGAGCATCCACTTATCAACCATCCAAAAGTCCACAGGCTCAGACCGTGCTGGTTCTGAACGCAGCGTGCCATCTGACAGAAACATCGATCTAGGACCCAAATCTATACCTGATGAATGGTGTTACTTAGAGCAAGCGCCATCATGGACAACCCAACGCCTCTATCCCATGTCTCCAACCGAACAGGAACCAACCGGAGTAACCACAGTCAACACCAACAAAACCCGAAGTTCTCTTCCCACGACATATCCTTGACTACCCGTCCCCTAGACCACCGCAGACTGGGCATCCCGCCTTCGACACGCTCTTCAAACATCACTTTGATCCCGTCCGCCCCAGGATACGCATTCCCGATGCATTTGCACGCGGTACGAACTTCCTCGTCTGGGTTCCAAGCAACCACCTTACTTAAACCCCATCTCCTCGCCTCCACAACAGCAGCGTCCAGCAAAGCGGCTACATCCTTCACCGTTTCTTGTTGGGCGTGAGGGGTCTCTTGTTGATCCTGGCAGACGCGCGAGATTCGCAGGATACGAAGGCGCTTCTCACGCCAGTCGTGCGCCCAGGTGATCCAGGACTTGTTGTTGCTGCCGCTGCTGCCATTGAGGACCATAGCACCATGGGCGAGACGGAGGTTCCCAGTGAAGGGGACTATTTTCCGGCCGTCGAATTCTGCGCGCGCAAGGTGCCATGTTATTTGGGGCAGGGTGGGCAGGAAAGCCACGCGGGTTTTGCCGTCGGCGGGAAGGGAATTGAAAGATTCGGTGAGGTGATGGACGTCTGCTTCGCAGAGGTCAGATAGGTCTGATGCCTCCAGCAGGCGAGTTTGGCCGCGGTAATAGGACGCGTGGGCGGGAGAGGATGATGAGGGGAGAAGCGTCAGCGTGGCCTGTCGGCTGCTAAAAGGCGACCAGCCCAGGCTGGCGTAGTAGCTCCGCCCGCTGTCGCTATACAGTACGCTGCAGTCGCTGTCGGCGTCCAGCTGCTCCTGCACTCGGCGCAACAAGTAGGATGCCATCCCTTGCCGCCGGTAGGTCGGATTGGTGTAGATGTTGGTGACACCATAGCCGTGGCTGATGCGTGCAGCTCCTCCGCTGCCGCCCGAGATCAGAATCGGCTTGCGGATAGCCTCACAGCTGGCGATGATATGCCTAGGGTACCCGTTGAGGTAGAGCACCCAGTACCGGCAGCGGCCGTCCCGGTTCAAGTCATGTTGGGCGAGGTAGCGTTCCCGCTCGACGTAGTCCTCAAGTGCCATGGGCGCTGCCCAGGTTCGACCGCATAGCTCCCAAGCGAGCTCCCGTTGCTCGGGCGTGGCTTCACTGAAGACGATATCAGAGGCCGTAAGGCCCATGGGCTGAGCCATTCTGTCGTTATTCGTTATTGCTCTCCCTGACCCTCTATGTTGTTTGCCACCTTTTATACCTCAGCTCTCCTGACTGGGGATGGTGGGGTTGAACCTCCCTGGACGAGGTGTTGAGCGGGGCCTGATCCGGTACCTTAAGCCACAACCAGGCGGTGGAGGTAGCGGGGACCTGACTGATCTACACGGGTGAGATCAGCAAGCGTGGGTTTGCTCGCTTCCTCGTGCGATACAAGACATGGGCTGCAAGAACGAGTGTCGGTATGGTTACAGTCAGTCAGGTTAAAAGCCTCATTCGGTGAAACTTCAATCTTGGGTGGGAGCACAGCAGATTCAAGGGTTAGGGGTATAGCCCAAGCCACACTCACGGCCATGTCGTTGAAAGAACTTCGATGTCACGAAACGGGTCATATATGTCTTGGCTACCTGGACGCTGTGAAACTGGCTGTGACTGAATAGTCGAGGCTCTTGGAATGGTATCTGCAAATACGGGAGGTCACCTCCACCTCTTCCACTCAGAGTCTCGGACTGTCCTCCGAACTCTCTGACAATGTCAACAAGGGCATTGAGGATAGCTCAAGAAGCGTGTTGCGGGTTCATCATGTGAGCAACATGGCGAGCTAGTTGAGAGCATCTATATGTCCGCCTGGTCAAATCAAATCGTTTGATGCTGTTAGCTGAGGGAGGGCGACTGATGAGCAGGAAGAGAGTTGGTGTCGTCGTGAACTTGTCATGCAGTTCACGAGCTAAGTCCCAAAAGGGGTATTTGTGGGGCAGTTAGGCGGACAAGCCACAATTTCAACCGAGAATCTGCCCCACCTGTGGCTGCAGCTGCAAGGCGGTCGGAACCGGCACCAGCGGTTCCGCAAATTTTGGTCGAGCCCTGCCAATTACCAAGGCGCGCACAAAAATTGGTCTCGATATCGGCGAACGGCAACGACACGGATTCTTTGACGGCGAGCAACAGCATCAAAGGTGCGTTGAGCATTTCCCACATACCTTCTTGTAATCTGAATCGGCCGACTATCGTTCTCCTTCTTGCCTCTTCGTCCTTGCACGACTTCAGCTTCGCCGCTACCTTACTGGATCGTCGTCACTAACACGATCGCCCACATCAGAACGTCGACCAAAATGGCATCGATCGAGATTGGAGCGACAAGCTGGCGTCGCATCGAGGTTGGCCGCGTGCTCAAGCTCGAGAGCGGCAGCCTCGCCACTATTGTCGAGATCATCGATCACAAGCGCGTATGTGGAAACCGGACTCTGGCGGGACGGCGAAGGCAACCGAAAGCGGTGTGAATGGGAAGACACTAAAACGTTGGAAATCAGGCTCTCGTCGATGGCCCCTCATCAGACCCCAAGCTCGCGACCCCCCGGGGCATCGTCCAGTTCTCGCGGGCTCTGCTCACCCCCATTGTGATCGAGAAGCTTCCCCGCGGCGCGCGGACGGGTGCCGTCAAGAAGGCGTGGGAGGCTGCCGGAGTTGATGCCAAGTGGAAGGAAAGCAACTGGGCCAAGAAGCAGCTCCAGCAGGAGCGCCGTCAGTCGCTCACCGACTTCGATCGGTTCAAGGTTATGCGGTTGAAGAAGCAGAGGAGGTTTGAGGAGCGCAAGGCTCTCGCCAAGATCAAGGCTGCCGCATAAGGCGGGGGTTCGGTGCTTTAGAGGGATAGCGTCTGGTTCGACATGGCTTTTCTTGGGGAGGAAGGTATTCTGGAACGGTCTGCATGAACATCAGCAATTGGGCTGCTGGGGTATCTCTTTGCGTCGCTTTCGGAAGACCTGTATGTCACATCATCAAAGGTGACTGGCGTCATATGGAACATGCGATATTGAGCCAAAAACAACAAAAGACCCAACGGACCATGGCGCCGCCATAGTGGCGCAGGTCTGTGAGATATCAGAATCAGAAACCCCGGGAATGCCGTGACGGCAATGCTTCTGCTCTATCTTCTTGGGATTCCAAGAACCCTCATGGCCCTGCTCAGTGCTGTGAATCACTGCATACGTATGATCTCAGTCAAGGTACCTTACGTACTCAATAAGACACTTGATTGATGATCGCGGCCCCAGGATACGGAAACCAAAGTGATTACCGGTTTGGGACTAGCGTACCCGAGCCTCAGCGGTGCCCGAACAAGCCCTACCAAAAATTGGATCCGAACATTTCTCTCCCACCACGACCTACCAGCTTCCTTTAACCCCCGCATTCCCAATTAGCGGCAGTTTTCACGTCAATGTGAGTCTTATTCGAGCATTGCCAGCGGCATGTATTGTTAGATCTCCCGTATCATATGGGAAGACCTACCATTCCCGCCTTTGGCAATGGTTACAAGCAGTTGCATTTATGTGCGGGGTGGGAGCTGACCGGAACATGATGTTGCTAGCTTTCCCAATATGGCTGACCCCCGCGTTGAAGAGCTCCCCGAGGAGGAGACCAAGAAGCCGACCGTCGAGGAGCTGGACGAATCCTCAAGCGATGAGTCGGAGAACGAGGCCGAAGCTGGTGATGCCAGCATTCCCGCTGGCTCGACGACCGTGATCCACTCACGCAACGAGAAGAAGGCCCGCAAGGCCATGGAGAAGCTGCACCTCACCCGCGTGCAGGGCATCACCCGTGTTACTCTCCGCCGACCTAAGAACGTGAGTCTTACCGAGGAGGAATGGAGCTAGGGCCTTGGACTGCTGCTACTGCTCGTCTGGGGGGCATGGGCCGGTCCACGGTGACCGGGGATTGTAAGATCGGGGAACTGGGAGGCTAACGCGTTATGCTTAGATCCTCTTCGTGATTAACAATCCCGAGGTGTACAAGTCTCCTAACAGCAACACGTACATGTAGGTTCTGCGGCCGGCGTCAGGCGATATGGAGGAACTGGGAGCTGACTCCTGAGCAGTGTCTTCGGTGAGGCCAAGATCGAGGACCTCAACGCCAGTGCCCAGGCTGCTGCCGCCCAGCAATTGGCTAGCCAGACTGCTGAGCACGACCACGCCGGCCATGCCCACGACCACAAGCAGGAGGCTGCCAAGGAGGAAGAAGAGGACGATGGCGAGGAGGTGGACGCCGAAGGCATTGAGGACAAGGACATCGAGCTCGTGATGACCCAAGCCAACGTCTCCCGGAAGAAGGCGATCAAGGCGCTAAAAGAAAACGACAATGACATAGTCAACTCAATCATGGCATTGAGTGTCTAGACTTGACGGGGGCCGGTGTCAGTTGTCGGCTAGGGTCATGGTACATCCTGCGAAAACCAGCGTTCAGCGTCAAGTCCCCGTTGGTGGTCAGTTGGGCGGCTGTCTCATTGCGCCGCAAAATCAAGACTGTTCCGAACTTCCGTAATGATTCGTTATTTTGGCGCATCTCATGCGATGTAGTGCTTGCGTGCCGTTTTCTGGTACATAGATGTCGAAGCCGGATACCAGTGCATCCGTCACCCTTCGACTCAGGCCAATCGTATCACGTTCTGAAACCATGAAATTGCAAATACTAAGGTAAGTAAGGTACGGATACCCGGTACTTAGCTCCTAGGTTGCGATGCGGAACTCGATGTTCTTGGAATACCTAAAGCCCCAGAATTCCAAGCGTCGGAGCTAGTGAGCTACCGGTTCCTTCCGTGAGTCATCACGTGACGTAATTTCCTCCGGGTAAACGCTCCTTGTATTCGGCAAACTTCAAGCCACGACAGTGACGGAAACTCTCCACTCCCCGACCACAGAACCACCGCAAAAATGGCCGCAGTAAGTTCCCGGAGTCAATTGACATCTTGCCAGGTCGAGGGCCTGTGCCCGGTGTACTGGCGGGCAGCGATGCGCGGGCGTTGCAGTATTCGCAAGGGTCGGGACTGAGCTAATTATGGTTCGAAAAAAACACAGCGAAGCACAGCTCTCAAGGTCGACTGGGCCAAGATCACGACGTCGCTCGGCCTGCGCGGCCAGACTGTGGCCGGGTTGCAGGCCTTCAAGAAGCGCCACGACGACGCCCGCCGCAAGGTGCAACTGCTCTCGGAACAGCCCACCAAGGTCGACTTTGCCCACTACCGCAGCGTGCTCAAGAACCAAGCCGTCGTCGACGAGATCGAGAGGCGCTTCAATGCCTTCCAGCCCGCCACCTACGACCTTTCCCGCCAGCTGAAGGCTATCGAGGCCTTTGAGGTGGAGGCCATCAAGAACGCCGAGGCCACTAAGCAGAAGGTCGACCTCGAACTCAGGGACTTGGAGAAGACGCTGAAGAACATCGAGTCGGCCCGGCCGTTCGATCAGCTCACTGTCGACGACGTCGCCGCTGCCGAGCCGAGCATCGACGAGAAGACCACCCAGCTCGTCTCCAAGGGCCGCTGGTCCGTGCCAGGGTACAAGGTGCGTTCTCCCATGCTATTTCCTCCGCAATGCCCGGGAGTGTGTGCTAACGACGCGAACAGGAGAAATTCGGCGACCTCTCTTTGCTATAAACAACTCGCTGCCCGATTCCCCTTTCCTTTTGTGTACTCTAGCATTGTAGATAGTCCGCGCGCTGAGGAACGGCCTTCCGTAGAGGGGGGAATTTCACCTTGTTAAGCTCACCCCCTCACTTGTCCTAGCGTCATGTCATCTCTTCCTCCTGTCCAGCAGGATTCACCAGGTTATCATTCCCTCCTCTCCACCAACTTACAGTGTACCCCTCTCCTGGCCCTATCTCCTGCGCTCTCCCGCCTTCGACATTCCTGCACTATTCATAAACTACCCATTCGTTGCACCGGAGTAGTCACCATCAGGACCGGGAAACGAGACAACCCCCGGGATTGGCATACGAATACTGTTTGGTAGGGATCCGGAAGAATGGGAGTCCAGAGACGGATGCACGACCCCTTACAGTAGATCGCTTATGCGTTCAGCCTCTTCGGGATGCCCTTTACGACGGATGGACCGGCGAGATGGGGGACGAGGCCGGGTATTTGGCAGTAAGAAGCAGAAGGAATCAAGCATGGCTGGGTGCGATATCCTTCTCCGTTGTCGTGGTAGGTCTCCCTGTCTTCATCCCGGAACTCCGTCTTTCCCAATCTCTTCCTAGAATGCCGGCTGGAGGGCGCGCTTCGAAATCGTGAACAGTCTGTTTGCGGAGGAGACAAATAACTGTGAATCCTGATATAGTGAGCGGCGCATGAGAAACACAGGCCGTAACCGGGTAGCGCCAACACCGATATAACAAACCGGGATATGACAGGCAACATGGCGGTGATGGCTGAGACATTCGGTCCCTGGTTTGTAGGTTTGTCGGAAGGATAATGGCTATCTCCAAACCTATATGAGTTGAAACGAAGGCGGGAACTGTTATTTTTGCACGTCATCTCCTCCCACGGGGCAGTGTGACCATGTAACTTAACCTAGAATACGACGGCACGAGTCGCGGCTGAGAGTGGAATGGGTGGTGAGAGTCTTGATGCTGCAGGTAGAGGCGAGTTCGAAACTCTACATGCCTCCGAGATGCCATCTCCATCACGCCACTAACACGGATCTAACCGCCTGCTGTCAGATCTAGGCTGAGTTGAGGCCGAAGCTCAGTCACCTCCATACAAGCAGCAACTGGATGCCACGCGCTCAATACCGCCTGTACTGATGTCAGCATACCCTCATCCTCCCTACTAAAAAGTAGACTATGCAGAGAAACGCCATGTCGTGCCCCGTAGGATCTTCATATCTCGTAAGCCAAACGGATGTTCCACGGCTTCCTGGCCAGAGCGGAATTAGAGTAGACAGCTGCCAGATGAATAGCAATCCCGTGGATAGCTGTTCGGTTGGGGTCTGTCCACTGTCTGTGGGGGGGTCTGGTTGATAACGTGAATCTTCAGACATGGCAGGGAGCCGAGAGACGGCGTTAGAGCGTGCAAAGAGGGAAGGAGCCTGGGTTTAAGACTATAAGGTACATCCGTATTGGATTTTGAACCGATTTGACTCTGAAGTACGCCTCGGCTTCAACCTCACTCTGAAGCTTCCGAAGTTCTCCATCAACCCCAACCATGGAGCATGGGTCCAAAAATATTACCTGAGTATTTAGGACTTTTTGTTAGTGGAGGACACGTGACTACCCAGAGTGTGTCATAAAAAAGGTCGTCGCCAGCGGGACGCAATACGGCTGTTAAAACAAGCATCCTCGACGCATCGTACTCATTTTGCCTCTCACTCTTCTACTATTATCTTTACTCTTGTTTTTCTTCTTAGCTTCCTTTCTCTTTTTTCTTATAACTCCAATGTTATTTTGTTGATTTCTAGTGCTTGGTGTACGCATTCTTTCGCATTCTTTCGACTGGGGAGAGAGTTGGGTGTGCGTCCACGTGACTCGCCTAACCCAATATGGCCGACACTTTAAGTTGTGTCTCAATCGTCGAAGTCCAACCTCTCTCCATCCATGTGGCGCCACCTTTCGCAACCACGATTCCTATCCAAACCATCTGAGTCTAACACCCACCATGACCGTCTTCCAAAGCCGCAAATACCCGTCGGCATCCCACGGCAACACCTTGGGAGCGCGTTACCGCGCCATGATGGCCAAGCACCCCTTTCTGCTTTTCGGCCTGCCCTTCCTCACCGTCATTGTGGGAGCGTCTTTCGTGCTCACTCCGGCCACGGCCATTCGGTACGAGCGGTACGATCGCAAGGTGCGGCAGATGACGCGCGAGGAGGAGCTTGGAGTGGGCAAGGACAGAAGGAAGGTCAACATACGAGATGAGTATTATGTACGGCTTCACATCATTTCTATATCCTTTCTTTCCTTTTCCTTTTGCCGAAGCTGTTGCTGAAGGCCCCACACGGGCGGTTCTGCTAACACGCGGTGCGAACAGAGATTGGCCGCCAAAGATCTCGATAACTGGGAGCAAAAGCGCGTCAAGAGGCTCCCAGGGGAGCATGATGGCATCCTCTAGAGTGAGACCCGTACCGAGGACAAGGTGGGCGTTGCCGCATCGGACGAGTCCTCATTGCACCACACTCGGATGGCGTGCTCTCCCTGCCTCCGAGATGCCATCTCCATCACGACGCCACCACCACGAATCTAACCGGTTGCGGTCAGATCTAGGCTGAGTTGAGGCTGAAACTCAGTCACCTCCAGCCGCTAGAGCACTCGGCCGCTGCCTTGGAAGGATCGCTGTATTATTCAGTCAATACATGACTCACCCGGCACTCAACCGCCCTCAGCCTATCCTGCGCACTAAGCTAGGCCACCATACCTCTCCTAGTAGGAACGGTTCAGAGTAGTCTCCCGATTAGTCTCCCAGCCGATTCGGAGGGGATGCGGATTTCGCGGAATCGGACGGCATCGCAAAACCGTCATGTTCTGGTGCTTGCTACTTCGGAAGTTGAAAGCGAGACACCCTATGCCACAGCTTCGTTTCGGATAACGACGTTCGAGGCTGGGAAGCCTGCAGGATCGGACCGCAGCAACCTGAGCTGATGAGTCATGTGGATGGTTAGTCTCCAAACAGGACAGCGGTCGAATACTGCCACTTCTAGGGTTTCCTCTACAACTGGGAAGGTTATCAGGCAGAGTTGCTACCAAGACGGCTCATCAAGAAAATTGCTACTACTTGGACCAGGAGCAATTTCCACAGCGTTACCGACGTACCACCTACCCAGCGCATCATTGACATTTCTCGCATGAACCTCGTGCTTTGGGCTATGGTCGAGAGTGCGAAGATGCGAGCCAGGGTTCCTGGATCTGCCGTTATGATGACAGTTGAGACGGTAGACACCCCCACGTTCGAGGCGCTGACTGTCCCAAATGGTGGGAAGGGGGGTGCTCTGCCATAGCCATCTGATGACGCATTGCCGGAGTCGACTCTGGCAACATCGAAAGAGTCGTCTTGGGTGGCAAGTGAAGGACCGTCAGCATGGCCTTTAGTCCACTGTACGATCATGCAGTACGCCTGAAGTCTCGAACACTCGGTCGAGTCGCGCTGATGCTTAAGTTCGCTCACCAATAGTGGCTATTACCAGGATTGCCATTGGTCGGTAACATCACTAATGCGAGGGGAATCGTACAAGTGCTTAGCAGATCGGAAACTGCGGGATGCCAATCCTTGGACGAGGAGGCTCAGATCGAGGTTGTCTATGACGAGAGATCGGCTTCTGACCAGGAAGCCTAGGCGAGAACTCGACGAATGACAGTGAGACGGCGATGTCTGTCCGCGCTGTCAATGCTGATCGAGCGAAACCCGATTGCACTTACACATCCAGATAAGAAAAGAGAACGAATCCCCGCTAGAACCCCACATATGTTTCAACTCCGTGACTGCACGGAAGTTCCTGACCGTTTTCTGCCAAGCCAGCCAGCGGCGGCGAGTGCTCCCATTGGCAGGGATATTCCCACCGGCGATCCATGCATCAACTTGAACCGCACTGCTGGATCAAGCGTGCAGGCTCCGTTAGTGGCTGAAGCCCAAATGCTAAAATCCAATCATGGACGCAACAGCGCATTTTTGCTCATACACTAACTAGAATGCTTTCTGGTCCCATGAGCAGATGCCACGCTGTGCGCTTGCCACAGTCCGGCGATGCAGACAACCGGAAGTGGCAGTGGTGGCAAGCAGCCCAGGAATGAAGCTTCCGGAGTGCTGGTTTGTCTCCCGCGACCCGCGCACACAGCACAGTACTATACACGCCACGATTTGCTTTCATTTCATGCGCCGTCGACCTCCGGACCGTCGACCGCGGCCCCTCCGGTGGGTTTGCTCCAGGTTCTGTCCATTCGGCGCCTGTCCGCGTGGGCCGACTTCCCGTTGACCGGCCCAGAGCGACGGCTGCGCTAAAAGAGGCGAGCCCGTTGCGGTCGCACTGGGGAACTCATTACTGGGGACGTGCGCCTCCACGGCATCAACTTCGACAGACCCACCAGGCTGAAAACGACCAAGGCATGCAGCCCGGCGGGGTCGCTTTTGACATTTCCACTTCAATGACGTGAACGTGGAGTTCACGCTCAGCGTCGAGAAGAGATCAATCAGGGCCAGGCGCGGCACGGATTATTATGGAAGGAAAGCTCCTTTTCTGTTTACGGGTTCCGGAACTGGAACATGGTTCTTCTGTGCGAGCAGCAACCTGTCATGGTCCTGTTGGTTGCGAGTACGAAGTGTTGCTCGTATTGTCTGACAGTCGCATCTCTACAGTACAATACATTGTAGCTTATCATTGATGAGGTGGCTTTGTTGCGCACACTCTTGGCGTGCTTTCGTCGGCCCTGGCCCTGTCCCTGGCCCTCTCATGCAACCTTGAACATGGATGGCTGATGGTGTGCCGCTAAAACATCCTTGGTCACGCACCTGGGCCAGCCACACCCCAATACTCGACCAGCCCGATCTGTCGCTTTCCGTCCGATCCTCTCTAGTTGTAGGTGCTGCTGCCAGGTACCACCGCTGCCGTTTCTCCCGATCGGTACCATGGCTTGGAACCTTACGTCAGGCACAAAGATGGGAGCACTCGGTGCTTATAACACCCCACTCTCGGCCTGCCTGCCTTTGGCTTGGCCCGTCAGTGTGTTGAATCTCCAACAGAGCCGTGCTTGGGCCCGACTTCAGCCAGCAGCGGGCGACAACCAACTAGACTCGATATCACCCAATTTACAGAACCACTTCTAAAAGACAACATTACCTCCGCGTGATGTTGTGTGGCATCCACTCTCACTCAGGCCATCACCACCACCGCTTCCTCCGCAGTTCCCGGAGTCACAAAAGCAACAAGAAGATGCTTCCACAAAGTCACCAGCCAAGCCGCGCCGGCATGCCGGCTCGGCCGTCGCTCGAATCGAGCCCGCGGCCATCGACAGCAAGCAGCAGAAGCGACGGGTCGATAGACTGGGATCCGTTACGCCTCCACCCATTCTCGCTTGCCCCGGGACCTGCTCCACCGCTCCCGGACGCCTCCGTCGACAGCACCAGCAGGCCGTATCAGCCGCAGGAGCTACGACAATCTCGTTCCAGTCACAACCCACGCCACCAATCACCACCATCTCGCCACTATGCATCCTCCTCCAAGACCGTCATCTACGGCGGCTTCGACTTCGGCTTCAACAACAACAACAACAACAGCCTGAGCCAAGCCATGCCCAGCATGACTGATGAGAGCACCACTGGGGGAGCAAGCAGACGAGCTCCCTCCCCTACTCCGAGCGACGCAAGCAGTGAATGCAGCCTCTGCCCCTCGGATGACATCGATGAAGGGATCAGCCTAGGCTTGGGCCTGGCTCCACCACCCGCCCCCAGACCGCGGCCCCGGCCTCGTCCCGACCGCGGCGACGGCTCTAGCTCGTCGGGTCTGGACGACGATGCTGAGGACTTCCTCCGCCGTGGCCGGTGGAAGAGGAGAGGGATTGTTTTCGCCAACACCATGCCGTTGGCTGGCGAGGATGAGACCTTCGAGATTTGACTTCTTCTTCCGTCTCAACTTTTTTTTTATGTTCTGTTTCCTACGGTGCATTAACCCGGTTGATCGGATACGGAATTCGGATAACTTCGGAGCATTTACACTGTGAGGCTGGCGTTGAACAGTATAGGTCATCAGGCTGGATTCATGGGAAATATTCAGGCGCCCTGGATCGGGTACATTCGGACAACGACATGGGACATGGACTGCGCATTTTCCCTTTGTTTTCCGGCATCTTCGGGATTGGGGGGGCCGGATACATCGCGATACCCCTAACTTGTTGTTGCGGCGTCGCTTGCTATTTTGCATTGTTAGTACCTACTATCAGTACGAGTTTTTAACTCCGCGGCCTGCAGCGCTGGCAAAATACGTTTCAATCTATTTGCAGTAATGAATCTGGAAGAATTGACACTTGATTCATCTCTCTCCAGCGCCTCCAAGTCCAACCATGTTATCAAAATCGTCATCCCTCAACCCGAGTTTTACAAACTGCGCAATAATACCTACTGTAGATTGTTTTGAGGGACATGGTCATACGGGTTTTCAATTCTCAACCCCAACATCTCATCAGTCTTGTCCCGTCCGATCATGAACTATTGTATTGTACCGCTGTCCGGCACGTGTCCGGGTCCTCGGCATTCATTCACCATTTGCCGCTCCCGATTTTGGCGATGCTTGGCAATGCAGGGCCGGGATTTCCAGATCGGGGCGAAAATGTCACCCTGCTTCTTCCCGCTTTTCGATGCTCATATTACTCCACTCGCTCCTTCCACATCCCTTCCCGAGCTTCCATGCATTCTTTTCAGCTCGTCATATTCGCTTATCAGCCTCAACACACAAGGGGTTGGTTGGTTGGTTGCAACGGGACAGTCACGCGTGGTGGGCAAGACAGGAAATTGCATCCAGCGCCGACTGGGATGAAAGTTGTGCCTTGATTTATTAGGTATTTCCTCTGGTCAGCAAGTTCGGCGGCGGTTCCTGGCAACACGAACTTTTGGGACGCCGAGGGTGCTTCGTCCACTCTTTCCTTGGCTAAAGAGAGGATTATCATCACCCACTATTACTTGACTGGAACCTCAGCCATCCAACTTTTCGACAATTCGTGGTGCCGTTTCGGGAGGGAGGGTGGATTATGAGTCGGCATTCAGCTCCGATGTAAGAAACCCGAGGCAGAGAATGGGTAAAAGGTGTGCATCAAGTTCCATCAGAACGACCTCATTCGGACTTCAGCTACCCAATTTGAAGACACCGCGCCGTCTGCAATCTCTGGGTTTCCTGTTTTTGGCCGTCCCTAATCCCCAAGTAGGTGCAAGTACATACATTTGGTGTGGCTCGGCCCCCGCATCTTGGTCAGCGAATGTGTCCCGGTGGCACACCCGCCACCTGTCACATCTTCCAGGTTATAGTCTCCAAGAAAAAGGGCAGCGAGCGGCGAGCCACCTACGTACTGTACACGTACCTCCGTACATACAATAGGGCACAGTCGAAGCGAACCGAACTGCCCCGAGCGGCTGGGCAGGCTTGGGGGTGTGGTCAAGTGACACCAATACTGGATATTGGCCTGAGGCTAAACCTGTTCCTATCTGTTTGCCACGCAGGTACCGGAACGCTCATGCAGGTACTGTACGGATGTACGGCGCGCACACACACACTCAGGTGTAGTAACCCGCAAAGGCTGTTCGAACAAAGTTTGGAATGGAGCTGCTGAACCCGACAAGCTGACTTTCAATGCACACACACACTCACCGACTGCTGCCAAAAAAGCACGACAGGAAACAGGGAAATCTGCATGACCAACTTGAGTAAATGCAGGGTTTCAGTACGACCCAGGTCTCTCGGTCCACGCCGGTGCTGCAACACCAACTACGGGGCGCCGCCCCGTCAGCACGGGTCTTCCGGCCTTGAGCCCCAGCGACGAGATCCGCGCGCCGCCGGGCTGCGTCGCCCAGATTGCGATGGCGACGGTGTTGGTGCCGCGGTAGTTGAGGATGCCCTCAGGCACGGGGAAGGACGTCTGCGGGCCGATGTGGCTGATGTAGCGCCCGAATTCTGTAGCGCCAGGCAGTTAGTATCTGGGTAACACAGCTGATGCAAATGATGTATCTCAGGTAATCAGACACAAGGGCAAGTCGAGGTAGGTACGCGAGACATACTGTGTCATGTATGTCTCGGGACGTCTCTTCCCATGGAATGTTGTTGTGACGTCTGGGCGAGACACACAGGGGTGGGCGGAGGGAGAGAGAGAGAGACAGTGGTGACAAAGTGATAAAGCGGAAAACTTACGAAACCCATTCACCCACAGCACCGCCCGGTACCTTCCCCCCGAGCCAGCCGGATCGATTTCCGGAAACTCAAAATTTAACGGTACGTCCCTAGTCCACAATATTGTCAGCCGTCACAGTCCCTAGGAAAGTTCAGAGTGCAAAAAAGGATGATAAAGAAAGAGCCTTAGACTGAATGAAACAAACATACCACTGCTCCTTCGGGATATCCAACTCCAACTCCGCCGTCCAAAACCCCACACCCGGCTCATCAATCCCCTCCATCGGACTGCCCGCCGCCGCGAACTTGTCGGTGGGCGCCCCCGGTTGGTGATAGCCCATCCGCTCGGCAAACAGCCCGCCCTCGTTCAACGGGCCCCTGACCTTGTCCACGTAATCCTCCCCGCCCAGGTTCCCCGTGACCTTCCACTCCACGGCGGGCGCGTCCCCGGCGGAGGTGGTAAAACCGTAGCTCATGATGCCGCGGGGCGCCTTCATCTCGTCGCCGCCCACCAGCGCGTTCTGCGCGTTGCCCATGTTGTCGACCAGCACGGTCAGTACGTGCCTGCTCCCGGGAACCAGCCTCAGGGGGAAGCTGTCCCGGTGCGACGAGGACGACAACGACGAGCCGTTGCCGTTGCTGTTGCTGTTGCCGGCCCAGCTGCCCAGGAAGGTGTCGTTGAGCCAGACGAGCGACGCGAACGCGCACCCGCCCTGCGTCACCAGCCAGAAGGCCGTCTCGGCGCCCGTGGCGGCGAAGTGACCTCGGAAGAGCAGCGCGCCGCCGGCGTGGAAGCCGTAGTCGGACGCGTAGAGCGAGGTTGGCGTGAGCGGCGCCTGGAGGTAGGTGTTGTTGGTGAAACTGTGGTTGGCGGACGGCCAGGACGAGTCGGAATACGAGGGTTGCCGCTCCGGGAGGCTGTCGAGGTATTTCCACGCGAGCGCGGACGGGTCGGGCAGGGCGATGGTCGGGGGGTTGTAAGCGACTTGGGCGTGCCAGTTGCCGTCGCTGTCGACCTCGTGCTCGACTGTGACGTTGTTGATGGTGAGGGAGGTGACGGAGCTGGGGACGCCGATGATCTCGACCGTGGTGGTGCGGTTGAAGTCGCCGCGGAGGAGGAGTGTATTACTGGCGATGAGGGCCGAACGCATCAGGTAGCCACCGTTGATTATCAGCGGCGACCGGCCCCAAGCCTCGGTGACCCAGTAGTTGTATGCCGAGTTGCGGTCTGCGTGGTCAACCTCGGGCTCGCATTCTTGACGAGTACCGTAAGGGTAAATCAGACTTACCCAGCAGGTAGATAAAGAGATCCCCAAGCACGACAAACTGCCTGTCGCCCGTCGTTTGCCACTGCACATAGAGGTACGGGCCGTCCTGTCCCGTCTTCACGTCTGCACTAGTCTTAGCTGCAGAAGCCATGCTGTTGGAGTCGCGCTTGATCAAGAGCTCGTGGGTCTCGCCCATCCCTCCATACACAACCAAGGCCGTCTTAGTCTCGTACTTTTGCCAGGTGAAGATCTCGGCGGTGCAGTAAACCAACGATGTATCTCCGACCGGATAGTCGGTTACGTGGATCTTCGTGTCACGTCCGCTCATGGTCAAGGCGCCACCGAGATGAGGGATGGTGACCTTCCCCTTGGAGGTGGGCAACGTCAGCGTGTAGTTGACCGGCTTCGCTTCTCGAAATGCAGTCTTGCGGGTGACGAAAAATGATCCCTTAGGCCCTAACACCGCCGTCACAGTTATGTCTCTGTTTGGGCTGTAAACCCCCGTGCTGGGCTTGAGCGCAGGGCTCGCTTCAAGGTAGCCGGGGGAGACCTTGAAGAAGTTGGCTTGGAGCTTGAGTTCCGAGTACTTCTCCCGCGTAAGGGTGCGGTCTTCGGCAATGGCCTGCTTTGGTCAGAAATAAGCACGGCAACTCCGCGGGGTGGGAATTATACAGCAGCATAGTCGTGCGAGGTGTATCCGCTGTCATAGCCCAGGTTTCCCCAGTTGGTTCCTCCGAACATCTGCTGCTGTCAGCACCGTCTTTCAGTTACTTTGGATTTGGGCAAGCTTACCATGTAAATGTTGAATATCTTGGCACCTGCGGCAAAGTTGTTCTTGTAGAAGACACGGGTCTGCTCGTGGTTGAATCGCTCCGCACAGCGAGAGAAGCCCGAGCCGCCCCAGTAATCCAGCACGCCGCCCTAGTGCAGTCCGGTGTAAGTTGGGAAAGTTCCTTAGGTCTTCTGCAAAATGGATGCCGCTTACTTGGAACTTCTCAGGTCAGCACTTCCGTATTATTGGAACAAGATACTGCGCAAATATATTGCATGGCACTCACCTCTGGAATCGCGTATGGCGTGGTCGGACTGATGTTGAGATGCATGGAGTATTGAGTCTCCCGCAGAGCGCCCTTTTCCCACGCCATATCATTGCAGTCCGGGTCAAGAGGATAAAGGTCGTGGCCGTACAGGTCGACCTGGCCCACGCCGGTGCCCGGGGCGTTGTGGCCCCCCAACCAAGCGTCGTTGTTGATGGAGGGCACGATGATGCCGCCCTTCCGCGCCTGATCCTCAACATATTGCATGTATCCCGGATCAGGGAAGTTGAAACCGATCAGGGTCCTCGAGACACTGGACTCGCCATTAGCGGGCCGGCACCCAACAGAGATACTAGATGTCTTCATGTCCGTCCGTCTTACCTGTATTCGTTCTCGGGCTGGTAAAGAATTACCCTCCCGCCGTTGTTGATTTGCGCTTTCGCAATGATTCGCGCAATATTCGCCGCGTAGCTTTTCTCAACGTCAGCCGAGACACCTCTCTTCACAGCCCACGTACCCTATCAACATAGCACAACTCACTTATCCGTAGAGGCCAGATAATCCACGTCTGCTGTCCTCGGGTGTCCCCTGAGCCTCTGGATCCAGCCCGGCAAACCACCACCGGATACCTCCGCATCTGTTTTTTGGGCCTTCGTCAGCACCAGACCGTCACACACGTCCCCCCCGTCCGCTCCCCAAATTTGCTTTCACGGCCCAAGCACATCAGATCCATAATGAAGAAATAAAACATACTGATATAAGGCCCCGGTCGTGCAATAAGCCACAGGCCAAGCTCCTTGGCGGCCTCGAAGAACTCGGTCAGATCAAACAGGCCCTCCGCTCGGAACTCACCCGGCTTCCCCTCGACCAGGCCCCAGTCGACATGGAACGAGACCGTGTTCAGGCCGGCCGCCCTGATCTTCTCCAACACGTCCCGCCACAGCGACGGGACGGGCAGCCGGAAGGGGTGGAACTCGCCGCTGAAGAGCATCGTGCGCTGCCCGAGCAGGAAGAGGCTGGCGTTGTCCCACGCCGGCGGCGGGTACGTGTGGCCGGCGAGAGGGGCGCGCTTGGACTGTGCTGCGGAGCCTTGGGCTATCTGGCTGAGTGAGTTGGGATCCGGGCTTGGGCCGGAGGAGAAGGCTGCTGCGCCTGAGCAGGCCAGCGTCAGCTCTAGCGCACTGGTCAGCGCGTGGGCTAGTCTCATGTTCGCACTGGACGGGTTCAAATAGCGAGACCGGAAGGGAAAGGGGAAGTTGGACAGCGTGGATGAGGCAGCTAGGAGGAGATGGTGTTGGATTTAGTACTCTTCTGATTCGGGCTCCGGGATAGGATGCTTACCGTCCTTGTAACAATAGAGATCAAGACAAGTGTGACTGTGCTGTGAGGTGGGATGGATGATGCTACCTGATACGATACGTGGCAAGGCGTCGGGTTGCTTGATCCTCAGCCTGACTCAGGGCCATCTTCGTGATCCAGGCGTGGTTTCTGGACTCTGCCGCGCCTGTTTCAGTACTGCCGTAACCGTCAGCCAGGCGTAGTGAAACGGAATCAAAGCTTGTTTGATCATACCCCTGGTAAGTTCATGAGCGTTGCGTTTAGTAGCAGCACAGCGCGCCATACGGAGAACGTTGGCAACCCCTTTGGTTTGCTCCGTGTTTCTTCCCAACACAAGCCGAGGCTTAATAATCCCCGGAGAGACATACCGCTCTTTCTCGGCCTCGCGATATGTTTCTTGCGCAACACCGAACAGCTTGGTGTGGTGTATGGAAGACAAGTGAAACCTCGAGAGTCGACCACGAGACGGATGCCACAGTGGTACTTGTTCGAGTACTGTCCCCATGGGCGACGTGATGCGAGGGGGCCGGGTTTGCCACCAACGTGCCTAGGCCTATGCCCACTGCTCAGTGGCTTTCCTCAGAAAATCACTTCCCAAACAGAGGCAGGACTTGCCATCGATTGCACTGCAGCTCTGTAAATGCTTGTCAGTGTCGAGGGAAATGGCCAGTACAAGATCTGAAAGCATCTGAATGCAAAGGCCTCTATTTGTTCTCCGGCTGCAATATGCCGGTGTTGGGTAATCTGAGCCGGCCATCTAAGCCCATTCTAAGTGCCTGTGGCCACTGACCACCGCTCTCCGAAACGCCTCGTTGTGTCGTTGTGTCCGCCGTATGACCTATCGAAGTCTCAAACAGACTTGCCAGGGCAGCATGCTTCGACTGTAAACTCGGGCACGAAGTCCGTCGGATCCGAGGAGTCCTCGCTGGTGTTGCCGTCGTCTTCCGGCCACTGCGTCGCGGCGATCATGTCCACCGGCAGCCCGTTACGCTTCCACACCCGGCCATCCTTCATCACAAAGCTGACCTGTCGCAACGCTCTCTCGTCTTTGCGTGGGTCCGCGTCCAGTGCGATGATGTCCGCCCGATTGCCCTCGTCCCACCATCCGAACCTGAAGCCACAGGCATCCCCGCCGCAAGCGTGCCACCCGGTGAGCGTGCCTGCCACCAGGACGTCTTCCACCGGGATCCCCGCTTCGAGCATGATCTCCATCTCCCTGACGTTCAACCCATGGTTGGCCACCCCTGTGTCACCGCCCGCAGCTAGCCTCACGCCCCGATCAAACGCCCTTTTCACTGCCATTTTGCACCAGCGGAATATGTCCTGCCCCGCGTAATACGCCTCGGCCGTCATCAGCGTAGGCACCCAGATGGTCCCTTGCCGCGTCATCTCCTCGAACATCTCCTCCATGACACCCTCCGAATCCTCGAAGACATGCTCCACGCTCGTGACCCCGGCCCGCGCGGCCATCAGTGCTGTCCTGGTCTCACCCGTATGCGCAGCAACCGGCACACGTGCCATCCTCGCCTCCGCGACGATCGCATCCATCTCCTCCTGCGTGAACAGCAACACGGCCGGGTTCCTCCTCTCCGGCGGGAACAATATCCTCCCGCCGGGCCCAGGCACGTCAGGAGGGAACCTCATCGTCCGCCTCCTGTAATCCCCGTAGAACTTGATCACATCCGCCCCCTCCCCGACCCGCCGCCTCACGGCAGCCCTCACTCCCACCACGCCGTCCGCGGTATCCGCAGCCCGCGGCACGCTCAACCCCAGGTTCGACCCGCTGGCGAGCTTGTTCTCCGTCCGGATCTCATACCCGCCACTGCTCGCCAGAGCGTCGGTGGCGACAAACATGCGGGGACCCGGGATGATGCCCCTGTTGATACAATCCCGGAAGTTGGCATCCGCGTTGCCCAGCGCCTCGGTGCCCAGGTCGCGGTAGGTCGTGTACCCCGCCAGCAGCGCAGCTCGGGCGTCTAAGGGAAAAAAGAAAAAGTCAGCCGGCCCACAGATATAGCGCATTAGACAGGGGTAGCAATGCTTTTGTGCAACGTACGGTTGGTCGCGCGGACAGTGCGCTCGACCGGGGATTGATCGCGCATTTGCTGCGAGTGGGGGCGTTCTCTGTGCGTACATGCGGACGAGTTAGGTGGGCTTCTCATCTTTTGGGGTGTCAGGGGGAGGGAAGTGAGAAGCGATCACGGACTTGTCCGAATCTAGACACCAACAATGTCAGCTGTTGTACGGTTCAGGTTTGCCTGGGCTTTGGGAGGAGTTCAGGACGGGGGAACTTGGATGACGCAGGGTTCAAGGTGTACAATACAAATGTCCTGTACGTACGTAGAAAGATGTGGGTGTGAGAGTCGACGAAGCCCGGGAGCACGAATTTGCCGCGGAGGTCAATGTCGTTTGGGTCAAGGGGGGAAAGGAAGTCGGCATTGTTGCGGTGATGGAGGCGGACAATGGCGCCGGTTTGAGGGTTGACTTGGATAGAGACATTGGGGAGCCAGCATTTGCGTTGAGGGTCGAAGAGGAGCGAGGTATGGACGGTGATGGTGTCTGGCCTAGGAGGCATTGTTGGTTCTTCGAGCAGCGACGGGGTTGTTGATACAGGTGTCGCTACCAGGCAGAGAGACGAGGAACTGGACGCCATGGCTCACTCGACAATGACAAGGGTGCGAGGAGTACTCTTGGACAATTTGTTCGTTGTGTTGAGATACTACTAGAAATACACAACACTACGGAGATGAGAAGCACAGTGATATATGTTCAAAGCTTTACGTGCTCGGGAAGCTGCGTTCGTTGTCCTTTATTGTTTTCGTTCGGAATTCATGTTGGGTCACGCACCTTGATGGTCGGCCCGGCCCACCTTGCTGTCAGCCGTGTGACGCAACTCTTCCAGCCTTGAAATTTGTCTAAAGCGGTGAGTGGACGCACCCGAGGCAAACAAATCGAAAGAACAACAACAAGCCAACGAGAGATCAACTCACGTGGCTCGCATTCTTCCTTAACTCAATTGATTTGTGCCAGGTAGAACTTGTTGACACGCATGCTGTGTAGCTGAGCTTCTTCCTAGGTTGAGCGAGTCATCTTCCCGGTCGTTCTACGGATAGTTCCCTTTCAATGCCACGTTTCCGCATATCTTGGCATAATGACCGAGATCGCCTGAACTGGCTCCTAAAAGTGACGGTGACAAGTTGACAGCATTGGCTTCAATTCGCGGAAAGGCCCAAGGAGTTTTCTTAGCTTTGAAGTCGCAGCGCAGGTCAAAAAGGGTTACCACCTCTAGAACCTCTCTCCCCGATCAAAGTACTTCGAGCTAAAACATGTGACCGGATTGTATTGACTACCAAGTCAGTCGCCAAGCAAAATACAGGTCCAAGGAAGGGTATGCAGTATCGAATGGTCAAATTAAACGTACCAAACCCGCATCAACAGGTCGTGAACGTGACTTCTCGCACAATACCGAGCATTCTGTCAGTTGCAGGGACAGGAAATCTGTCCAGGCAAGTCACAGCATGTATAGTAGGATGAGGTGCAGATGCGATCTACAGTACGTTCACATCTCCATGCCAAGCAGCTTTCTCGGTCCCGAAAGTACTTGGCGCACTCCCGTGGGGAAGCGGAAGTGGCTGGGCGCTGATAGGGCTGGCGATGGCCCAAGCTCCTGACGGCAGATGCCGCAGTAGGCTCACTTCACCTGACTGACTCGCATTGGAAACAGGGGACCCGACAAGCCATCACAATCCACGACTACTGCTGCGCGTGATATACCCATCTTTAGACGCAGTGAGGTTAGACACAGCAATGATGTTTAGATTCGTACGCTCAGTCCCACCGAAGCCCTAATCAACACGACCTAGGCCCTTAGTCATGACGTAATTAGCTAACGTGCTCCTACAGCACAAGCCTCTCGACATCATCACGCTCTTTCACAAGGCGAGCTCGCCAGCCTCGGTCAGATTGGCGACAGCCCTGCGACAGGCGTCAGCTGCTGCTTCTGAGACGTCGACCGAGGACCAGGCCAGCGATCACTCGGCGCAGAGCCAAGCTGCCCGGCGCGAGGAGTTCAAGCTCGAAATCACGGAGAGCCCGCCGACGCCAGATCAGCTCCAGACCATTCTCGAGTATGTGGGCCAGAATCGCATCTCAAGCATTGTCAAGGGCGCGACGACCCAAAAGGAGGCGCTGAGGAAGTTCCAAGAGAGCGTTGAAAACTTCCAGAGGCCGGTGGTATGTCGCCGCGATTGCGTCATCCTATTTGCGTACAGTATGGTTAATTGACCCTCATACAGGTTGTCGACTGGAACAATGGCAAGGCGCAGGCCGGTGAAAACGAGTCCGAGATCCTCAAGATGATCAATGCGCTGCCAAAGTAGCGGGGCAGCCTGGACTTGGTTGTCTCCTCTTGCCACACTAAGCGCCGTTGCTGTTGTGCTCAGACGGCAAGCCGATTGGATTCTTACTATGCTCGCTCGGGCGCCCCTCCCACTCCATGTACATATTCTGTCACCTTGGCTGGTACTGTCTTTCTGAAAAGGCTATGTTGGCTGCTCTTTCGCACGTGTCATAACTGAGGACTAAGGGCTTTGTAGGCTTGCGAATCACGAAGGTCTCTCTCACTTTCCCACTCTTTGCTTGCTTTTGTAACTTCTCAAACGCTTGTTGAGGGTTTGGGTGGGAAGATCTAAACGCACAGGCGAAAGACACCGCCGGGTCCTCAGCGATGGCTATGTGATCCTGGTACGCAAGAATGCACTGTGAGCAGAGTGCGAATCCGCGGAACCACCAATTTAGTATTTAGTCCTTTCTTTTGGCTTTCTTCCCCTCCCACACCAACCAACCTTTTCTCCTCCTTCATCTCAATTTCACCCCTGCCCGCAAATTAGCTTCTCTCCTGTTCTCTTTCTAACCGACTTGTTCGCTCGTTGAAAACCCACACCTACAAAGCCTTTTGACTGACCAGGAAGACCGTGTTTCTCTTTCTCTCCCTCTCTGAAAACCTATTTGCAATCTACATTTGACGAACCACCTCAATTTCGCCCGACAGGCAAAACCACCGATTCTGGTCATCGGTCTCGCTTCGTGTCTCGTCTGACAGGATACCACCAACTGTGTGTATTCACTCTCACTAGGCAAGGCGGTCCGATCACAATTTCAAACTCGCCGATGGTTCCTTTTTGATAGCTATCCTTAGCTATCCTCCGAAGCTGTGAGTCAAACTTGTCCGCTGCCTCAAGCTAACCCACGCCCTCAATACTGTCACATCAACTAGTGCACTGGGTTGCATGAACTTATTACGGCTAACCCAGCGTTTGTAGCAGCCACTTTACCAGCATTCCGGATGAGAATGGCTCATCAGATGCCGTTCGCCTCGCGCTTGCCGGAGCCTTCCAAGACTGGCTGGGCTTGGGGCGTCGCAGCGAACAACATTAGAGTTCCGCAACCCTTTATGGGCTTTTATTGGAACATGCCCGATGACGCGCCGTGCATCTTCTCGGCCGCGGACCAGGGCAGAGATAAAAGGAAGTTCCAGCGTGGCTGCGTCCCGCACCGTGCTGCCATTGCTTGGGATGGAAACAGATTCCGTGCGGCGGCCTTGACGCTGCGTGAAAAGCATGGCAGCATAGCACAGACCCTGACTCGTCCTAGGACCTGGGAAGACCTGTACCAGTGGTTTGATGCCTATGACATCTGGTGGATGGGTGCATGGAATCTTTGGCTGCTGCTCCATCTCGTCTGCGACGAGAACGAGGGCGTCTCCAACCCCTGCTCGCGTTCGGGACGGCACCAGACGAACATGGCCGATGTAGTCAACGACTGGGCCTACAAGTGGTGCACCCACAAGTCCAATCTTGTGAAGCTGCACAATTGGGACCCGAAAGGCGAAGGCGACATTTTAGATGTGCTCGGGCCCGGTGATCGAGAGAACATCCACGGATGTGAGGCGAAGGCCCTCGATGTCCTTCGCGGCGCCTTACATCACTGGCGCCAGCAATACACGCCTCCGGCCCCGCAGGGTCACGCGCGGCGCCGTTCCTTCTCGCTCCCGGATTTGCAGCCGCCCTCATATCTGAAACGCAACCCCGCCATTGTCATTGCCAATAGGACTGGTGCTGCTGTCAGGCGGGAGTCGTCGATGCCCGGCCTGCGAGTTAACTCTGGCGCAGCTCAGTATGACACGGGCGAACATGCGACCAGGGCTCATCATCAACCTTCCAAGTCGGGACCCGTCCCTGCTGTGCCCGCCGGTCGCTTTATGGCTTGCCGTGGTGTAGGCGTCGAGAATGCAGGCCCGTCTCGCCTGCCGAGCCGTCCTACGCAGCAGCCTCCGCCCTTGCTCAATGGCAGCGTTGGGATGCGGGACACCCGGAACCGGTCGGACTGCCGCAATGAGGGGCATGAGTTCGCCTGGAGTGTCCGCAAGCGCGAGGCTTTCGCAGCTTGCCATTGCCAGCGGTGCATGCATAGGTCTCGGTCCGTTTATGTTGCACCTATCGATCAGGCGGACGGCGTGGGCGTCGAGAACATGAGAGAGAACTTGACCCGATATTTCGAGCGCTGGGGCCATGTGGAGGAGGTCGACCTGAAACCATCCAAGGGGGGTTTTGGTTGGCATTCGTTCGATATATCAGCGAGCCGAGCGCCCGACAGGCCGTCGCCGCTGCGCGCAAAGGTCAAGCTGTCAACCCCCTGCTGGCGCGCGCAAGGATCAGTCACCCATACTACTCGAAGCATTACGTGCGCGAGAGCTGGTCCCCTTCCAAGGACAACCGAAGCTCCTGGTCTAGCAATAAAGGAAACCCTCAGGAGGGACAGTCATGGCCGGACCAGCGATACCAGCGGAGGTCCGGCGACTTCTCTGCCCTGCAGACAACGCCGGCCCGGCCGCAACACGTCTTTAGCCCGAGAACTCCCCGACATGCGCTTTCTCCATATAATCATACTACCTGGGCTTGCCCGTACTCCCAGCCCGGCGGGCCAAGTCCGGGTCATTGGCAAAACCCCTCGCCAGCACTTCACGGGTCGCCTCCTCCCGGTCACTGCGGCACGCTCTCTCAGAACTGGTTGCACGAAGCCATGCCGGCTGCCCGCACACCCTCTCACTCCCAGCACCATGGCTTTTACCTCTGTGACCCCGAGTCGCCTCTAGCAGCACGGCATAGCTCTCAGGCCCAGGGCGGTCGTCACGGGCCCCACGGCGACGTCTCGATGCAGACAAAGCCAGCCCTTGAAGAGGCAATATTCTCAGAGGCGTGCTCATCCACAAAAGCTCGTGCTGACCCAGCATGCAGCGCCGCTGGAAATGCAAGTATCCGGGTTCGACTTCCGAGCGTGCTTCCTGGAAAGTCCCAGGCCATGCCACCTCCTACACAAGAACAGGAAACACAAGGCGTTTCGAAGGCTGACAAACGTCATGTCGATATCCCTGGCTCCAACGGAGGTACAAAGGACGGCGCCCTCGGGCTGATGAAATTTGGAGACGTCAACTCTCCACTGCCGCCTTCTGGCTGTACTGACCCCGCAGCTCATGAGCCTCTCGCGAACATTCACCAGGACAGTGGCAACCCTTCGACAGCTGGAGTCCCTGACGGCCAGGGCCATGCTTACAATGATACGGCATTTGACTGGCAGTTGAATGCAACCTCCCGTCTCAACACGGGGGACATCCGGCTCGACCCAGACTACAGCGCCACCGTGAGACACCGGCCGTACTCGCCGCGGCGAGGTCCATGGTTGGAGCACAACTGCTATTCCAATTCCGGCTCGTGGGACGGGAACCAAGCCAAATATTCGGCAGGTCCGTATCAGCAGTCAGGAAGCTGGCCGGTCAGAGGGCCACAGGACGTAGCATCCAGCGGCCAGCATCAGGCCGAAGCGGGCGTGTCGTCGACGCAACCGGGCCACCGGAAGAAGGGAAGATTTAAGGGAAAGCACAAGACGAGTCAAGGTACCGACTCGCATGCACAGTCCCTGACCTTGACCCCGGTTCCGCCCGCCGGGAGCGATGACACTGCTCACGAACAGCCTGGACCAGACTTGCAAAGCGCCCCTGCCCAGCCCAATAAGACCAAAAAAGACAAAACCAAGAGCAAGGCCAAGCCCAAGAACCCATTTCCCTCTTCATCGGGGGATTCGCAGCTCGACGTTTGCGCTGCACAAAACGGGGGTTCCTCCACGCCCAACCCACATGGCGCCCAAAAACAAGGGGACGCCGCCGTGGGTGGTGCCGCTTCGCCGAAGAAGGCCGACGGCGTCGCCAATAACAAGGGCGGCTATCGCGCCGATGCCGGCGGGTCATTGCGGATCCCCAGAAAGCGCTGGGGGAAGGAGACGACGACGAGGGTAGACGTGAGGGACCTTTTTGGAGTGCGAGAGGAAGAGTAGGAAAGGGTTGTTTGTTTCTTTCACACCGCAACGGTCTACTCTTGAGGCTCGTACAGAAAGGAAAGACCTGACTCTAACAGCCGAGGAAAAAATGAGCGAGAGGCATAAATGGAGAAGGAATAAAGCGCACGACAGAGAACGAAACGAAGGAGCGGAGAAAGACTGAGAAGAGGAAGGAGGGAAAAAAAATGTGCAAGCCAGGGAGGATGAGTTGGTGGGGTTAGTCTTCATGTGACTATCGCCCTGCCCAACTGAGACTCTCTCGCAAAACCGGGTATCAGGCGGCACTTGGGGGCCGAGATCAAGAGGGTTGGGATAAAGATCCGTCTCAGCTAGGCTTGGATCATACCATGCCGAACTGGAGAGGTGTGAACGATTCAGGATGGTTCTTGGTACTTTGGCAGGTACTTGGGATTCAGATTTGGCGGGGTTGGCTTCTTGATCTGGCCGGCCGAGCCTCCATGAGGTAACGATGGACGGGTGGACTTATGAAAACGACTGATGATGATGATGACGGGATGCTGATGAAGAGAACGAAGTCTTTCGGCGCAGGAGACCGGTTGGCCGCAAGGCTCGGAACTAACAAAAAGGTTGATCAATGGTGGCCTTCTCGCTGGTAGATATGGTGGGAGGATGAATCGGTTGTCATCGGTCATGTATGGTATATTGCTCATAGCGGGATGCACCAAGGACATCTCTATCTACGTACCATCTCCGTACAAAGTCTGACAATAAATTGTTTTCGGAGATATCCCGCTCCCATCGTCTCCTTACCGTTCTTCAAACCAATTACACGACCAGGACAAGAATCAACGGTGCAGGGAAGGGATATCCATCTTTCAGTCGATCCCCTCCTCGCAGTGTTCTGGATCCCTTGCCTAACGACGGCGTTTCCATATCATGAACAACGCCAAATAGACTCAAAAAGGCATGTCTCACGGATTGAGCTGTATCCCGCCAACACTCAGGATCCGAAGACTGCCATTCATACCTCTCATCTATATCCTATGGATACATGTACATACATACAAGAAACGAAAACGGGCAAATCCTCTCGGCTCGCCCATGTGCAAAGTCACTGCAACCCCGGTTCGTGATCCCTTTGCTTGTCGTCCCGTCTTTCCAACGCCATGGACATCGTCACCGCCTGGGCGCTCCTCATTATGCAGCCTTAATGACTCCTGGAAGAGAACGCGGCGGACTCACATCACGGAGCACTCACCCTGCTGCTGCTTCCCAATGTTGCTTCTCGATATCCTCTCCCTTTGGCGCGGACCGCTCTTGCCGGACCGCTTGAGATCCTCCAGCCGTTCTCTTGCCTTGGGGAAATCCTGGGCTGGTTACCGTCCACCGTTAGCATGTGTTTCGTTTTTGGGTGTCTTCACTCACGCCGGTGGAGAAGAAGAGAGCGAGCATGTGAGTGAGAGGATAAGGGGGAAACCTACCGGCAGCCCGCCAATACCACCTCTTCGCGGCCTCCATGTCAGCCGGCACGCCAATGCCCACTTCCGTAAAGTAGCCCATCGCATACTCGGCCTTGGACAGCCCCGCCATCGCAGCCTTCCTCGCCCAGAGATACGCCTCGGTGTCACTCTGCTGCAACACCCCCTCGCTCCCGGTCAGATACCAGCCCGACAGCGCCAGTTCGCTCTGGTGCTCCTCCTGCATGGCCGCCCGGCTGTACCACATTATCGACAGCCTGGGATCGATCGGACAGCCGAGGAGCCCATACTCGTACGCACAGCCCAACCGGAACTGGCTGAATTTGTACCCCAGTTCGGCGGCCTGCTTGAACAGCTGGAAGGCGTAGGCCTCGTCGCGTAGGATGACATCGTTCGGCTCGGCGCTCTCGTACAGCAGCGCCAGCTCGTGCAGCGCGTGCGGGTTTTCGGCGTCGGCGCGCTCGGCGGCGCGCTTCAGCCAGCTGATGGCCTCGCGCGGGTTGCGTGGCTGGCCAAGCAGGCCCTTGAGCAGAATCATGCCGACCTTGTACATGGCGGGCGTGTCGCCGAGGGTGGCGGCGCGCTTGTACCACTGGATGGCTTTGAGCGGGTCCTTGCGCGTGCCGCCGCCCTCGTCGTTGCCGATCTCGCAGCAGACGGCCGTGCGGTAGGCGGCCGCGGCGTGGCCCAGCTTGGCGGCCGATTGGTAGAGGGAGAAAGCGTGAGCGTTGTCGGGTTCGCCGCCGAACAGGCCGCGGCCGAGGCAGTCGGCGAGGAAGAACATGGCGTCCGGATTGCTGGCCTTTTCGAGTTTGCGGAGGATCTTGTGGGCATCGACGAGATAACGTTCGCGGGATCGGGCGCGGGCCTTCGGGTCGGGGAGGTTGGGAACGAGCGCGTCGGATGCTTCAACCAGCCGCTTGGCAAGGCGGAGGGCTGAGGCTTGATCTCCGGGGTCGTTCTTGACCACAGCGCGCAGGTGCTCCAGTTCCTCCACGGTGACCGGGGCTTCGACAGGCTTTGCGGGAGGCTGGTTGACTGCTTGCTGTGGCGGTGGCGGCGGCTGCGAATAGCCTCCGGAAGGAGGGGCCGGCGTAGGTGTGCTGGCGTTGTAGCTGGCGCCTCCGCTGTAGTTCCTCACCGGCGGCGGCCGGTCGTTGAGATTCACCATCGAGCCGGGCATGTGTCCGGGGCGGACCGGTGTAGGATGAGAGGGCAGACTGTCCGGTGACGGGGCGGCTTGAGGCGGAGACTGCATCCCGGGTCTAAACGGAGTGGGACCCGGAGGCAAGCCAGGACCGGGAGCGGGCCCTGGTTGCCCGGGCGGAGGAGACCGCTGCTGATAGTGTTGTGGGCCATTGGGCAAGCCCATTGGCTGCTGGCCTGGCTGTTGAGTCGGGAGCGGGGGAATGTCTCCTGCCATCTCGAAGACGGCTGTTTGCGAATTGCGCAAGTTGGGCTGCGATTTTGCCCTACTAACCTCAGGATACCTACCTGGCCCACGCTGAGCCAGCTCCTGTGGACCGGCTTGCATATGCCTGTCGAACGAGTTCCTCGGCTGTTGCGATGGCATGGCGTCGAAATCAGGGAGTTCGGACGCGGCAGACGGAGGGTTTTGGGGCGGATAATTGTCATTGCTGCCATAGTAATCGTAGAAATTGTCGATGGATAAAGGACGCTCTTGATCTCCATAACCCGAGTCAGGCCCTTGCCGCGGCGGAGCCTCTCGATATCCTTCCTGAAGAGGGGTACCATTATTGGTCGGAGGGTATATCCTCGGAGGTGGCTGGCGCATTCCCTGTGCGGTACTTGGTCTCGGCGGCATACCGCGTCCAACGGGACCATTATGGGGAGCACCAGCACTATCCCGCCGCATGGGAGGACCGGCATGGCGCATATCCATATAATCCCTCGCCGGCATCGTCATGCTGCGTGGCGGGGGACCAAAACCTTCCTCCTGATAGCCTCCTCCCGGGGGCCCGTACCCGGGGCCCGGAGGAGGCCCGCGGCGTTGATCGGGGTATTCTTGGGAGGCATACGGTTGCGTCGCAGTACGATGGAGCGACCCCATTGGGCCCGGGGGCCCGTAGCCATTTAGAGGAGGGCGCATGGGTCCTCGCTGCTGCTGTGGTGAAGGCCCATTCGGATCCCTTGGCCCGGGCATCTGTCCCGAAATGTCCATGCTTGCCATCCGTGACACAATTTGCTGCTCCTGTTCCAAATCCGTCTTGCGGTGTGCACCCGGGAACGCGGGGAAGGGACCACCAAAGCTTTGATCGCCAGAACCTGCTGGACCAGGACCACCCATGGGCGGCGGTCCTCGGTGCGCTGCAGGAGTATGTCAGCGTACGCTCGCAACGAGGGTAACATTCCCGCGTGCAGGCCTTCACTCACCACCATTGGGATCCGACGTTGCCGGCCGTTCAGCCGTGGGTGGCCGACCACCTCGACCATGCGGGGGATAGCCACGGCCGCCAGGGCCTGGAGGACCACCCGGACCTGGGGCGTAACCGCCACCGCGAGACAGGTACGGGCCCCCTCGACTAGCGTCGCCAGGCGGAGGCCTCATGGGTCCCCCTCTTCCGCCCGGCATCGGGGGGCCTCCCCTCCCTGTCCCGTAATAATCCTGCTGGTAGTCTTGATTCGGGGGTCCTCCTCGGCCGTAGGTCCTGTCATCAAACTGACCGCCGTACCCTTGATCGCGACCCTGGTCATATCCATTCCCGTAGTCATTATAACCGTAGCCATGTCCGTCGTTGTACTGATCGTATTGCTGCTGCTGCTGCTGCTGGGGCGGCGGCGCATGGTACTGTTGTGGTCCGCCCGGCCCAGGTGGGTAATGTCGCTGAGGGGGAGGTCGTTGGGATCCGGGTCCTCCACCATAAGGACGTCCGCCAGCGCCCCCATCGAATTGACCGTTGTATGCCATTATGCCAATCCACCGATGATCTGCTGCTGCGGGGTCTGATGCTGCCTGCTCTCAGAAACGCGTGCTGGTTCGGCCAGTGAGTGTAGGGAGTTCTAGATGAGTCGCATGGCAACCGCGCCTCGGGACGGATATTGGGAGTCTTGTCTTGTGTCGCGGGTTCCAGGGCTCATGTGATCTGGCCCTTGTTCTGGCAAGGCAAGCGATGCGCAGCGCAAGCGGGGCGACGAACAATTGACAGAATCGGCTGCCTCTCAGAACCCGCAGCGCTAACACCCGCCACAAGGAGACAGGGCTGTAAGGATTGTCACCGCCGTTCTCTCGGAAGTGCGAGGATCGAGGTTGGGGAATCGAACAATAAGATGGAAGGGAGCGAAACCAGTCAGGCAAATGGCGCTCTCAAGGAACGGAGCCACCACAGAACATGAGGGATTGTTGAATGAAAGGTTCGTTGGTGACAGGAAGAAGCGAAAAACGGTCACCACCCCAAGTCAAAGGATTGCATTGTGTTCTGCCGTGGTCCGGCACACCCCTCGCAGATTTGGGGTGGGTGGACGGGAAGAACGGGTTTTCTCAACGCGGGGCCTTGCCAGCGGCCCAGGGGCTGTTACATGCAGCCAGGGTCCCGATGCAACATTCAGTTGGGCAAAATCATCATTTGTACGGTAACTTACGGAACGCGCAATAGTTATAGTATGTGTAAGGTAATGTGCTACTAATAGTTGGCCAGGTAGGTAGGTACCTACTAGTAGTAATAATCTTCAATGTGTCGTCCCCTACCGTACGTATACTGGTTGCTAGGAACCATCCGACAATAACTAGTACAACCCTCAGCTAACACAATTGAGCATTGTCCCTTCAGAAGAGTTAACTTGTCAGGACTGACAGAAGAAACAGCCCAACCTCGACTTCTCTGACAGCCCCGATCAAACCCGGTTGCGACTGAAACAGGGATGCCGATGCCTGGTTGGATTATTAACGTCCGACGATCCGATACAGCCCTCGGCCCCTCTCCCGCGCCGAATTCTGACCTAGCCGGGCTCCCGACTTAAACGTCTGCCGGTAGCGGAGCCGTTCTCAACCGCCCTTCAGCTTTTTTTCGCTTTAAACCTCGAGAAACTCGTTCTTCGAAGTTGATGGTCGGCTGACTATAATTCAGAACATGCCATCCCTGGTTGTCGATGTCGGCTTGACGAGGATTCTACTTATCCGGGTCGCGTAGCATACAAACAGCACATTTGTATCAAAAGCTAACTGACCCTGGCCCCTGGCATTGATTGGCTTCCTTACGCTCTGCAAACCCCTAGGCGCCACGTTCTCTAGTCGAACTGGAAGACCTTACGGAATACGGAAGCATCAACCGTCAGCCGTATGGGTACCTAATATGCATGGCATGGGCGGCCACCACAATTACGGGCGGGCAGCTACCTATTTTATATATCTGCCATCTTGGGCTGCAGACTGGGGGCGGTACTAGTTACTCACAATGAATAACTCCATGCAGCGATGAGCGAGAAACGAGTCACTGACCTTTACATAGGCACGTGATAGGCATCCCGTGCCGGAGATTAGGGAACACTGACCACCTCCCCCGTCTTTGTATGTACAATACAATACAGTACATTACTATACTATGTACTGTGGTATGTAATTGGAGAGAAAGATCTCCGTGAAAGACACATCCTTTCGAGTCTGACCGAGCGAATGAGCGGCCTGGAACGGCAGCCGTTGAAGGTTCCCACTTGGGTCATCTGGGTGCTTGTGCATGACCCCTGAGCTGGACATTGCCAAGCCGCCTGGAGTGTGAAATGGTTCTCGTCCGACTTGCCGGCTGCTGTCGGCTGATGCAACTCAACAGAACAGTGAACGGATCAGCCAGCTTTCTTTCTGCCGCATCCTGCCGCCTTTCTTCCTGGCAACCGACTGACCTCATTGAACTCTTTGGTCGCTCAACGGGCCCGGGGTTCGCCTGCAGTGGGAATTTACAACAGTGGCAAAGACGCTCGACGACCCTTTCACTGCATGGAGATGAGAATTGTATCCTAGCTTGTGATTGACTGAATAGATTGCGCGTTCCCTGAGTTCCCGCCCTTCAACATGACGACCAAGAAGCCCTTCAACTGGTGGTTATGGACCAAGATGGTTGTGGTGTGAGTTGTTCTCATCCGCTGTAATAAGCGGCAACCTGCTGAGATGATGACATAGCGGTGGCGCCATCTGCGTCGGAGGTCCGGCCTTCACAAGGTGGGTTATGCCCACGGACGAGGAGCTCTTCAAAAAATACAACCCCGACCTTCAGAAGCGGAGTTTGGAAGGGAGGTATGAGAGGCAAAAGGAGTTTGATGACTTCGTTACGAAGCTCAAGGAGTACTCCAAGTCCGACCAGCCAAGTATGTGATTGCTACTACCTTGGCACTCGTGTGTGCAGAATAAGGCTAACTTGTCTCAAAGTATGGGCTGTCCAAGCTGCGGAGGAGAAGAAGGCAAAGCAGGCCTCCCTTACTGATGCAGTGAAGATGGCCGAGGAGGCCAAGGCGAGAAAAGAAGCATTGAGAAGAGAAGCCGGCTTGCCGGTGGACTCGCCATCATCAAGCTCTGGGAGTCGGTGATGCCGAGGTGGAAGGAGGCATAATGTGGAAGGCTGTATCACAGGCTGTTTGACTGTACGATGTGAATGGGTTGGGACTGTACAACAGGGGGTTTGCAGGATGGCTCTACCTTAGTGATGAGCTTTAATCACTGGGAATCCCAAGACACACTACCATTGTGTGCGAGACAGCGAGAGAGCTTGCCGAGTACGATCAGGCGTTGCAAGGCGTCATGGCGAAGAAGAGCCTGGAAATGGAATTGTCTGTTCTGAATGCGGGGCACCTATCTCAGCCCAACTCACTATCTTACTTTGTCTCAAAGTCACTGGCTCTAGACGAAGCTGAGTGGTGCTGAGAAACAACAAGCCTACTGCAAGGTGAGGCTCGGTGAAGGCAGGTCAGCACTGAGCAGTTGTCAAAGTGGGGTAAACGTTATTGCGTCGGCGAAAAAATATCAGGGCCCAAGCGCACACAATTTCTACACCCACTAAGGACCGGACAAGGTTCAAAGCCATCGCGAGCCTATCAAGATACTCCTAGGTAAATCCAGGACCGATATTATCCCCGATTGACAGAGTATGTCTCCCCGCGCCAATTTTGCACTTGCGAAAACACCTTGCCCCTCCTCAAGCAAGCAAGGACTTGTGTGTGCCCTAGGCTGACTGATCGATCCAAGCTCGAGCTTCACCGAGTCGCCCCGGCCCATTCACACCAACCCCACCATCCTCCCGAATCCAACACATCCAACATGGCGGACGTTCAGGAACGGCTCAAGAAGCTAGGCGCTTCGGCTCGTATCGGTATGTTGCTGTGTCCTTCTCGATGACTTCCCGATCCGGATCGACCGACTAACCCGCCTCGCCGCCCAGGGTATGTCTGAAGCACGAATGTGCCGAGATCGCTTGAACACCCCCGCAGGTGACCGAGATTCTGACGAGCTTACGAGTTGAACAGTGGCAAGGGCACTCCGCGGAGAAAGGTGAAGCGCGCCCCCGCGCGGTCGGCCGGCGACGACAAGAAGCTGCAGCAAACGCTCAAGAAGCTCAACGTCCAGCCGATCCAGGCAATTGAGGAGGTCAACATGTTCAAGAGCGACGGCAACGTCATCCACTTTGCCGCGCCCAAGGGTACGTACGACTGGAGGCTGCGGAGGAGTGACCTTGCTGACATATCCGGCGTCTCCAACAGTCCATGCTGCGGTCCCGGCCAACACCTTCGCCATTTACGGCAACGGCGAGGACAAGGAGCTCACAGAGCTCGTCCCCGGCATCCTCAACCAGCTGGGCCCCGACTCCCTTGCTTCGCTCCGCAAGCTGGCCGAGAGCTATCAGAACATGCAGAAGGGTGAGGGTGAGAAGGAGGCGGATGATGACGAAATCCCCGACCTCGTGGCCGGCGAGAACTTCGAGAACAAGGTCGAGTAAGCGACTTGAACTCAGAGAAATAAATTCCTGCGTTCAACTTGGCCCACCTCGCCCTTCGGTCGGATTGATTTGGAGCATTTGGAAGGGACATCACCAAGTTTGTGTTTCCCGTTACCGGAAGGCGGCGCCATTGATGTTTGCACCAGCACAGCCCCCGAGAGTCATGACCAGGACGGGTAAGAGGGAACAGATGGTGTTCCGGGGTATTTTATGGCTCGGAGACATAACATGACCATGCAATGGAGCCAACACGCGTCATGACCATGCATTTGTGATTATAGTTGCCAGGATGTCGGTACATGCAATGCAGGATCTGGGCATAATCACAGGCGGAACTTGTCGTCACCGGTGTTCCTGAGCCAACCCTTCAGTGCTTTCTGCCTCACCTCCTCCTTGACCCTCCTCCTAGCGTCGAGCAGCTCCCCCTCTTTAACCCCGCCATAGGTTCCCTTCCCCAAGTCCCTCGATATCTCGTCTTCCCCCAATGCCGCCGCAACCTCAACAGCAGCGGCCCACATCCTCCTCCGCGACGTCACGCTGGCCCCCTTCAAGTCGAACGCCTTCCGGCCCTGCAGCACCCCGCCGATCAGCCCCTCCTCGACCTCCCCGTCCCTCGTCCACGCAACAGCAAGATTGCTCGCCGCCATTTTCACGTCTGCCTCCCCATCCTCCGCCGTTGCTAACCTTCTCCGCGAGAATTCAAACTCCCGATCCGTCGTCTCCACCCGAAACGGGTTGAACCCATACCCCGTATCATTCCACACTCTGCCACTTACAGAGTCCATCCTCCCCCTTGCCTCCTCCTCCTCACCCGTGCCGCCACCACCCGCAGCAAAGCACCGACGGCATGCTTCGGGGGAGTACTGGGATTTGGGCAAGACGAGACTGGCCAGGTACACCCCGCGGGGCGACACGAACAAGGACGTGAGCGAGCACAGCAGCGCGGCGCACTGCTTAAGGGCGAGCTTGTCGCTACAGGACTTGGAGTAGCTGGGCGGCGCATCGCCGCGGGCCGGTTTGCGTCGGACGATGCCCAGCTGGGAGAAGTGGCCTCGTCCCAGGAGCGCAGGTGGGCTACTGCGTGGACTGGCGGTGGAGGTAACTGATGGGTCTGGGGAAGGGGAAGGGGCCGGAGAGACACGAGGGGGCATTGGCGTCGTCACTGCCCAGGGGGTGGCGTCCGCTTGGGACGACATGATAAGCTCCATGGAGGCGTCCCCGCCTGTTGTTTCGTTCGGGTTAGGAGTGCGCATGGGTCAGGGGCAAGGGGCAGCCCAACATACAAGGTGCTTCAGAGCAGTACATGTGTAGAGTGAGGTCTTCACGCCAGGCAAAGGGCTGGGCGTGCCAAAGACCACCGGCACTGTCGGTTTGCAAGGGGCGTTCTGCTGGCGTCCTCCGCCGGAGGAACTCGGACTGGGCTGTGGCATCCCGGGCCAGGCGCCGGCATTCATCCAGGAGGAAGCGGTTAAATGCTCGGACGGTAAGGACTTCGGCATGCCAGTCATGAAGAGCGGCACCATTGGCCTGAGTGAGCTTAGACGCCGGGAGGCATTTCATGCCTGTCCTGTATAACGGTGTCAATGCATTGCGATCCTATGAGTACCTGGTGAGGTGAAAACCCCAACTCACGCAAGTGCCACGCATTTCATGCAACCTGGACCTGATCTCAAGGTGGGAAGTCAGCATCTCACAAGATAGATCAACTTGACGGCGGTCAGCCAAGAAGCTACCTTTGACGACAATACCACTCAGGGGCACCCATTCACGGAGGCCATTGTCCCGCACAGCGGGTTTACGCTTGGCGGGGAGCTTTCTAAACTCGTTCAGAACAGCTGATGCAATAGCATCGGCGTGTGCTTCTGCTGCCATTTCACGTAACCGATCCAAAGCCCGAGATCTCCTGTTTGGCTGAGAATGAAGGAGAGAAACTGAAATGAGGATCATTGATTCGGAGGCTTCCAGGAGTCGAGGACGGTATAAGCCAGGGTTAGGGCTGGATGACATGGCTATCCTGCGGTCATGGGCACAATAAGCCACTTGCAACAGTTGAACAAACCAAAGGTCCAATATTCTAGATGTGAATGCTTTTTGCAAACTGCACCCAAGTTAGCAGCTTCAGAGAGCGCAAGCGGTCAGTGGTCACAGCAGTCAGAGTAAGGTGAAATGGATCATGTGTGGCTTGACATGAATTCAAAGCGATGCCCAAGCCACAAGATCTACAGAGGTGGGACCAGCGCACCAGTGGCATAGCCTATCACAGAGCAGCCCTATCCCACAACGTGCACCACAGAATTTGGCGAAAATCGAGCCGGAACCTTGAACTCAGAGGAAGCAACCCCGACAACGACAACTTCGACAATCAACCGCCAAAATGAGAACGTACGACGATACTTTCTCCGGCCAGCGGATCTACCCTGGCAAGGTACGAAATGCCCATTCTTGCGACTCCGATCAACGGCGAATTTCCTACCCCGAGTCGAGCATGACACCGACACGAAAGCTGGTCGTGGAAGCTGGGAGGGGACTGGGGTGGGAAATTCGTCGATGGAACTTGGGGGGACCTAATTTGATCGAAATCCCGCGATTCTGACGATGTTCTCCTTGACAGGGTAAGCTGTACGTCCGTGGCGACAGCAAGATCTTCCGGTTCCAGAACGGCAAGTCCGAGTCGCTCTTCCTCCAGCGCAAGAACCCCCGCCGCATTGCCTGGACCGTCCTTTACCGGAGACAACACCGCAAGGGTATCTCTGAGGTACGCTCTCTCCGCTTCTACACACGTCCGAGTTGGGGATGGGAACGAGAAGGAGGGGCCGGTTACCTGAGCATGATGACGACATCTAGGAGGGACACATGTTGGAGATGGGGAAAGTACTAGACGGGACTGTGCTGACTCCCTTTACAGGAAGTCGCTAAGAAGCGCACCCGCCGCACCGTCAAGTCGCAGCGGGCGATCGTCGGTGCCTCCCTCGATGTGATCAAGGAGAAGCGCTCGATGCGCCCCGAGGCGCGGAGCGCCGCCCGCCTGGCCGCTATCAAGGAGAGCAAGGAGAAGAAGCAGGCTGCGCAGGCTGCCAAGAAGGCTGAGAAGGCCAAGAGCGCTGCCCAGGCTGCCAAGGGCCAGTCCCAGGGCCGCATCGCCAGCAAGCAGGGTGCGAAGGGTGCGCCGGTGAAGGTTGCCGCCAAGAGCCGTTAAAGTGTCTCTCTCTCTCTTTGGTGGTTGCTAGTCCCGGTGGAAGGGTGCGATGTTCTTCTCGAGGCGAATGGGAAGCCAGGTCGTGAGAGGAGCACGGTAGATGAATGGGTTATCTTGCGGTCTTGCCTGTGGCCGGAAGGGAAAACGCTGGAGTCGGTCGGTCGGTACTCGGTTTTTCACCTGCTCAGCTCTATTTAAGGGGTTTTGCTCTCAAACAAGTTGATGAAACCAGCTTGTTTTCTGGAAGAGCCGGTTGCATGGACCCTGCGTAACGGGTAAAGGACATTTGCATGGGTAGCTCACGGAATGCCGACATGTGCATTGGTCTGAAGCAACAGACACGGCGGGTACGCAGAGTGGCCGGAGAGGAATGTCTATGTGTTGTATCAGAGCGGAGTCCATCTATGCTGACCTCGGAGATGCTAATCCCATGACGTCTTGCGGACTACTTCTGCTCTATCGTCGATACCTAGTTTCAGAGCTTCGCCAGCACACCCCCAGCACCAGAATTGGCAATGCTTCCCTTCTCCGTGTCGATTCCGGCATAGACAACCTTGCCATGGTCAATAACCAGGGCATACCGCCCCGTTCTATCTCCATTAGCCCAGCCGATGCTGCGGCTGAAGTCGGCGTTCGCATCCGACATGAAGAGCTGTGATTGGTTTCCAGTTGTCAGGAACCACCAGGGCTTAATCAACGATAGAAGGCATGGCCCAGGTGAGGGACTTACAATAGACTCATCCTTCACACCGTTTGCCTTGCCCCAAGCCGACATCACCCAGGCGTCGTTCGACGCGATGAAGATGACCCGGTCAACGCCCTTCTCCTTGAGCTTGTCCAGGTTGGCCAGGTACGATGTGATGTGCTGCTCTTGGCAGGTCGGGGTAAACGCCCCGGGGACTGCTACGAGAACTGTCTTCTTGGTTTGGAATTCTGCGACGAGGTTTGTCAGCTGCCTATTGCTATCCGATCGGAAACCCCTCACAAGGAGGCACCGTACCCTTGCTGGCGTCGTACTTGGTGGGCAAGCCACAGACCAACAGATCGAGCGTCCCCGTCGGTGGGACGTATGTGAAAGCAACACCCGAGGGGAAGGCGTCGCCGGGCTTGAGAGTGGCCATTTCGCGTGAGATGAGTGGAAGTGAGTGGAAACGTTTGCGGGAAGCTTGACAAGAGGTCTGGCTTGGTGTTGTCGAGGACCGCGGTCGTCGGATGGAATTTGCTTTGGGAATTTGAAGTACAGTAACCTGCGTGTTGTGGGACCGAGATGTTTATAGCGGGGTGAAGTGTGGAGGGAGGAGATGGTTACACCCAACTCAAAGCTTCCTGTTCCAGTCTTCGAGTCCCGGCTCCTTCCCTTTCATCCAAACAAACCGGACATCCTTAAGAAACAGTGCCCATCAAGATGTCAGACTAATGTTACCGTTTACGATGTCAGGCCGGAAGGATCCGCCAATTACGCGGCATTGCGCCATCGGCGACCTGAATGACCAAGGGCCCAACGCAGAGCCTCGAGCTGCCTGTATCGCCCTTGCCTTCCGGCCGAACTCGGCCTTTGACGCGGCTTCCACAGAGAGTCCGCGCTGGGAAACGCCAGCTTGTGACGCATCTCCGCGCCTTCTGTCTACCCTTAGGTTCTAGCTTTTCGGGCCAAGCCTGTGCAGGTCCCCGCAAATGCCGACGGAAGCCCGGCACGCCGGCCATCGCAATGGCCCCGTCACGGTACATACTTACTAGTACGTAGCTGCAGTCAGACTTTCTGCACGTTCTAGGAGTTGAGGTTACACTGGCCAACGGACGGGACTGAGCCATGTCATATCTAGCATCTGCTGAGGTGCTCAGTAAGCACCATCCAACGTCTTACCGTGTATATGACCAGCAATGCATGCACACGCATGCACCCTTGATGTCCACACGGTGTGGTGGCGGCCGGACAGCGCAACAACTTTGAAATCTCTGCTGCGCTCGTACATTACCAGTGCCTCTCACTAATGTCAACACTATCAACGTCCACGCCGTCCTTGAACCACCTCTCTGCCTCGCCGATCTTGACGTCGTTCGCACTCATCTGCCTCTTCTTCATCAGACCGTTTTCAGCAAAGGTCCAGTCCTCAAGCCCGTACGTTCGCCACCACTGGTCCGTCTCGTCTCGCCATTCATACCAGAACTGGACGGCAATCTAAGCAAGTATGGTCAGTGGATGCGCTCAAGCCCCGAGAGACTAAGAGACAGAAACACCTTGTCATCTCTGAATGCAAACAGCTCCTTTCTCAACCGGTAGTCGCGTTCCTTGATCCACTTATTACGTAGGAACTCGACGATCTGATCGCGTCCCTGCAGGAAGGTGTCGCGGTTGCGCCAGATGGAGTCAGGGGTGTAAGCGAACTGTACAAGTTCGGGAGATCTTGGGCCATACATCAGTCATACGGTGCTTTTTGAACCGAGTAACAAAGCGGCGTGTCTGCCTTACTTGGAATTCCAGGCGGCTTGGGCGATCTTGACTTTCTGGCGAGCAGTTTGCAGCGTAAAAGGCGGAAAGGGGGGTTTATCTTGGGTCGCCATGGTGACCGCTGTCAGAAGCAAATATCTCTGACCTATGACGACCGCAAAGCGAAGCCTGGATGCTGGATGATTTGTATGGTTCGGTGTCGATGAATGTGAGGGGTTTGGGAGAAGATGAACAGCTATACTCGTTACTAATCGTTATTCACTTCTTGCTATATCATGAGCGAGGCCTAACGGGACCCACTTGGTATGACTCGCATATAGCACGCAGGGCGCCCTTTCGATGACTGCAAGAAGCTTACTACTTAGCATTATTAATTGTGTAGTTTATCATATGTACTTCCTAACAAACCGGAAGATTGAACCTAATTCGTTTATCAAGCATGGGGCGAAAAGCGTTTGCTACCATTTCAAAGATAGCTACTAGCTTGTATAGTAGTGATCATAGTCTCATAGAAAGAGGACATTCCCGTGCCGTGTGCATTATAACAACGACGATTCCTCTCCAATGCCAACGCTCCTAGTCAGTCTATCAAGTGGCCCGCTAGGCTATTTGGACATCTCGCCTGTCTAGCTTGCCGACCCGTGGTAAACATTCTCCCCCCTTGTAAACCTTCCTTTCTCCCCTGTTTGAATACCTTATCCTAAGGTGATACCTTACGGACTGTGGAGGCTCAAGTCCGGAGTACCTAACCGGGGTCAGGAACGAGGTGCGCTCATTGTACTTACTAGTAGTAGTACTTGCTGTTCCACCGGTGAGGAAGGAGCTATCGAGGGCCGAGCTACTAGGCCGAGCTGTTCCCCGTCCTAATAAAGCCCCACCCCTTGACTATAGACTAGAGCATCAAGTTAACTACCTTTCCTATAGTACGGGGACCTTGTCTGCCTAACTACCTACTAGGTACCTACCAATTCTGGTTCATTGCCAATCGTTATCAGACCCTCTATGTGGCCAGGTTGTCCGCCCGCCAAGCTGCTGCCTGTCATCGTGTCGCGCAACCTCGGCCCGTCCCTGCCTGTCCAAGGGCACCAGTCGCGCGCGCTTGTAGCCTCGGATGTTTCCCTCGGGATGGTACATGGCGCCGACGACAGCGCGATCTTCATTGACCACGGCTCGGAGGGGTCCCGGATCGTTTGGGGGGCTTTTCCATCGCGCCACGGTATTTTCCTTGTCGTTGGGGTGCGGGGGTCTTAGCCTTTTTATACTGGCTGGGGGGAGGTCGAAGTTGAAATTGGCAGTCGAGGGAGCGGGCTGCTGGATGGGTTTGATCGGGTACTCGTAGAGTGCGCCGTTGCCCCCGGCCTGGGGCCGTTGAATCTCCCACGCCTCGTAGTTGTGGGTTGGGTTATCACTTGGCCCTTCGTTGTTCCTGTACCGCTTGGGAAACCTCTTCCCCATGAGTGGCGGTCCTTTTGGAGGCGCGGGGGCGGACTGGACGATGTCGTTCAGCCTCTTCAGCGGCACGTTACCCCTTGGAGAGGTGTATTGCTGGTATGGAATGTCAACGCGAGAACACACGATTCCCGCAACCTGGACTCGGATAGAAGGACAGGGGACTTCGGCTTACGAGTTGGTTGGGGTGATTGGCGGAATTCACTCGGTCGTCGGGCCCGGGGGGTTGGGGATCGTGAGGTCGTGACGCCGCGCCAAAGCCTGCAGCGACTGATGCGGTCTCAGAGGCGCTCTGATCGCTGCCGTCCTTGGGGCGCTGGTGGTAAGCAGGTGCCAGACGCTGTGGACGCCCCTCGTCCTTTCCCTCGATTACTTCTGGCCGCGAGCCACCACAGCCCATACTGAGTTGGTCAAGGCGGAAGAAGGCAGGTCTTCTAAGTTCTAAGTCGGGGAGAGGTTACCATGAGCAAGAAAAACAAGCGAATTTTTCCGATGTCTAGCGAGCGGATGATGCCTCCTTATGATCCCGCAACCAGCCAGTCTGCCATATTTCTGCACCCAAGGAGTTGATACACCCCGATTCAAGCGCAGAAAGGAGGGACCCATGGCCAGGAACCTAACGACCAGTCGGGCCATCAGATCCAGGAGGTCTCAATGCAGGTGTCCATCGTTGGAACCAACCGCAGCGCTAAGCTAACCTCCAGTTGGGGAGCGCCGCGGGTGTGCGGTTGGCACTGTTGGTTTGTCGGTTGCAGAAATCGCTCCCGGACTCGACCGCAAACAACTTCTGCGGCCCCAGCTAGGTGAGCCAGGCGGCCAATATGCAGCCAGGCGGGCTGTCTGTCACAGGCAACGTCACAGTTCGTGCGTATCGCCGGAGGCAGAGCGCGCAGAGACCGGCCGCACATAGAGGAATGTTTCAGGTCTGCCTGCAACCATGGTAGATGTCAAACTGGGATCACAAAAGGGGCCCGCGTTGTTCGATATTGCCGGGCGGGCGCCATCTGAACCGGAGATTCTACCTACTGTGTAAGTGCCAACCGTGTTGGAGCGCGCTTAAATTGACCAATTGCATGCTTAGGCACATATCAACCACACAAGTTCACAACCAACATCTCATCTCAAACTGCGCCTCCCATACATACGGTACCTCACCTACCAACCTTGCCTACCTTGGTAGGCATCGAGGACTGCAGACTTCAGCCCGTGTTCCCATCTCCTCAACTTCCCATCAAACCCTGTGGCCTGTATTCTAACGTGCCCTCACATTTCTCTTTCCTTGAGCTCGACCCATTCTGGAGGAAACATTCAATAACATTCAGACCACTCACTACTCGGTGGAGATGGCCACAGAGACCCAGTGTGAGAGTGACGGAGCCGGCTCTTTGCAAAAGCCAGAATGGCTGCGATATCTCGAAGACTATCTAGGTATTGATCCAGGCTCGGTGCCAGACCTGGAGCCGGAGGTCGAGGACGCAGAACCCGAGGATATCGCGTCTGTCCTGGCATCCAAGATCAGAGAGTATCTCCTTTGCCGGGACGACGATGCCGCGGCGCGGTTCGCACGTCAGCTCGATGATCTTTATGCCTCGGTCTACGAGCCCAAATTTGGCGAATTCCGCGGGAGACAAGGCTGGACCGGCTATCTCAATGCGTTCTACGAGGTTCTGTTCGGGGCTGCCGTTGAAATGCCATATCACGATCCCCTCCAGGACAAGGTGATCCATCTGCTACTGGAGCTCAGAAAGCTGCCTCCACACTCTGTCAAGGTCTTCGTGGTGAGTCCTGACGGAGAGACTTGCTTGGATGCTGCTGTTTGGCTAACCCGGACAAAGCAACCTGAGTTCGGATGGGTTGACTCTGAAATCTGGACCCGCGATCCTCTTCTGCCCTGGGAGCTTGTTAGGCACGAGCCACAGGGATGTTAGTAGTTGCTCTCCCACTTTGCACTGCCAGCCGATTCCCACCCAATGAACCTGGGCCGCTGACCTTCCATGCACTGCTCCCAGATCTTAGTCTCGATATGTACAGCAAGTGGGACGACCAGGAAGACGCTGCAAAACAGTTCCACGAGACTGCCGCCTACCACGTGAACTTTTCGGCCTTCCGGGCTCGCTGTACGGGTGCGGGCTTGGACGAGGGATTCACGTTCCGCTTTACCACGGCGGGGGCGACCATTGAACGTGGCTTGCAGTCCGTAGCCGACCATCCCTCCAAGCTCAACCCCAACGTGGACTACCACATCATCGCCGCCGCGCAGTACATCCTGCTCGCCGGGGACGTCATAGACGCTGAGTGCGTCAAGAAGCAGCTGCCGCCGCATCGCCATCACGACTGGAAGGGTTGGGCCAACGGTAACGGTCCCGTTCTTTGGAGGCAGTGGGGCGACAGATTGAAACAGATCGCAGACGCCCTGGAGTCCGGTGGCGAGTTGGACTTCAAGCTGTCCGAGAAGAACGGGGCGGCCTTGAAGGACATAGTGACCAAGGCAAGGGACAAGATGGTGGCTTTGGAACCGGAGCTGTTCGCTCAAGAAAACTAGGCGCCTCCCGCCGGGCACTGAGACCGCGGTGGGGGCAGGAATCTAGGACGGAAAAGGCCTTGTACTTTAACGCAGACACCAACATGCGCTGCTCTATGCTTATCGTTGGTTGTGCTTCTCGGCCTCCTCTCCACCAAAGGTCCAGGGGGTGACAACCTCCATCTTCTGCCCTACCTGGAACCCTGTACTTATTTACTACGATCAAAGCCCGTCTTCGATAGCACGGGCTCGCTGACAAACTGGACGGGCCGGAGCGCCGCGCCGGGCTGCGCGTCTAGGATTCCACCTGGTTCCTCTGTTCATCCAAAATTCGCGTCAAAGGGGAAGTCCCCAGAGCTTGTCGCGGTCAGGAGGACTGAACCTGACGGTCCAGATTCCCTGCAGGCCATGGAAGTGGTATTGCAGGTGTAGCGCATGGTGTAGGACCTTGTTGATGTCGCCGTTATGCCATCGGAGCTCTGGCAGAGGTCCCAGTTGTTGTCGTCATCCCGGTCCGGAGGCCGACCGTTTGGCGCAGGGCAAAAGCAAGCGATTTGACTCCGCCCCGTATACGCACCCCATGTTGCTTCAAGACCTCAAATTTCGGCCGGGGGGTGGGGGCGTAGAGGTAGTAATCCAAATCGATGCGATGGGAAATCCAGCCGTTTCCTTTCTTGTAACACATAGCCGGGCATGTTGAGTTGGGAGACGGGCACGAGCCGAAAGCGTCACTCCCAACAACAACTCCGGGAACTAAACCAGAGGCAGAAACCCCGGGTCTCAAGAGCAGTGAGCGCGGCCTGGACCTCGAGGTCGAGACTTCTGCGTTTGCTGTCAGACATATTGACGAAGTCGAGAAGGCAAAGGGCCATTTGCCAACCGTAAGTACCTACCCACTGGTATCCCTTCTCGGCCGTGCTTCCGATTCCCTAGGCCTGGCTACTAGTAGATGTCTACATCTCGTGTCTCATCAGCTCTTCCTCGCCACTGGCGGTTCGGCTGCAATAGCTCCCTCTAAGGGGAGTTTCGCAACTTCTTCGGCAATTCCATCAAGCTAGCATTTACAGGAGAAAGGGGGTATGTGGTCCACCTCGGGCCCCGAAAACGAGCTGTGGCAGTGGCCTGGGGCACCTGCTCATCCATGCTCCCGTGCAGAGAGTTAGCGGTACTAATGAACGGAGCAGCCCTTGTCGGTGTCCATGTGAAACTGTCACACCATCGCACCTCCAGCTACCCCCTTTCAGGTCGTCCGGCCACATGTCCCAATACCTGCCGCCGAGATCCGGTGCCGAATTGCCCGATGCAGCTTTGGCCTTTAGGAACGAGGAAGGGAACGACAACCAGATCGCCTGGTTCATCACCAAGGTTCCGTGTCGGGCCCCAGCCACATGCGCGGAGGGGGCTCAGTGGCATCCCAGCCGTTTCCCCTTTCCCCTTCCCGTTCCCGCCGGCTTATTGACGTTCCTGGAGAACGGGTCGTAGGGTCAGAAAGTGTCCCACCTCCGTCGCCATTTCCGAGTTGCCTCGGGTCGGATTTAGAGACGGACAAAAACGACCTCGAGATGCTCGTTTACACTCATTACAGCACCTCGGATGCGAGGTAACTAGCGAGTGAAAACCGGGTGTCGCCGCCGTTTCTGCGCTTCCATCGTGGTACTGCGTATCCCAGAGCGTCCGGGGAGACAGGGCGCGCACTTGAAATGGGCAAGCTGGTGGCTTTGGAACTGGAGTTGTTGGGCTCAACAAACCTTGGGCACCAGTTTGGTATGCCGTATTGTACATGGTACAATTACAGTATCGGAATTCAACACCGCGGTGGAGACGTGGAGCGACGACTGGGAAGGGTATTGTACATAGGTATCCAGGAAAGCGATTGTCATAGGCATTTCACGTAACAGTAAGGTTAACGTTAAGTTGGCGCGTGGTTAGGTACAGTACCTACTCGGGGTTCGCGCGGCTTTAATGTGCCGATTCTTGAACTTCAAGATAAGGGAAGACGGCACGTGGATGGGTCCGGGTTAGGCTACGGTAGTCCGGGTCCTCCGGTTTGGTGTATAGAAAAAACTCGGACCCAAGTTTGTAGCTAGGTACTTCCTTATCGATAGCCAAATCCACCCTTTTTGGTTGGCCCTTTGGGCCGGTTGCAACGACCTCAACTCACCGGGATGAGTTCTACAATGTAATTCTGAGCATTCCTGGTTTTATAAGCCTTCACCGGACTCGGGCCTCGTCAGCGCCGAGAAAACCACTCAATGGATATTCCTGCGGAACCTACCTGAATTCACCTAGCCCTTCCTCGCCCTTCTCCGACTGGGCCACCGAACCATTCCTGTGATGCCGAACGATATCTACCAGGCGGACCCTCCGCACCGGCCATCGGAGACGGAGACGGAGGTCCGGGGGCAGCAGCACCGCCGGCAGGTATCCAATAATGCCGGGCCGTTACCCCCGCTGACTGCCAACGCTCGTCCGCGCACCGCGACTGACAAGGCTGAAATTGACGAAACACTCAGCCACCCCGGCTCGGTCCGGATCAACGTCAAGGGCGCATTCATCGTCGACCAGGACACCACAACACCCACGACCCCGGATGGCACCCGCAGTGGATCACCCGGCCGCCATGAGACCAAGGACATCCGGCTGCCAAACCACACGGCTGTTGTGAGCCATATCGCGGTTGATGTACGATCTCACCACCGAATTCGCCTCTGTTGCAATGATGTCATCGTGCTTCTGCGCGCCGCCGAGCTGAGCTAACCCTTGCCCTGTCACAGATTGGCGGCTCCCTTGCCAAGCTAGTCTACTTCTCGCGAGAGGCGCATACCGACGAGCCTGGTGGACGCCTCAACTTTATCAGCTTCGAGACGGACCGCATTGACGACTGCCTCGAGTTTATGCGCACCCTCAAGGATAAGCACCTACAGCTGAACGGAAACCGCAATGGCTCGTCCAACCAGCCGGCCAGCGAACTGTGCGTTATGGCGACGGGAGGAGGGGCGTACAAATTCTACGACAAGATTCGCGAGGTGCTCGGGGTCGACGTGTTGAGGGAAGACGAAATGGAGTGCCTGATCATCGGTCTCGATTTCTTCATCACCGAGATTCCCCGCGAGGTCTTCACCTATTCCGAGACGAACCCCATGCACTTCGTCGAGCCGTCCGAAAACGTCTATCCGTACCTGCTTGTTAACATCGGCTCAGGCGTGTCCTTCCTCAAGGTATCAGGTCCTCGGAAGTACGAGCGCGTGGGTGGCACCTCGCTAGGGGGCGGTACTCTGTGGGGCCTGCTGAGTCTGCTCACCGGGGCGCGCACATTCGACGAAATGCTGCAGCTTGCCTCGCGTGGGGATAACTCCAAGGTCGACATGCTTGTGGGCGACATCTACGGCACCGACTACGGCAAGATCGGGCTGAAGAGCACGACCATTGCGAGTTCGTTCGGTAAAGTCTTCCGAAAGAAGCGCCAAGCCGAACAAGAAGCAGAAGACAGCGGCGGGCAGCGGCACAAGGACTACCAGGTCCCTGATCAGCAACCTTCACATCAACAACCAGATCACCAGCTACTGCACTGCGCAAACCCACCGCATGATGATACCTCTGCGCAAGAGCTGGGAGTTCCCCCAACCCACGACGAATCCCGACCCTTCACTGCCGCCGACATCTCCGTCTCCCTCCTGTACGCCATTTCCAACAACATCGGCCAGATCGCTTTCTTGCAGTCGCAAATCCACGGGCTGTCTCACATCTACTTCGGCGGCTCCTTTATTCGGGGCCACCCACAGACCATGAACACGCTCAGCTACGCCATCAAGTTTTGGTCCAAGGGCGCTAAGCAGGCCTACTTCCTCCGCCACGAGGGGTACCTCGGCGCAGTGGGTGCCTTCCTCAAGAGACAGCCCAAGAACTGGGGCCGGAGGGGCAGTTTTGACGAGGCGGTGGCGGGCGTTAGGATGGGCTTGAGGCTGAGGGCCAGGACTACCGTGAGGGATCCGAAAGAGGAGAGTGCAGCTGCTGAGTGAATCGGTTGGCTGTGACATGAGGACTCCTGTTGATTTCGGGCCGCCTGTTCACCTTGGGTTTTTGTTTGGATGCGATCTATTCTCGATACCTTTGGGCCGCCTTTATTAAACGTGCATGGCGTGTAATCTGAGTACTTCTTTAGTAGCGGCTGTTGAGCGGCCCGGCAATTGCTGCCCTGTGTTGCGTTAACAGCGACAGTTCATACGATATAGCGGTATAGACAGCATTAATAGACATGATCAACAGCGGACATTGTTTTGCGATTAGCACTCGCTTTGTAAAGAAGGGAAAATAAAACCATGTCCCTTCTCCGGGATCTGAAGTACAACGGCAAAAGGAGCCGACATCTCTAAGCCCGAAATTCCCTCTCCGGCCTTGACCCCCTTTGCCTTGCAAGTTGCATAATGCCATGCAACCCCAAAGCGCATGCTATGCGGGACTGAGCTCACTACTGCACTCGAGCGAGCTCTTTTGTTGTACAGACCCGGCGGCCAAGCCGCAATGCCCTGGATCGCGATTTCGACGCCTTGTTCCTTAGAATTGGCACTGCCTTTCCCGCACTTCGGAAGCCATAGAAGCAGATCAGCAGTGCTACCAGGGGTGCTCCTTTCCAGGAATTCCATCCTGATGTCGCATCCCTTACGTGCCTGGTCGGATTTATGACTTGATCACCTCTTTCACCTCCTCCGGCTTGGCGGCAAGAGCCTTCTGCGACTGGTGCCAGAGACCAATGCGGGTGAGCTGAACGACGCCGACAACACCAAGGAAGAAGTTGACCGCCGCGAGGCTGTATGCCATAAATGTTAGTTTCATCTCGCGGGTGATAGAAAGAGAAAAGCGATGCTGGGCCTGGGATTCTGGGAGGACGCACAGGTAATTCTTAGGTTTGATAATCAGGCACCACCGAGTCCAAATCAATCCGGTGGAGGTCAGGGCAGCGTTCTGTGTTACCGAGAGCTTCTCGGCGGGGCGCGCAAAATCTGAGACGCCTGCGAGGACGAGAGCCCACTTCATGACTGGCGCCCTGGAGTCGTATCATATTAGCCACACCTTCACTGCATCGAGCCGGCACCATCCTGTCTCTGTATATATGCAATCATGCAGTATCCTGACCACCAGAACGCGTGAAACCCGCCGGAGAAGGAGGGAGGGGAAGGGGTGACACACCAAAAGTGCACCGTCTTCAGCCCCACGGGACTGTTCCACATGCGCTTGGCCCACGATTCGGACGCCGCTTCGCTCCCGGCTGCTGTGCTCTGGAAGCGGGCGCTGCTCTGCTTGGGGCGGAAGAAAAATTGGCGGGCGCGGAAGGCCGGCCGGGCGACGCGGAAGAAGTTCCCTGTCGGCGACATGGCTTTGGTTTTGTGCTTTTGTCGTGTGGATGCTTTGGGGTATGAACGAAACAACGTCGGGCCTGCACAGTTGCTGGCGTGGCGCCGCTATTTGTCGGCTTCGGGAATGAGGCAAGCTCGCGACAAACCGCGGACTCCGGTCTTCGGACAGTAACGTGCAAGGCGCTGCAGCTGCTGTATAAATGATCTGAACTGTGAAAGAGACGCTATGCAGGAGTTATTAGCATGCGCAAGAAAGGTTACGTCGCAATTACAGAGAACCTACAGTGAGTAGAGAGGGGTAAAAGCTGTGTGCTAGTTGTTGAGAATTGCGATGCGAAATTCTGACCAGGATGGCAACGTCGCGCCGATGATGGAGCAGGAGTGACGCTCGGTGTGCGAGAGCGGGTCCCCGTTGGGGACAATCCGGGGTTTATTAAGAGCTGAGTCCGTGCGCTAACACATTGTAGATGATTGTACATACCACAATACAATACAGGACATATCTGTACATTGTGCAACTAACCCAGTTCCTGCAGCCTCGTGCATTCAAGCCGCATTTTCATCAGCCTCATTCCACCATTGGCGCGACTAACCCAGTCGGACCTCGACGACCCGCATTCACACTCCCCTCGGGCACGACCTCGACGACCGATTGAGCACCAATTCGCTGCCGGCAAGTCCGTCGACGAACCAGTCGAAGATGTCGGGCAGATACGCTTTCGCGAAGAGCTTGAGGGAGCTGCGGTTCCTGTTCTGCCAGACTGCTGAGCACAGCTCTGCAACGAGGTGTGTTTGTTGTTCTTGTCGAGCTCGGTTTGGACACCTAATGCTTACTGAATCACACCGTAGGTCCTTCCTCGCACGTGCATACCCGATCATGAAGAAGAACAATCCGTCAATACCCATCATGTTGCGGGAAGCCCAGGGCACTCTCCCAAGAGTGTATGCCAGATACGGTCCGTAGCGTTCGACCCAGCCGACGTAGCTGTGAAGGCCGTGTCGCTAATACATACGGCAGAGTTTGGAAAGGAAAAGAGCGAGTCATTAGAAGGTGCGGTTGACGAGGAAAATCACGCAGAAGGAGGGGCTAATCGTTTCATACAGGACTCTCGGACAAGCAGATTGAGGAGACAGTTACGAAACTCGTCAAGGAATGAGAGAGGATGCGGCACTGCAACTGATGATTAAAGGCCAGGTGTTGCGGCGGGAGGGCGATATGTACATAGGACTGAGCCATACACCTACTACGTGATCCGCCTGCGCCATGCCGGTCGTACTCAGTGCCCACAAGATCTTCACCTAGCGTTGGATTCCATTATTGTCGGCTGAAGCGTCCGTCCGGCCTAAAAAGCAATCATCAATGAGGCAGCCAAGCCTCTCCACGGAAAGGGGCACAACTAGGTCAGCTGCGTCCGAGGGATATGTTTGCAGATGATTTGGGTGACGCAGTTGGTCGACAAAAGGAAGGCGGCCTGATCGGTCCGATTGGTCTTTGGAGACCTCCTTCCGTGGCGAATGCGTCCACTAATTCTCAGTTTGTAGGCGTGGCCTGGCCTCTTGGTTGCCCTTGTTCACGAACGCACTTCGTCATTGGATGGCGTCTCAGTGAAGCGCGAGTCAACCCATGGCTACAACGGCTGATTGGATGTCTTATACAACCCTAACCCTGCTGTAACCAAAGCCCGATGGAGTCGCGACTCGGAGTGAAAGGGGCTTATGGTCACTTTGTTGAGGTCATGAGGTGAAGTAGACCCCCACTCCCAGCTTGAAAACAGTCCTCCTGTCAACTTCAACATCATCTAGCGGACGCACATAGCATTTTGTCTGGCCGTCTTCCGCCGATGCCCATCATGTCCCAGCTCTTTCGAAGCCGCCATTTCAGCAAACCACTGCAGGATGCTTACTCGTCACTTCTAGACCCGGAAGCTTCAGCGTGGGAACAGTCGGGTCAACGAGGCAGGGGTCAGACTTCCGCCAGCGACCATGCTCCAAAGTCGTGGTTGTTTGCTGCCGATAGCCGGACTTCTTGGACCGGAGAACGGCCGCCGAAGCGAAAGCTTGTCAAGGAGATGAACGGCTCGAGCCGGCCGTCCTTCTCTCTCGAGCTCTCAGATAGCGATGCTGAGAAGGAGAAGGGTATCGTGCGACGGCAGTTTGCGAGGCTGAAGGAGCTTTATCGGAGAGAGAGATGAACGTTTCCCAGCACGGGGTTGCAAGACAGCGAGGGTGACGGTGTTGAACCCCACCAGGACCCTGGCCCTGCGGGATGAGGGGCGTCATGTTCTACTGGTAAGCATGTCGGAATTCAGGACCGCCATATTTGGGCGAAGCCTTCGACAACGCAGTGCAGCGCGGGAAAGTCCTTGAACATCCTTCTGCTAGTCGGCCTTCCCCTCAACACCATAAGGACATCTCCAGGCTCGGAGCCGATCCACCGAGGTTTTGCCAAGACGACCCACCCGGCGCTACTACCGGGCCGAGAAGTGTCTAAACCTCCCCTCACGGCACATACCTTAGTTCCTTACCTTATCCTGCATACCTTAGATTCCATACACTATTGCCGGCCACCATCCGCTTTCTATGGTTCTCCGGTACTACCGAAATAGGTAAACCGGGCAAGAAAAAACTCGGACATATCCGTGCCGAAGCCCTTTGAATGCCTCCGAACTCCCGCTCATTCGATGCAGACCTGGGCCTTCAACCTCCGGCCCGCGCCGCCAGCGGCAGCCGGCCTCTACTTTGCCCTCGGCGCAGCCGGCATCTCAGCAACCCTCCTCGTCAATTTCCTCCTCCGCCCATCACCCGATGAAACCCGCCCACCCGTGTCCTCACCGCTCAAAACCCAGCTCCGACACCTCTCCCCTACCGAAATTGCCGCCCTTCCCTACCCACCCGATGTCCTTCCCGGCGGCCGGACCGTCGACACTCCCTACGGCGCCATCCAAGTTTTTGAATGGGGCCCCGAACAAGGGGAGAAGGTTCTCCTCCTGCACGGGATCAGCACCCCGTGTGTGGCCCTAGGCACGCTCGCCGAGGAGCTGGTGCGGAAGGGATACCGTGTCATGGTGTTCGACCTGTTCGGGCGCGGGTACTCGGATGCGCCGGTGGATGTACCGTATGATACAAGGCTGTATACGACGCAGCTCTTGCTGGTCCTGGCGTCGTCGCCGCTGGCTTGGACTGGCGACGATGGATTCCATCTGGTCGGGTATTCCCTCGGTGGCGGGCTGGCGGTGGCGTTTGCCAGATATTTCCCGAGGATGGTGAGGTCGGTTGTGGTGATTGCTGGCGGGGGGCTGATTCGGTCGGCGCATGTCGGCTGGATGAGTAGGTTGTTGTATTCGAGGCGCGTGTTTCCGGAGCGGGTGCTGCGATGGTTGGTACATTGGCGGCTGCGGCCGAAGCAGGTCGGGTTGACAACGGAGACGAAGATGGCCGGGGAAGTAGTTGGGGCTAAAGGGACTGAGAAGAAGCGGCAGGAGAATAGCGATGCCAGTGGAGGGGATTCGTTCGATAACGCCGTGTTGTTGGCGAGGAGGCCGGAGCACACTGTTTCGTCGGTCATGGACTGGCAACTGCGGAGTCACGAGGGGTTTATTCCTGCGTTTGTGAGCAGTATCCGGTATGCGCCTATCTACGACCAGCAGGAGCATTGGTTCGCGTTGGCGCAGCTGCTGGCTGAGAGGAGGGAGAGGCTGGAGTCGGACGACACTGCAGGTGAATTGCCGGGACTCAGGGGAGGCAGGCTTCTCCTTGTGCTGGGGGCATCGGACCCGGTGATCGTCAAGGAGGAGCTCCTACATGATGCCACTGCTATATTGGGTGAGGACGGGTTGAAGGCGGTGCTGTTGGACGCCGGGCATGAGTTGGTTATGGACAAGGGGGCTGAGGTGGCAGCGGTGATGGCCAGTTTCTGGAAGCGGTCGCGAAGGCGAGTGCGACGGAGGAGGTAGATAGATGCCGTCCGGTCAGAAGCTTCATAGATCCGGAGATGCTATTTTCGATGCTAGCGTCCATTCTGGCGCCGATTCGTTTGATTGGGCCGCAGACATACGATACGGCAAGCTGCTAGGTATAAACGCAATTTTGAACTTCAATTGCCCATGACTCGAGCGAAAGGACGGGATAAGGTGTCTGGTCCACGGGCGTCGGGCAGTCCAGATGCTCGGCCCCACTTTCAACCGCTCCCGTGCCGGCCCTGCAGATGCACTCCGAGTAAAAATCCATGTGCGGTGATCCCACCCACTGACAACCCGACAACCCGACTGTGAAAGACTCAATTGGACTACCTCCCCTGCAATGCATGTCCCGGAGCCTACTACAACACACCTACAAGGCTGAAAGACCGGAAATCCCCGACCCCAGCTTTAACCGACCGACCGACTGCGCATTCGGCCCAGCGCAACACCCCCACCAGGTCCTGTCATCCTACAGACCAGCCACCGAAGATGACGACGCCCGGCCTGTCCTTCACGCGCCCCGTCTTCGCCAAGCTCTCCCCACATCCCTACCTCCTCCGCAACTTGTCCCCGTCCTCCCCCGGCGCCCGACCCGCCCGCACAAACGGCCGCGCGCCCCAAGAAGCCCGCCCCGTCCACATCAACGCCTCGTCGCTCTCCCATGCCCACGGCAGCGCCCTCGTTCGCACGGGCGACACCACCGTCATCTGCGGCGTGCGAGGCGAGATCTTGCCCGTCGAGCGGATCCCGCAGTATCGGCCGCTCGACATAAGGAAGCGACACCAGGATGAAGGGGGAGAAGGCGCGGTGGAGGCTGCCGTAGGGCGCGGGGAGCTGAAGGACTACGACCTGCTGGTTCCCAACATTGAACTCGCTACGGGGTCGGCGCCCCAGTTCCTCCCCGGCGTGCCGCCCACGCCGCTGGCGCAGACGCTCTCGACCAGGGTGTATTCGCTGCTGCACGCAACCGGGCTGGTGGAGGCCGCGGACTTGCGGATTTGGTATGACCATTCAAAGGCTAAAGGCGAAGAGAGAGAGGATACCAACATGGGAGAGCAAGAGGAGGAGGAGGAGCGGGTGGAAGGGAAGGAGGAGAGGGTTGTTGCATACTGGGTGCTTTATATTGATTTGTTATTCGTGTCTTTCGACGGCAACCCTTTTGATGCGGCCTGGGCGGCGGTTGTAGCGGCGTTGAGGGATACAAAGTTACCGGTGGCAAGGTGGGATCTGGACCGAGAGATGGTGGTTTGTTCAAGGACGGAGAGCAGGAAGTTGCATGTTAAGGGACTGCCTGTGGCGTGTAGCGCGGCTGTGTTTATGGAGAAGGAGCAAGCCGAGGCGGGCACGGCTGTCGGGGAGGGCCGGCATTGGATTCTACTGGATCCGGACCGGCTGGAGGAGAGTCTCTGTCGGGAGATGATCACTATGGTGGTGGATTGCAGCGATGGGGAGACCAGGATCAAGCATATTGAGAAGCAGGGCGGCACGGTACTTGGAAGGGAATTGATACGTGGCTATGCCGGGGTTGCGGAGGGGAGGTGGAAGGAGATTCGGGGGGCCATGAAGTGATTGCTTGGAGAAACCCGTGTTGAGAAGATGGTGTTGGCTCCCACGTTATCACAGGCCACAGGGGGTTCCCAGAATGTCGGCACCGCGTCAAACGGACTTCATAGGATTTTGAAGTGCCGTAGCCTTAGATCAACACTGAGGGACTCTGGGTCGTTGGACAGAGGCAGCTACATGACGGGCCGTGAGGGTATATGGGCCCGGAAGCTCCGATGATGAACTACTAGTAGGTACAGACGGACGATCTTAGACGGTACCTAGGTAGTGATTACGCTTAGGCACCACCCGGGCCGGTGTCAAGCCTTGAGGGTGTGCATGGCAAGTCTTGTACACACGCACGCTTGTGCCAAAAAGGACAGATTGAGAGATCAAATTCAGGTCAGGTGGGATGTTATCACCTGCCGAGGACTTTTGCTCAGAGATGTGTCTTGTGCTACCTTGGTTTTCCGTTCAGCATATCGTACCAAAGCGACATGACGGTTAGGGAAAAGTGGAAGGTAGGCGCCTCATCTACGGATCCATTTGACGCACGAGTTGCAACTATCTCCCTGTTCCTGCGTTGCCCAGTGCCGCAGTCCTTCATATACCGAATCGAATAAGGGAGCTATCACGGACGGATGTGCAGGAAGCATATATCCAGGAATCTCAAGTCGCACGCTCGAGGCAACGATGGTTCGAATGCCTGAAGATGCCAGCTACGAAGTGAAAACCGTCTCTGGAAAAGTAACTAATCGCGAGATGAAGTGTGTCGACCTTTCGAACCGCCCTTACAGGTGAATTCCAGAGCAGTAGATACAGGAGGACAGAGTTAATCTGTCGCCCAACTCGTGAAGGACCTAATGAAAGGTCCTCTTACCATCTGCAACGCCTTTGTGTGAAGCAGCAGTTGCGTGGCCTGTTGAGCGCTGGTAGTATCAAGAGAGGAAATTCGTGAGGCAGCTCGACCATTGAAAGCTTTTTGCTAACAAGCAGAAAGTGGGCCCGTGCATTTTCCGGGCCGAATATCCGCCGCACAAGCTGTGGGTCTGGCTCAGTGGCCTGCTAAGCTAAATCCGATGCCCTGCTCGGTTTTGACTCCATTCAAAACTTTGCTGCAATTCCACATCTGCTACTCATTTTTCTCAACCTTCCGAAACTGACTGCTTTGAGCACTGCCATTCAAATCAGCACACTCGATGTGAAAATGGAGTCGCTGAGCGACACCCTTTGGGATGTTGTGATCTGCGGCACTGGACTGCAGCAGTCGCTGCTTGCTTTGTAAGAAGTCACCGACCGAAGTGAAGTCCCAGGTTTCCCGTCTGACTGACTTAGCCTTTGTGCTCCTTGAAGAGCCCTGTCAAGATCCGACAAGAAGATTTTGCATCTTGACCCCAACGAATTCTATGGCGGTGCCGAGGCGGCATTCAGTCTTCAGGATGCCGAGCTTTGGGCGAACCGCATATCGGCTGGTAGTGGCGGTATCTTCAGCGCTGTGTCGATCGAGAAGCCCGAGGGCGCCACGGGCTTATCTTCCTCCCGCGCTTACTCGCTGGCCCTCGCACCGCAGTTGATCCATGCCCGCTCGGCACTGCTGTCGCAGCTGGTCTCGTCCCGTGCCTATCGCCAGGTCGAGTTCCTTGCTGTGGGATCCTTCTACATCTTCAAGCCACCACAGGATCCTTCCCAGCAACCGTCGTTGACCCGCATTCCATCCACGCGCGAGGAAGTCTTCTCGACCACTGCGGTGTCGGCTAAGGCCAAGCGGTTACTGATGAAATTCCTGAAGTTCGTCCTGGACTATGAGAACTCACCGCAGCTGGAAGTGTGGAAACCGCATGCCAATGCGCTACTCACCGACCTTTTACAGCAGGAGTTCAAGATGGACGCAGAACTGCAGACGTACATCGTCACGCTGACCCTCTCACTGGACGGAAAAATCAGCACCAAAGACGGGCTGGCTGCTATCCGTCGCCATCTTTCGTCGATGGGCGTGTACGGCCCGGGCTTCGCTGCCATCTACCCCAAGTGGGGTGGCCTCTCGGAGATTGCCCAGGTCGCATGTCGGGCTGGTGCTGTCGGCGGAGCCGTGTACATGCTTGGGACCGGCATCAAAGAGATGGAAACCGTTGAGGGAGAGGTCAAAATCCAACTCACAAGCGGCGACACTGTGAAGACCAGAATGTTCGTGCGTGCCGACGACAGCCCTGGTGACAAGACAGGTATCACGAGGCTGGTGGCCGTGGTAGGCTCGCCGCTGAACCCACTCTTTGAGGGAGTCGTCGAAGGCGCCCCAAGGCCCGCCGTCGCCGTCAGTGCCTTCCCAGCTGGCTCGCTCTCGGTATCGGGAAAGGCATCCAAGTATCCGGTATATTTGTCTGCCCACTCCAGCGATACCGGGGAGTGTCCCACTCAGCAGAGTAAGTCCTTTTCTAGTTTTTGATGTTGCGAGTACTATGATGACTTCCATACTGAATACTTATCTACATTGTCTGAGCTTCGGCACTGACGTAAAACACCTCTGACATTCTGATGTACTCACCTTCGTCGCGGTTTTATCATCATTCTTCGATAGCAAGCATTGAGGCTAACTGCGCAAAACTAGGTGTACTGTACCTGACCACCCTCTCGTCCGCTGATGCAAAAGCCACCCTGAATCTGGCATTGGATACCTTCCTTGGCGCCGTCATTCAAGGCCAGACTCCTCAAGTTCTATACAAACTTCAGTACGATCAGCTCGCCGGTTCTCACCGTTCGCAATCAGACACCTCGCTTTTCACTTTTCCGGCCCCGCTTTCCTCTCTCTCTTTCAGTGACTCCACGCTAGAACCAGTACACGAGGCCTGGAAGAAGATTATGGGTGAAGCTGCCGTCGAGGCAGATTATATGACGTTCACGGACCGGGAAGGGGCCATGGACGATGACGATGTATATGAATGAACGACGTAATGGTAAGAGTGGGTTTCCATCTCTTGAGTTCACATACCTGGTTATTACCCATGTATAGCGAGACGCAATGCAGCGACCAACTGTCAACCATCGTATGTAGTGTTGATTGTCTTGCTAATATGATGCACCATTTTCATCGACTAGCAATTGATATCTGCGAGTTGCGATCATCCACGATCCGCTTTGAATCCCAGGATATCTGTCTCAATCATGATCCCCGAGATGACCGATATTACGCCGTCCATGATGCAGCAAAGCCGTGGTATGGGAATCATATCCTTCCCAAAGTTGCCAAGATACTATGCAACAAGATCCAGCTGAGGACCTTATTGCCGTCGTCAAAATCGGAGGTAGTCCCTCGCAATCGTATCCTCAGGATCCTCGTTCGGCAACCCAACGCAACCAGCAACGCCAGCAGATGCTCAGCAAGTGCTCATCCTCATTTACTCACCATGTCCTTCCTCATCCCACACCATGCCCTCCATGCCCTCCATCTCCTGCTCAACATCAGTTTCAATGTTCCCAAGCCCTTCAACCCCCAAGTGGATAGTGCCAAACGGCTCATGGCCGCCTTGTCCATTCTGCTCCACCTTGATGACGTTCTTGGTCGCAAGCGATAGCACGTGGTAAAATGCCTGCGCCACCACTGCGCGTTTCTGGTCCTCCGGCTGAAAGAGCTTGTCGAATTCGACCCACCACCGTCCGTTGCTGTTCTCGTCGTCAATATCGGGATAGCCCTTCTCCCTTGCGATGGACTCGACATAGCCTAGGAAATTCCGCCCCTCGCGATCAAGCGCATGGCGCATCATCTGCGACGCGGACTGGGTGTCGTAAGCAGCAGGGGCGGCCGGGTCGGACATGATGCTGCCGGCCGGTCCGGAATGTAAAGGGGCAAAGTCCTGGCTGCCCAGGCCGTCGGAGCCGAGGAATGGTTGGTGGCTATCGCTGAAGCGCTCGATTTCCGGGCCAGGGATAAGGCTGAGATTTCCTCGGCCAAGGAGCGGGCTGGCGCTGACGTGCCTGCTGGGAGGCTTACTGCCGCCTCCCTTGACGGAAGAACTGGGGATTTGGGACGATGGGCGGTTCCAGGGTACGTCGGAGGGGATGTCAGGGAGGACGGAACCGGCTCGTCTGCCTACTTCAACCGGAGGAACTTCGTCATCTCCAGGGAAAGGGAGAAGCGCGTCGTCGGGTCGGGGCAGTCGCTGAGCGTGTTGGTTTTCTTCGGAGTCTTGGTCGCTGAGACGGCGGCGGACGCGACGCTCGGCACCGTCTCCTTCTAATCCGAGCGCTTCGAAGGCCGACCGGCGGCGGCCACGTGGAGCTTCGCTATCTTCGCTGTCCGCGTCAGTAATGACGATACCCAGGAGACGGGCTTGCAGTCCTTCGCCTGCGAAATGTGACGCCAGCGGGTGAGGGAAGCCTGGGACGCCAGTGGGGCAGCCGACGCCAGCAATGCCTTGGCCGAAAACTAGGTTGAAGGCATTTGCGCGGGCTTCCGTGCCCGTGATTCCATGGCGTGGCTGGCGTGCCTGCTCGGCGTTGGCCAAATAATTGGTGGACCAAGACCTGAGTTCTTGCCTCGTGATTTTGGTTTGGTCGTCGGCTGCCAGGACCGGGCGACGCCGTTGACGCTTGACACGTACGGGAGCCTGGCCAGAGCTGACTTCATCTTGAGCCGCGACCATATCTTCAACACCGTCATGCTCTGGTTCCTGTTGCTGTTCGCCCTCTTGCAACTGTTCCTGTCCGAAAGGGAGAGGCGGGTCGGAATTGAAAGCGCTCCCTGCGCCCCCCATCATCAAGTAGCCTTCGTCGTCAAAGAACATAACCTCGTCTTGCAGCCTCCGGCTAGCGTCTCCTCCCGCATGTACTTGCGGAAGGGCAGGCAGCTGTGGTTCGTCAATGGCAGGTATGATATTTCCATCCGCATCAATCTCAATTCCCCAGTCATCAAATGCTTGTAATTCCCTTTCTTCGTCACCGAATGGCATCAACTCGTCGTCTACTTTGCCAGATCCGAATGGCTCTTCAACCAGCGAATTTCTTCTGCCGTCAAACGGTGACTGAGAGAGGTCAAAGCCGCCAAGGAAAGAGCGGTTAGAACTTGATAAAGAAGCCTCTCCTTGCAGCGGCGAAAGCTGAGACGAGGTCTTGCGCGAGGTTTGGCTGTGTTGCGGAACGACCAAACCGCCGTCGTCGCCAAAATGGAAGGCGGGAAGAACCGGGTTAAGATCAAACTCCGGGTCGTCCTCGAGGATGAGTTCCTGGCGCCTGCCCGCAGTCAATCCTCCGTTCAGTAACAAGAACTTGTTACCTGCAAACGTACTTCGCTTTTCCTGCCTGAGGATCGATGGCATTATCTCTTCCGCCCAACGCGTTGTAGAAGGCTCTCATATGGGCATGGATCTTCTCAGCGTCGGTGAGCACATAGTGGCATTGCTGAGAATACACCCGTGAGACTCCATATAGCAGGCTGCCCTGGAGGCGGAGCGCAATGGGCGCGCCGGGCTTGAGGATGGTTTCGCATGCTTTCTTTACGTTCACCTCCTGAATTGCCTTACGTGATATCTTCCTGGTGGTGGATCTGAGGCCGATCGTCGACACCAGCCTGAGCGTATGAGTATGTTGGCACTTCTGGCTTCCTATGGTAATTCCAGGAGTTCCCTTACCAGACCGTCGCCACTCCGTACGACTCGTCGGTGAGGACTACGCAGTACTGTCAGAACACAACTGTCTCCCAAACAGTGCAGGTGAAAGGTGCCTACTCTCGTGACTGTAAAACATGGTGTGAACTCGCGGGGCGCTTTGCCAACCTCTTCTCGCTGGTGATATGGTGAATCGGCGAAGTCACTGATCGATTTCTAGTTGAATAGGGGTAACGGGACAACATCGAGTGCTAGGAATATTCGAGGGGAGAAACGACAAGAATTTAGGAGGAATATGGGGTTGTGGGAGACAAACTTGGAGATGATGAAATGCTGCAGGTGTTGAGTTCTGGACGTGTCGCGCCTCGACGTGTCGAGGGAAGTGAGTCCTGGTGCGCGGAGGCGCCACGCTGATAACTAACGGATAAGGTACGCAGAAGTGGAAGGAAAGGATTATTGAAGCAGATGGAGAGGCTAAATTCATCATTTGCCTTCAATTCATACAATGGCAGGTCTCATCTAAATCCCCCTCCAAGCCAGGCTATTGATTGAACCGGGGGAGGAAGGCGCGACCAAGGATTCGGCCACCTAGTACTAGTGGTTTCCATATGCTGAGGCCACCGCTTGAAGTATCCAGCAAAGATTTGGGAATGAATTTAGGAGGAAGAGGAGAAGTCCCGTTCGATAGATGTTAGCGTTGTATTGACATCACCGAGTAATAGCCAACACATCATATGAAAACAGAGCCACTGTCTTTATTTTGAGGACCTCTTCCACTTGCTGGTCTCCATTTTTATCTCAATGAGAGGAAGACAACGAGTTTTACTTGAACTGGTTAGTACTGGTACTCCCTCAAGAAAGCGCTTTTTGTGGTATCGGGTTGAATCGCTTCTTTGGTCTATGTGGAGGCGCCCATCTCTCCTCGGCCACAACCTCATCCGCATTTTACATAGCAATATTAAGAGAGCCCGGAATGAAGAAGCAGCTCTGAGCAGTATCGGTAAGCTCTCAGGAGGACTCCTGATAGTAGTAGCAAGGGTCATTCATAAAGAAACCCGAGTTCAACCTCAACTGTGATAGTGACGTAGAAGTGCCATGAATGTTAGCCATACTCGTAGAGTACGTGTGCTCATTAATTCCATCGCGGTTCCAGAGGTCCGAATGGTCAATTCATGTGCCAAGAGCCATCCACTAAGAGTTGGCTGGGTTGTAGGAAGTTTTTATTGACAAACCAGACAGCCCCTGAGTGGCTTTTGTTGCCAGGTCAACCAACCGTATGCCAAACTGAATCAAATCTTGAATAGACATAAGATAGTCTCATTGGCCAAATTTTCCACGTTCCAGGTTGAATTCTGCGACATTCAGAATTACGTTCTCCTAATCATTCTCTCGGGTACGTTATGTACAAAATTATGAGCCGTTGAGACGTACAGGAGGAAATTCCAAGATTTATACGAATCGCGACCCGCTCCGGAATCGGGGAAGGAGTGGGTCCGCACTCGCCGAGCCATCTTATCAATCACCGTTACCAGTCCACGGAAGACTTCCCCGCTACGGATACTGCGGGTACAATATGCGGGTGGCTCCGGTGAGCAGACCACTAGCAGATGACAGGATTCCGAGAAGATATCGCGCCTTCCGGCTTTTACAGCGAGCTGGGCGTTTGGGTTCACCGCGGCTACATGGTAGTCAAAAAAAAAAAAAAAGAAAAAAAACACCTTGTTTCTCGCAGTATCTGTACCGAAATCCGATGGCTGAGCATGACACCATGTCTCGATTCTGAGACCGTCTTAGAGCTTCTATATGAACATTTTTTTTCCCCCGCGGTTGAACGCGCTCACACCAGCATCCTTATCTGCATCAATTCGGGTTCGGCGTCTGAGGGTGACGGGAGATTCCAGATAAACCACTGCAGAAGCAAAATGGCAGTGTCCGAGCCCGCCGCCTTCTCAGGTCTCCCTGCCAAGGTCCGCAGCATCATTACCGCCAGTAATACCTCGGACTCGGTCCCCTTCCGCGCGCGCACCGCCTATGCCCACCGCACCTGGGCGCGCACCTTCAGCTGTCTCCCGGAGCTCTTCATCCAGCCCGAGTCCCTCGCCGAGATCGAGAAGGCAGTCAGCCTCGCCCGCCAATGCCGCCGGCGCCTCGTGACCGTCGGCTCGGGCCACTCGCCCTCCGACCTCACCTGCACCTCCTCCTGGATGCTGAACCTGGACAACTTCAACCACGTGCTGTCGGTCGACGGCGCCACTGGCCTCTGCACCGTCCAGGCGGGCATCCGCCTGTACCAGCTCAGCGCGGCGCTCGACGCGGCCGGGCTGGCGATGCCGAGCTTGGGAAGCATTGATGAGCAGAGCATCGCCGGCGCCATCAGCACCGGCACGCACGGAAGTAGCCTGCATCATGGGCTCGTGAGCGAGAGTATTATCGAGCTCAAGGTGACTATGGCAGACGGGAAGACGAGGGCGTGCTCGGCCGAACGGAGGCCGGAGCTATTCCGCGCCGCGCTGCTGTCGGTCGGCGCGCTGGGGGTGATTGCCGAGGTGACGCTGCGGGCGGTGCCGGCTTTCTCGCTATCGTGGAGCCAGACGATCGATGCGGATTCGAGGCTGTTCAGCACGTGGCACGGGGAGTTGTGGAAGCAGGCTGAGTTTGTGAGGGTGTGGTGGTTCCCCTATATGCGGAGGGCGGTGGTGTGGAAGGCGGACCGGGTACCCAAGGAGGATATCGAGGCGGGGCGGGTCAGGCACCACCAGCCGGGCACCAGCTTCCTGGACACCAGGCTGGGGTATATCGTCTACCACAACCTGCTGGCGATGGCGCGCTGGTTTCCGCGCATTACCCGCTGGATCGAATGGTTTGTGTTCGGCCTGAACTACGGCTTCCGAAACGGCGACCGCACGCGCGTGAGCGGCGTCCAGCCGAGCTACAAAGCCTTCCTCCTGAATTGCCTCTACAGCCAGTTCGTCAACGAGTGGGCGATCCCGCTGCACAAGGGGCCCGAAGCGTTGCAGCGACTCGGCGCGTGGCTCAACCGCCTGCAGCCCGGCGACCCGGGCTATGTCGACCATCGCATCCCGTTCAGTGCCGAGGGCCTGTGGGTGCACAGCCCCGTCGAGGTGCGCGTAAGCGACACGACGGTGAAGTCCAGCGCCGCCGAGGGCAACCGGCCCTACCTGGACATCACCCCCGACGATGGCCCCGCGCTCTACCTCAACGCGACCATGTACAGGCCGTACTATCGCGACCCGAGCAACCGGGCCACGGAGCGGTACTACCAAGCGTTTGAGTGGTTGATGCGCGACTTGGGAGGTAGACCCCACTGGGCCAAGACCTTCACTGTCACGCCGGACGAGTTTGATACGTGGTACGGCGAGGAGTGGAGGCAGTTCTGCCGGGTGCGGGACGAGGCGGATCCGGAGGGTATGTTTGTCGGACCATGGCATCGCAGGTATCTGCTTGGCGGAGAGACGCGGTCACTTCCGCTCGAGGAGATCGGCTTTGTGCGCGAGCGGGCGGAAGGGGGCGGTTTCTGCGTGTTGGGACGCCAGAATCCGGCCGCGACGGTGTAGAGAATCCGCGAGATTTGGGGTTCGGCGGGGAACTTGACAGGTCGGCTGCGGCGTTTAGGGTTTCTGCGCTATCTTGCCCGTCCATACTGCTCACATTGCCACCATGGATTGGCATGATTGGTATTAGTATTCCTTAGGCGCTGGGTCCTCCGGCAGCGTGGCGTCATTCTATATACTGACAACAATGTTGTGGTAAGCATGCATAAACTGCATCACGCATCGAGGGCGGGCGTCTTCCCCCATTCTACAATCATACGTCCATCTATAAACGACCAGCCATCAGGTCTGATATACGGCGTAACCTGAATTCCACGCATTCTTCAAGCATCCAGCTTCAACCGCTCCAGCATCCTATCGATCTTTTCCAATAGGATCTGGTAGTTCACCGCGTCCGACGCAAACTCGTCCTCCACCACCTCTCCATTCAGTGCCCTCACACCACCGCCTTCCTCCCCTTCCATAGCTCCCCGCTCCTCCTTCTCGACCACCACGTCTTCCTCCCCGCCGTGCCCCTCCACGGTATTCACCCCCTCATCCAACATCTCCTCCAGCCCGTCCCCCTCAAATCTGAGTCGGAACCGCTCCGAAAGATAATACCGGATATCATCCAGCAACTCTATGGTGTCAGTCTCCTGTCTTGCCTTCAGCCGCGCCGCACTTTCCTGGATCAGATCGGCAAACTCCTCCTCGTCGATGTAATCCTCGAGCCGGCTGGCCAGGTAGCGCGCCGCGAACTCCTCGAGGCGCTGGACTTTGAGATCCCAGGCTGCGTGAATTACGTCGTAGACATTGATGGGCTCTACTTCTACTACTTCCGCAACCTCCCCCGCATTCTCTGTCGCTTCCGTCTTGGCGGCGTTGTGCGTGCGGTCAACTAGGGCATTGGCGTTGCCGCTGCCGAGCGTGGAGATGGTGACGGCAGCCTTATTCTTGAGCTTCTCGAGGAGCAGCATGTCGGCCGCGTAGAGCAGGTCAAGGGCGTGCTCTAGAGGGCAGTCGACTTTCTCGGTGTAGAGGAAGCGGAGAATGATTTCCAGGACCTGCGGGCTGCAGTCCACCTTGATGATGTGCAGGTGCTCTGTGTCCTGGGCTTCGAGGAACTCGGAGGAGAACATGGTCTCGAAGTAAGGGCTGCGGATCAGGAAGGGCTTGTGCGCTGGGAAAAGCACCGAACGTCGCGGAGGCTTTCGAGGGGTGTCCATATCCGATGAGCTCGTCGGGCCAACTGGGATGCCCCTCCCGTCCGAGAGGATCTCGGTATCTGCGTCCTCTTCGCCTTCTAGTTGTTCGTCCGCTCTCACCAGACAGTCGGCAAAGATGGCGTTGTGGTGGGGCCACTTCACGTCGTCAACCTTGCGGGTGTCGACCAGCATTTTGTGCTTGAGCACTGTGTTGTGAAATAGGGCTTCCACTTGCGCTTGGGCTCGTTGGGTCTCGTCTTGTTGCCGCTGTCGAGCGAGCCGTCGGTCGTTGATCGACAAAACGGCCTCCCACAGCTGCTCGATCTCAAGCTGCTTGCACAGTTTGTCGATGCCCCTGAAAACTTCCTCCTCGGTAACCGCGCTCCTAGGGCCGACGAAATCCCGGGGAAGGTCACCAAGGTACAGATAGCGTAGTACAACCCGGAAAGCCTCAACCGGGATCGCATGGGACAGTTTCCATGTCACCGTCTCGGGTGCATCTGCGAACTTGCGCATGAAATAGGGTGAGCGTGCCGAGAGAAGGAATTTGTGCAGCCGAAACTCGTCTATAGCAGCTGACAGAGTGATGTCGGAAGTTGGAGGCGTGTCGCGGACTAGCAGCGATGTAATGTGGGACGACCATGGCTGCAGGGGGTCCGCCGTTTTAGAGTAGTCGTATGAGAGGAGTAAGTTCCTGATTTTGTTGTTGAGTGCGTTGTAAACGGCTCGTTCGCGCTCGAAGGACTCAGGGTCGGCCAGTGCTCCTGACATGAACAGTGAGTACATGTAAAACGGAAGTACATACGGTACCGCCTACTGAGTCTCCGTGTCCCTGAGTGAGATTCACATACCTGATTCCAGGAGCAACTGAACTAGCTCATAGTGACCACATAAGCTCGCCTGCTGACGGTCAGCAAAACTGTGCTCGGTTTTTGATCTGGAATCGGACTACGGCAACATACAACCACGAGCGGGGTGTAGTCGAACTGATCCTTGGCATTGATGTTGACGCCCGCGGATATTAACTCCTGGCAGCGCTTCAGATCGCCACGGCGACAGGCCTGCAGGAAGTCGTGGAACTCCGGAGACAGGTCCAGCGGATGGTCGTTTCGAAGCACACCGTTACGAATGAGCTGGTTGTCGTCTTTGAGTTTGGCTTCTAATTCGAACTTGCGGAGCACCATTGTCTATACTCTCTATGGGCGGAAAGAAAAAATATCCAGTTATTAATGGGATGAAGCGAACTTAGCGGAGTAACAATCAAAAGGGAAAGGGGAAGCAGCACTTGGCTTCCTCAACCTGAAAGTTACTGCAGCAATATCCGAGATCAAGAACTATAACCCAGCCAGAAGGGGCGACATCTTCAACCACACTCACTCATTGCCACCAGTGAGTGGCGTTGCGGACATATCGGAACTCATGTCGTCGCAGCGCGCTTCCCCACTTCGGTCCATCTGGGATAACGTTATCGATAACAAGCAACGGGGCAATTGCGGGCCAGGCTGCCCAGGGTCGGACAATTTCGGGCCGTCCCAGCTATGTACAGCCCCTGCAGAATTGTCGGCCAATTGCAGACGGCTATTCCCAATGCGGCACCGTTGCCTAGGCAGCGACGGGTTTGTTGACTGGTGATACCACCTGCAGGATCCGATTCTTCGGCAGCAGCTGTGAAACAACACCCGCACTTGAAACTGCAACTTGCTCCTTTATACGAACTGTAACCCTCAGCGGCCAGCCGTGAATTACTAACCTTAGCAGGGACATCAACACCTATTTCACCTTCAAACTGCTTATGGAGGACGCCGTTGCGATTTGAACGGCCCGTCCCAATTGACACTTCGGGATCCCCAAAATCAGTACCACTTGCCCACAGCCAGAATGTCAGAGAGCGACAAGTACGAGGTATTAGAAAAGATTGGTATGCACTCTCTGCCAGTGTTCTTCCGCATAATGCAAGCTGACTCAATCACTACATCGCCCTCCAGGCCATGGCTCGTTTGGCGTCATCCGAAAGGTGCGGCGCAAGGCCGACGGCATGATTCTCTGCCGGAAGGAGATCAGCTACCTGAAGATGTCGCAGAAGGAGCGTGAACAGCTCCACGCCGAGTTCCAGATCCTGTCGACCCTGCGCCATCCCAACATCGTCGGCTACTACCACCGCGAGCACCTGAAGGCCACCCAAGACCTGCACCTTTACATGGAGTACTGTGGGAACGGGGATCTCGGGCGTGTCATTCGAAACCTTCAAGAAAAGAACCAGTACGCTGAGGAGGCCTTCGTCTGGAGCATCTTTTCTCAGCTCGTCACGGCGTTATACCGCTGTCACTATGGCGTCGACCCGCCCGAGGTGGGCAAGACGGTGCTCGGGCTGGGCACAACGGCGAGACCGAAACCGCCGGCAGGGGGGATGACAATCCTACACCGCGACTTGAAGCCCGAGAATGGTTGGTGGGCCCTCGTTTGAGAAGCTGGTGTGGCACGCTCCGATCTAACTGCTGCAGTGTTCCTTGGCGAGGACAACTCTGTGAAGCTGGGGGACTTTGGCCTCTCCAAAGTGATGCAATCCCATGATTTTGCCTCGACATATGTGGGAACGCCCTTCTACATGTCCCCCGAGATCTGCGCGGCGGAGAAGTACACACTCAAGTCTGACATCTGGTCGCTGGGCTGCATCATCTACGAGCTCTGCGCACGGGAGCCGCCGTTCAACGCCAAGACCCACTTCCAGCTGGTCCAGAAGATCAAGGAGGGCAAGATCGCGCCGCTGCCCGCCATATACTCGGCCGAGCTCTTTGCTGTCATCAAGGACTGCCTGCGGGTGAACCCGGACAGGAGGCCGGACACCGCAATGCTGCTCAATCTGCCGGTGGTGCGACTAATGCGCAAGGAAAAGGAGGTTGTTGATTTCAGCAAGACACTCAAGGCGAAGGAAGAGTCGCTTAACAGGCGCATCCGGGAACTCGACCAGAAGCTGTCAGCACTCGACCAGGACAAGCTGTCCATGCGCCAAGAGATCGATTCATCTCTCCGAAGAGAGTGGGAGGTCAAGGCACGGCTCGAGATCGACAGGCTGGTTTCCCTGGAGATTGAGCAGCTTCAGAGAAAGTTTGAGCATGAGGTCCAGATGCGGGTGGAAGTGGAGCTGCAGAACAGGAAGGCAACGACGCGCAACGAGGAGGAGAGGCAAGAGTTATCATCCTCGCTCTCCAAGTCCGATCATCCACATTCTTCCATTGGAAGCGCCGATAGCGAGTTCCCTTCGACAACCGATATCTCGGAATTTTCAGTGGAGTCGCCGGAAATGCACCCGCTCAAGAAGAGCGCTCGCACCCCGTTCACGCGAGCCCAAACAATGTTTGCTATGGGCCCTGTTGGCACGCCAATGGACATTGAGATGGCCTCGCCGTCACCCATTACGATTGCGTCGCTGTCACTCTCGCCTCGCCGCCACGCCGCCGCCAAACCGCCAACGCTGAACCCGACCAACATCTTTGAAGCCAACCACACGGCCGGAGAGTCGCGCTGGGATTCGGTGCCCGATCCCGTCGGCTCCGACTCGGACTCTGATGATGAAATCAATATCCCATCGCCAACTCGGATGATCAAGTCAAGAAAGAACCCCTTCATGTCCAAAGGGCGACCTCAGTTGCACGCCCAGAAGTCAATGCCCACCCATCGCCTGCAGTCTAAGCAGTCGCAGGCGTTCCAGGGCAAGACCATACCCGTGGCCGCCTCGAACCCCGATTTGCAAACCGCCGTTAGGACCGTCGGAAGCAACGGCGTGCTGCAGGACCGGAGTAACAGCCCCAACCGCCGCCTGAGCAAAATCCCCTCCGCCGCCAACCTCAAACACAATAACAGCGGTGGCAGCAGCAGCGATGGCCCCTCGGCCCCACTGAACCGCAAACCCTCCATGGGCAAGATGGACGGTCGCAACGAGCAGCAGCCGCCATCTGCCCAGCCGCCCCTCCTCAACAAGGTTCCCGGGCCGGGGAAGAACAACATTGTCGGCCGGACCCTGGTCGAGCTCCAGCAGGCTCGTGCGGGCGGCCGGCCCCTGAGCGCCGTTTTCAGCGGCGACGCGAACAGCAACACCATGATGGTCAACGCGAACGTCAGCCCCGTGCGAGCGTTCAGGGAGCACGCGGCCGCGGCGAATCGCGGGAGCGGGACCACGATCATGTCGGAACCGGCCGCCGTGTGGGATCCCGAGCGCGAGGAGATGCCCAGTCCGTTCTTGCGGAGGAAGCCCGTGAGGACTAACTAGCCTCGCGCAGACGATCTAAAGATACCCATTGTTTTTGTTTTGGGGCCGCTCGTTTTCATCAAGCTCTTTCCTTTGTCAATTTATTGATCTCGATAAGTGGGATGGGTACGGAGGGGATGATGGATGCTGAGATGATTGGGGACGGGATAGATGGGTCGATCTGTCTGAATGTACTGGGACCCTATCCGAGCCCTCTTGACGGCGAGTATCCAGCCCGGAGTTTGGGGATTGTTACTTTTAGACGGGACAACATCGGCATCATGTCTACGACGGATTGGAGTTTCTTTTGTCAAGACATGCCGAAGAAACGGTGGGCGCGGAAGTGGAGCACTTGGAAACAGGGCGTTTTGGAGAACGGGGGGGTACGACTGTCTGCATGAATAGGTCTTTTCCTTGGATGTCCTGTCTTTTCCTGCAACGTCGTCTGTCGTGTAGTGGCTAAATGCCGAGTTAACATGAGTAATCGTACGCCGCTCACTGCATCGCATGCCTTTTATTTAGCTGGAACATGGTTCGTTTACTTGGTGTTCGGCTGGGAAAGGAGTTCGCTGAGCGAGTTTGAGCGGCCTACTGTGACCTTTCTTTTGGCAACCTGTCGTTGGCGGGCACTTAGGCACATTCTACTAGTACCTCATCTGTATCCCGTCCTTCCATGAGGGGAGAGGCGCGAGAGCAACGGGATGCTTCAGGCAACATGTATGTCTGTACGTCACAGCCAGCACTTATCAAGCAGCCAAGCCACAGCAATGCTGGCTGCAGCTTCAACTTGGACTACGAGTCTGTTTCCGCAAGCCACTGGAGAGTCGGTACTAGTGCCGTTGTGCTACCCAGCAGTTAATGGTCAAGAAATCAAGCAGGCAGGCGGATGGATGTAAACAGCTTCCCCGCACCCGAGAAGGTGTGTCGTCTAGCTGCTTAGGGCTCACCATACCCGAGGAGGGGGAAGCGAGAATTCAGGTTTGGCAAGCGAGGAGCCAAGCCATAAATGACGATAGAGCTGTCCGCTCACTCGGATCGGAATCGAGTCTGTGTGCCCCGCTCCCCTGCTTGCATCGGTGCATACAGCCATCCATTACCTTCCCCTCCGTCCTCCGCTCCGCAAAGCTGCCGTATCCATCCCCGCTCCCCTCCCGTTTGTCCCAATGCTAGGGGAGGGAATACACAGTAATACCAATCCAAGATCGACTGGTTTGCTCCTTGTACACGAGGAATAGTGAGACCAACAGGCATGATATGTCGCCCTTGGTTGCTTCACTGCTGCTCCTGCTCCTGCTACAGACTGGAAATGGCCGACGACACTGAAGCCAAGTGGGAATCGGGGGCTCTGCAGGGAGCGGATGGCGGATGACGGGCGGTCGACACCGGGGAGTACGGAAGAGAGCCGGCAAGTGCGAGCGGCCAGCAAACGCAGAGCGTGCAGGACGTGCAGAAGAATACCTGTGGGAGAGGGGAACAGTGTTCCGGAGGGTGAGCTGCAGGTTGGTCGGTTCCGTCTGCAGTGATGGCACTTTCAGCAAGCCACAGGCAGTGGGAGGCAGGTCAGATCGGATCCTGTCTCCCTCTCTCTCCTCTGGCCCTGCACAAACATTATGTATGGGCAAGTCGAGTCGGGCAAATCCATGCCGTGCTATGATCGACTCGGTCCGCGGCTGCAAACAGTCAGCATTTACAACCTCCATATCGTGCAGCACCTACTTACCTACAGGGATGGCCGAAGCCTTGTCGTCAAGCTGTATGGGCAATGCGCGAGCCCGAGCCGATGCAGCCAAAGCCCAGGTGATGATGATGTCTCGCGTGCATCTCTACATACCATCTAGCAGAGGGCTCACTTGGAGGCCCGGGACTTTTGTGACATGTGGCTTGAATGGCTGCAGTGGTTATGGTCCTTGCTCATTCGAGAAATGCGGGGGGGTGCGCGAGCGGCCTTGCAGCCATGACCTGATTTTACTTTCTTTTTACAAGCTCAGGACGGGATGTGGTTACAAGGGGGAGAGGCTACTAGTAGTTTGACAATTCCAGGCTCGAATTGAAAGTGATTGCAGGTGCGGAAACAGCAACCGTGAGCTCTCAGCAACTTCGCAGCCGCGGGTGGCACATTGCGTTCAAGTTGCGGACACATTCTCCTCCCGCGATGGATGGAAGTTAACACTACTGGCAGTTATTATTAACCTGCGTGAACCGGGGACAAAATAAGGGTGAGACATTTGTCGCAACGGTCGGGAAACGGCGCAAAGAAGCCGTCCAATAAGCGCCGCGCAACTCGGAAAAGAAAGAAAGGAGGCTTATTATGACCGTTTCAGGCGGCCCACAACCTCCACCTCAGAAGATCGGTAGACAACATCCCGCCATCTATGTGATCCGTACTTACACCAAGGTAGCCAAGTCTAGTATTTATCAGTTTTCGGCTGCCGTGCAATGGAAAAGAAGAGGTGGCGTCCCGCCGAAACCAATGCCGAGAGGAGGAATACCAATCTGTCCAGAACTGGATGCTCGGCGAGCCGGACGCACCGTCATATGCACCAGGAAAAAAGAAGAACGGAGGAGGCTACGGGGATGCTTTCCGCCGCGGAAGCATCCTACAGCAGTAGTGTAGGGTACCTAGTGTAGCCTGTTTTGGATTCGTCGAGAACTTCGAGTTGACAGCGGCAGAGAAGAAGACGTGTCGACCACCAGTGCTACCACACTACGGATTACTAGACTCTAGACCGATCACCGACCCATGGAGCCATGGTCAGGGAAATATTTGATTGCCCGTCAGGTGGCATCGTGATGGTTGATGGTGTTATGCCAACCCACGATCAGCGCGTTTTGCGTCCAACCTTGGGGCTGCTACCTCACAACAAGTAGGATGATCACCCCGGGCCGCCGGAAGATCTGGACTGGGGTGTGTCTGAACGTTGCGGTGAAGGGCGACAGCTGGCTCTGGATGGATCATCAGGGCGCGGATTCCTCAGGCATCCCCGACACCGCCCCTCCCTCCGCCGTGTCGACTCCCGCCCCCCTGATCAGGTCGTGGCCGGGTCTGCATTTGGGGAAACAGATCACAACACAACCGTGTCCTTTTGCTTCTCGAAGCTATCCCGCGGAGCCCAGAGCACGGAGGGGATGCGTGGGGAGTACCTACTATGATACGTACTACTAGTAGTTTACATACATAACGACTAGCAAACAGTCCTGCGCGTCTTGTTGGTGCCAAAACAGCTTGTTTACACTAATTCACTGGAATTGGACAGCCTTCCGCCGTCGCAGCGATGCAGTGGGGGGCCCGCAAGATGCAGGTGACAGCCACGGGCATTGGGTAGACAGCTCGGGCGTACTGTACATACATTACAGGTGTGCATTATGGAAGGGCCACGGGACGATCATATCTAGGCGGGATTTTAGACACTGATGAGTGGAAGGCTGCGGCAGACAGCAACACATCCCAGTGGACGGTACCGGTATCTGATATGTGATCAACCAGAACATGCAGGGTGTTATTACCGATTCCCCCGTTCCATGGCTTTGGCTGATCCAGTGTTACAGTTGCCTCTGTGAGCTTCCTTCTACGGCTGGCCCAAAGCAATCACTCGTCACCTTGACCGGACTGGTAGCCTATCATGATGAGCCAACTTTACCTCAGCTGCGCCGTGGCCACCTCTACGGCACAACAAAAGCACCATGCGTTGTCAAGGTAGCATATCACATGGAATGCCAGGGACACGACAATTTTCTCGTCCCTTGACCGGGGGCGCTCCAAACCTGGCCCTGCGAAATGCACTTAGATGCAGCACCAAGTAATAGTATGCTGGTCATTTACGCAGGAGGAAACCTGGGCTGCACATTTTCGATATTCATTACTATTGCACTATATCAAGCTCTGTTATGACAAGGTCTTGTCCATAACTATTGCGAGTCCGAAAGGTTCCGGCCCGACGTCGGTACGTAATGTTGTACATGTACCCTACAGAGCTTCCTCGCATGCATTTCAGGTGACTCACAAACAAGACCTATACGCTGCAGGTACACGCCTACTTCCAATAGGTCGCCAGGCTCTTTGCCGTCCTGTCTGGCCGGAGCTTTTGAGTTCCAACGTTAGCTTCGAGGTGGTTACCACACGACCCCGCAAGGCGTCGCTGAACGGAAGAGCTTGGGCGGCATCTGAGACCTAGCTGGTCTGAGATTTCTCCCTGCGTCCATCAGATCTCTCTCATGACAGTACGAGTGCATGCTGGACGGTTACCGAGGGGTTCACATGTCGACAGAGACATCTTGTTCGAGTCGCATTTCAGTCCTTACAATAGTCGAGGTCGAAAGCATTGTACTCGGGTCGACAAGAGGAACAAAGCTCCTGGTTCTTCGTATGTACGATCGCCCCTGCGGTGATCGACAGATGCCACAAACTCTAAACTTCCCCTGTTGGTCGCAATCGGAATTTCGGGGCCGGAAATTGTGCCGAACCAATTAGACGAGACAGAGCTCCAACATTCGGATGTTGGTGAACGGAGGGCAGACTTGTCGCTGTTACTTCAGCCCGGTGTACGGAAAACCTTGTAGCGTACGACTATTATACTGTCGTGTAATGTACTAGGTATGTATGTATGGTACGACACTGTTATGCTCAACAGTGTCACCGCAGTACAGTAGTAGTTGCATACAACAGACGAGCGGTTGATTGATCAGGGCGACGATGTCCGATGCGAGATGCATCCAAAAGTGGAAGGTCGTTCAATGGCAGTCGATGGCCCGTCGACCCACAAGCGCAGCGTGGCATGGTGTACTCAGTAGGTATTGTATGTATTACGGAATATTTTCCCGGCCAAGGGAGTACGAATAAAAGTGACGCTTACCAGTGCTTACCCAAGTGCTAAGCGAGTCGCGCTAGCCAACGCCACGCCGATCGCCCACACAACGGTAACTTTTTGCTCGCACGAGAGAATTGCTCGCCTGGGACGCTGTACTATGTACCTATGGTGCAACCAAACATACGAAGCTAACGTTATGCTGTATAGGCCGTATGTAGAGTTGTCGCCGTGGCTTATTGCTGGAGCCTGAGACTATATCAGCCATCGTATAGACATGTAATCAAAGACTCTCCGAAATACAGCCGTCCTGGCCACCGGTGTCATCACCTCAGGTAATTTGTCCGTGTAACAGCCATCCGCCTTCTTCCATGCGTTGCCGAATATTCCGGAACACAACAGCATGTAGGAAGTTATTAGTGTATGTTGGACTAAATATACAACCCTTCGGGGTTACAAAGGTTATTTTTTAAGCCCGCCAACCAGCTTAAAAATAACCTTTGTAACCCCGGAGGGTTGTATAGTAGTTGGGTGCACCATAACACTTTTATGTCCAGGCGCCGTACCTAGATAGGTACAGTACTGAATGCCGGCGAGGGCGTGTGCGACTCGTTTAAATCAAGCCGCCTATGTGGTGGCTGGCATGTATGTAGAACAAGCCACAGCGAGACCCACCTCGCCCGACCCGGGACGGCGAGAACAAGATTCTGTGCCGCAGGTTGCCGCGGAGTTGGCCGGGAAAGCAGGCCTGCAACTTCGCTTGCTCAAGTGCCGGGAGTGACATCAAAAGTCGCGGCGAGTGTATAAGCGGCGGACACCCAAGCGGCCGCACTACGTAATGGGGCCGTTTGCCGGGGCAGGCCGGGCGGGTACCTTACTGGGTCCGCCGCCGGCTCCCGGCCGGAATCCTGATTGCGGGGTTCCCGTGGCATTCCAGACGCATCTTCGGACAGCTTACACGTGAGGTGAAGGGATCACCTGGGTACTGGACCTGATGGAAGCTAGGTACTGATGTCTACGCCGGGCCACCAAGCGTTAGGAAACACGAGATGGTGCGAGTATCTACCGCATCAAACTCGAAGAGGCACTGCAGTACCGACGTGCACCAGCTCAACTTGCCGTCCTATTCTACTGCAGGCATCTGAAGTTTTGAACGCGGTAACCTGGCCAACACGCGTGGAACACAACTAATCACAGGTAGATACTAGTAGTTGTATCGATTGGGAATCCTCTAGCTTGAAGTGTGCCAGCGTCTCAAAAATAACTGGCAGATGATCTCATATCGAGTTGTCGGCAAGGTGGCCAGCTTGGCAGATACCGAGTACCTACCACTTCCTGAAATCCACTGAGCCACGAAGTGCAACACTTAAAAAGCGTGTTGCATCTCGCACGCGACTTGTGTCTAGCAAAAGTTCTGCATGTCAGCGATGCCCGAGCGGCGTCAACTTGGTGTTTAAGGCCCGTTCCAGTCTGCCGGAACCGCTCTCGGGAAGTTCATCCCATCATTATGCCTCGAGAATTTGGACTGGTTGACCTGCAGAAAACCCCGGATGCGGCACGGATGTGGCACAAGGGGCCCGCTTGGCTACACCGGTACTGTCTGATTCTAGCCTCCTAAGGGACCCGGTCTCGAGCCAGCGCATCAACAACAAGTGCCAGGCTAACTTGAGTCTCTCCGCCAGCCCCTGCCGCACGTCAAACACAGGTCCAGACAGGCTACGCTCTTTCCGGCTGTACCCCAGCGAGCCCAGCGAACAAGGAGACTCCTACGCTATGTAATAACGCTGATGATCAAGGACCCCTGAACCACGACGCCAATCTCAGCGGCTGCGGGGGCTTCACTCGATCGAAAGTTGAGATGATCTCTCCAGATTAGCCTTTGTTTCCGAGGGTTCCAGCGTGTTTCCTCTCTCCCACAAGCGTCCCAGGTGCACCGCGTCTCAATAGCTTACCGTAACCTTCCTGCATTGGCAGCGACATCAGGGGGCAGGTGTGCAAAGCAGCTTTTTGATCCCATCATATCTATCTGGGGTCTCTCATCAGATATATCGCGGCCGCCAATGGCGGGAAGAGAAAACATAAAAGCGGTGTACTACTGTACAGAGAGACTCCGCACGCATTCCACACAATACAGGAAGCTACCTGCTCGCTAAGCGATCGCAACGGTGGTATCAAAGCATGCACGAAACAACTGTCAAGACCGATCGTATCCACTGCCCTATGACCGATTCAGCGTTCCTGATGGGCCATCGCCTAGGCGCAACTGCCGTGCTACACCATGTCAGGGTACCAGCTGGCCGGACTTGGGACAATGATGAGATTGTTGCGTCTTTGGCAAGGCGAGGACCAAAGGGACCTGTTGCTCCTTGCAGCAAACCCGTAGCAGCTGCGATGGCGCGGTGAATCGCTTGTTGAGGTGAAAGCCATGCGAGATATGATCTCCGAGACAAGACTGGGCGATCCCCCGGAGGCAATCGTTTTGAGATGGCAGCCTGCAAATCTCCAAGATGAACAACGGCACGGCATAAGTTCAACTCAACGATCCGGTCGCACACCAGCTGCCGTACCTAATGCACACTACCCCTGGTGGCCTTTTTTTGCTCTGTAGAGTCCTGTATACCTAGTTGTTACCAGTGTTCAATTTTTTTTTTTGCAATCCGCCTCGGAGCCGACGCTCGTCTCAAGCTTCGAGTTGTGTGTGTGCGTGTGTCTAACCCATTGGCGGTCCCAAACCCCCTCTCCCCCAAACGATCAAGCGGTCGTGGCAGACCAGGGTCTTGAAGGTACGTACCGAATGACCCCACCGCAGTGATCTCATCCCCTCCACAGATTCATCAAGCCTTGTCCGGCAATAGCTCCTGTTTCGGTTAAGTGTCCGTGTGGCTGCCACAATCCCAGCAAACTGGCGGCAAGGAAAAGCGGAGGATAAAAGTGCCGCCTCGAAAAGGCTAGTGTAGCGTGGACAGCATGCAATGCACGCATGTACAACTCACCACTTCCGCCAGCTTGGGCACGCTTCAAAATACAGTAGTGTTTGAATGCACATACCTAGGTGAACAGTAGCGACGTCGGCTGTCGGTCTTTCGATGCAAACTCGAACCTGTAGACAAACGCATTGCGAAAGTTAATGTGTCTGGTGGTGGCCTTGGCTTCGTGCAAGCCTCAGACGTCTGGACTCGGCAGATCAATGGCACATCATGATAGCCGGAGTAGTGTACTACGTAGTGTATCCAAGGATTCCAAGCAGCCAGGGTCCCTCGGTCCGTTGCTGTTGTGGCGCTTCCGGCTGGTGCTGGCAAGGGGTACCCACAACATGGGCCCGACATTGGGCTCGGGCATCAGATCAGCGAGGTCCCGACGCACCCGGAGTCAGAACCAACATATAATAGGAGGTGTTATAGTACGGAGGTAGGTAAGTTCAGGAGCGTATGTACGTACGTGTGTGTATTGTACATACGGATACACTACCACGCTACTACCTCCGTACTACGCATAGTTGTAGTCGTACTGTTACAGACACGGCAGGGGTTGCAGTGGCATGAAATGGCAGAAGGAGGGATGGGAAGGATTCCTCTGATCAACACCGGCCTTGGGCCGTGATCCCTGCTCTGGCACAGCACCCCCGGGCCGCCGGTCAGACCCACACCCAATTTGCGACAACCACCTGCTGGCCGCCTTGGCCCGGGGATCAACTTGTGGATTTCGTGTGGATGTGCGCTGGATCATCCACAGATTCCCCATGGATGTTCTTCGGTGAGATATGGTACAGTACAAAACGGCCCGGTTCTTCCCACTTGCCATCCCAAACCCAAACAAGCTTCTTTCTCGACGCACACAACACGTGTAGGACTGCTTAGTGCTTAATCATACTACAACGCTCAGCCAGCCGAATTGAACTACTCGAATACGTCCAATTCAACGACGCTCTCAGGGACTGAATATCCTCTCTGCAGCTGCCTTTCATCCTCCCGCACAAAAAAGCTTCACTCCACAACCCCGCCCATTATTCACTTTGGGCGGCCGAGCCTCCCGCGCAGCAACGATGGCGGGCACGATGGTCACGGCGCACTACGCGGCAGCGCCTCAACCTAGTAACTTTCAATATGGTTACATGCCGCCACCTTCACCACCTATGGATGAGACAGCAAAATGTTCGCTGCCGTCCATCTCAAATCTCCTGGGACTGGCGGACCAAGGGTCCCCGACATCAGAGACATCGCCTCAGTCTCAGCAGCAATGTATGGACATGGAATGGTGGGACATGTGGCAAGCTGGTACTGACAACATGATCCCAGCACAAGTATTGAAGCCCGATCCGCGGCCTACGTCGTCCCACTATGCCAACCCGGCATTGGTCAAGGCGGCACTGCCGCCCAGCCCGCCCATGTCCTCAGATGCGTCTCTCGAAGGGTTCAGCTCGCCATCGGCGAGGTCCGTGAGCCAGGTCTCGAACGGCTCGAATTACTACTTCGAGACAACTCCCCCCCTCCAGGTGGAGTCGGACACGCGGCAGATGACAGCTCCCGCTCAGGTCCCGCGTCTTCCGGTCCAGAACTCGGCATATCAACAACCCCAATATCCCGGTCCTGCGTATATGAGCCAGCCCACCATGACCTCCTACTATCCTCCGATCCAGGCCGCCGCGCCCGCGCAGCCGCAGATGTCCGGGCTTTACTACCAGCGGCCACTCCCCCAGGTGAGTCAACGTCGCAGTCGTATGGCGGGCACATCTGTTTGTATCTAACATTTGATTCAGAACTTCCCCCCGCCAATGCCCGTATCGGTAACACTGGCCCCGGCGGCGGCGGGCAACCCTTGGCAGCATCACCACTACATCGCTCCTTCGGCGTCAGCATCTTTCCCTCAGAGCCAAGACCGGTACATCTGCCCGACTTGCAACAAGGCCTTCTCCCGGCCCAGCTCTCTCCGGATCCACAGCCACTCCCACACGGGGGAGAAACCGTTCAAATGCCCCTTTCCCGGCTGCGGCAAGGCGTTTAGCGTGCGGAGCAATATGAAGCGGCACGAGCGTGGATGCCACAACTACGATAGCAGCAGCACCGGCAGCACCGGCAGCAATAACGCCAATGGGGCCAGACCCTGAAAAATCTGGTCACGGCACAGATGGTGTGATTCTGACTCCGGCAACTGCACCGACCCAAGCATTTCTGGATCCACCAGCATATTGAATTCCCAACCCCGGTGGGAACAGGATACAACAACCGACGACAATGAAGAGGCAACCAATACTTTTAGTTCTAATGTATTTTTCCTTCATGGCGGTCATAGATCAGGGCGGAGGCCAAAGATGAACCATCACCTGCACGGTTTGGCGCACAAGGAAGAAGGGAGACCTGTTTCGGCAAAAAGTCCTGATGGTTATGGGTATGGCGACAAGGGGTTTCGGCATTGATATCCACCAGGAACGGCCTACAATACGCGGTAGTTCTTGACGGCGCAGCGGCAGGCGTGGAAAATGGGTTCCGGTTCGGTCTGCAAAGCATTTACATGGGCGTTTCTATTCCCGGACTTGGTCGTTTCCAATTGTTAGCTTTCTCATGTCGACACGATGTATCCGACCAGCGTTACCCCATGTGGGAGTAGCGTAATGTGTACAGAGCAGGGAGGTCACCCATCAGGCAGACTATCAGAGTGGGAAGGGCGGTGGCGGCCTGGTACTGGGTAGTACAGGATGAGCTGCTCACATGAGAAGACCATAAAAACTGTTCAAATACGAAGGTTCCGCTTGTGGTGTGTTTAAGATGCCTTCAGGTCGCAAACAAATAGAGCATTTCAGACGAACGAACGATGCGGTCGGCGCAACATAGCATACAACTATATACCTAACTACTAATCGCAGAGACGCATATTGAATACCAACCTACCCCTGAGTATGACTGACCTCCTGTGCAACAGGCGAACGAACTACCTCCTGAAAACAACGCTTCGGTAAGGAGGACAAAGGTAAAAGTTATTTATTATCCAATGTTGTATTTGTATCTGCTCTAGATAGGCCTAACCGTTACACCTTGTTGAGCGACTCACGCTAATGGTTTGGAACCATTGGACTGGGATTGCCCCCTTGCGCAAGGATGCCCGTCAAAAAAGGATCTGGTCTGGTGCTCTGTGATCTGGGTCCCCGTGCTGAGCTCACCAAAACCTCTCGTCGATGTTGGTATGTTGACTTGTCTTTTGGAGAATTTGTTTGCACACGGGCATCATCCTCAGCCCGCAGGTGTCGTCTTAACAGTATGCAGCCAGACCGCCTTTTCGCGGTATTGGTCCTTCCAGTCGGGCGCCGCCGGCCGACGCGATCCGAGGCCTGGCAGGATACCCCACGATACAGGGGTAACCGCGGATCATCGAGACACCGCCAGGAGAGTTGTGGAGTTTGATGAATCGGGTTTCCCGAAACTCGAAAGCAGGACTCGACTCCCCGACTTCGACGAAGGACTTGTTGAACAATTCCCTTGAATCGTTGAAGAAAAGAATGAAGTCCTGTACAAATCGCGATTCTCGGTTCTCCATAACGTTTGGTAGCTTACACTATGTGCAGTACATACTAGTACAGTACAATACAGTATGCGCTGCGTGTGGCATCTGGTGGTGACGACGACGACCGAGCATGATCTGCACTCCGGCCTTCCAAAAAGCAGCCCAATGTCCGTTGTGGTGGGTCGGATGGATGCCATGACGCCTCGCTCATCACTTGCAAATCCTGGCGGGGTGCGCAAACTCTCACAACCTGAGGCAGTTGCAAATCAGTGCTTGTCATCAAGCCTTGAGGAACTTTTTGTTCTAGCGCGCTTCTGGCGTTGCGTTAGCCCCCACCGGCCCACCTCGTCTCCAACCTTCGCCATTCCGGGCTAGCGAGTGGCTTCGGACGCTTGCTTCTGATTTCGCATTTCCGCAGAGCTGATCTTCACAAATTTGTATGTGCTGCGTCTTTCCCCACTCCATCCTGCTGTCAATCCCGTCGATCACTTTCTGGCTGTTGGTCCTGCCAAGGCGAAAATCCCGCCTGAATGGGGAACCGTTTGGCGAGCAGGCAGGGGCCTTCTTCGGGCGCCGGCTGCAGATTCCCAGTCGATCATCGATCAGCGTTGCTCCGCTCGGAGCGGAATCCGACAGGTGCTGGGCATAATCATATTGGCAACTGGAAACCCAGGAAAGGACAGTTCTCTTTTGCTGTGAGGACGCGCCCCGGGACGTCATTTGAGGCGCTTGGTGGCCCCAGATCAAGGTGATGCGGCAAACAATGCCTAAGTTACCTGTAGCCGAGCTCACCCCTTGACCTTTGTCTTTGTGCCCAGAACTTGCCGTCTGCATGGCACCAGCACATGCAATGCTGACTGCAGCAGGCTCCTGAGATGAGGGCGTCCTGTCTATTGTTTCAAAGGCCGCCACCAGCCAAAGACGTGGCATCTGCCACAATCAGCGGTTATGTACAGTTCTGTAGTACAGCCGCCGAATGACACAAGATTCGCAACTGTGTGTCATCCCCAGAAACGATTGCCATGTTTGTCTAACCGAGAGCAACTGCCGTTGAACTATGCAAGGATCTTCGTGATGATCACGATGGCTTTCTTGAAGAACCGACGAGGCGCGCTAGGCAATAGTGTACACTACGGCCTTCGTTTTATTAATGGTCTCTTCCCACTTACCGATAGCGCTAGCGTGGCTTGAACATCAATAAATAAACCAGGCGCCGTGGTAGCCCCGGAGATCGAGCGAGCTTATTACACAGCCCAGGAGAAAGATCCCAGGACCGTCCTTTGACGAGTCTACTGTACGGAGTACCCTTTCATCAGATCCCTAGCAACAGAATAATCCGCCGCGAATGCGCGTCCCTTACGAGACCCCTGGAGATCAGTCACGGCGATCAGCACCAAGCCTGGGTTCCTCGGTGCCATAAGAAGGGTGGCTGAAACGATGTCACTCCCGTGGCGCCGAGCGGAGATCATGACGCGCTAATAAATCCATCAGTTACCTACACTTAATTCAGCTGACTCACTACAGTAAAAAGGTACCGATGCTCGAGCCATGCCCCTTGGGACTCTCCAGTGCGTCCGTTTCACGGTTAATTACCCCTGTCCTTCGCAGCTTCGGCGCGCGGCGAATTCAAATGTTATTGAAGTCTGAGCTGATGAGTCGGTGGTAGGCAGGTTGTTGGTTCCTGTCCTTCCTCACCCTTGCCAAACCACGCCCGAGAATCTCGCCTACACTATGCATGTCTCAGACTCCGCAGCAACAGAATTTTTAGAAACGTGGAGAGACATATCCAGCATGTGACATAACATATGGAAGAAAATGCTGCTCGAAACGAAATGAGGTTATAGTACATACAGCGGGCGCCAGACGGGATTCCCTAGCTTCCGAGACAGTATATTGTAGAGACTATGAACTCACCAAGTCCACAAACAAATTTTGACTCTGGCGATCACATGGAGATCCTCGGATCTAGATTCCAATCATCGGGTCTGAATTTGATTCGACGCTCGCTTTCGCAAACTAAAGCTCTTTGCGCACAAGGCTGCATCAAATTGATTCAACAGCCTTGCTCACAAATGTCGTCTCTATTTTATTATCTACCACGACGATTATCCAGCAGAGAAGATGGGGGTTGTAAAAAAAAAAAAAAAAAAGAAAGGGTAAAAAAAATGGAAGGGCTGGCTTAACCTTTGCGGGGGGCCGGGCTTGTGACAGGGCTGGTGTTTCAGAGGCGCCGTGTCACACGCCCCATCAAGGCTTGTTGACACACGGAGTCCACGGACAGGCCAGCTGCCGAGGAAAGGGGCTATTGTAAACAACAGGGGTCTAACTAGCCGAGGGTTGTCACATCGAGTCCTAACCCTGATGATACGTGGGTTGAGCACAGCGAAGAATGGAACCAAGAACGATGGTAAAGATGGCCGTTGGTTATACTAGCAGCGAATCAACTTTCTAATCAAATGCGCATGAACCGAGAGGCGCGCAATGGTCCATTTGGTAGTGAACCTGTTCGAGGCTAGCCGAGCAAAATAAGCAGCTCGGTCCAGTCCCGGGTCTCGCGGAAGATGCTCACTCATTGCTCAGAGACAGCACGTAATTAGGTATCACATAACTAATACCCAGGGCTCTACTGCCGTGGGAGCCAAGAAGACGAGGTCCAGGCTGAGACGCCGGTCTCTCAAGACCGGAGAGCGGCAGCTGTCAATATGTAGAAAAGCTGGTCGGCGCGCCAGATCATAATCGCAATGTGATTGTCTATTGGGAATGCCCGAGAGACGAGTCGGGGCCGTGGCGTTATTGAATTACTGGTGACACGGGTTGCGCAACCTGCCCTTGCCGCCACCCGTAAGGGTTCAATCAGTAACTCGGTTCATCGTTCCAGTACAGAGTCTCATGGAAGACCCTAATAAGTAATCTCTGTTAGCCGGCATGACCTGTGGCAGCACATCTGCAATAGCTCACTCTGGGCCCGTAGCATGGAAATCCCAGCCAAATGTCATCCGGATGAACTGTTGAAGATGGCTCGCAACCTTGATCGCGCCCACATCAGTGGGGTGCCATTGCGGAGCAATGTCGTTGTGCTGCAAGATGCCCGTGGTATTGAAGTAGTGGACGAATGGCTTCGTCTTTCTGCCCGTTCTCGACCTCATCTTGGTAACGCCATCATACACTATGGGGTTGCGCAGGTAGGCATCCGAGTTGAACCTGGTACTGGAGTCAGTTGAGAGGTTCTCTCTCCTGCACTGGGCCGGGATACACTCGCCATTCGACCATCTGATGGATTTCCTTGACAAAGCCTTGGGGCGCATTGGGGAGGTATGTGTTGCCAGACTGATAGAAGCCCAGCCACAGAGACTAGTAGGTGGAATCTCGGATTAGCTCGCCGAAGACGCAACTTGAACCCCAGCGAGTCTAGCTCACCATGACGATGACATGGGCTTTTGGGTATTTGCCGTGGACACCCTGGATGATTTTGGTCAAGGCATCGATATAGGCCTCGGTGGTGACGCTGTTCTCTTTGTTTTGATCATTGGTGCCGATGTTGATAACGACTATGTCAGCAGCCGGGTGCTTCTTGAAATCCCAGGGCTCTGGGTCATCTGGGTGTCACGGTAAGAAGCCGAAACCTGGCCAAGGAGAGATGGCCTCCGAGGAATGGCCGCTGAGTAACAGCAGACGGGGCAGGACTCACCACCGTACATCACCGAGGCGCGGTAGCTTGTATCCGACGTGTAGAACCACTGATGCACTTGGCCACGGGGGTTTCCCCAGCAGTCCTGGTCGGCCGCGCAGATTCCGGGGTAAGCGGTCACCGAATACTCCGTGTTGCCCAGTCCAGCACCGAGACCGCTGTGCGATTGTCAGTGAGCTGTATGTGCAGACGGACGTTGTTCGGAAGGAGACATACTACGCCCAGCTCGACAATCCTTCGTACGAGGTGTACATGCCAGCAGCCAGGCTGTCGCCAATGACCTCGATCCGGCGGTCGTAATCGGGGATTCTGATCAGTCTTGCTCCGGCAGCCACATGCACGGCATCGATCTGCACGCCGTACGCCCAATTGGTCACCCGCAGCTCGAATGTCCACGGGTTCACCGGTCCAGTCAGATTCGAGCCCGGCGTATCGGGGCTCACAAGGATGTGAGTGGCACCCGCAGTGATGTTGGTAAACATCCAGTCCAGACCCCCGATGCGGTAGCCGACCAGAACTCCATTGCTGGTTAGGTTGCCAAACGATATGGCTACCGTCTGTCCGGTGTAGCCGAACTTGATCCCTGGGCCACTGGCGAACTGGTCAGATGGCACCGTGGCTGAAGTGGGTTCAAAGGTAAATAGACTGGGTAGGTAAGTTTAACTCACGACCACCAAGAGACATATTTGGAGTCCCATCGGCCCTTGTAAGAGATCTCGCTGGCGTTCGCCGGATACGTCCTGAAGGAATAGGCCGACGGATCAATGCGAGTATCTGGGAAGCTGGTGGCTCTCACCTGGCCATTCTGGAGGATGGTAGCAGAAACCCGTGAGAGAAGGGCGAGGCCGAAGACGGCCATGCTGGACAAGGACACCATGGCTCGGGCGACCGCACTCAGGATACGGTTCCTCTACACGCTTGAGGAGGGACATGTCTGACACTGACATACGCCCGAGAAGCCCGCAGCTCTTATACGCGCCATCTCCCAGAGGCCCCGTCGCTCATTGATGGAAATGTTCCTGTAGCTGCGGGGATTGAGACGGAAAGACGGGATACCCGCACCGAAGTTGCCGTGATACCAGGCCTACTCCATGGCAGCGGCTCAAGTCAGGGTGTCACCGGGATTCCGGGGCGAAGGGAGAACTGTACTGGACCCGAATCCAGATCCTTGGTCCGATCGCGATATTGATCGCGATGCGGCTCGAGGCAACGCCACCGAACTCAGGCTGCAAGTGCACCTTGGATTGGTTTGGAATTCCTCACGATTGACTGCAAAACCACATGGGTAGTACTTCTCCATGTCGGTGAATCGGTGATGATAACGTGGAACCTGAAAACGGGATCGGATGGGCAAGGAAGGGACACCGCACGCGGAAGCCAGAAGCAGCAGCCTACCAGTGATGCAGTCGGAGCGGCTCAGCCTGCCACTGACAGTGTTTGCAACTTGCAGGATCCGCAAGGTGCTGGCTGGAAGTCGCGATCTTGCCGGACCATCCAGATTAGGCTTCGGAAGGGACAGCTCCGTTTCTGGTTGTTATCCGTCGAGCGTTCAGCTGCGCACACATCGAGTCCGTTTTGTCCGTTCCAGAATCCAGATAACTGAACACCAACAAATTTGCCAACTCAGCCGTTTTCTCAGCGAGGAACCTACCTACTACCTTAAGCTCCGAGTATCTAGCAGTGCTCTGTCCAACAAAGGGTCTCGTACAAAGGTTGGCACATAGATTGGTAAGCATACCTTGCCCAGCTGCAAAGTAGCAGGTTGCTGAGCAGGAAATATATCATTTCTGATGAGTGGCTGATCTCTCCAAGTATACTGCATGGCCACACTAGGGTTCAAACCGGTAATAGTTTAAGCAGCTCAGCCCTATTGTCGGGGGCCGGGATCATGCAGCAAGACGCCACGGACCATGGGTGTGCTCGTCCCATGGCGTCTTCATTGCTTCGATGCAGCAGGCCCCCCGAGCGGCCTGCTCTGCCGGTAGGCACAGATAAGCACTCACGGCACGGAAAGTATGGTATGGACATACGGTACATTGAGGGAAAGCCACATCAGAGAAGATCTCTGGGCTTTGATCGCCGCCTCCGTCGGTCCATTCTTGGGATAACAAAAGTCGCCAAACACGGATGTCTCTGTCTCACCTCGCCGATGTCCCTGTCAATGTCCAAGAGTTTTCCCTGTGGGGCACGCATGCCGGGGGTGTAGCGATTCCGCAGCACTCGGGAATCTCACCTTGCAGACCGTTTTTCGATGATCAGCCGGCCGATTGATTCAACTGCTGTTCACCGCAATCGTCTGCTTCCCGAGGAGGACTATCCCACATCTTCCCCGCACCCACCGCCGGTTTCCAAGCGAACAAATCTAATGCAGCCGATGTCTCCTCAGCTCCAATATCGGACAGCTTCTTGATACTCTTCCCCGTGTCGTGAACGCCTTCGACACCTCAAAACGCCGACACCGAAATACGATTGCGACGACTTACGGGCGGTAGTGCGGACGCGCGCGACACATGAGACTGTCGTACTTGGTGGACTTCTCGCTTGCGGGCGTATCAACGAGAAAAGAGAAGGGTGCGGGACGCTTCAAGTTCCTCTACCCATCGCGCCGATCAAGTTGTCGCATACGGCGCAACCGTCCTGCTTTTGCTCTCCGAAGATCGTCGAAACGGCTAGCTCTTCGTCTATAACGCGAGCGCATTCGCCTGTCGGCCAAGCTGTTATGGCATCGACGCAGTGACCTACACTGCGAGCGGAACGATGACGCCGTACGTGCCCAAGACGTCGCCGACGCTCGAGCTATCGGTGCCGTATTCACCGCCGCCAGAAACCGGCAACCCGGGTCTTCGAGCGCAGCCACCACAGCATACCCCGCAGTCCAGTTCTCCCCACTGTCGTGAGACAATACCTCGCTTTCCTGATAGGGTCACAGTGAAACTGAACACCCTGCGGGCACCGAACCCAGCGGTGCGTCGCAGATCCCTAAGCGTGTGCTATCACGCGCAGAGCATTCCTGGATTGCGCAAGGCTGCCTCGTGCTTTCTGAGGACAGCGTCGGAAGCCCGCTGGCCTCTCGCCGAGCAACAGACGCGGCAAGCAGCTCCTCCCCGGAATCGGTGTTGATAGGCTACACAGTGTTGCTGGGCAGCTGGCCGGAATCGGAGCTGCAGCTCTTCTCTGTGACAGGGCACCATGTCATCGCAGTCGCAGGAGCAAGCTCCCCCAAACGCGGTGCCCGACACTCAGCTCGGATTGACAGAAGACCAGATCCAACTACTGCGCCATGGCCAACAGGAGGTGGCAGCGGCGACCGGCGGGTCAACCTCCTCGCGGGCGGCGAGCCGCGCTTCGTCTCAGGGGTTGCTCATGATGGACACGTCGTCGCTAACCGCGCTGGGCCGTCATTTCGACCGGGTCATGCAGTCGATCCAACAGCGCCTAGAGTACCTGATGGAGCAGTCGCAAATCGTGACGCTCAGTGTATATGACCGTGCCGGCAATCTCATCGACAACGCCGATGCTGAGATTGCGCGATACCACGAAATCATGGCACAGATCGATGAGCTCGAGGTGGACTTTGACCGCATCAGCGGCATCCGGGAAATCGTGCGCGGCTTCCGTCAGAGGGCCGAGGAGTTGGAGCGTGAGCTGGAACGAGCTGGAGGGGGAAGCAGTTCTTCGTCGAGGAGGGAGCGGCACGGCCACCGCCAATCATCTCACCGCAGCCACGGGCAATCCAGCAGCTCCGGGAAACGGCGGGCATGATGGACGTCAAACATACCCGAGGATTGCCCTGGGGACACCTGCCGGATTAGAGCACCCTGGGCCAAGGCGTTGCCTTGGTGCTACGAGGGGCGCATCCGGTATACCAGAGGGAGGCCCAAGCCAGACTAATGGTGCGCAGAAAATGTTGGCTTGGAAGACCGATCACGGCGGGATTAACAGAACCGCCAACAATTCCGTCCAAGTGCTTGACACGACGCATCGAGTGGATAACGTATGTAATGACGATTGGTAGACGGATGGTTCCCGCCGGACATCAGAGAGGGATGTCTCAACAAGACTGGTGGGCCCCACGGCTGCTGAAACAAGACGGAAAATCGGCCTCGCGGCCCCGATCACTCAACTTTAATCGTTTGCTGCAGCTTCCTTCTTCTCGGGTGGGTGTGTTAGCCTGGAGTGTCTTCTCGATCACTATTTCTCCCCTTATTCAGGCCAGTTACGCTCTTGGCTTCTCTCATCATGTTTTATATAGGCCACGACCCACGTCACGGTTATGAGGATGCGCCACGAGCAGCGATGCTCTCCCATTTACGTCGTACGAGTACAAATATTTTCCTGTGCATTTATGTTTCGAGTATCTACTTATCTCACGAGCGATGCTGCTTGGCCGGCAGATCATCATTATCTAGACATGACTGTCTTGTATGATATAGACCAAGAGGAATTATCGACGCCATCTCATTGAACTCTGAGTCTTCTCATTCCTCCCGTATGGTTTCTTCCCGGTGTTACCACGCCGGCAACGGCGATGGAAGAGGTTCTACCTGGTGTCGGTCAGAGAATCAACAGAACGAAGACTCACAGAACAACCCCGAGAGTGCACCATCCCCCCGGTCTCCGCTAAACACGATGTCAACAGTGCCAAGTGCCCCTTGACAATGTCCACACGAATATTGAAGTTAAACATGTGGCAATACGCGCTAAGTGTTTCGAGTCTCAAAGTCCCCTGCTGTTGCACTGAGGTCTACTCCAGACTTCCAATCCCGGGTAGGTGCCTTATATACACGGCCACGTAAACCAATTCTTCAAGCATAGGATTACGAACCCCATTCATCCCTCCTCCGCCCTTCCCCTCGTCTCCTACCAAGTAAAGTAGTACGGCAGGCGGTCAGATATCAACTTCCATCCGCTCTACCCCGTCTTTTTCACTTTCACAGGAAAGTGTCATGACCGCGTTCCCCTCCTTCAACCGCCGGCGGAACCGGCCCGCAGCGCCATCGCGCACGCGCTGTTCCGCGTCCAGCAGCTCCTTGGCCTGCGCCGCCAGCTCCTTCATATCGTGCCGGACGGTCTTGGTCAGTATGGCGCTCCACCCGTTGTGCGGCTTGCATTTCTTCTTGGTGCACATGTTTGTTAGTTGCGGGTCGGCTTCGCTGCCGCCGGCGCTCGCCTCCTCCGCACTACTGTTGTTGATCGTAGTGCTGGTGGTAAGAGCAGCGGTGTCGGGCCCGTCTAGACGCCCGCTGGTGAAGATTGCCTCTCCCTGGGGCGACTGTAGGAAGCGAGCAAACTGGTGCGTCGCGCCCACGCTGTCCAGCCGGTAATCGTATCCGCACAAGTCCTTGGCCGTGCCCTTGCCCGCGGCAATGGCGGCTTCCCGCCGTTTCAAGGCCATGTCGATCAGCTGGAGCATCTTTTTGCAGAGGACGATTTCCTCGCCCAGCTGGTAGCGGGCCGTGGCGGACGTGTTGAGCAGGTTTTGTTCCTCCGCGGTGAGGGCAGAAGACGAGAAAGGGCGCTCCCAGAAATCTTGTGGAGTTTCTGTTACGCATTAGAAAGAGTGGCCCGAGAACAGTGGTCGTGGGAAGGGGAGAGTACCGAAGGGAGGACGCCCTAGTTTCCAGGGGGTGGTGGAGCTGTCATCTGTTGGGGAGGAGGATGGGCCCGCGTCCATCAGGCCCATGAACTCTCCTTGGGTGAGATAGTCGGCGTCAGCGACGCCTTTGGTTCTCGGTAACGAGCTAACCAGCTGCTCCCACCAAGCTTGACAGTGCTCAGGCGAGCAAAAGATGCTGGGCCGGGACGAGTCGTAGATGTGGGCCGGATTGTTGCAGCCCGCGAGGGAGCACATTTTCTTGTAACGCGTCGTGTAGCGGCCGCCATCGGTGCAGTTGGGACAGATATACTTCTGAACGAGGTTCTCGCCTGTGTGCTTGTCCATGCCGATGCACTCGCCGTGAAACCAGTCCTCGCATCGGTCGCAGGCTATCATGAAGCGGTGGTCGTCTGGTCCGCGGCAGAGGCAGTAAGGGCCGTTGTCGGACTCACTGGTGTTGCCGGCGTCGGCGACCGTATCTGCAGCGCCGGTCGGCCTGGAGGAGGCATCTGCCTTGGCCTTTTTGGTCCCGCCTCTCTTGGTTTTCTTCGCGCCGCCACCACCAGTGCTGGGACGAGCGCGTTTCGAGGGAGCCTTGACGGTGGAAGCGGCGCCCTTCTTTTTCTTCGAGGCTGCCGTCTTCGGTGCTGAGCTGGCGGCATCTCCAACGGAGCTGCCGTCGTCGCGCATCTCACGATCGATGCCGTCACTGGTGGGCACTTGTCCATTTCCCTGCGGAGACATGTCGGCAAATGATGGTGTCGGTTCGGTAACTTGCCCGTCAACATTTTGGTGCCCGTTGTTATCGTGCGCGTCGTCCATGGCTGCTTCGTTTTCTTGCGGATGGCTGACGCCTGTAGCGTGTGGCAAGTCTGGGGTGAAGAACGAAGTCGAGATCGCCATCAACTACCGATTGTCCTACCCGTGCGAGTTCTCAGCCGGCAGCAGCGCTGGTGCATATGACCAAGATCGCATGGCAGATTCAGTCTATCTCAAGCTCACAGTAGTTTGTGCTTGATGTTCTGGCACGCATGCGAGGCAGCGGGAGACTTCGAATTGTGAGAACCAAGGGAGATGTAAAGTAGAGAAGTTAGAGCCTTGACGTTACTGTGGCAAGCGATGCAACTGTACTAAATACCAGGGACACCGTAGCGGAAAGCCCCACACTTGCCGTCTTGGCATGCATCTATGCGAACGTCATGCGAGAGAGCACAATCAGGAGATTTTATCGGATCGTCCAAGCTCAGAAGCTATTGAGGCCCCGTTTAACACACGTCGAGCAGCATCACCCAGAAAAATGCCACCGCCGGTGACAACGGCCCGCGCCGTCGCATATGCACTCTCGAGGGTAACGCCACGACATGGCGCCCGTCAGTTATCAACAACGCGTAGCGCGCAGGGCAAGAGGCTAGCGGCTGCGCCCACCGCGAGACTCCAGTTCCAACAGCACAAACCGTTGCTGCAGAGGAGGTCGTACAAGACAGTGGAGGAGGCAAAGAGCCGGTACAGGTCAGGGGTATGTGCCATGTTGCTCGGGCCTTGTTGGGAGATCGATTGGATGACTGGCTGACGCCGCTCGCCCCGGCAGCCATTTTCGTGGAAGGCTGGTCTTCTCTTCGTCATCACGGCCGCCGGCTTGGTGTGGTATTTTCAGAGCGAAAAGGAGCGCATGAAACGCAAGAGGATAGCCGAGGCGACAAAGGGTGTGGGCCGGCCCAAGGTGGGCGGCCCGTTCGAGCTGATCGATCAGAACGGGAACAAGGTGACGGACAAGGACCTGCAGGGGCGTTATTCTTTGGTGCGTGTCCTACCGCAATGTCTGGGGATGCATCCAGTATCAAGCTGACTTGTTCATGGCAGGTCTACTTCGGCTTCACCCACTGCCCGGACATCTGCCCTGACGAGCTGGACAAGATGGCGAGGATGTTCGACCTGGTTGAGGAGCAGCGCCCCGGCACGCTGCTACCCGTCTTTGTCACGTGCGATCCGGCGCGCGACGGTCCCAAGGAGCTAAAGGAGTACTTGGTTGAGTTCCATCCGAAGTTTATCGGCCTGACGGGCACATACGAGCAGATCAAGGACATGTGCAAGGCATACCGCGTCTACTTCAGCACGCCTAGCGCTGTGAAGCCGGGGCAGGACTATCTGGTGGACCACAGCATTTACTTTTACCTGATGGATCCCGAAGGAGACTTCGTCGAGGCGCTGGGGAGGCAGCACTCGCCCGACCAGGCTGCCAAGATCATCCTGGATCACATGAAGGACTGGAAGGGATCCTTGAAGACCAGCTGAGAAAGCAAGGGACCATTTGCTGTATGTGCCAGATGTATAGACAAGAAATGGTCACTGCCTATCTCCACTCACTTGACGGATGTATCCGCAACCCCCTAAATCAAGTGCCACACTACCTAAGTAATTACGGCATTGATACGGTTTTGGTGCCGAGCTGAGTCGGATGTCCGTGCCCGTCACTGATGATAGTAGTATGCAATGTTATCGCTCCCCCCACGGCAAACGCACGGCATTCAAAGCACGTCCAGACCCTTGCCTGCAGCACTACAATAACAGCGCAATACTAACCTAATACATAAATGGGCCGCAGGAAAGCCAGCTACTTGAGCCTTACGTCATAGGCTGCTCAGGCACAGCCCCACTCCATATTTCCACTGCAGCGGGACGTTGACCCCCACCCAGAATTGAACCTTCCCAGATGATACCTGCTGTTTTGGGCTAACGGGTTGATATACACATGCAAATTTCTCCTTTTTCTTCATCCCCATGTCAGAACTCTTTCGAAACCACACAACCGCGCAGCAAGACCACACCCAGAGGGCATTTCGGCTTGGAAAGCGCTTTCTAGTCCGTACTTGTTGCTCGGATAGTGGAGCGTACGGAGTTTACCGTGCCCGAACGAAGCAATAGATCGCCCGAACCAGGGAGGAGGCTGCTGTCCGCCTGACCCTTATCCGGCGCCAATTGAGCTTTATCGTTCCCCCGCTTTGGTACATTGGGTACCAAGTCGTTTCACGAGCAGCATCCGAAGAAAAGACACCGTTTGGGGTTTGGCCCGCGACAAGTCGTCGAACGACATACCTACCTATCTTACGTTATGTCTGCGCCGTCTCCTGGAATTCCGGCTCAGCCTAGGCGGTCTGCGCTGAAGGCCGAGGGTGACAGTCCGAGAACTCCTCCCTTGAGCGCCCCAGTCAAAGGTTTGTTGTTGCTCTTTTGTTGTTATCATTTTCGTCATCTGTGTCACACGGACTTGTCCACGTATGACGGGGCCATTGCGAATACACTGTGCGTCGTCATCTGGTCACTTGCCACACGGCTTCAATCCATCTCATCCTACCTTCCAACTCATATTGATGATTCGCGTTAGCTGTGCAAATCGCCGAGCCTGAGACCTCAACTCCTGATGACCCGCAGGTGAAGAAGCAGTTTTCTGCTGGGGTCGCCAAGCGACTCAGCGGACGACCTCCTCCATCGAACGGCCCTTCAAGGTCCTCGACGCTCAGTCAAGTCAGCATGGATATCACCCCTGATCTGGCTGCTGCCGGGTCCATGGTCACTTCAGGCGAAGAATCTCAGAATCAGCAGCCTCAGGCTCACCACCACCGCCACAGGCTAGACCGCGTCACCGAGAGACTCTTAGCCCAGGTCGCAGAGTGGCTCGAGCGGGAGAAGGTCAAAAAGCAGCGCAAGAAGTATGGAAAGCATCCGTTACGCCAAAAGTCGCCACCCAGTCATGTGGACAGCACCGTTTCCCCGCCAACCCGGCATAGGGCGGATTCGATCGAGTCCGATTCGAGTGACGTATCTCTGGACCGGCTGCAGAGGATTCTGGACGACAACATGGCCGCCCTGGGTCTGAACTCCACCACTTCAAACTCCCTCCCTTCATTTAGTTCTCGCCCCCGACAAAAACCTCGGAAAAAGTCCAGCAAAACCCTCACCCGGACCATGGCCTCCTCAGATACGGAATGGTTCGATGGTGACATTGTCGTTCCCAGTTGTGACGCTTTTCTGGACAATTCCAAAACTCTGAGTTACACGGGCGGGAAGGCCGCCACGGACGATTCGGCGTCTATATCTGGACGCAGAGAAGAGAAAGAAAAGCAGAACTGGCTGACCTTCAAGAACGAAATTATCCGTCTAGCACACACGCTACGACTGAAGGGCTGGAGGCAAGTGCCGCTAGACAGCGGGGAGAGCATCTCGGTTGAACGCCTTAGCGGGGCCTTGACCAACGCTGTCTATGTGGTGTCGCCGCCACCCGACGCACTGCTGACCCGCGAGCCTGGCAAGAAGCAACCGGCCAAGGTGTTACTCAGGATCTACGGGCCGCAGGTGGAGCATCTGATTGACCGAGAGAACGAGTTGGGCGTGCTTAGGCGGCTCGCCAGGAAGACGATTGGCCCCCGGCTACTGGGTACCTTCCTCAACGGCAGATTTGAGCAGTACTTGAACGCGACCGCACTGACTCCGTCCAGCATGCGAGAACCCGAAACCTCGAAACAGATCGCCAAGCGCATGAGGGAGTTGCACGACGGTATCGAGCTCCTCGAGGAGGAAAAGGACCAGGGGCCCGGCGTGTGGAAGAATTGGGACAAGTGGTTAAGCCAAGTCGAGAAGACGGTTTTGTTCCTCGATCGGAAAATCTTGTCACAGTCCACTAACCTACCAGGAGGCGTGTGGAAGACGCAAGGCTTCGTTTGCGGCGTGCAGTGGCCCGTCTTCAAGGCTCTCGTGGAGAAATACCGCCGGCACTTAGAAGCCTACTACGGGGATACAAAGAAGATCCGCGACAGGCTAGTCTTTGCTCACAACGATGTACTGTCCCCTTCCCTTGCTCGCGAGACAACCGGACCATCACTGACATGCCAAATACAGACCCAGTATGGCAACATCCTGCGAGTGCGGCCCGATGACCAAAGGTCTCCGCTCCTACAGCCCGCAAACGAGCACAAGCAGCTGGTCGTGATCGACTTCGAATACGCAGGCGCTAACGTGCCCGGTCTCGAATTCGCCAACCACTTTTCGGAGTGGACCTACAACTACCACGATCCGGCCCGCCCCTATGCATGCGACACGTCCCGCTACCCCAGTCTAGACCAGCAGCGCCGATTTTTGAAGGCATATGTGGACCACCGACCTCAGTTTCCTTACGTCGACGCTCCTTCGCCCCGCATCTCTGCCTCACCCGCAGCCATCAGTCCCCAAAGAGATGGTTTACACTCTACCCCATCGACGACCTCCATTGTCGAATTCATGCTTGACGCGAGGGTGCCGCCGGGAGGTTGGAAGGAGCAGGAGCAGAAGCGGGAGGATGAGGCGGAGAGGAAGGTGCGGGAGTTGATGGAAGAAACTAGGCTGTGGAGGACGGCGAACAGCGCGCAGTGGGTGGCGTGGGGGATCGTGCAGGCCAAGATTGATGTGGCCGATACAGCAACTGACGGCTCTGGTGAAACTAATGGGGCGGAGGGAGCACCGGAGGGTGTGAATGCACTGGCCGAGACGGATGTGCAGCATGACCCAGACGACGGCGAGACCGAGGCCGGGGAGGATTTTGATTACCTTGGGTATGCGCAGGAGAGGGCGTACTTCTTCCTGGGTGACTGTGTACTGTTGGGATTGGTTACGCCCGAGGAACTTGGGGAGGAAGTGAGAGGACGGCTCAAGATGGTGGATTACTAGCATTGAGGGGCCCCGATTTTAAAGATACCTGTCATCCGTTGAGTGGACTGTGGGTTGGCCTAGTTGGGCAAGAGAGAGTGTGTCAGACGCAAGGACATCTACCGTATCGTTGACAGATAGATGTATGTATGTGCTAAAGGAGAGGTCTTTCAAGGAACTATATGCCTTCTGTCTCGCAGCCTTGGGTAAGGATATCGAGGCAAAGGGCCCGTTGGAGTGCTGCCGCCTGGTTAATCTTAGAGATGCCCTTTGTGCTCTTCGTTCAGGGGCGGGTGTCCGTTCAGATAGAGAAAACTGAGATAGGGGTCCCCTTCTCTCCATGTCTCGGTTTCTTCCTCTCCTCTACTCCTTCTCTCCTTCTCTCCTTATCCCCCAACCCCAACCCTTATGCTTTTCCCAGAGAAAGACTCAGTGTTGAGTAGAATGTCGGGGCCAAAGTCGAATATAATTACAGAGCGCCGGCTGCTGCTTTAACGAAGATGACAGTGGGATCATGAGATTGTTGTAACGAGGTAAGACCGTGAAAGTCTATGGTCAATACGATATCACCGTACGTATATCGGTAATTCGTACATGATACCGACATGAAACTTTATGTTAGTTACCGTCAGATGCTTGTAAGTTACCAGTAACATTCCACTCTTTACTCAAATACATACCATGGAGTACCGTAACAGCCAGGGTATTCCGGACCCTTGAGTACTGCGGTATGGTAAGATAATTACCGCCCCCAAGCAAACCGAAATGGCAGTGAGCGGCTCAGCCCTACGGTCGGAGACATGGATTGAAGAACTCATCAGCGATCCATTTCCGTGATCCATGTCTTCTCACCGCACGTTGACAGTATCCCATGACAACTATCGGCAGTCTGCACTGGACGTCTTTCGTATCTGCAACAAGCGAAGACAGTCACAGCGCTTTGAACTGCTTTTGTGCAATGGGAAGCTTGATTTGCACTACGAGTTGTTTGGTGCGTTGTCGACCTGCAGAGGCTACAGGTGGTTTTTCGGGGGGCTGGTTGCCCAACCACCGCTTCTCACAACCAGCGTCTCAGCCCAACCACTCAAAATTCCCGGATGAATAATATTTGCTCTTAACATGGCATATTCTTGCATTGCCATCCTGCATCATCAATGCATCATCGCTTTGTGCTCTGAGTTCTGTGTGGGCAATTGGCCAAGCGCGGTCCTTGCTTGTGTGTGGTTCCTGGGCCGGCTGCCCGCGTCGGTTGTTTGCGCTCGAAGGAAACTGGGAGGAATCTAGGAACCAAGCATGAGCTCTCAGAACTTGCACAGCTTCAACGTCGAACATGTGGAGCAGTTCCGTACGTGCACTCTGCCAAGTTTGTAAGACATCGCCATGCTCATTTTGCTCATTTTGACCGACCTCTAGGACCACATCTACCGCAGCATACACCAGATCTGAGACTTGTTTCTCCCTCAGAACCCGATTCGCCTCGAGCACTTTTGCAAACGCCAGCAGCGGAGCGGACAGGACCCTCCACTCCATCTCAGCCGGGCCCTCTGCCGCTATCACATCGGCCCCGTCCGTCTTCCGAGCCGGACTTCCACGGGCCCGACGGCGTCTTCACCCCGCCAGCTGCCGCCCGACCATTTGGGCGTCCCGTCCTCATTGAGGGCCGTTACCGCCGCGTGCCTGCGATCCCGCCCCTCGCTCCCTACCAGCAGCCAGACTGGGAGGCCTCGATGAACGCCGCCATGTTGACCGATTTCCGTGATGAGCTTGCCAGGCTAGATGGCGTTATCACTCCGGGCATCGACAACACGCCTTATGTTCAGTACGCCATCGAGGCGCTCACCCGTGACCGGGACACGGGTTACTCGGGCACTGCCGCTCCCAGCAGCGGAACCTCCGCGTCTGGTCCTGCGTTACATCCCGGCCAACGACCTCAGTCATACCAACCCCGGGGCACACAGCAACAACACCCTTCCGCGCCAGCTCCCCCTCCGGCCCGTCCTCCGGTCGCTCATCCTCCTGCGCAGATTGTCCGGCCAGATGTACCCAACCCGCAGCTACCGCTCCCGCATATCCCCGATGCTCGGGAATCAGCGCATTCTCTTGCCGAAAGCCTGCTCAAGAAAGGGCCGCGTCCTCCCCAACCTCACGAGTGGAGATCCGTGGAAAAGGATGAGCTCCTCGCCAGCGCCCCCGAGCTATCGCAACTCAGCTTCAGGCCCTGGCCTCTGAGAGCACCGGCCCTGTTCGCTTTCATGGCCGCATGCATTTTGATGATTGCAGCCCTCATCTTCAGTGCTGTGTACTCGCATCTCCACCGGGGGCTCTTAGCATGGGCTACGATCCACGGCGGGCGGTATTTCATATTCAGAATCCTGCCGCAGCTCATAGGCGCCGCAATGTTGCTTTACGTGCAGTTCATGGCGACGACCGTGGTTCGCATCCTGCCGTTTGTTCGGCTGGCAGCGACAGCGCAAGAAGGGCGCGAAGGCGCCTTGTTCCAAGAACTCTACCCCACGTTTCTTTGGCCTCGCTTGGTTGGACCATGGAATGTCTGGGTTTTCACCCTGGCCACCTGGCTGATGAACTTCACCATTCCCTTGCAGAGCTCGCTGTTCACCGCGATCCTGGTTGACCAGACCTGGACCTGGGCCACCGTTCAAGGAGTCGCCTGGACTCTCGTTGCGCTGTACCTGGCCCTTCTGGCCGCGACGATCATCATCTGGCGGTTCTGGGCCAGCGTGGACAACACGGGGCTTCTTTGGGACCCCAGGTCTCTCGCCGACATCGCCGCACTCGTCTCCGAGACCAACACGGCAGAGGACTACCGAGGAACCCAACTAGCGCGAAGCAGGGAAGGTATCAGGTTCGCCCTTCGTCGGCGCGCCGCCGACAGGCTAGGCTACTGGACATGGAAGGACGGCAGGCACGGGTTTTGGCACACGCTCGGCAGTCCGATGGACGAAACCAACCTCGCCCCCATCCCCGATCTTGCCGCCGGGCGACGGATGCAACGGCACGACGAGAAGCAGGATGTGCTGACCACTACCGAAGGCGCCGACCACGAGCACGACCACGACATGGAAGCCCGCGCGTCCACTCCGGCCCGGCACCGCTACCTTCCGTGGTGTCTGCGGAACAATCAGCTTCTCTGGTTCAGCCTCACGGCCTTCATCCTCATACTTGCCATCTTCGTCGCTTCGTTCCTCCCCTCGACCCGCATCTTCGCCGGCTTTGCCCCTTCCCTCCGAGCCGACCCCCAACCGGGCGCTTTCTCAGCAGCCGACTTCCTCTACAGCTTCATCCCTTCGCTGCTCGGCATGATAGTCTTCCTCGCCTTCCAACCCCTCGACACCAACCTGCGCGTCCTCCAGCCCTGGGCCGCGCTCTCCAGCCCCAGCGGCGCGCCAGCCGACCGCTCGCTGCTGGCGGACTACGCCGCATGTGCGCCCCTGCAGTGCACTGTCTACGCCCTGCGGAACCGACACTGGCGCGTGGCCGCCATCTCGCTGCTCTCCACGCTCTTTGTGCTGATCCCCATCCTGGCGGGCGGCTGCTTCATGGCGCTGACCACCGCCGAGCGCGAGGTCCGCATGTTCCCGAACGTGCCAGCCTACGCCATCCTCCTGGCCCTGCTCATCCTCTATCTTTTGGCGCTCGTCTCGCTGTTCCCCGCGCGCGCGCAGTTCCGCATGCCCCACGCCGTCATGTGCCTGGCCGAGATCATCGGGTACCTGGTCACCCCGGAGATGAGAGAAGAGCCCGCGTTCAAGCGGTGTGTCAGTCGGGATGAGATGGCGGGCAAGATGGGTGTCGGCAGGGGGCTGCCCACGGACGTGCAGAGCAGGTGGGCGTTTGGGTTTGGCGAGACCGGGCATGGAGATGAAGAGGAGTTGGGCATCAGGCGGATGAGGCGTTTCACTGAGAAGCGCAGGGTCAGGAAGAGTCAGATTCGACCCATTCGAAGGGCAGTGGACGCGCTATGAAATTTGGTGAGACGATGTTTTGGGAGGGGCGGTGTGTCTCTTGGTGAGCATCTTGATCTACGTATGTGCATGCATGGCGACGGCGAATTTGCAATGTGTTTCTGGGAGTTTGGCATACGAGGACTGTGGGGTACGGAGGTATATTTCTTGATGAGTTATGGTCATGTTGGAATGAAGGACGAGACCATGAAGAGGTCTGTTAAGTCTAATGTTGGTCACGGAGTACATATATGTGTAATGAGATGTGTACGGAGTCAAAAGGCTGCGAAGCCTCGAGATGGGGCTGCGAGAAGAAACTTGCAGTTGTACTGTACTATGCGTAACACAGCACTCTACATAGAGGATGCACGAATACTAAAGCGTTACGTACACCTCTCGGAGGTAATGTGATGGTAAACGCAAGGGAGAGTGAGACCTGCATAGCGTTGCCTCTGCCAAGTGAGCCTCAAGCAACGCAGACGCAGATGCTGCTGCATTGCGTTGAGGCGGTGACACTCGATCGCCAAACTGCATCACACCATCGATTGCCTGCATCACCATTGCAGCATCAGCTGTACACACGCATGAACACCAGGTGGGCAGATCATTCTTTGGTTTTCCGATCTGATCCGAGCGCTCTATAACCACCTAACCAAATCATCCGCTTTTGACGAGGCCGAACAATGAAAACAATACAGTTTGCATACCGACGCGTCACAGATCGCAAGTAAACACGCCCTTGGTCGCAAGGCAGCCAATACCCAGCCCGTTTTCCCATTCCTAGTCAGCCCGCATGACGCCGTCCTCGAACGAAACAGCCTGATACCGTAATCATAACCCCGTACCGTCCCAGCCCTGTAAAAACCACCCCAGCCCAAACCCAAACCCGACCTGCTCCGACGTTGAGTCCAGTTGTCATAATACCGTCATACACCAACCATAACCATCATACCGATTTCATCCCGTCATAATCGTACTTGTGACACCCTTTTCCAGAGCCATACAGCGTTAGAAGCCTGCCTGCAGCAATCAACAAAGGAAACATTTCGGTCAGTGACGGTAGAGGGAGGAATCAACGTTCCGGGGGATTTGAAGCAGAATGAACGGGTGGGAAGAAACGGAAGGAAAAAAGAACCAAGAATCAAAAGTGACAACATGACCGGAATCGCCCACTTAGAAACCCCAGTATTGGTGATGAAGCAGGACAACGGAGAAGCATGTAATCAGCCCTTCCTCCTCATGATCCTCCCAAAGAACTCGTTGCTCGATCTGCCGCTCCAAAATCTCGTCCCGCCTCCTTTTCGCGACGACTCCTCCCGTTCGGGCAGCTGCCGATACGGCTGAAGATGTCTGCCATCCCTATCCCTCGGGAGGTCCATACTAACAGCAACCCTCCGGGTACCGGCAGCCGAATCGCCGTCTCCAGTTCCAGCACCGCCCCGCCTATGGTAGCGCGCGGCGGCGTTCAGGGTCCGCGCGAGACCGATTCTGCCACGCTCCCTGGCCACAACAGAAGTAGGGCCCTCGTCGCTCACGCTGCGTTTATGCACCAGCCCTGCAGACGAGGCTTTCCCACGCCTATCGCGCGGATGATGAACCAGATCCTGCAACAGGCGGCGAGCAAAGTTGATAGTCCCGTCTTGCTTGCCGTTACCGTCTTCATCTTCGTCGTCGTCCGAGTCGCTCTCGAAGACCGAGACGTTGGGCGGGGTGGAGGGCCGCTCCGCCTCTTTGGGAAGAGGCGGGAGGGGCCGGTCGTAGAAAGCTGCCGGCGTTACTGTCCTTTGGGGCGGGATGTCTGACACTTGCGCCTGACCATCCGACTTCGCCAGGACTGTGAGCGAAGGCGAGGACCGGGTTGCGGCTTTGGATAGGGAAGGATAGCGTAGATGCATGTGTGACGATGAACCCTGGATTGCTCTCGGCAAAGAGCGGTTCGGACGTTCCCAGGAAATTCGAACTTCTGACGGGGGTGTAGCGGGAGGAGATGCTGGAGGACTCGGTCCAGGACTACGGCGGAGCAACGGTATTGAATCGGATGAGCTTGCTCCGATAGAACCGGCCCGCGGTAAACTTGGGCTTGTAGCTCGCGAAGATATCGAATGGTAGCTAGGCTTATTCTGGTGTCTCCCGCCCGTGATGGCGTGTCGGGAGTGAGGTGAGGGCAGGAAATAGGGAGAAACCGGAGAGGGTTCCAGATCCGCTGGTCGCCGGTCGGAAGATAATTGTACGGCCACGGGAACTCGCTGCCGAGGGATGTCGGCTGGGGGGAAAAGGGAGTAGCTCACTTTTGGCGCCACTTTCGGTGCATGGGGCTGGTATTCCGAACGAGGTAGGGGGGCATGCTGAGATGCTTGGCCGCTTTGACTTCCAGCGCTCAACGCTGCGCAGCGTGTTTCCGATGGGTCGTGCTGGCGCTGCAAAGGCACCTGTTGCGATCTGCTCGCCTGAGTTCCGCAAGAGGACTTGACGAGTGCCGCGCTGTCCAGTTCCTGAGCCTCGTGTTCGTCATCGTGCCAGGACTCCCACAGACTTGCTCCTGCTGCACGATACTGGGCGTCGTCCTCGACTGAAAGGTCCGATCCATGGTCCTCGACCAAAGGCGGCGGAGAGGACTCAGATCCTCGGGAATCCCGAGTATTCTCTGGCTGCGCTTGGCGGTAGAGATGAATAAAGTCTGTGCGAGGGTAAGAGAAGTTGGCGATGTGGTGGATTGCAACGGGCCGGATTTCGGGAACTGGAGAAACATCTGGGTGGCTGGCCTCTCGGGACCGCTTTTTCAACCACATGGTGGTGAATCACAAAGTAGCAAATGGTGAAGTCGAGGGAGAGAAAGGAAATGAAGCATGGATGGGATGCGACGAAATATGGCAATGAGAAGACGTAAAGCGTAGAACAGAAGTTGGAATTGGCCAACGTCGCAGCCGCAAGATTGTTGACGTGATGGATCGAGGTAAGGTAATAAGGTAAGTGGTAAGGTACGGAACAGAGGACCAAGATGATATACGTATGCTCCACAACTGCATACTACTTACTACCTTAGGTATGTCACCAGCCAGGGGATCAGACTCAGGAGGCGAACCCGCGGGGCTCACGATCACGGCCGCCACCCGCCGATCGGCAAGCGCGAGGGATGGTGGACGGTATCAAGGAATGCCTTAGTCGGTGCGGCTGCATTGGAATGCAGTGCAAGGGTGAGCAAGGGGGTTGATCCAACACACAGCCCTTCGGCCCATGCCTGCGTATGTATGCAAATGTAGGGGGCCCCGTAATCCGGCGTCAAGGGTCGCATCTACCATTTCCACACCTTGAGCTCGTAATGGGAGTGTCCAGTGGAATGCTACTGCACCTGGCCGCGTCCTGCGCTCGGACGTGGCCTTAGGTATGACGTATCGCAGGGCCAAAAGGGTTGGAAAAGCAAGAGACCAGACCCGATGGGAGACACGAAAATATCGCGCCGCTCGAAGCGGATCCGCTCCAGATGCCGGATGGAAATGCAAAACTGCAGCAAGCAACGAGATCATCGAGAAAGCGCCTCAGCGAAATCGTAGAGTCGCGAGTACCATTCGCACTGTCACAAACGTCATTGCTCCCCACATTCGCAGTTTTCCCCACCCAGATCCAATGCTCATCGCTTCTTGTGGCTGATGACTCTCAGATACCAGCATCTCACGCCCGGAGTCAAAGTCGGAACTGGGAAGAGGTAAGTGCAGGTGAAAAAGAGGGCAAGCTTCAATGCCACCGACAGGCCGAGACATGATGCATCGGCATTCAAGGACGTGGTCGCCGATTTGTCACTCGTCAGATGCATGCAACCCTATAAGAGATTGTCCCTTGTAGCACTTGGCCCCACAGCCGTCGATCTCCCGGACCCAATCGGAGCCCTAGCCAAGACCCGACAACTTGTCCACCAACCGGCACTTGCCGTTGTGTGACCACATCTGCTGCTTGAACGGGACTGTACCGCTCAGCTCAAGATGCACGAAAAGCCGTTATTCATTGAACCATCTCCAAGTCCAGTGCCAGTGAATTCCGGGACGCAATGAGAATGAACTACGAAAACAGGATGAGATTCGGCGAACGGGACGGGAATCACGGTCCTTGGCCTATGGTGGCGCTAGTGGTACCTTACGCACGTTACAAGGTATTGCGGTTACACATACATGCCCAATTAGTACTTGTACCGATACGCCTACCCCGTAAGAGAAGTGGATCGCCAGAGACTGCCAGACATGCGTCTACTGCTGTCCAATTCGCCATAATCTCTAGGGAACAAGCGCCGCCATGATTACAATTTGGGAACCTGCCCAGTGACGCGACTATTGCTGTAGCTCGACTACCAATACCTGGTGGTATTGTCGTAGGGTTGCCACCGCCGCGTAAGGTATATTACGGCCGACCAAACGCCTACCTACCTACCCCGCAGCATCCTGCCCGAGGCCCTTATTAATTTCCACGGGCTTGCCAAGTTGTCACCCGCAGCCACGCTTGCATCTTTACCTTAGAGATGCCACGGGAAACGCAAAGCCAAAACACGGACATATCATTTTTCAACGACAGGATCCCGAAGCCACAGTGCCGGCTACGACACCACCAATTACCCTCTATATCCCTGCGAAGACTCAGAACCAGCCCACCCACTGGACGACCGACGAACTGTCCTGTGCATTGTAGATCCGCCCTGCGAGATGGACAAAAGAGGAGTGCGCTTTCTGTGTAGTGTGACTGCAGTACGACACCATTCAAACCGGTCGGCTGATACCTTGGGTCCCCTAGACGCCAGCGGTGTGCTAGACTCAGATGCCGCATCCCCTCAACCCTGCCACGTCCAATAAATCAACCCTTCCATCCGGGTTGTGGTACCGTACCGTGCCTTCGGCTCCCTATCAACGTCCACGCCGTCGATGCCAAAGGGTTGGTGTCTCAATTTTCTCTTTTAAAAAGAAAGAAAAGGATGAACACAGCTCCCTCGCCTCAGGGATCCTCCCTCCGTCCCGTAGCCGACGTATTCATCAATTGCTGTCGTATCCAGGACCCTGCGCCAGCGGATGTCCGTCGGCCGTAGACCTGGACCGTCCTCTCCCTGGGCTTGGTTCCCGACCCACCGCTTCCACCTGCACTTGCGAGCAGCGGGGCGTATGGAAGTCGTTGGACGACTCGGGAGGGAAGCCGCTACAGCCAAACTAGTCGGAAGTAGAATCCCTCGGAGAGCCGCAGGACTGAAGCGGTACGTACTCCGATTCGAAAATCTGAATACGTCTGGGACGATGATACTTGTGGATGTGGACATGGCGGGGTTTCACTCGATCGTTCTAGTGTAAGACTAAACCCCGGCCTTCCTGGGTGACTAGCATGCTACGTCTCGCAACTCACGGGCTGTCAAGAGTAAGAGTCAGTCCCTGAAAGCAATCTACGAGTTTGGTTGAATGCTCATCATGTAATTTTGGCGGAAGAAAAGGGGGACGGCCAACTCCCTACGCCCGAGCAGAGACGGAATTGGGCTGGAGAGGCGGGTTCGCGAACCGGAGGCCGAGGGGCCGATGTTGCAGGTTGGCAGCTCGCGCCCTCGCAACAAGCAACACTAGATATGACCCTCACCGACGAGATCTGCACGGACTACGGATGATTAGTATGTACACCCACCGCACTGCTAATGCATTATTCAATTCGCATCCAGCTGCTAAGCTCCGAATAGGGCGTAGCTCTTCAGTTCACTGTGTACAGTGGAATAATACCACAGCCGCTCATATGGTAAAGCATGAAGAAGTCTAACAGGAACTACCAGCAATTTGAACCAGCAAAGCAACATGATTCGTCCTCCACACTGCCCAGGGACTATGACAGTAATGGATTCCAAAGTCAGCATCTACCCTGGGAGCCGACCACTGTTAGGACAGGAAAGGAAACGGAGAACGATCAGCCGCCCTCAGACTTGCGCGAGATTTTATGCAGAAACCCAGGCATGTTTCCTGCATCAGTTTATGCTTGGTACAATACCTAGGGTAGCTGGGTAAGTCCTCAAGCTCTGCGCTATACTACTCCCGTCTCCCGCTGCCTCTCGGTGATCATACTCGGATACGGCGCGGCGGGCTGAACGAGGTATCTCAGGGTCCGACGAGCCATGACATGAAGCTGTAGCTGCTGGAAGCGTGATCTAGGAAGCACTATCGCGCTATGACCTACTACATGCTAAAAGATGGAACGGGCAGGTTTCTAGGTAGCTTGGGAACATGACCGACCATTCCCTCCCATAATGAGAACCGTAAAGTGCCACTGGCACTGAACTTTGTGGATGGTTTGGCTGTTGACGCCGCGTCTCGATAGCTGATAACAAGAAGGTAGGACTGGAATCAGACCACTACTTGCCGCCGCATCATACCCATCACATGGTACCTTACTCCGCCCAGTAACAAAACACGGGGGCGTGTTGCCATATGCCTTATAGTATCTCGCGTTGGATAGGTTCCTTACTAGGTGCCTGTAGTTATTCCACACCAGGCGTAAACTGGGCCTATAAAGAGCTCGCCTCAACTCTGACTTGACTTCGCTGCCCAAGCGAGAGAAGCCCATCTCATTTAATGTAGTCTAATAGCGGGTGCAGGTAAGGTACTCTAGCAATCGGCGAACTCGAGACGCCGAATTCGCGTAGGACGGCGGGTTGCAGGTTCAGATCGCAACTACCCGATGCTGTGATAAGGTTTCACTGCCTTCTCCATCAGTGTCAGGCTGTTTTCGCCATTCGGGGATTTTCTAGAGTCAAGAGCGCCCGAGTCAGATTGTCGTCGCCACCCAACCTATATCGGGTATATACTAGCTGGTATATTATCAACGTCGGCTTCAAGTTCCAGAACAATCCGTGCCAGAGGGTGTGGTTTACGGAGTTCCGGTTCGCTGAAAGTTGCCGGCGAGCCAAACGCTAGTGTCGACGTTCAGGCTCCTTTCCGGCTTCTGGAATTTTTCAGCTGGCTGCTAAGCACGTAGCTGTTATCTAGGCAGTGCCCTCCATGGCCGAAGACACCGGTTTGAAGTTCCTTACTAGCAGTTGCCATTCGTCAACACTCACTTCCAAGTTACAACCGTCCGCGACTCATACTTCACCCGTGGACGTCTGTAAATTTGAACTTTGATATCTACAGGCCAAGTCCGGATAATCGTTGATATCTATAGGTATTTAGAGACACTGTATCAATCTGTTGCCAGAACCAGTTCTCACTCTTGCTCGAGAGTCGAGACTAAGACAATGTTAGTGCCGTAATAGCGTGAGCTGCTTTCTGCTTTGATCACGGGGAGGTATATTTACTTCTTCACTGTTGTATCCAGAGGCGGAGACCAGTCTACTGGAAGCCACTTTCAATCAGACATAGTGAGAAGTTGGACGTCTCAGGTCTGGAAAACTCGACCGGCTCCTCGGGACTCATGTCGGCTGAATGTGATTGGCTGTCTCCACACCTCCGATCCATCCACCGATCGGGCCCGACGTGGTTCCGTGCTTCTTCCGGAACATCTCCAATGTGCCCGCTGGACCAGGGTTGATCTCATCCAGGATCCATAGTGAGGCAGGCGGGTGCATTTGGGCTTCAGGTTCCGTCAGTCATTTCGTGCAATCCATGGCCCAACATGAATTGGACGCATTGCAGCACCGTCACGGGCCTTCAGAACCCAATTGAACCCCAAACATGCCATTCTGCTCGGTCACCCGATAACGTACCTAAGTCGTTGAAGTGGGCCGTACAGTTTAATATTACTGTACTACACGTATTATATGTACACAGCAGGGAGAAAGGACAGAGAGGGTGTGAACACCCTGCCGGAACCGCCCTATTGGGATCGGGTTGGCCTCCGAAGCTATCGTGCGATTGGCAGAACAGGACCTGTTGGACCCATCGTTTCGTCACTTCATGTATGTACTGCCAACTCATCAGCCCAAGCTCCCTTCGTAAAGTGGCCCAACCTCCTCACTTTTATGCTCCAGATTCAAGCTAGTAGGCGCCCTTTCGAGAGCAGTTGAGTGCATGTCTGGTGACAGGCAGTTCTTTATCTGGTCAGAGACGGCTTTCGATGCGCCGCCCGATAAGATGGAAGGTCTTTGACGACGGCCACCTTGGCTCATCTCCGTACCCGACCCCTCACTGCCAGGTACTAGTAGTAGACCCTGAGCTGACAACTGGAGGTGCAGTATGCGTTCGCCGTGTGCCGTAGCAACATCAGCGTGAGCCGGAAGAAGCCTTGGTAATCTGTACCCGAGTGTTAGGATTTTCTTGATTTGTGTCATGGTAATCGTCCCCAGTCAGCTGCAAGCCTTGACCTGCATATTGCGCCCGACTCTCATTTAATACTCCGCGGGATTTCAGCTTGGAACCAAGTGCGGGGAGTTAGGCATGTTATTCTGTGCTTGATCAATCGACCTCGGCGCAGCTTCTAACTGCAACCACGGTCCACCAGGGCAATGTTTGTTGATCCGGCTCACGCCGACCAGGACTGATTAATCTTTGAGCTGTTTAACTATCTCCAGTTAGCAGAAACCGCTCAGGACATAAGCGAATCGGCTGAGCTAAGGTCCGTGCACCGGTTCTTGGTGTTTTTGGTACCCCTGGAAAGGCTCGGCAACTTGGTGTCGGCGCCGCGCCTCTTACAGTCCTCGACCGCCCTCTCCAAATTCGCCAATCGCTCAAAAGTCAACAGCTCCGGCAACCTGTTGAGCTTCGGCGGATTGAACACTCGTTTTGAGCCATTGGAACCCGAGCATGCCCTGCGCCAGCAGCTAGGACATCTCTTTCCACATTCCCTCGTTTTTCGCATCACGACGGAGCTCGTCGTGGTGCTGAGGTGGCGGTGAGTGCAGAGCGTTGGAGCTTGGCCTCGAGAGCCGGTCGGGCAGCCATGGAGAGTCGCGATGCGCGCGCGAAGATGCTAATGCGACGACCACACCCGACAGAATCACCTTATTCCGTGTCGCAAGACCTGTCAAGACGAGGCACTGGATGCCCGGAGGACGCGCGACCAGCCATTCCTTTGCTTTTAATTCGACTTTGGCGGTGCTGACCAGCAACCCGACCACCTGCACACGCCTTGGCCGACCGAAGCTACTTTTTTGGTCTTTGCCAGCCACGCACTTTCGAGTCCCGCCTCCCGCATTTCCGCAACAGCACCCAACTGGCTCTTCCAAGCTTCCAAGCTGTGGATGCCCCTGCGAATGTGCTAGAGAGCCAGGCTCTTCCCTTTCATCCAGTCACTTTTCCCGGAAGACTTCATTTCTTCGCTCTAAGGGAACGTCAGAGCTCCCTCACCACCAGCCCCCAGCTTTTCTTAGGGTGAGTTGTCCTTGGCTGCTCCGCTCACCAACACATCCCCGCGCTTGCCTGCGTGGTCACCGACTCTGAACCTGAACACAGCCCCCAGCAATCCCAGCAAGCCATCGTCACCACTGCGTGTGGTGACAACTCGCCTTGTCGGCCTCACCAGCATCCGCTGGTGCCTTGGGAGACCTTGCTGCTGGCAGTCAAACGTCGTTCCCTCGTATCTCCAGCGAGTTTTACGACAACCCGATCAACCCCGTCCAACAGCGCCAGCAACGGGCGCTTCCTCACCAAGACGAACGGTCGCCGACTCCGTCCTCCTATCGGACTCTCCGTCGCACCCCTCGCTTCTCAGCCAGCCCGAGTCCCCGCCCGTCAGAGCCACCGCGCCGGGTCCACCTCGAAGCGGTCACTGTTGGCATCAGCCCGCGACCCTTCTTCTCGACAGCCGGGTCCTTTGCAGTAGCAGAACAGGCCGAGCAACCTTTCAATCCTCTACGACGGCAGCTCTCCCAGGAGCTGAGCGACGACGCTGAAGAAGCGTCGTCCCTTCTGCCATCGTCGTCCGACCCATACCAACAACTCCCCTCTTCGACAAGACCTCCACCGCACCCGGCCGTCCGGCTCTCGAAACATACCAAAAGTGCGATTCTCTGGGCCCTCGAGGAAGCACTCCGAAAACCAAACGCGTTCTCTCCGGACCTTGTCGAGGAGAACGCTTCAATGGCCGACCTTCTCAGTGGCGGCAGCGGCCCCGCCACTACCAATGGTCATGCTGCCTCATCCTCTCGACCGACTGCTCCGCCCGCCCAGGTTGGATCTCCTCAGCAAGTTATTCGTGGTCCTAGGATGATCATGCGCGAGAGGGCTGAGCGTGAGGCGCGACAACGGGCGGAGCGGGAACAGATGGAGCGTGCCCGTGCCGAAGAGGAGGCTCGGTTACTTGAAGAGACACAACGCCGGGCGGCAGAACAGAGATCGCCCGTTCCTGGCGCTGTTCCAGGAGGCGATATACCCCCAGATCCGGCAACGCAACGCCGGCAACAACGTGCGCAAGAGGCTCAGCCATCCGCTCGGAACTCCACCAGTGTCCCGTCAGCTCCCACGCAGCAGCCATCGGCCGCGGTGCCACCCCTGCGCCCGACGCGTGTCCCAGCAGCAGCCCAAGGTCCGCAAAATTTCCCTACCGCGGCCCAGCCCGGGACAAATCCTACTGCGGCGCCTACTCAGCCCGGCGAGTCATCGGCGCAGGGCATGGGTGCATCCCGGATTAAGAATTCGTTTCCCCATGCTTTCGAGCGGTGGGAGGCCCTGTCGGCCCATTGGGAGGGCATGACGAGCTTCTGGCTGCGAAGACTGCAAGAGAACACGGATGAGGCTGAGCGCAACCCCATAAGCACGCAGCTCTCTCGGCAGGTTGCGGACCTCTCGGCTGCGGGCGCCAACCTTTTCCACGCCGTCGTTGAGTTGCAGCGGCTCCGCGCCAGCTCCGAGCGCAAGTTTCAGAGATGGTTCTTCGAGACCCGGGCCGAGTTGGAGCGACATCAAGAAATCAATGCCATGCTGGAGGCACAGATGGAGCAAGAGCGACAGGCAAGAGCCGACGCGCTCCGAAGCGCTGCGCAGCACGAGGCCGAGAATATGAAGCTGCAGAAGATGGTGACCGAGATGCGACGGGAATTGCTCATCTCCAAGGAGGAAGCACGCCGCGCCTGGGAGGAGCTCGGCCGTCGCGAGCAAGAAGAGCGCGACCGTACGGTGTCGCTTCAACAAGGCCACCCGACCATTGTAGGAGGGGTGCAGGTAGTGCCAATGACACAGAACATGCCCGTTCGCGCTGCAAGTCGTCACAGCCGATCGCAGTCGGAGTACGCGCAAGGGGGTCAATATCCAGAATATGCAGCCGCACCAACTCCGGGCATGCCATCTTCATCTGCCGCAGCCGCTGAGGCAAGTGCTGGGTATTACCAGCAGCCCGGGCCTACCGGCCACGAGGCGGGCGACTACGGTGCGGGCTCTGAGACGGGGTACAGCGAAGGCGAGTATATGATGGATGCCAGGGGAAATTATCTGACGGACGAGCATGGCAACAAGATCCCTTTCCACAGCCCCACGGGATCGCCGAGCCGAGGGAGGAGATCTGACGCAGGAGCAGAGGACTACGAGACTGCTGCCTCGCAAGCGCCCACGAACTATCCTCCGTCCAGCTCGCACTGGGCAGGCGGGTACACGGGCGGCGCAGAGTATTCCGGCCAGGGCTATGCAGTGCCCGGGTGGGAAACGATGCCTCGGCATCACCACCCTACCAGGCTCAGCGATGTCATTGAAGAAGATGAGCGCAGCCGTACCTCGGTAAGCCAAGTGAGCCGCGCATGAGCAGACGTTTGACTGCTCCTGGTCTGTCGGTGCGGTTTATCCTGCGTCGACGAGCCTGGGCCTTGAGCATATAATCAATGTCCCATACCGAGCATTTCGACACGAAGCAGAAACAAGAAATCGACAAAAAATCTCGGCTCACCTCTCGTCTCCTTCTTTTCTCTTCCTCGCCGTTTCTGGTTCGGGGTCTCGCGGAGCCTTTCGGACTGTATTGCATCATCATCAACCATCATCCATCGCCGGGCAATTTGCACCCTTCTTCGAGAGCACTCTTGTTCTTGTCCCCCACGACCAGTATAATCACCACACATCAATGGTCTGGCCGTCACGGACCCTTCAGTCCTCCCAGAGCTTAATCCTGACCAACAGGCGAGCGAGCAACGTGGGTAATTCGAGTCTCTGTTTGGCATTTTCGGCTTGCATCGACGCCCCAATGCTCGGTAAATAATGTGGACGAGCAAACGACGGACGACATCTTTGATGAATATCATCATGACTCCGGTTTTCCCACGGCATCTGTGTGTTTTCGACCTCAAGAACTAGTTGGGCTATTCCGGCGCGGCGTTTCCGAAAGAGACGAAAAGGGGCTTGGTCCGAGGATGCATTCACGATATTATTTTTCTTTCTCATCTCTCTTTAATATCTCTTTCTTGGTTTCTGATTCGAGGCCTGTTGCTGGCATCAAGCTCCCTTCCACAGGGCAGCTTCATGGACGAGGCCTGGTCCGAGCCCGATAAAAGAGGAAAACGTTTCTCACCGCGGATTGGAAGGGGAAGCCATGATGGATAAGACGCCTGTTCATGAATATCGGAGCGGATAGACGACATCGGTACGGCATGGCATATCCTAATATGAGTTGTTCGGAACACCAATGAGCCGGAACCCGTTCTCCGTCCGTACGGCACTTGCCCGGCGCGGCTGGTTGTTGCTTTTCGCTTGATCGTGTGGCAAAACGTTGCAAGAAGGTGATGGAGTCGAGTGAAGTAATGGTAATGTGAACGAAGGGGACAGGTGTTGCGCAACGTTGAGCCCCTAGATGAAGATGGAGAGCCAGCTGGAGCACCTCATCAACAAAGCCAGCGAGCCGGTGTGGACGGGAATCGAGGACGCCTTTTTGTGCTTGTAGAGAATCTGACGGAATGAATGGAGGACTGGTATTTAGTCGTGTGATGCCCTGATTCATCCATGGTCTACCTTCCATCTTCGCAGCCGCAATGGAATGCGCAGATGCCCTTGCATGCCGGCCGAGCGGCCGGAGCTCCCGTTACCGCTGCTGTAGTCCCACCTGCTGGATCTAGCAAGAACCTGAAGCCTGAGCTTCAAGCTGTCATGGGAGCTTGACGTATTACTCAAACACCAGAGAAACAGAATTTGGAAGCTCCCCTCGAGGCGCTCGAGTTAGTAGGTACTAGTAGCCAACTTTGATTTAGCTAAGACCTTGACGGTGCGACGGCACCGCATCCTGCTGTTCATCGCGACTCGAGACTGATACGTTGAGCAGCAAAAGGCTCAAGTACCTTATGTACATACAGTTTTCAAATAAATTCTCCGCAGCTCCAATGTCCAAACGTCCGAGGACTTGACGTTTCACGTCCCAAAGTGCTGATCTCGTCATGTGTTGAAACTTGAAGTCAGAGAGTACTTCGCTGCATAGTAAAACGCAACGTGCGTTCTTTCCCCACTGTCATTGACGCTGCAGGTGGGGCATTCTCTGACGATAAACGCTCCAAGCCCCTGCAAACCAGCAAGCGGTTCATCTGAACGGGCAGTGAGACCCGTCGTCATTCTTCCGCTTCAAGTTTAATTCAGTCCTGTAGGCCCGGAGCTTCCCTCCTTATTACGTCCCACAAGTCACGTTTTCCTTCATTTCAAGGTGGGAGCGCAGAGGCTCAGGGTGGGAAGACGGGACGGGAAGGGAAGGGAAGAGAAGGGAAGCGAGGAGACGGACGAGAGGGAAACAAAGTGAAGGAGGGATGGCGGGTGTTGCGGCTCGTACGTTCAGGTTGGCAACCTCCATTACATCACGGACGCCGACCGCGAGGTTGCTCTCGTGCCACCCGGTGGCGGGCTGTCCGCGCTGTTCAATCGGCTCGCTTGCTGCTGCAAGACGGGTCCGGGGCAGCGATGCGGCGGTGAGAAGGAAGCCGCAGACGGGGCTTGCATTATCCAGAGGCTTCAAGTTCACGGCGAAGGGGCAGGAGCCACCTTCTTTTGCGTTTGCGTTTGAGTGCGTGCTTTAATTCTTCCCCGCCTGCCACAATTGCGGGCGGTATCACTATAATCGGGAAGACGAGACGGGCTGACTGACGCTCGAGTAGCATCGACGGCGTCCTGCTTCACGTCTCCAAGCCCATTCCCGGGGCAACTGAGGTGCTGAGGTTCCTGAACGACTACAACATCCCCTTCATCCTACTCACCAACGGCGGCGGGAAGCACGAGACGGAACGTGTCAGCGACCTCGGGGAGAAACTGGGCGTGCCGCTGTCGACAGACAACTTCGTCCAGTCCCACACGCCGTTCCGCGAGCTCCTCGAAGGGCCGGACAGCTTGCGGGACAAGACTGTCCTCGTGACGGGCTCCGACTATGAGAAATGCCGTGCTATCTTCAAAGGGTAAGCGATGGGCGCCCAGCATCACACCGGCCAGCCCCAAGCCCCTCTCTGACGATATCGCAGATACGGCTTTAGGAACGTCGTCACCCCGGCCGACATCTATGCCGCCGACCCGACCATCTTCCCCTTCCAAACCGTCTCCACCTTCACCGCTCCCTCCGAGCCGCTGCCCAAACCGCTCTATAACGGATCCACGACATCGTCACTCTCGTCCCATCTCAAGGTCGACGCCATGTTCGTCCTCAACGACCCGCGCGACTGGGCCCTCGACATGCAGATCTTCACGGACCTGCTGCTCTCCTCGCAGGGCTATCCGGGAACCTTCTCGCCACGCAACAACGACCGCTCCCAGCCCAACCATGGCTTCCAGCAGGACGGCCAGCCCGCCCTCTACTTCAGCAACGCCGACCTCTTCTGGAGCGCGAACTACCACCTGCCGCGGCTGGGCCAGGGCGCGTTCCAGGCCGCTCTGCGGGGCTTGTGGCGGCGCATCACCGAGGGCAAGGCCGAGCTGCAGGCGACCACCATCGGCAAGCCGCATGCGGGCACGTATCGGTTTGCGGAGCGCGTGCTGGCGAGTCACAGGCGGCAGATGCTGCTAGGGGGGAGGAGCAAAAGGGATCACGAGCACGAGCACGGGCACGATCATGTCGACGGCGAGAGGCAGATGGCGAGGCTGAAGCTGAAGACGGTGTATATGGTTGGGGATAACCCGGAGAGCGATATCGCGGGCGCGAATGAGCACGACAGCGAGGATGGGGCGGAGTGGGTGTCGGTGCTGGTGAAGACCGGCGTGTGGAGTGAGAGCAGGGGCGGCAGGTTGGAGGGCCTGTTCAAGCCGAGGGCGGTGGTAGATGACGTGATGGCGGCGATGAAGTGGGCGCTCAAGAGGGAGGGTTGGCGCCAGGGGGAAGACGGAGGGAAGGAGTTGCAGTGAGCAACTTTGGGCTAAGATATACCTAGGGGGAGTTGGGTGTTTGTTCTGGGTGGTAGACTCCTCTTTGGCGAGCGTGGAGCCAAGTATCGGGCCTCCTGGACAGGGGAAGACCCGAGCATTAGATGGGTCATGTCGTCAGTTGGTTGAGGATCAGGCTCGTCCGAATATAGATGGCTTGCTTTCCGAGCCCAGCACGTGATTGGCTCGGTGGTCTAGTGGTTATGATTCTCGCTTAGGGTTCACCCTGTGCAGATGTTGCGAGACTCATCATAAAATCAAGTACCCTTTTCACATATATCCTTTCACTTCGGGACGACGCGAAGGATATCCAGCCACAACCTTAGCCAGCTCTCCTAGTTTCGGGCTTCATCTCTGACCAAATCATTACAATACATCCTTTTCGTCAGCCGCCGCGGCCTTGCCAACATCCATATACGCTACCCACCCGTTCTCCACCAGCTGCTTATATACGTTGACAATGGGTCGTGATTTTCTTCCAGCACTCCTCGCCAGACTCTGTAATCAACTTGATCTTCTTAGCTCCCCGACCCCTTCCCCTTGTCACCCTTGCTGTTGCCCTTCCCTATCGCCTAATCTATTAAGTAGCCGACAATAACTAGCCTGTACCTTTGCTATATTAGTAGGATATTAAGTCGGTATAGGTCCTTGTCATGACTAACCTGCAGAGGCCTGTGGGGACCGACCTGCATGGCCAGCGGGCGAGCCCGCATCCAATCATTACAAGCCAGGAAGGGCCAATGAGGATTGGGAAGATTGGGAACAATGCCAAGAACGATTGTTCCAGATGGAACAATGAGAACAACAATTGTTCCAAATGTCCCAAAGGTCTAGGTACGGGGATACCTAGGGGAGGAAGCTGTATATAGTTCTATCATTCTGTCCCTCATTCAGATAGCTAGCTTCCTTAGTGAGCAATTTCAAGCAATAGCCCTTACCTATTGTGCAGACATTGCGGCAAGCATTGTTATGAACCTTTTGGCTTTACCGAGACCTATAGTCCGACCAGCAGATACCTTTGACCGGCGAACCCTTTCAGAGGCAGGACTGCCCGTGGTTTCGTCACACGAAGCCAATCCTTAAGATTACCCGTATCTTATAGCACTGTCACGGTCGGTATGGGTGTCGCCCCAGGCGGGGGTCGAACCCACGACCTCCCTGATTGACGGGTATTGTGGAGCACCGGTCACATGACCGGTCACATGACCCACAAATCAGGAATATCTTCGTGTAATGTTCTGGGCCACCGACTTAGAACTTCTCTTTCTTTTCCTCAACCTTAGATTCACGAAATAGAATGACAACAACAGCCGGCTTGACCCTGTTCAATTGCATCTAGTCGTCACATTCCTTGGCGTTGTTCCTTGGGAACAATTGTTCTTGGCATTGTTCCCAATCTTCCCAATCCTTATTGGTCCTTCCTGGCTCGTAATGATTGGACGCGGGCTCACCCTCTGACCATGTAGGTCGGCCCCTACCGGCCTCTGCAGGTTAATTCATGACAATAGGCCGGGTAAAAACCTTCGTCGGAAGTAATAGGAAAGACATGGTTATAGTGATACACGCTAGTTATTACCAAGAGAGAAAAGGCCTTGGGAAGACCTTGGGCCTACGGCTAGTAGGGTGTTAGCCTAACCAAGCCGTGGCTATGAAAGTGGCTAGCCGGGTTTACCGGCTTCTAGCTTCTGTCCCGGGTTCGATCCCCGGCCGAGCCCCTTATCACAGTCCTTCTTTTTGCCGGTCTTATTTTGTCTCTTTTGGTCTCAACTCGACTCGAATAAGGCAAAGGGCATGATGTGCAGAGCTCAGCGAGAGGGATGCCAACTCAACCTCCCGGAAGCCCCAATGCTCAATTAAGCTTGTCTGCGATGCCGGCAGTCATATCCATGGGGGCCGCATTGCTGGGATGCACCAGAGCCAAAGATAGGTATCAAGTCCTTATTATTACCAGCCTTCTGTGAGCCTCCGCAGTCGCGCAAGCGGTGTCAGCGGGATAATATATATCGCAAATAGCCGGGACAAGATCCCAATTTATGCGCTGCGCTGCTACCTATTTCGTGGCTTTTGCTCCGGGAGTTTGCGCCGCTTGGCACGCTCGGCGGCCGGGAAGCTGGGACAGCCATCTTTCCCATCTGTTGCTACTTCGTACTGCTGATTGAGAGATAGGAGTGTCGAGAACGTCGGGGGATGCCATGTGTGCTGAGATAGCCGAGATCACTGCAAACTAGTATTAAACCTCGCATGCTTATAGTAGGTACTAGTATAGTTGACTGACAGTGGTGGAATACCGAAGAGCGCTCTGAATCCCTTGGCTCACCCCTCTTACTACTAGTACCTAACTCTCTTGAGGCTCGGTAAACTCCACGATGCTCAATTCGTTGTGTCGCCCCATTGCGTTACATTGAGTCGTGCTAGCTGCGGCTTTCCCTTTCTCGAGGCTCTAGGTAGCAACGTCGTAGAGAATCAGGGAGGGGTTCTACTTCTGCAGTCGGAGTGCAGACCACACGGGTCGGGATGTGGACCCAAATCCCGTCCAAAACAGAACCAGACATCGCTCCGGCCGGGTGCCTTCCATGATGCTAAGGCGAAGTTTTACGCACTTACCATGTGGTGTCCGTAACAGCAGTACAATTACGTACATTAAACGGTGGTGAGGGTTTGTTAGTTCCCCAACGCAACCACCATCTCGACGGAATCTGACGAGCTGTCTCCAACCACCGATATTGTGTACCTTACTAGTAGTTATCTTCAGGAACGGGGCCATGGAGAACTTGGAGATGGAGACGGAAGATAAGAAGGTGAGGTTAGAAAGAACAGCGCCGACCTGCCATTGGCGGAGGCGTTGGCGTTGCAAGGACAAGCCCGATGGCGTGCATGCGGAGGCTCCGTTAGTGTAGGTATTGTATGTTATTACAACTGCACGTGCGAGCTGGACACTGCGAATGGACGCAAAGCAGAGCACCCTGCCCGCAGGGCCGAACTCGACTGGAGCAACGTAGGCACCGCACATTCTTCTCTGCTCTAACACAAGTCCGGCGGACACATTGGTCTTATCTCACCCGCGGCATCGCTTGTGATAGCGTACTCCGTACTGTGGTCGGGTACTTCGTATGGTTCAAGCAAACGGTCTGCCTGCGCCCCGGGTCTTTGGGCGGGCCATTCCCCGCTTCAGTCCCTGCTCATCCCATCGGGAAACTTGATCCACTTGATAGCCATTAGACCAATTTAGGCAGGTCAGAAATTAACGTTGCTGGGGGGCTTGCACCATCCGCGATACTGGCGGGCTCGAGGCGGGTTGTCTGCTTCAAGTTCCAGAAACAGGCTGGTAACTTCGTTGCGACAAGTTGTGGCCCGCTGAGAGGAGCACCGGACCCAAACCCCAGAGTCCCCCCCCAGCGGCGCCGCCTGGTCGCCAATTGGAGAGCCGCCACCGGCGTTGAAAACCCATCCGTGTTCCTCTAGGTACTATTGAAGTTACCACGCCCTCTCGCTCCTCTCATTCTTCCCGTTCGGCGTCTCCCATTCCAGTCCGTCAGCCCCAAGCCCCGCTCAGCGATCTGCGCCGGGCATGAGCCAGCCATGTCCACGTCCAACCAGGAACTTACACTTACCGTTCCTCCCAGCTGAACTGCATCCCTTATCCGGGCCCCGATTTTCGCAAATCGCGCGCACCGTCCGACGACGACGATAACGACAACGGCAAGAAGAACAGAACTGCGGCCCGGTTTCGACTCCCACCTCTCCGGTCTCCATTGCGCCGAGAAGCAGGCAGCGGGCCTAGCCTCGCACGGTTGGAAAGAGAGAAAGAGGAAAGATGGCGCTGAGGCTCCTCCGCTCGCTGCGGCGACGGCGGGAGAAGGACGTGGTGCCAGACTTTGCCGATTCAATCGAGGGAGATTCGACCGGCTTTGCTTCGCTGAAGCACTTTGAAAAGATGCATCGCCTTGACCCGAACCTGCCGCTGGATGAGCTGGAAGAGGTCGATATTGCCCTGAAGGAGGCCAATGTTGAGAAAGAAGCGGAAATCGAGCAGATCTTGGCCGAGGACAACTCGCCATACCCAGAAGTGAGAATTTGAGATTTTTTGGCCGTCCACCGGTAACCCCTACCACAGTAGATGGAGCGCAAGGGGTGCGTGCGAGCTGGAGGGAGTTACATGTTCTAACACGGGCCTCTCTCATCAAGGTGCGAGCCTCGGTCCGAAACTTCGACGTGGATATGCCGGTGAGCACGATACGGGCCTGGACGATTGGCATGCTACTCTGCACTGTCGGATCTGCCGTCAACATGTTGCTTTCGCTTAGAAACCCGAGCATCTCCCTCACGACCTTTGTCATTCAGCTCATTGCATACCCCTTGGGTCTGCTGTGGGACCTGATATTCCCCGATCGCGTTGTCAACGTCTGCGGTGTCAAGTTCAACCTCAGGCCAGGTCCATTCAACTTCAAGGAGCACGTCATCATCGTGGTCATGTCAAATGTGGGTGGCTTCGTTCCCTTGCCTTGTGGCCGTTTCGCTGATCGTCCCCTTTTTTTTTTTTTCCCAGGCTGCCTATGGCGGCGGCGCGCTCTATGCCACAGATGTGATCATCGCACAGCGAATGTGGTACAACCAGGACTTTGGGTGGCTATGGCAGATGATGTTTGGCATCACCACGCTCTGCACGGGCTACGGTCTCGCTGGGCTCGCAAGGAGGTTCCTCGTCTGGCCCGCCGCCATGATCTGGCCGACCGACCTCGTCAACTGTGCGCTCTTTTACACCCTCCATGACCACTCTCCCACGGACCCGGCCAGGGCGAACGGATGGAGCATCAGCCGCTACAAGTGGTTCATGCTGGTTTTCACCGGGTCGTTTTTGTGGTACTGGTTTCCCGGCTATCTCTTCCAGGGCCTGTCGTGGTTTTGCTGGATCACCTGGATCTGGCCCAAGAGCGTCATCGTCAACCAGCTGTTTGGTGGTTACAGTGGCTACGGCCTGTTCCCCATGACCTTGGACTGGAGTATCATCACCGGCTACCTCAACTCCCCGCTCATTCCGCCGTTCCACGCCATCCTCAACGTTGTCGGAGGCATTACCGTCTTCTTTGTGTTCGTCTCGCTCGGAATCCACTACTCAGGCATGTGGTACTCGGCGTATTTGCCGGTCCAGAACTCACATGCCTACGATAATACGGGCCGCCTGTACGACGTCGCAGCCATCTTGACCGAAAATATGCAGTTCGACGAGGCCAAGTACAAGGCTTATTCGCCTTTGTACCTTCCCACCCAGTTCGCGCTGGCGTACGGTCTCTCTTTCGCCGCGGTGGCCGCCGTCATCACCCACGTCGCAGTCTATCACGGCCCGGAGATCTGGACGCAGTGGAAGCTGGCGCGGTCGCAGGAAGACGATGTCCACATGCGGCTCATGAAGAAGTACCGTGACGCCGAGGACTGGTGGTACATCGTGCTGTTCGTCATCATGGTCGGCCTCTCGTTCGCCGTCGTGTGCGCCTGGGACACCAATTTCCCGTGGTGGGCGTATGTCGTCTGCATGCTGATACCCCTGATATGGACCATCCCCATCGGCATTGTGCAGGCCATCACCAACGTCCAGCTCGGGCTCAACGTGCTGACCGAGTACATCGTCGGTTACATCCTCCCCGGCCGGCCGCTCGCCATGATGATGTTCAAGAACTACGGCTACCTCTGCATGTCGCAGGCGCTCTACTTCATCCAGGACCTCAAGCTCGGCCACTACATGAAGGTTCCGCCGCGCGTCATGTTCTGGTCGCAGCTCATTGCGTCGGTCTGGTCGGCCGTCGTCCAGGTGGCCGTCATGAACTGGGCTCTCGCCACCATCCCGGACGTATGCTCCGAGACCCAGGTGCACCAGTGGAACTGCCCCAGCGCCCGCGTCTTCTACACCGCGTCCATCATCTGGGGCGCCATCGGCCCGGCCCGCATGTTTTCGGGCGGCGCCCTCTACAGCTCGCTGCAGTGGTTCTGGCTCGTCGGTGCCGCCGCCCCCGTGCTCACCTGGGTCCTCGCCCGCCGGTACCCGCGCGGCTTCTGGCGCTACGTCAACATGCCGCTCATCTTTGGCGGGTCGGGCATGCTGCCGCCCGCGACCGTGTTCATGTACTACTGCTGGGGGATCGTGGGCACCGTGTTCAACTTCTTCATCCGGAGGCGCAGGACCGGGTGGTGGCTGCAGTACAACTATGTCACGTCGTCGGCGCTGGACTGCGGTCTGATCGTCTCGACGCTGGTCATCTTCTTCGCGCTGTATCTAAGCGGCACGGAGGCGCCCCGGTGGTTCGGGAACACCAGTGCCTTGAAGACGCTGGATATGCAGACCAAGGCGATACAAATCCCCGTGCCGCCTGGGGAGACATTTGGTCCGAGCACGTGGCCTTGACATGGCGGGCAAGGCCGGATATCTTATGGTTTTACGGGACGGGGCAGGAGTCTGGGAGTTTCTTGGCTGGGATCTACTTGCGGTGGGGGATCTGAAGCGCTAATATTGGGACGGGTTTTTCTTGGGATGACCTCTTTTTGCATATGTTCTCTTCACTCTCGAAGCGAGCAGCCCACTGCCGACGTCAGGGACAGGGTTGATGTTCTCCATGGCAAATGAATGGAATGTGTCAGCAGTGGTGTTGGGGAGTTGCAAGTTTTGTTTTGAATTTCAGTCGTCTGCCTGCTTAGCCGAGGAAGGCGGTTCTGGTTACCAGTATTGTGACCGCAGTCCTTTTGACATTCAAACCCGGCGCTGGCATGGCGCGGCTGAACAGGCTGACCACAGACGGGTCCATTCTGTTGCCCCGAGCTTTTGCCAGGACCGGCGCTGTTACCAGTGGGATATCTAATGTTGAATGATAGACCTCTCCTGTTCTCCTGTTGGAGTGCCTCCTAAGACACGGTGGTTGTGAACTTCCCGCCGGATGGGAAATCGGCCAGTCCACAAACATCGGAGGCACAAATACCTGCGGCAGATGAGAGTCCTTTCGCTTTCTCCTTTCCGGTGCTGTGCTCGTGTCTTCGACCACTCTCCTTCGTCACCCAACCCTCTCTCCCCTGATCCCATCCCTGTTAGCCCTCCACACCCCCTCCCCAGCCTCGAACTCCTCCCTCTTCCACACCTCCACCCTCGCCTTACACTCCTCCAGTGCATCCTCCCCTGCCCGCCACGCGGCCTGCCGATGAGGCGCCGACACAGCAATCAGGATGCTCTCCTCCCCAATGGGCACCACCCCCAGCCGGTGGATCATGGCTATCCCCTTCAGGCCGTGCTTGGTCTTGATGGTGGAGCAGATATCCATCATGGTGCGCAGTGCCAGAGCGGGGTAGGCCGTGTACTGCAGTTCTTTGACGGGTTTGCCGTCGAAGCTGTCACGAGTTGTTCCTAAAGACAAAATGCAGTGTGAGCTTTTTTTCTTCTCATGTTCTGGCAGAGAGGGTGGAGGAGAGATGACGGGGGAAGGAGACGGGGACATGCCTGCGAACAAGACGATGGCGCCTGCTTGCGGGGAGCGGACACGATCGGTGACGGATTGCAAGTTGAGCGGGGAGCTGGTCAGGCCGACATAGCAGCCGTCCTGGGACAAGGAGGTTTCTTGTTGCGGGTCATTGCTGCTGTCGTGAGTGGACATGGCGGGCGTTGGACAAAAAAAGTGAGATATATAAAACAAACAAACAAACAAACGAACAACTGAAGTTCGCTATCTGCTGGAGCACAGGGCCTCAGCAGGAGCTTACTGTCTAGTGGAAAGAAGGGAGTGAGTAAGTCAAGTTCGACTTGCACAGTGTCGTTTTCAGGGGAGCTCCGTCAATGTGTCTCGACACCTGGGATGAGGCCATACCACTGGAAGTTACGGAAGAGCCTAGCCACACCTGTCAGTTGTGAAGCAGGTGGTGGAAGGTGCAGACGGCAACCGCAGCGAGAGTGAGGCCGCGAGGCATGAAAGTGTGAGAGAGCGCGTGGGTGCGCCCTCGTCGCCGACTAAGCGGATGACCTACTTTTTGGCAGCTGCTTTTCCTTTTTCTCCAGAGTCACAATTCACGGAGAGCTCTTCACAAAATTTGTTCCTTCATTGCGACCCTTATTAAATCAGCATTCGTGACTGCCAGTTGCAGTTGGGTTGTATGCAAAGGAGACACGTGATTCAAGCACCGTTATCGGTGCCATTTTCGCACATTAAAAATATCCACCGATACCGGCAAAACTTCGGAGAATCGCCGGCTCCCCAATTGAACGACCGCTTTCGGCACAGGTGAGCTTGATCTCCTCTTGTTACTGTGGTGTTGCAACCTTCTGCATCTTTCGGCCTCCATGATTGCACCGCAGCTGCTACAATTGTGGCCTGCTGGGCGGCAAGCAGAGGGAAATTGAATCGCATTCCCCCCCAAGTCGCCGTTTTCCCCTTTTCCTTTCAACTTCCAATTCTCTCTTTGCGACCGCCGTCATGTACGAGGACGAGGGAAGGCATCGCTCTCCGTCGCGCGATGGCGGCAGCCTTCGCGACCGCGACCGCAACCGCCATCGCCGCAGTCGCAGCCCGTATACGCGCCGCACCGACGACCGAGATGGCGACTACAGTCGGTCGAGAAAGGGTACTCCCAAACCCAAGCGATGAATCCTGGCGATGGCATTCTCTGACTGAGTGTTCTGCGGTTGCCGGTCGAACTGGAAAATGGCTAACTTTGGGCTGCCTCGCCTCTCCCATGCGCAAAGATTCCCCGGGCCCTCGAAGAAATCTGAACGATGGCGACGGCCACTACGACGACGGCGGCGTCCGTGCTGGCGACTACCCGTCTTGGCGCCACAAGGGCGAAGATCATACAGCTCTGGCCCGTTCCTACAGCGACGCCGACGCCGTCTTCAATGACGTCGGCAGTCGCCGCGCCGGCGGAGGCCGACGATCTATCGGACAAGATAGTCGCGTTCGTGATCATGGGTCTGGCCTACGGACTGTTGCTCCAGTCCTTTCTTACGATGAACCTGCCCCGTTCGAGGAGGCGCCTAGCCATCATCCTCTCCTCGCTGACGCTGACAGCATGGGTTTACCAAGTCTGGAGTCATGCTATCCAGAACGGAATGATTCTCAATCCGCTCACACCGCTGATGATGGCTATGCTTCTCAGCCTCGTTTTCGGAATTCTGGCAGATTGGGGACAGTACTGGCTGATGGGCTGCGGTCTGTTCATCCTCTGGATGCATCTCGCCTGGGCCTACCTTCAGGCGGTTTCTCTGGCCGGGCCGTCGTCTTAGACGGCCTGCCCGAGGATGTCACTGAGCGTGACATCCTCTACGGTCTCGATTATGTCACCAGAGACCGCCATTTCTCGAGCGATAGGGTGAGAGTTGCTCGTGTTCGTTATGACCAGAACGGTGAGCTATCATCATCTTTGCCTCTTTCCCACCAATTCTAATGCTCCCTTGCTGACTTCCGTCCAGGACGTTGCATTGCGTTTGTCGAGTTTCATCGTCGATCGGACGCCGAGCATTTCTATGACCGATACTACCCGGACATCTCCTTCCGTCTTGAACATTCTCGTGGTCGCGATTCCGACTACGTTACTGTTGCAATTAGTTACCCCAGGAGCGACGAGCGGCACTCATCTCGTGACTCGCGTAATAGGGAGGATCACGGCTGGGACTGCATCAAGGTAAGCATGCATGTAGTGCCTGGAGGATGCGGTAAGGTACCTGGTGCTGACGGGCCAGTGTGGTGCAATCAACTACCCCCACCGAGCGGTTTGCTTCAAGTGCAAAGCTGAGCGTCCTGGTAAGCCTGGCCGATGGCTGAAACACGTCAACGCATCTGGCTGACCGCTAGACCAAGCAGAAGAAGACCATGGCCCTGTCCTAACTGGCGAAACGGATGAATGCCCTCAGCAGACGCCGTCCCAGTATGTCGTAGTCCGGGACTTGGAGGGTTCTGTTACCGAAGAAGTCCTCGCCAAGGGCGTCATGAAGCTGTTTGTGGAGAATTCGGAACCGGCGAAGGAGGCTCCCAGCACGGCAAACAAGCTCAAGTCGACAGCGCCGACTAACAGCACAGTTGGACTGGGGGCAAAGCCAGGCTCCCTTCGACGCGTGTTTCTGATGCGCGACCGCAAAACTAATAGTTCGTGGCGATATGGGTTCGCTGAATTCGCTAGTGTCGAGGATGCAAAGGCTGCAGTTGCGAAGTTCCGTGCTTCCACAAAATTCACCATAGCATCCAAACCCGTCGTGATCGCCTTCATCCATACCGGTGTCTTCATTCCCGCTTTTGATACTCCTGAAACTGAGAACCACGAGTTCTCCTTCACCCCGATCTACAATCCCGCTGTACGCGTCAAGTACTGGGATGAACGCGCCTACCCCAGTGTCCACGTCGTATCTACTGAACCGCTCCCCGATGCCGCGAGTTCCCCCGAGAAGGCAGGTGGAAATGACGATGCCAAGTCCGGACCGAGGCCCTCGAAGAAGGCCAAAATCTCCAAGGAGCCCGTTCCCGCCGCCAAGATCGCAATGATGCCACAAATGCAGCTCTGGGCGAAGGCGTCGGCAGAGCTACACGGCGCCAAGCCAGCGGCAGACACGGACGTGTCCCCGACCCAAGCGCCCGACGAAATCAAGCCCGCCGCTGTTCGTGCCGCTTCCCGCGAGGCCGAGGACGCCCAACCGGACGGACCGGTAGCTCCACAGCGAGGCGACCAGTACCTCTCCTACGCCGACTGGGACAGCATGACCTGTCTGGCCTGCGGTTGGGAAGCGCCAAACCAGGCGCAGATTGAGGAGCGCGGCTGGCCTCAAACCCGCGGCGACCTCTTGATCGAGCATGAGGGTCGTGCCCACCAATTCTTTAAGGAAGACGACGCTGCCAAGCAGAAGGCCGCTGCCGCGCTCTCCGCTCTGAGCAGGGAACCCCGGCCCATCGTCCGCCGCATACCGCGCCAGAAGTCGGAGCGTCTGCCCGTGTACAAGTCCTACGCCGACTTCGACCGCCTGCGCTGTCTCCTCTGCAAGCGCGGCTTCAAGGACGCCAGGCTTATCTGGCTGCACGAGCTGCAGAGCGAGCTCCACAAGCGCATGCTGGCTGACCCGCAGAACCGGGCGCGCGCGGCCGAGGAGTTCACGAAGCTCGGGAAGAAGATGCGCGTCGTGGAGCCGGATGCCGATTTCAGGAAGCGCTGGGAGGCGCAGCGCCTGCGGTTCGTGCAGCCGCAGTACCGCGATCGGGCGCTGGAGAGGAGGAAGGTGTTTGGCCAGCCCAGGAAGCCCACGGTGGTTGCTGCTGGTGGTACTGGCGGCAGCGCTACCGTTCCGGAGAAGCGCAAGGAACCTGCCGAGCCTGCAGACAAGGACAAGGACAAGGAGCCGGTCGCGAAGAAGTCCAAGGGCGCCGGCATGCTCGCCAAGATGGGCTGGACGGCCGGGGCCGGGCTGGGTGCTGAAGGCGCGGGAAGGACCGAGACCATCGCCACGGAGGTGTATGCCCCCGGCGTCGGGTTGGGTGCCGAGGGTGGCAAGCTGGGAGACGCCAGCGAGGAGGCGGCGAGGAAAACGCGGGGCGATTTTGCCGGGTTTGTGGAGAAGACGAAGGAGCGGGCCAGAGAACGATTTGAGAGGATGTAGTCCTAAGGAGGTTCTCTTCTGCATCGCGCTGAGATTTGTTTGTATGCGTAGGGTTGCCAGAAGCACTTTCTTCGAGGCCGGCGTTTCGGAGGTAAGAGTGAGGCATATACCCCACAGTTGAAAGGCTGCCTTGTATGTTGATTGCAGGAGCTCTCTCTCTCGTTGCACCACTTGAATTCACTATGTGCTGGGACCGGCGGTTACTCCTCCTGGATCATCAACATGTTTTTTTTCGACAACGTGTGACGATGTGACAAGTTGGGAGTGGGTGACGACTCTTTCCCCTCGCGCTATCCCCAGATTTAAGTCAGGTATCTAACTGGGAATCCCCTACTACTACTACTACTACTACTACTACTACTACTACTACTACTACTACTACTACTACTACTACTACTACTACTACTACTACTACTACTACTAGTAGTAGTAGTAGTAGTAGTAGTAGTAGTAGTAGTATTAACCCCATTTGGCCTCGTAGTGTGTTTGTCTATGGCTCATAGTCTAGCCATACAAAAAAAAGCACCCACACCGGCTTTCGGTTTTTCTTAACTTTTAACAAAACGCCGTGAGCGCAACCCCCAAACCCGCAAATACCCACGTCACCACGGTAACAGCCAACGCCTCGCTCAACATCACCCTGCCACCACCACCCGCTAGATTCTCCCCTCGGCCCCCTCGGCCCCCTCGGCCCGACGACCTAGACGACTCCTCATCCCCGGCCTGGACGGTCGCCGTAGAAGTCGGCGTGAAAGTGGTCTGCTGCGCCACGACGCCCGTGACGCTCGGCAGGCCCGTGGCCTCCTCGCCCGACAGCTCGACAACGGTGGACGTGCTGCTGTTCAGGTTGGCCTGCGCCAGGCCGATCTGGTAGTGCGTCAGGTCGAAGACGGCGTAGGCGCTGCGTAGGAAGGAGTCGCCCAGCAGGGTGAAGTTGACGCCCTTCTCGCCGCCCTTGACCGTGCCGGTGGAGGAGAAGAGGGCGGTCGACTGGATGCCGAAGACGCAGGCCCGCTGGGACGGGAATTCGGGCGGGGCCGGGTAGGCGGCCGGGAGGATGTCGAGGATCAGTTCCCAGACGGGCACAGATATCCGGGCCGTGGAGGGGGAGGGAGAGAAGGTGAAGGTGAGGCGGAGCGACGGCTCGGCCTGCAGGTAGGCGCAGTCGATCAGCGTCATGCGCAGGTCCGCGTCGTAGACCGTGTGGAGGGCGGAGTACAGCGGGGCGGTCATCTCGTCGGGGAGGTAAGAGAGGGTGGTGCCCGAGTCGAGGACGGCGTAGGTCGGGTGGTCCAGGACGCTGGTCGGGACGGACAGGTCGGAGCCGTTGGTAAAGGTCAGCGAGATGCCGGCGTAGTTCACCTCGAAGGAGGAGTAGTTGCCTCCCGCGGGTTTGTACAGCGGGAGGATGGAGAGCGGGCCGATGAATTTGTCCGTGTCGATGCCGCCGAAGAGGATGGTGCCCGAGTCTGCGCGGCGGTCGTTGAGGTAGAGAGAGAAGGCCTTGCAGCCGATCAGGCCCTGGTTGGCCATCTCGTCGATGAGATTGGGGTACTTGGTCGCCGCACGCTCGCTGGCGCTGAAGCCGAGGCCCAGGATGCCGGAGCCCCTGGCCGCCTTCGTGACATAGGCCATCTGCAACGACTTGACCGTGACGCCGCCAATGGTGAAGTCGTCGGATATGTAGTCGCCCGCCGCAGTGCCGCCGTCGAGATAGGTGATCTTGAACCCGTCGCTCTTGACGAGCTTGTCGGTGGAGCTCTTGTCCGGATCGTACGTGTCTGTACAGGTCATGCCGTAGACATGCTGCAAGTCCGGTTCCGTGCAGAGATCGGCGTCGTGGCCGAGCACCCAGGCGTCGCTGCTCCCCGTGTCCAGCAGCATCGTCATGCTCTGGCCCGGCGTCCCAACCTCCACCTGCACATAGTACCCGCCCCCTGAGACGTCGTTTATAAGCTGCTCCGGGTGTGTATCGCGCCGGCCTGCAGAGGGCAGGGAGCCCAAATGGACGCCCGGAAGGCCCCTGGTGACGTTGAACTGGACGACATTCCGCGATGCTGCCCCGGAAGCCACAATGAGGAGCGCGGCAGACTGAAGTTTCATTTCCACCTCGCTGCGATTCGCAGGCTAATCATGACGCCAAGGTCTGCTTCTACTTGACTGGTGAAGCCTCTCCAAGTGCTCCAGCTCCAGCTCCAGCTCCTTCTCCCCTGCGCCAGCGCTTGCAGCGTCCCCGGGCGGCAACTTCAACCAAGACGGCCGATAGGATCGAGCGGTGAGCTGACACCGAGCAAAAAGGACAACTCTTAGAGAGGTGTTCAAGGCATGTCGCGCCGAGTCGGTATGGCAGTGCACGGCGAGCTGCTCTACTGGGACTGCGGAGGCCGTTTCGGACAGGGTGCTGTGGAGTGAAGACTTCGCTTCCATGCTGGGACGGTCTGCGCGTTCACGGCGGACTGGATTCGGATGCCATTTTATGTACTGAGTATTGACGACCCTCTTCCCCCCTTCCTTGGCGGTTTGGCTCGAGCAGCCTTGGGAGTCTTGGGTCCAAGGCTGGGCATGGCCGCTCGGCACCGCCCTGGAGCGAACAGAAATGCAAACCGCCTCCATACTAGCTTGGCGCCCAGACCGATCAGCGCTGTTGGAGGACGCATGATGCTCTGGGCATATCCCAAAGACGCCAATATCTGATGTATGGATGAACATCGAGCTCTGCCTGGCGTCCCTGGCATCCATGGCATCACCGCGTGCCCGTTATGTACTGTAATAGTGTATGCGAGACGTGTCTGCGCTGGCTTGGCCCCAGTTTCAAATCACGAGCCTGCCCATTGTGCCAAGACCGCGCGGCTCCTTGGACGGAGACGGGGGCTGTCTGGGCGAGCCGAACACATCAGATCCTTCTCCGTAACATGGGAATTTTTTCGGTGAGAGGATTGACGCGACAGTCAAGGTGCCACAAAATTCGCAGAACACGCCATCACTCATTTGAGTCTTGGACTGCCGTTGCGGCGATTTGGAACGCCGTTTCAATGCTATAACACCCTAGTGTAGATGATCTGGGGTGGCTGAAGTCTCTTGATGGCACTCGGAGCAGCACAGGTCCGACATTGCGATGCGATGATGATGGTGAGGGGTAGGTCAAATTCTGCTTCACCTTTGAAGCCACTGCAGTCTGCAGTATATACACAGGCATTGCTGCCTCAGGCACAGATCACATAGCATCCTTGAAGACCCCTGTCAAAGCCTGCAGGGGCGCCGCGGGTATTCCCGTCCCACCTCTCAGGCACCGATCCACTGCTGTCCTGGCAGAAGGTCTAACATCAACTTAGGTATCGTCAGTGTGCCGAGACGGTCTGCCCGTTCTCTCTACTAATTCGGCAAGGTACTCAGTCACGCCAATTGCCACTCAGCAGACAGTCTGTTCGCCTTTTTAACTCCGTCGTTCACTCCGCATGCGACGGCTCCTATAACTCTCGGCGGACGTATCGATTGATGAGTCGATTTCACTCGACACGAATGGCGAATTGAGTAGTAGCCGGCAAGCGGATGAACTGTCCTTTCGTAAGTGCCGTTTGCTGGAAGAGCTATTAAGCTGACCATCCAAGCCAAGACAGTTAACTTCCTGCAGGCAGAGCCGTCGTCGCCTATCTGTCGGCGGCGAATAAGCTTTTTCGTCGCCGCTACGCTCAGGGCGGATGAGAACCTTGGAGTAGACCTCTTTGGACTAGAGGCTACAGCGAGACATCAGAGCCTACTCGAGAAGAAATTGGTGAGCTTAGTTAGGTAACATATACGACATCTCTACGGTACTGTACGTTGCGTAAGGACACTGCAGGGAGTTATTACAGGCTCAGTCGGGGATGCTTACCCATCACTTGACCGGCGCTTTCTCTTGTCTTGTCTACAACCAACGACCGAACCGTTCGCGGCTAAGATACCTCGGGGGCTGACCTGGGAAGCAATTTGGTCGTGTCCGGCCACATCCTGCCGCTCTATGGCATCGATGGCCTGGTTGAGCAAGCCGCTCCTCCGACCAGCACTGCCGAGTTCACGGCACCGGGTTCCCAAGGTAAGACCTCGGACTGTGGGATGCTCGGGTCGCCTGCATAAAGACGCTGGTTGCACATAACTGGGCGAGTGGTCTTGTTCTGCACCCTGATGACAGGTATCTTGTTTCTGTAACCGGCAAGATATGCTACGGTTTTGCGTGAAGCTACTCGCGGATACATCATCATACGGATGTGTATGGACGGTGGGCTCTGGCCATCGTCACGACTGCAATCGCCCGGACTGTTGAGCGCCCAAACGAATGCTAGAGATAACCGCTGCATGTGACATGCAAATTCGATGCCCTATGACGACTCGAAGCTGGCCAAACCTGGAAGTTCAAGTTTCCGCCCTGTCCACAACGGTTCTGTGTCCTGAAGCGGGGCCAGATCAGACAACGGACCCTCGAACGAGTCATGAGCTGCAGTGCCGCCAAGACCGACCGTGTGTGGCTTGTCCAAGGGTCCTTATCTGCTCGAGCGATGCCTTGCCTATCGAGAATCGAGAACATTTTGGAATGCCTTCCGCGAAGACAAGGCTCGTGCCTCACCCTAGACTCGGGCTCCTTGGGAGGATACATGTGCGACTTGCCTTTTACGGGGTGAAACCAGATGCGTCGGAGAAGTATCCGTATCATCAGTTGACCACCAGGTAGTTTTATTGTCCCCACTGGTTCGTGCCTTTGCTTTTAAATGGCACGGCCTGGGAAAGTACTGTACCTTAGCGTGCATATATTTGCCTTATTTGGAAATCCGAGCAACATAATACCACAATGTCCGGGCAAGGAGAACCAGACAGACGGAACGATGCAGTTCACTTGAACATTTGGTTCCCGTAATGCAATCCGTACTGCCGTAGTACTCGACAGATCCGGCAAAGTGCTGCCGAACCCGTGGCAGCCCCACATAGTGTTCTTTCGTTGTGGAGGGGCAACCTTGGCGACCCGGTGATTCTCTGCTGGACGCTTCCGTCCTTCCCACCCACCCAGCAACAGCGCCGATCGTTTGGCCGTGTCAGAGACGCCGACCACGCCTAATGCCGAACTGAGCCCCCGCCCCAGGTCCTGCACATCGTGATCATTCTTAGACGCGACCTCGCGTCTAGCTGCAGGAACGAATTCACGGGCCCTTCCGCCGCCTGGGCTGCGACTCGGAAGACTGTCGAGGGGACCTGAAGAGAAATGCGTTTGCTGGCTACCGGAGCGCCGCCGCCGATCCGTGCCTCAGCTCGCCGCCCGTGGAAACTTGGTGCTAGCACGCAGTCCAGCCAAGAATGCATCCCTCAATCGTAAACACGAGCATCATCGACCTGCTCGAGGCCGACCCGCGACCTTCCCTCATTGTTGCCCTCGACCCGCATCTGCCCACCGTCGTCTACACGAATCCCGCCTTTTCGAGCTACGTGACGCTCGTGGACCTCATTACGGCCAGGAGCGAGGAGTGCAGACCGTTATGGGAGTGGATCATCACAGGCGGCTCGACCCCGTCGGGCCTGGACGTGGCCGCAAAGGACGGGCGCTTTGCTCGCTCGTCCTTTGTGTACTCGAAGGTCCTCTGGACGCGATCGGTGGTCCACGAGCAGATGGTTGTGGTAGGCGCAAACGAGCAGATCTCTCCATCGGAACCGCCGCGTAAGGTGCGGCTCGATGTTGCGGAAGCTCAGCACGGCGGCGTCGGCAATGGCTCGCCGCCAAGACGCATCATGCCCGTCGAGACCGACAAGACAACCGCCGTTCCCGAGAACCAGGCCGCTTCCCTTCCTTTGCCGCCTTTGCCGCCTTTGCCACCTTTGCCGGAGGATGACCGCCGCGTCGACCCACCAGCAACCGCCTTGCCGGCAGTTGCGAAGGAGAGGCCGCCCCCTGGGGCAGACGCTGTTGAGTCTCTTGGACAGGCGGAACACGATCCCCGGTGGATAGTGCCCGACATCACACCGGGTAGGAAACCCTCCCCTCTTGGCCGGCCGATAACCTTCCACTATTCCAGAACCAGCTGCTGATCCTGCCAACGTTAGAGCAACGCCCATTTCTCGATGACATCAACAGTGTCGACTGGGCGGCCACCCCGCTCGGTCCCATGCGGTCCTGGCACCCGAAGCTCGATGAGACGGTGAATCAGATTCTTGTCGATAGCCGCCCAATCGCCGTCTATTGGGGCCCATCGTATATCACCATCTACAACGAAGCCTTCAGCAAGCTTGTGGGGTCGAAGCATCCTGCAATGCTCGGCATGCCGGTCCAGGAAGCCTGGGCTGAAGCCGGTCAGCGTCTGAGAGACACCATGCACAGCATCTCCAGCAACCAGATGAGCGCCGTGGAGGACGAGTGGAGGTTCTTTGTTGAGAGAGAGCCGGAAGTAGAGGGCGGTCCTCCTCTGCTCGAGGAAACGTATCTGAAATGGTCCGTGATCCCGATTTGCGAGAACAACAAGTATCTCGGTTTCATGCATCCCGTGGCCGAGACGACAAGCGTGCGGCTGTGGGAGCGCCGCATGAAGATGCTCATCGAACTAGGCGAGGCTCTGGCCACCGCGAGAGACGTGGACAGTTACTGGGAAAGAACGCTTCAAGAGTTCGCTAAAGTCGAGCCGCGTTACGACATCCCCTTGGCTATTCTGTACGTCGTGGAAGACGACCTGGAGGCGGGCGACAGCACCCCCGTGTTGCCCCGTCCGCCGAAAAGATGCCGCCTACAGGGCGCATTGGGCGTCCCCGAGAAGCATCCGATTGCGCCAGCACTGCTCAATCTCCGGACGGGTACGGAGGCGCTATGTTGCTCCTTTAGACAGGCACTAGAAGCCCAGCATCCCACACTGCTACAGACACGCGACGGGACATTGCCACCGTCGCTGCTTGAAGGCTTGCAATGTAGAGGCTTCGAGGGCGATCCTTGCCGAGCGGCCGTGATCTGCCCGATACGGCCGACCAAGGAGGAGGACGTGATGGGTTTCCTGGTCCTCGGCCTCAATCCCAGGCGTCCGTACGACAACGACTACCGGCAATACATATCTCTGCTGAGCCAAAAACTGGCCACTTCTTTAGCCTCGGTTGTCCTGCTCGAGGAGGAGACCCGGCGAGGTCGAAACGCCGCCGAACAGGCTGCCTTCGACCAGGCTATGCTCAAGGAGAAGTTGGAGGTGCAGACAAAAGAAGCAAACGAGTCGATGCAGATGTTTGAAGCGGTAGCCGAGTTTGTCCCGGTCGGCATGTGCTTTGGCGACGCCCACGGCAACATCACGTACGCCAACGACGCCTGGTACAAAATCATGGGCTATCAGGGAACAGGGCCCATCGCGGACTACGGCTTCCTCTCGTGCGTCAAAGAGGAGGACCGGCCGGTTATGATAGCCGAATACGAGAAGCTCAATACGATCCGCAACGTCGAGTTTGAGTTTCGCGTGAAGCGACAGGCCAATGCTGCCAATCCGGCTCTGACGCCGCCATTGACCCGCACGTCGCCAAGCTTCGAGAAGGCCGGGCTTGAATTGGTCTCGCCTGAGGATCTGAAGGAGCGCCACGTGCTCGCAAGTGCGAGGGCGGAGCTTGGGGCGGACGGCGGTGTCATCCGGGTCTTGACTTGTTTGACAGACGTAACGGCGCAGTATGTACTATTCCTACTGTCCTCCTCCCCTATTGATTTCCCCCCCTCGCCCCTCCTCCCCGCGGGAGCCTCGCGCTTCTACTAAGGCGGGCACTTTACCCCTGAACCTAAGCAGAAAATCACTGACATAGTTTGGTTTCGAAAATCAAAGCAAACGGGCCGCGGAAGAGGCCGTGCGCCGCGCCCAGCAGGCCGAAAACCTAAAACGGATGGCCGAGTTCGCCACGGTCGGCATGTACGACATGGACCTCGACGGGCGGCTACTCGGTGCCAACAACGTCTTTTTCGAGCTGTGCGGGCTGCAGAAGGTCGATCCGGCCGAAACCGACATCAGACCATGGAAAATCTGTGTCCGCGACGAGGATTACTCCCTGCTCACGGAAAAGGTTACCAGAATGGTGGTGGAGGACAAGGTGCAGAATGTCGAGGTCCGGCTCAACACCACCTGGACAGCCGACGACGGCACGGGCCATAAGGTCGTCATGCCGCGGTGGGTGCAGGCGACATTGATGCCCGTCAGGACGACGGAGGGCGTCATACAAAGCTTCACGGGCTGCCTGAGCGACGTTTCGCTGCAGAAATGGCAGCTGGAGTCAGAGAAGGAACGAAAAGAGGAAGCAATCGAGTCCAAACGGCAGCAGGAGAACTTCATCGATATGACGTCGCACGAGATGCGGAACCCCCTGAGTGCGATTATCCATTGCGCAGATGCGATTACGGCCACGCTGTCTCGAGTTCAGGAACTCCTCGGAAACGTCTTCGACCGGAAGCCCGCCGGGGCAGCGGAAAACGACGACGTTACGGAGCCCGGCAAGGATGAAGCGTCGACGATCAGTATGAGCAACGACTGGCTAGCCGAAACACGCGAGTTCGTCGAGAACAGCATCGACAACGCCGAGACCATTGTCAGCTGTGCACAACACCAGAAGCGGATCGTGGACGATATTCTCACCATGTCGAAGCTGGACTCGAGCCTCCTGTCGATCACGCGGGTCACGGTAGACCCGATCCAGATGGTCCAGGAGGCGCTCAAGATGTTCGAGGTTGAAGCTCGGCGGGTCGATATCAACCTGAGCATGATTGTCGACCGCTCCTACCGCGAGCTCGGCATCAAGTTCCTCGACTTTGACCCGTCGCGGCTGAAGCAGGTGCTCATCAATCTGCTCACCAATGCGCTCAAGTTCACCAAGACGGGCCCGACCAGGAACGTCACGGTGGCCATCAGCGCGAGTCTCTCCCCACCGACAGAGGCCACCAGCAAAGTCCAATTCATCCCGCGGTCAGAGGAGTCTCTCGAGGATGCGCACGAGCAGCCGGTTCATGCCAACCACGCCAACCCCGTCTTCCTGGTGTTTGAGGTCGAGGACACGGGCGAGGGCCTGACGGAGGAAGAGAAGAAGAGCCTTTTCCAGCGCTTCGTGCAGGCGTCCAGCCGCACCCATGTCAAGTACGGCGGCTCTGGCCTGGGCCTGTTCATCAGCCGCCGCCTGACCGAGCTGCAGAACGGCTCCATCGGTGTGGCCAGCCAGCCTGGCGTTGGCAGCACGTTCGCCTTCTACATCGAGGCCTACCGGCCGACCGAGGCCGCCTTCCGCGAGGCAGAGGCCGGCGCGGCTGGCGCCCAGTTAGCCCTATCCGCGGTGCGAACTAGCCCCAGCGTGAGCAGAAGGGGAAGCAACAAGCGCGTCGTGAGCAGCAGCACATTCACTAGCGAGTCCACCGCTGCGAGCCTGGGAAGGACAGACTCGGGATTTAGCCCTACAACAACGGCTGCCATAACGCCCAGCAGCGAAATAAGCATAAGCCCTCTGCTGATGCCGCCCGCCCCGCAGATCAACGGCATCCTCGTCGTCGAGGACAACCTCATCAATCAGCAGATTACGCGCCGCGGGCTCCTCAACATGGGCTTCCGAGTTGACGTGGCCAACCACGGCATCGAATGCCTCGAGAAGCTCCGCCAAACAGATCGCTATATCCCTCCGGCCCCGGCCCCGTTCCCGTCCTCGAGCTCTTCCCTACCCAAGGGCGGCGGCAGCGCCGCATCCAGCAGCGGCTCTACGACCCAGCCTTTCCCGCTCTCCATGATCCTGATGGACATAGAGATGCCCGTCCAGGACGGGCTGACCTGCACGCGAAACATCCGTCAGCTGGAGCGCGCGGGCAAGATCGTGGGCGGGCGAATTCCCATCATCGCGGTCAGTGCCAACGCGAGGATGGAGCAGATCGGCGAGGCCAGAGACGCCGGCTGCGACGACGTGCTGGTGAAGCCGTACCGCATGCCGGAGCTGCTTGACAAGATGAGGATTGTCATGGCGCGCGTTGCTGCTGCTGCTACCGCCGCCGCCGCCGCCAGCGATCGATGATTTTGGGCGCGGGGGAGGGGGGGGGGGGGGGTGGAGACGGCTGTGCTCTTGCTCCTGCGGAGAGGGGAATGACCAGGAGGCCGAGCCAGAGGTCAACTACCGGGATGTAGGGTTTCGAAGGAAAGCTCGGTTCTTACACAAGGGAATACAATGCAAAGGTCCCCTATCAGGGGTTCAGAGGCTGGGGGGGGGGGGGGGGGGGGGGAGCAGCGAGGAGGGATGGTACTAGAACAGGGTTACAGCCCGCCACCCTCACTTGGGGAGATATGTGACGATCATGGTCCGGCTTGCATCTTTCTCTGCATCGGGCGGTGTTGGGGAATGGCAATGGGGGGGGGAGAGCAGGCTTAACGCATTTTGCATTCGGGAAGGTGTTGGGTAGCGTTCTATGGCATGGCACTTTGCATTTACTTGTCCTTGTTCTGTGGATGTATACGGATCGCGGATACCCTTTGCATTTCATTTTGCTCGGGAATTCAATGCATTTCGAGTGAACACAGGGTCCCTTCCTCAAGACTCCGAGCACCCTATGTGGGCGTTGTGCCGCCTCAACCCGCCGTATCGCTGCGTCCTTACCTGCCTAGTAAAAGCAACGCTCTCCCCCTTCACACCAACCTGTGAATTTGACGGGAGAATCGCGGATGCCTGATCAGCGGTTCGGCCCGAGTACCGTTTCAGCTATAGGTAGTATCAACTTCTATAGCATGCCATTCCGCTCTGCAGTGTAACTCGGACATGCCCGGCACCGACGGCACGGGGTTGTAGAGGGGGAATGCCGGTCGTCATGGTGGGTGACAGTTATGAATGCGTCGACTGACTAGGTAGTTGCTTCTCATCATTTGTGCTACGGTTTCTATTGCTGTGGTGTTTGATTGATACCCCTACTATGAGGGAAGGAGACATGCTGGAGATGCCTTGTTTCGGGCCTGCGTACCAGTGTTTAGCTTGGGGCGGCGACTATACCCCAACTATGGAGTTGTGCTGCTAGTAGGATTTCTTATCGGCATGGTATGCCTTAGGCAGTGTAACATCTTCCGGACGCCTAGGTACGTTGCGGGAGCTCGGGGATGGCTTCGGCTGGTTTGGGTTCGCTCCGTGTGCGAACTGCGGTGAGGAAAGGGAGTACCCGTTGCCTTGATGGTTTGGGAAGGGTATCGAGTACTGGACGGTGGTCCGGTTGGCCGTGTGCACCGCAGGAGCTCGACACCCGGAAGGCGCAGGTGGCAGCATGGATGCACATATAACTCCATGGGTGGAACGCACCTGCCATAAGCCCGCGTTCAATCTGTCCACTCCATTGTTCTCTGCTTCTTGACCTGCTACTAGTGATCTCTCTTCTCAAAACCCATCGTTGTGGTACGGGCAAAAAAGAAGAAGAAAAAGGCTCCCGCAAAAAGACCGCACACTGAGAAAACCAACTGCGGACAACATTTCTTCGAAATGTCTACCGAAACGTCTCCTAGCTCTGTTCACCGCAGGACCCTGTTCAAGGTCCCAGATCGGGACAATCAGCAGAAGCTTATTGAGGCGTACCGCGTGTTGATGAAGGACCAGGTCAAGGTTCGTCGTCCTCTTTCTCTCCCCAAGAACTCGAGGCTAACGATGTCCTCCTTCCAGGACGGAAAACCTTATATCCTCCGGTACGCTCCGCTCACCTGCTATTCGCCGTTGTGTCCAGCAGAGCGACTCTCCCTGGGACCAATATGTGAAGCTGATGACCAAGATAGCTCCGTGACCGGAATAGCCAAAGATGACCCGCGCTCCAGGAACTACACAGTCATCTCAGACATGTGGTTCGCCAACCTCGACGACATGAAGTACTACGACACCGAGTGCCCGGCGCACGCGGCGCTGAAGACTGCAATAAAGGAGTATCTTGCAGAGCCGCCGCTAGTCATTTGCACGGATGGACCTTCTGGACTTGTGGGCTAAGCGGGACTAGAGGCATGCCCTGTTGCGTTGAGAGAAACGACGAGTTTCCAGGTACTTGACTTAGCATACATACAAGTGCAAATCACAATGACCCGTCAGCCTGAGGACTTACCAAAACCTAACCTGCGTTGACTATTGCCCTGCCTTCAGCCCTGGCTTTCAGTCCCTCGGCCCACGCATCGAACCCCCGTTGAACCTGCTTGCCAACAGCCAGCTTGACAACAGGCGCCAGCGCCCCGTAAAAGGTCTCCCAGCAACGATACTCCGTCTCCGGGCCGCCCTCGCCGCTACCGGGGACCTCGACAAACTCCTGCACCCGCTCCGACCGGAGCATCCAGCCGGGCATGAGCAGACTGGCACGCTGTTTCCAGGCGATGCGCCATCCCTTGCGCGGACCTCCAGCTCCAGAGCTTTCCTCGTCAATGGGCTCCAGCACGCTCACGTCCAATGCGACTGCCTGGCCTGTGCTGCCATCGGCATCGTCTAGGTTCATGTGCACATCAAATGTGAAGTGAGTGCCCAGCCGTAGCTGGTTATTACTACTGCCTTCCGTCTCTGAGTCCGAGGCGGCTTCAGGTTGGGAGTCGATGGTGCATTTCCTGCAGAAGCGGTTCCAGGTGGGATCTATTTCGTTCCACAAGCCCAGTCAGTTCAGCCCGAGACAGGTTCTCAAGATGTTAGAATGAAAGGAAAGGAGCGGAATGGGCCGCACACTCTGCTGCTGTGATCAGGACGTCGAGACAAGCTCTTGGCGTGGCGCCGATGCGGGTCGAGCAGGAGATGGTGAACGCTCCACCCGGGCCGTAAGTGGGGGTTGGCTCCGGGTCGACCAACGCGGCGCGGCCGGGGGCTTCGGTCGGCGACGGAGTCACCATGGCGGCGTGTTCGAGATGCGGGGCTCAGTAAAGCCCTTTTCCCTGACGCAATAGTGGTAAATCTACACTGCTTATTGTATAAATTGCGGGCTTCACTGAGCCGGCTCTTTGATGATGCACAGTAATTGCACAGAGCTCGTTGTTGCACAGCGCCTGGCGGCAGTTCGGAGGTGGGGGAATTACCTTACTTACCGGGCAGTGGGGCGCGGAAGCTGCTGTCCACACTCCACAGCACCGCCCGCGCATCCGATAGCTACTAGTAGTAAGGTGACCTGCAAGTTTGTATTTTACCATAACAGAAGTTTTACTTTCTTAGGGCATTCGTTTGCTCACATTCTGCACTGCCGTGGCAAGAAGATCCGGAAATGACGATAGTAGTCTGGCCAAGGCAAGAGCTCAGCCAGTCATGTTCTCTCCAAAAGGTGCAGTCAAAAGGGGACGGAATGGCGGAGGGCGGTGTTTCTCCGCTTCGGCATTACGCGGCCTTCGTCTTCTCCCGAAACACCCGTGAACTGTGTGCCCTTGTGTGACCCGGCCTGTCACACCAAACAGTTGTCTGTGGCACGAAAGCACTTGTTTGCGAGGCGGGCAAGGTTCGAGTCAGGGCAGATGGTTGTGGCGTCCAACCAGCGCCGCGATAGGCAGTGGCGTCCAACGAGAGTCGTCCCTTTTCGCTTCTTGGCTATCAAGGGAGAGAGCGGAGGAGCGCAAACACGGACCATGCATTCATTGCGCAGGTCGATCGCAACATCGGCGATGGGGAATTATGACTGCTTACTACTCTATAAGACGGCGTCCTACAGATAGAACCCATCATCCTGAATCGGATGGACAGCAAGCCAACTCACAGGACCCGCAGCCATGACACTCTTGCAGCAGACTCCACGGACGGCGAGAGAGCAATACGAAGCCGATGGCAACGATGCAGGTGCGATGGCAGGCAACAATAGCCAGGCAGCCACCGGCAAGTAACCAACCAAGATACACAAATCCTACGAGACAAATAGCTATTGACCATATCCCCCAGACACCGATGCCCTAAACATGTTGCTATCTCCCGAGCCCTCCTTACTCTCAGAGACCAACAAAAGTGCGGAAGGCGGTCTCCAAACCCCGGAGCCGCAAGCACGCAAACGATGCGGTGAGTCCAAGTCCAATCTGCACCGTCAGAAGCACCGCGGTGGTGGTGTAGGTTTCATGCCTAAACTGATACCTGTTTGTTCTCAGAGATTTGGCCAATGACGTACAGGTCGGCGGATGGCCGGCTCAAGATGCTTTGGTGCCTCCAGGTAGACGGCAAGTCGTTTTACCAGTACTTGCCGCCCAACATCGAGGAGCTCTCGCGGTACTATCAGGTCGTGTATTTTCAGGAATCAGCATAGTATCTATCCATATATGAAGATTCGGAAATGCCACTCGCTCCGGGATACCAAACGAGAGACCAACGCCTACGTTCAGGCCAATATAGATCCACGCTATGAAGCAATAAACAATCTTCATACATTGACAAAGTCCAAGATCCTGTGCAGCCCAATTTACAAGACGGAAACAACTGGCGTTTGTCTCAGATCTGGCCAGCCGTTGCTGGAAGACTCACGAAATAAGGTGTGCTTAAACGGCCGCAACCATGCAATCCATCGGCCGTCCCCTGGAAGCCTGTACAGCCGATAGATGGTGGCCTTCATTCGTCCTGAGACCATGGCCTAACGAAAAGTACGTGGCTTTTGCACCTATGGCAAGAGATGACATTGATCTAGCTGCAGATATCCTATAACACAAAAACGTCGCAGATCATGGTGCACGAAGGGCAGCAGAGATATCCCAACAAGACGATAACTACCAAGAGGCCCAATGAGAAAATGAACTAGAACCACAGGAGCAGGCCAGAGCCCAATCAATTCAGATGGAATTCCCGGGCCAGTTGCGGATCACCGATCCATCGGTGACTGATGTCAGGAGCAGCCTCCTGATTGAGTGACCAATACCATGCCTGACGAAGGACACACAGCATCCGCGAAGCATTGCCTCTACCGAACCAAAGACCGAGTGCTGCTGACGCTTGACAGCTCCAAGTCCCCTCTTGCCCCTGACCGGTCCCCTTCTTTCAGTTGTAGCATGACGTCGACAGGGTTGCTGGCTCTGGATCTGTAAGTCCCGAGACTGCTAAATAAAGCAACAACGGCGACAATGACCATGATAAACACCTGGTCCGTGAAGGCGTCCAGATATACCCCAATAACTTCCAGGCGAGCCGCATCGGGAAGACTCAGCACAGTCAACAGGTTTCGATGGATCTGGTCCAGCCCCTGTTGTCCGAGTTGGGATCCCGCCCCAGGGCCTAGCGATGTCTGCAGCTCCTCGTTGAACACAATGGTACAGACGGCAAGACCAAGCGCTCCGCCAAAAACTCGGGCGTGTGCAACTGCGCCTTGGGCGGCTGCGAGGTCGTCGGAATGGGCTTCGATGGCGGCCATCATGGTGCATGCGGCGAACGACAGCCCGACTCCGAGTCCGTAGATGGCGGTGAAAACCAACAGAAGATCGAGCTCCAGTCCAAGGCTCGTTGAGAACCCGAACAACAAAGCTAAGCCCAAGACCTGCAACGTGCTCCCGGCCACTAGCGTCTGGCTGGTCAGATTAGCCTGTTTCGAGACAGCACCTCCCAGAAAAGAGCCAAAGGCACACGCGCCGAGCATTGGAAGAAGATGCACACCGGCCCAGAGCGCGTTGTCGCCGTGGATGATCTGTAGACGCTCGGGGATCTTGATGATAAGAGAGATATATGAAAATCCGCCCAGGAGAGTGGCGCTGTAGAACGTTAGCGAGCGAGCGAAGTCAGCAATCGGGAGGGGTGACTGTACAGGAGACATAGGGCGTAAGCACGGTTTCTAAGAAGATGCATCGGGAAGATAGGCTGGATCTGCTGAGCGAACAGATGGGAGAGGCAGTACTCCCACACGCCGAGGAGGACCCAACACGTCCCTGACATGACGAGTGACCACACGATGACGGGACTGGACCAGCTCCACACAAAAGAACCGGCCTCCTGCATGGCAAAGACGAGGAGAACCGATGCCGCAGCGAGCATGGCGTTGCCGAGGAAATCAATCTTGGAGACAGTGGCCGTTGTGCTGTGCCTGTTGCGCCGGTCTTCTGGCCAAAGCGCATAGATGCCCAACACGGCCAGAACGCCGAATGGGATGCTTTACGCACACATTAGCTCTGGTGACTTTGGTGTATAGGAGGGGAGAAACAGACTTGAACCAGAAGATGCCCCTCCAGTTCCATTCCGATATGACACCTCCAAGCAGCGGGCCCAGTACGAAAGATATCGAAAGGGTGATGCCAACGAGACCGCCCGCAACTTCTGGTCGACTGGGTCCTTGCTCGAGAAGACATACTTGCGCCAGACTGTAGAGCCCCGAGCCGCCCAATCCTTGAACTGCACGGCCAGCAATGCTGAGGTAACGGGCAGAGTCCGTCAGCAAACTCCGGCCCGGGGTCGACTTGCACCGATTCGAAGGAGGGAGGAAAGACATACAGCTTGCCCATATGCCGAGCAATACCGCACCACACGGAGCCCAGCGTAAACAGCAGCCATGAAACAGCCAGGATGTTCTTCCGGCCATAGATATCGCTCAGCTTGGAAAAGCCAACGACGAAGCCTGCCGTCGCATCATCCAAAGTTCAGCATGGGCCCCGGCCGAAGAGGACGTTATCGTTCAACTTCACTCACTCATGTACGCCAAGAGATAGCTCAGAACAGTCCAGGGGGTGTCCTGGTAGTTCTCGAACTCGACCGACACGGATATGAGAGCGGTCGAGACGATGGAGGTGTCGAGGCAGGAGAACATTAGCCCGCCGCAGATGCTGTTGCCCTCGCCTCGCATGTTAGAGACACAAAACAGACGGTGATTGACCAGAGAGTGGAAGTGATGCGAGGCTTGGATCGTACATGATTGTCAAGATGATCTGCCGCAGAACCATTCTCGCCGCAGGAGCGGGTTGCTCTTCCTTCCTCTGCGGCTGCGGCTCACTGCCACTCAGGGACCCGTTCCGAATGTCGTCGTCCGTCATCTCCGATAGCGAAGGATTGGGATAGGGAAGCGTCATATTGGAAACTTCCTACCCCAAGATAGGAGGTGACTTTGCTTGAGGATTCTTGCTCTGGCTCTTCTCAACCTGCCGTTGACGTCCGGGGAGCAGGAAATAGTGGGTTTGGCTGCGTTGCCCTTTCTGCCCTCCACTATTTAGTGGCTGAGCTCTTTGTCTGTTACTCCGGATAGATTTGTGGAAGAATAAGGTTCAAGCTGCCGCAGAGGAGAAGTCGAGTTCGGCACCGGTTGGAAAGAGCTAGTGGAAGTGTTGAGGTAGTCGAGTCGTACTTGCCCCTGGAGGCCCGGATCGCCGTAACTGAGTGAGTCTGTTGGAAAGTGCGACCCAGTCCCAAGACGGCTGCAAAAACTGTCGTCTTCCTGCTAAGTCTCTTCAGTGGGTAGATGATCAATGACACTAACATCCGAGACGAAGGCGGCCTCGACGTACTCATACAAAAGATATCAGGTTGAGTGAGCACGAGACCGGGGATGGGTTTTGCATTTGTATGTAAGTATGCACACACAACTCCTCCGTGGCAGAAGTAAATCAATGATCAGACAAAAGGCAAATGCCGTTCCAATTTAACGGCCGCGAAGCCTCGACACGGATCTGAGTTTGAATGGACGGAAGCACCAGATATGTCGCGGTCAGTATTACCTCTCCATCCCCAACAGCCTTCCGCCCTCAAGCCGTTCGCTTGGAAACAGACGGCTGAAACATCGGCCAGCAATGTCTCTCCCTCGGATATTGTCTAAAGAGCTTGCCTTGAGAGCCGTCTTGGATTCTGCATGTTTCCTGGAGAGAGTGATACGGGTGATACCGTGAGTGATGACGGGTGTTGTTGTTGCACCGTGTAACCATCGACCACGAAGGGGGCTGGATTCGGGTCAGCTAATGCGCGGAGAACTCTGTGTGTACGGGGAATGGAATCACTCAAGCTACTCTCAACAAGCGGCAAGCAAGGAATGCTCCCGTCCGCAACATTGTTTGTCCGCCAATTTGACAAAGCTGCAATTCTGAGCACCCCACGTCGTCGGCCCTGGCGAACCTTCTGTAGGTTATCACCAGTCATCGGAAGGGAAACCGCAGCAAAGCAAGACTGACTTGTTGCATGGGCAAGTCTCAGTCCCAGAAGACGTTGAGATGCTCAAGGAAAGTGATGATCTGAGTCAGTTCAGGATGCACGACACGGTTCCACAATAGCCCCGGGTGGCACACATGCCGGGTGCCCGCAGTGCCCGGCACCTATTGTGACGCCGGGGAACGGCAAGTGCTATATCCAGGCGCCGTTGGGGCCATGCACTTCTTAGATTGGCGGCGGCGATCTGCGAGGGCAGCAGGATCTGATGTCGTGCTATGGAACTACACAGCCCATGTCAGGTCCATCGTCTATCGGCCGGAGGCAGTGGACTCGAGATGGACTACCGTGCTGTGACTGCTTACATGACTGCTCTGGGGATTTTACAAGTCTTCCGGGCTCATTGAGTTACGTCGAAACACACAGGGTATCTATATACTGTTTGCTTTTCACGTACCTCCCCGCCTCGAGCCGAATTAATCTCAAAGTACAGCTCCATGTGCCTCTGTGGATGGGAGAAGAGCATGTGCATGAGCATGAGCATGAGCAATACCCGTCGTGACAAACCCTCGGAGTCTCAGACGGCTCTCGCAGTTAGCGTTACATTGGTGAACTATTGACGTTGTTCAGCAGCGTTTCCCAATGTACGGCCATGGCAAGCAGCAGGTCGGGTGCGACAGTAAGAGGGCCAATCAAAGACTAAGGAAGAAACGGGCTTGTTCGATTTGTTTGGGTAAGACCCGAAGACGGGTGTGGTCAATGGGGGAGACGAGAGTTATGCCTGAAATGTCACGACAGTCTTCTTCACACATCACTGACGCTGACGGCGGTGGATCTGAAAGTCATTCGGATCAACCGGAGAAGCCACTGACAAGGGACCACATGACAGAGGCCATAGTGCACTTCATCATGGCCACCAGTGCCTCCTGGCCCCGTTTGTGATCTGGTTTTGGTCAGAGCTGCTTGGCCATTGATAACTGTTGCTATCCGATAGAGGTTCTTGCCAGCACTCCCGTTGAGACTAGGGGTTATATAACAGTAGTGCTCGGAATATGATATGATCGAAATGAAGTATCATGACTATTAGTCATATTCATCAAGTATGCAGGTATGTCTGTATGTACCAACTGACAATAAGGTACGAAGTCGATGCCGCCGTATTTGTTACATACCAAGTACAAAAGCAAGGGTATCGAAATTGTGAAAAACGAAGAAGCCAACGTCCATCACACCACAACTCGAACACCGCGCCTACTTCGCTTCGTCGCTCGTGGGCTCCCCCAAGGTAGCGGGCTTCACCTCGGTTGCGTCGGGCTCGGCGACCGCCGGTGCGGCAGCACCCTCGTCCGCTTTCCCGACCTTCTCAGGTTCCCAAACAGCCTCGACGATGCTCATCCGGCAACCCTTGGGTCTCCGGACACCCTATCGAATTTCCCCCCTCAGTCAGCACCTCTCTTCCCAGCTTCTTTTCGCCCCCCTTCCCCTTGTAGAGAAAATAAATAAACATACCTTGAAAACAAACCGCTCATCGGCGGCGGCAAACAACGCCCGGAATTCAGCCTCGGTACGCTCCTGGGCGTTCAGCAGGGCAAGCATGACCACGTCCATGCGCCGCATGACCCGCTCGTCCCAGGGGTTCTCTTGCCCCGGCTCGCGGAGGCAGTGGTCGTTGATGATGATGCGGGCGCCAGGCTTCAGGGCAGGGATCAGGTTCTTGAGAATACGGATCGCGTAGGGGTTTGAGTAGTTGTGGATGACCCAGCGGAAGAAGTAGACTTTTGCGCCCCCCCGCCCACCCAAGCGTGGTTAGTGGTTGGAATTCCTCTGCCCGTGGTAGTAGTGAGAGTGGGGGTAGTGGGAAAAGGCTTACCGTCTGCGCCCTTGGTGACCTGCTCGGTAAAGAAGTCGTGCGCGAGCAGGGTGATGCGTTCGGCGACCTGCGGGTCCGGGCTGATGGGCTTCGGCGCGCTGTCGACCGTCTTCTGGAGATCCTGCACGACAAACTTCATGTTCTTGTAGCGGCTGGCCAGGTCGACACACATGAAGCCGTGCGAGCCGCCGATGTCGACGAAGGTGCCGCCGGCCGCGTCGATGTCGCTGAAGTCGTAGCCGCCCTTCTCGACGTCGACAAAGTACGAGGGCTCGTACCCTTCGCCGCCCGTCAGGCTGGCCATGGCCCGGCCCATGCGCCGGGCTCGTTCCGGGTCCTTGCCAAAGGTGGCGAACATGGGCTCCTTGTCGACAGTGTCGAAGGCGAACTGGAAGCCGGCGCGAGTGAGCGACGTTGCTTCCGGATGCGCCTCGAGGGCCTGCAAGACGTGGCCCGAGGCGCGGAGAATGTCCTCGCCGTTGAAGCCAACCCAGGCATTCATGTCTTCGTCTTCGGCCAGGACCCGGGAGGCCGCCGTGTGGGCAATCACGCCCGGGCTGGGTTCTCGGAAGATGCCGTTGGTCATGGCCATGCGGAGGAGGCGGGCGAGGTTGATGGGATCCAGCGTGGTCTTGGTCTGCAGCTCGGCGAGGGTGACTGTCGAATCGACGGGGACCAGTTTCGCTGTCATGAGTGCATTAGAAAACGTGTTGCACACAACAAGTGAGATACGGGGGCGCCCGAAGACTTGCCGAGTCCATAGTGGTTGACCGCAGTAAGCGCCAGGACATCCAGAAACTCCCAGACACCCCACCTCACAGACTCGCGAGGACCGTGAGCTAGCCTGCCCAGCTCCTTGGTCGCATAGATGATCTCCTGCCTGCTCCGCTGGATGTCCTCCGGCAGGCGGGGGAAGTCGGCAGGGGCGTCAACGTCAAAACTGGGCATCGGCAGGTCGTTGGCCTTCATGTACGCCTCGAGCTTCTCCGTCTCGGCAGTGATGCTTCGGGCCAGGGCCACCATCCGAGACGTCGACTGCTGTGACGCTGTCTCGGGTTTGGAGGCCTGCGCCGCCGCCCCGTTTTCCTCGGCGTCCTTGTGACGGAGCGAGGCAGAGAGAGCAGAGAAGGAGCGCCGGTTCTGCTTCTTGGTCTCCGCATCGGCGCTCGACGGGGAGTTGGAGTGGAAGAACGAGCTCAACCTGAGTTTCCCCATCTTGCCTGCGTTCTCTGAGAAGACCGAGCTCAGCTGGAGGGGGGAAAAGTGCGTGGTCAGCTCGCGGCTCGCAGGCAGAGAGCCGGGGGTAAGACGCTACAAAGAGGAGGAACAGGAGCAAGATGTGGGTGTACGTCTCGCTAGCTACAGCTGGCACAGTTCCTTGCTCTGATGTGCTCTGTCTGTACAGAGAGGCCTTTAACTGACGATGGAATATTCTACCCGGTTGGCCGGTGCTAATGGCGTGCTACTTCCCATGTGTACTAATTAGTCCCCCCCCGTCCCATCCATCCAAATACCTGGGGCACCGGCATGCAAGGCTTACTAGGTCCGTGGGTTAAAGGTTGCACGACAGTGATTGTGTCGATCTCGGCAAACAGGGAGCGGATGAAGTCGGTCGAACCGCACGGCCGGGTAAGTTATCCTGCGTGCAGCCGGGATCAACGTGGGGCAGATGGGAGAGCAAGAGGGAAAAATCCAGGTAAGTTATCGCGGCTCAATGATCAAATCCACGGGTTCGCTTGGGGGAAGAGAGGGATGGCTGGTCACGACAGATGGAGCGATTCCCAGCCCTACGTGGGAGCAAAGCTGTGTTCTGTCTTATTATTTCGTGTAGATGGCGAACTCCTGAAGAGCCGGGTGATCCCAGGATCGACTTGGCGAACAGGAGGAGCCCGAAGCGGCATGGACCCGTCCTTGGGATCCGTGGCATGCTCCATCATCCCATGTCGGTTAACTTAACCAGCTGGGGTAGGCTAATGCAGAAGCGATGCAGCGCTATATGGCTAGCGCTCATTAATTGGTGAAGCTGCAGCTGCAAGGCGAATGGCACCGCGTGCGATGACCCTTTCAACCTGGGCTTCGGGTCTGTGTGGGTCACGGTTGCTCGACGGAATCAAACGTCGAATCCACAGTCCGAGATGAGTTGCCCGTCGATGCTATTCACAAATATACACCGCATCCCGTTAAAGGGAGTACCTAGACGAGCCAGGTACGGATATGCGACCGTTCGAAGCGTGGAGATGCCTCGGCAGAAACTCAAAATGCCTGGATCCAATCGCGGTATGTTTTAGCGGGAGCGGCTTGGCAGGGGTGACCGGTGGGGTGGGTACGGAAGGTGGCCCTTTGGGTGGCTCCGGTTCGGGAGCCATGCCAAGAGAAGCAAAGCTGCCAGTAAGGACTGGACAGTGTACTGTGTAATAAGTTACAAGGAAAATGTAGCGCAGCCACCAGCGAACGGGAAAACGGGCATGCTTCCAAGTTGCCGCCATTATTAGGGAATCTGCTCCTGCTGCGAGTGTAGCTGCTGAGCAGATTTCATGGAAGTCCCAGGTAGAGCCGAGAGACGTGCGGGATCTCGCCAAAAGTGCAATGTGCCATGCAAGATCATCACAGTGACACCTGGATGCCATTGGCTACGCAACGCACCGGCGTGGACCTGTGGCTGAGGATTATAACCGTACCAACCGGTTCGTAATTGGGAGAAACACGGGCAAATAGGTAACTCAGAAACCTGAAGTTTCTGATGGCCCAATGCTAGGCGTAGCCTTTTATCAAGTTGTTGCCCAAATCTCAAATGTTAACAGCGGTGGTATCATGACTACTACCTACCCAAACCGAAAGCCCCAGCCCGTCCTCAAAAACCCACCGGCTTCTGTCCGTAAATGATATGCAGCGGCATGTAGGCGAGCACCGAGTTATCGAAATACGCCTTCCTGACATCCACCAAGAACAGCTCGACCTGCTCTCTCGTCCAGCCGCAACCCCTCGTCATGGGACCCAGTGCGATGGCCTGGATGCCGTCGATCAAAATGGTCCGCCAGTACAGGCCAACCGTCTTCAGCACCTTGTTCTTGGGCCAGGTGCCGATGGGAATGTGCAGCACGCGCTCCGTGACGTTGACGAAGCCGCAGTCGCGCATCATGTCGGCGAGCCGGCCGTTGGCGACGGCGTGGAAGGTGACGCCCAGGTTGGACAGCCCTTCGTTGATCAGCGACCAGTACTGCGCCACCGGGTGGTCCGGCGCCATCGTCTTGTTGGCCGAGATGGGGAAGTGGTAGACTTCTTGCAGCTCGAACCAGCCGCCAGGGCGGAGGTGTCTGCCCGAGTAGATCAGGTGTTTGTTAGTAGGGAGTGGTCGGAGGGAAAAGCGGTGGGGGGAGGAGGGGAGGGGACAGGGGAGGGAACATGTTTACTCTAGTGCTCGTCGGATTAGTTTTGGCCAGTCCTTTATGGCCATGACGGTGTGGCGAGAATGGACGTAATCGAAGTAGTTGCGTGGGTGCAGCCAACTTGAAATTGAAGTCAGAGTCAGGGCTAGTTGCAGGTGATTTATGGGCAGGGGAAGGAACACAGCGGTCTCCCAAAAACGTACGGGCTCCTGCTACGCGTCAGTGTCTGGTACCTAACATGCACAGCTTCCAAGGTCCACGTACTCTATGTCATCCACCATGAAGCGCACATTTGGCGGCACCCACTCGGGCTGGATGGGGCTCAAGTCGACTCCGAGGATATTCGCATTCGGGAACAGATCGCCCACTTCACACGGACGGTCAGCAAAGTCAGCATCACCACTGCATTTGACGACCAGTTGGACGCACTCTCAATGGCCCAGATACCGGTTCCCGTCCCAATATCCAGAATCTCGTGAGGTTGTTCCCCAATGGGCGCAAAGTAGAGCTGGCCGCACAGCAACTTGACCATAGAGTGCTTCATATCTTCGCGCTGTTGCCTGTCCACCCGATTTAGTGACGGTGCAGCAGCCCTGAAGGCGCGAGGAGCACCTACTCGACGTCGTCATTCGGAAAGCTGTATCGCCCCTCGCGGAAGCGGTGGTAGCGGCGCCCATTCTCATAGATGTAGTCGCGCACGCTCTCGGCAAGCGATGTCGAGGCCGTGGTGTTGGTGTCGGTTCCATACCCGTCATCCGTGCCCAGATCGTCACTGTCGACGACGATGCTGCCCTCCTCCGCCTGTTCTGCGGCGGCCTGCTCTTCCAGCGCATCCTGGTCCGTCTCGTCCTCCACTTCGTCCGTGGGCCCGGTCAGCGACTGCGGGGCGGGGTGTGGCCCAGAGAATACATAAGGAGGCGTGATACTGCCGCTCGGTCCCGTCGACAGGCTTGGCTTGGATTCTGAGGGCGGGTAGGACTCGGACAAGGGCGGTTCGGGATTGGAGACGGAAGAGGAACTGGCGTTGGCCGAAACAGACGAGCCACCAGTCTCAGTGATGTGGGAACCAACGATATCTCCCGAGGGTTCTGTGGCTGAAGGAGTCGCTGGTGCCGAAGCATCTGTAACATCTGTCTCCGCACGGCTTCGTTTCTTAGACCTAGTCTCAGCGTCGGACACAGTTGACCCTCCCGCCACGTCCTGTGTTTGTGCCATGACGAGCCTGGCCGAGTCTGAGTGCAGCGCCCAGCTGAGAAAAGCAGATGCCCCAGCCGAGGGAAAACCGCTTACTATGTAAACGCCCAAGTGCAGAACCGGAATGCTCGAGTTCGTATGTACTTATGTAGGTGTACCTGCAGCTAGCGGCTCACAGCAGATGCGCTTAGCGGGTCAACACAGTGAAGGCGAGCTGAGTCGTCTCAGAGTCCTTTGCGAGATACCGAGGCAAAAAACAGTCTTCGTGGTGTCTGAATGCGGCGATGGGGTTGGTGGATGATTGCCGCAGCTTGCACAATGCAGTGGTAGTTGAATCAGATCCGGCTTGGAAGCACACTGTTATGGGGTGGTGTGATTGCTTCACCTGGGCCCTCCTCCGATCTATAAGTTACATAGTACGAAGTACATACCGATCAATGGAGCGCAACGGAACGGAACGGGCACTCCAGCGAGTGTGTGTGGGACATGACGTGCGCAGGTGGACGCTTCTCATCAAAACAGGCCCAGTCAAGAAGCGCTCTCGACCTTCAAGTGGGGGAATGAATTGAAGCTTGTTCACAGCTCTTCCAGGGGGTGCCCCTCTTCGAGTGGGAGGCAGGGTTGCATGCTGCCCAGTCACGCTCGCAAACCTGCACGCTGACAAGGGTTGAGGTTGCCCTTCCTTTTTCTTTTTGTTTCAATAGTTGGCGGGTAAGAGTGTCCCTGATGAGCCGCAGCGAACTCTCTTGATAGGATGACTTGTCTAGCCACAGTACAGTTCTGCGCACGAATTGTATGCCATTTGGGGTGCTAGTCTAAAGATGGACGTTGCCATATGTATTCCGTAACAGGTAGAGACCAGCATTAGCCGCGCCGCTGGTATAATTGGAGTCATACGTCTCGCTGACCTTCGCCCAGCGCACTGTTCATTGCTGTAGGAGGATGTTATCCGGGGTATGTTCCTGGTGAGGAGATATGATCAAGTTCCAAGGTTATTACATACTAGCGTACCTAAGATAACTCAGGCAACTTTTCAAGAGGCTGTTACTAACCATGTACGGATTACGGATACGCTGCTGTGTCTTCACTTGTCTTGATGGAGCTCAGTGGGGCCACTAGCCACAATTCCCAAGCAAGTGGCTGGAATTGAGCTTCTCAGCCTTGTGCAGAACTGCAGGCAGGACCAAACTGACGTGCGCTGTGGCTTGGCTTAGCTGTGTTGCTCCAACAGCCAGCACCAACATTGACGGTCTCAACCTTCGAGCCTGTACTTCATCGCGAGTCCAACCGTCCACCCCAGGTCCGAAAAGAAAATAATATCACCCGATACCAATCAGATCAGCGACCTCTCGCGATGGCGGACGCGGCGTTCAAGCCCGAGCGGGACTACTCGAAGGAGGCAGATAAGCAAATCCCCGAGGCCGAGCAACTCGCAAAGGTTCGGCATGTTTCTCATTTCTCGCGGAGCATCAGCTCTGACAGACAGACAGACAGACATCAATGCTGCAATCGAGAAACTCGCGGTTCTCGAGAAGCAGGCGCGCCAGGCGTCCGACCTCGCAACCACATCACGAGTGCTCATCAGCATCGTCACCATCTGCAAAAACGCCGGCGACTGGAGCCTTCTCAACGACCAGACCCTCGTGCTCTCCAAGAAACATGGCCAGCTCAAGCAGGCCATCACCAAGATGGTCCAGATCATCATGGGGTTCCTCGACCAGACACCTAACATGGAGACTAAGCTGTCCGTGATTGAGACCCTCCGCACGGTCACCGAGGGCAAGATCTTTGTCGAGGTCGAGCGGGCGCGGGTGACCAAGATCCTCTCCGACATCAAGAAGCAAAAAGGCGACCTCAGAGGTGCCACCGACACCCTTTGCGAGCTCCAGGTCGAGACATTCGGGTCGATGGACCGGCGCGAGAAGGTCGAGTTCATCCTGGCGCAGGTGGAGCTCTGCATCGAGATTGGCGACTGGACACAGGCCGCCATCCTCAGCCGCAAGATCAGCACGAGGTACCTGGCCCGGAGACCCAAGAAGACACCGGAGCAGCTCGAAAAGGAAAAGAAGGAGCGGGAGAAGAAGGCAAAGCTGGAGGAGGAGGAGGCCAAGGAAGAGGACGACGTCACAGACCTCAAGTTGCGCTACTACAGGCAGCAGATCCAGCTGGCTCAGCACGATGCCAAGTACCTCGATGTTTGCAAGCACTACAGACAAGTAATGGACACTGAGAGCGTGGAGGAAGATCCAGAGAAGCTGCGCTTCGTATGCATTCCCCGGCCCCGCGAGTGGTGAGCGAGGTACTGACCCCCCCCCCCCCCCCCCCAATAGGTGCTGCAGAGGATCATCTACTTCATCATCCTCGCGCCGCATGACAATGAGCAGCATGATCTGCTGCACAGAATCCACAAGGACGCGCGAAATTCCATGATACCGGAAGACGCCGAGCTCCTAAAGCTGTTTACGGTCCACGAGCTCATGCGCTGGCCCGAGGTTGCTCGGGTCTTCGGCCCCCACCTGCTGAGCACCGACGTCTTCGATTCGGCCCCCGGCCAGTCGGCTGACGAGAAGGCCTTCGAGCGGTGGCAGGACCTGCGCAAGCGTGTCATTGAGCACAACGTTCGCGTTGTGGCAAAGTACTACACGCGCATCCAGATGGGCCGTCTCACCCAGCTGCTCGACCTGACCGAGGAAGAGACAGAGAAGTACATCAGCGAGCTGGTGACGGCCAAAACGGTCTACGCCAAGATTGACCGGCCGGCTCGCATCGTCAGCTTCGCCAAGCCGCGCGATGCCGATGACATCCTCAACGAGTGGAGCTTCAATATGAAGAGCCTGTTGGGTCTACTAGAGAGGATCGACCATCTCATCACCAAGGAGGAAATGATGGCCAGGATTCAGCCCGGCGTCAAGTCCAAGAAGGGCAAAGAGGCCAAGCGGGCGCGCTGAACTGGCCCGCCGATTCGGCTGCCTCCCAAGGCCGGGGACGGCAGCGTTCCCGGCGCGCGGGGGCCTCCCCTGGTCTGGTTGCAGTAATACGGTCACGTGAACGACTGTACGAATAGACACGATTGGGAACATCGGTGGGCTGAGTCAACCTTGATCGGACATTGACCAGCTAGTGAATACTAGTACAATCAGTCCCGGATATACAGCAGTTAACCCTGGACCCAACCCCCTGCATGCACAGGCTGTGATACATAACGTTACCTTACATATTGTGCTCTTTGGTCGCCTGCAAGTAAATTGCAGACTTCAGGCTCTACGAAATGAAGGCGCTGGGGGGTACTTGCGCAGCCGCCTCACTCGCCCCCGGAGAGCACAGCATATCGTGTGTACCTATACAGCAGTGATGGATCTGTTTCCCAAGGATGCCCGGGTCGATCATCTCTTTTTCCCTCCCTTCCCCTTCCCGCCCTTTTGCCCACCACCTGCACCACCGCCTCCCCTCTTCCCGCCTCCCTTCCCTCCCGATCCACCCCCACTAGCCGAACCCCCGGACATCATAACCGTTACCTTCCCAACCGGCACCACGTTGAAGGCTTCCTCAACCTTCAGCCCCTTGATGAGTTCTATTTCCCGCGGCCACATCTTCTCCACGTCTTCCGCCCGCTCGTCCAGCACCCCTTTCTTCCCGGCCGCCATCTTCCACCTCTCCACGATCTCCTTCACCGCCTTCCCTTTCTTCACCTGTCCCGGCTGTAGCTTGGCCTTGTACTTGACCTTTGCAAGCGCATTCCACGGCGCGCAGACCGGCACCACCTCGAGTATCTCATCGCCCGGCAGCGGTGTCCCGACCAGCGCATCAAGCGGGCCCAGCTCCATCGCCTCGGCGTCGTCGAGAACCTCGACGCCCTCCTCGAGCATGAGCCGGCGCAGTTCCTCGTGCTCGGCAATCTGCTTCTTGGCGCGCTCCTGTGCTTGGCGGCGCCGCTCGCGGGCGGCTGCGGCCTCGGCCTCGCGCTGCGCTTTGGCGGCGGCTTCGGCTTCGGCTTTCTGCCTGGCTGCTGTGACGCCGAGGAGTTCTTCCATGAGCGCGCGGTCTTCTTCATCCTGATATTTGTATTTGGTGGCCATCTTTTTGGCTTTGCCGCGCTGGCCGCGCTTGAGCGGGTGTTTCTTCTGAGACTCCCAGGTGGCCGATCGCGTTTCCGGGCGCGTGGACGGTGTTGCGGCGTTAGGCGATGGGCCGGATGTTTCGTTTGCCCCGGGTTCCGCTTCCGGTTTCGGTTCGATGTCGTCTTCGGCGTCGTGTTCGGCAGCAGTGCGCTTGAGCTCTTCCTCTTGCTCAGCCGGCGCAGGGGTGCCTTCGGTGATTCCGACAGCCGCTAATTCTTCCGACGGTGGCTCAGGCCCCTCCTCCTCCTCTAGTAACTCATCAAGGGCCTCCCCACGATCCGCTGAATTTGGCTGCAGGGGGTTCACCCTTTTCTCATCATCCTCGTCTTCTTTGTCGCTGCTCTCGGGGGAGGCGTGCCTTTCCGACGCTATAGTGTCCTCTACCTCCGCGGCAGTGGTCACTGAAGCCGCGCCAGTAGTATTGATGTCCGCAGTGTCGTACAGCCTATGCTTGACGTGTCTGGCTTTGCTCTCTTCGGAGATCTTGAACATCAAACCGAAGCCAAGCATCAGCAGCGCCGGTGGCAGCGGATTACGCTTTCCTCGGACCATAAATGAGCCCACCGGGAGGTACTCCCCAGCCGGAGCCGCCTTTGAAACCTGGTCAGCGTTCACCCACCACGCACCCATCGCTGCCTTGGAGTCCCATGCGTTCGAGCAGCACACCGACAGATTCCCGGCTTGCGCGAGTGTCGACGGCGGAATGGGCGCATCAGGCGTCTTGGGATTATTTTTTATGATCACAGTCGGGGCACCGTGCATGTCTGCATGAACGTAGACGTCGCCTTTTCTCAGATACCGCTTATAAAGAATCTCGTTCTGCTGAGCATCTCGGCCGCCAAGCACAAGATAACCGTCGGACGAGATGAACCATAGAAACTTTTCGAACCACATCTGCTTTCTGACGGGCTGCAGCAACGGCCTCTCCTGCTTCAACCCTTTCTTGAGGTCCTCCGTAATCTTCTGTTCGGCATTCTTGAGAGCAATCTCGGTCTGTTGAACGGTCTTCTGTTGCTTGTCGGCAGCTGTGCGCTTCTGTTCGTAGTACTGCCGGGCATTGTTCCAAGGGCTGAGCTTGATGTTGATGTCGATGGCCAGTCGCTTGTCCGGTCCCTTCGCTTTATCCACCGGAGCGTCGTCAGCGGTTTCTTCGTCGGTGTCGTAGTCAAAGTCGGCCTTTTCCTCTGCCTCGGGTTCCTCCTCTTCTTCGCCGAGCAGGAGCGTAACGATGCTTTCGTGGAGCCTCATTGGAAGTTTGATGATCTCAGCAACAGGGTTGTGCTGCCTCTGCTCCCGCTCCACAAGCTTGTTAATATCGACCCAGTCCATGCCCTGCTGAAGCAGGCCGTTAATGGCGTCCATGGCTTCCTGTACCCGTTCCACATTCGCCTCGATTGCTGCTGCCTTGCGGAGATTCAGTATCTGGGCCTCCTGGAGCCCCTCGATCCGCTGCGCCTGGTCCTGGCGAGCCGCCTCTAGTTTCCTCTTGGCCGTGGCTTCGCGTTCCTGCAGCCGCGACTCGAGCTTCTGGCCCTCGAGAGAGGAGAAGAACTCGTCAACTGTCTTGTTAAAGCCATCAAAGGACAATACCTGATAGGTCGGGTCGCTCTCGAACTGCTTGGGCAGGAAGGGCTGGAAGTCCTCATAAAGCAGGTTTCGTGCTCTGTCCTTTCGGTTCTCGTCGCCATCCGGAGTGTTATCCGCAGTGTCATTCGCAGCGCGGGGAGTGGGCTTCGCAATAATATAGCCTTTTGCGACGGGTGAACTAGTGACTCCGTCCAAAACAGATCTCGCCTGCTCTAGCGCCTGGAACAGAGCGTCGAGCAGGGATTCATTTTCCAGAATGTCAGCGAGTTTCGCGGCAGAATCAAAGCTTGTAAGGCAGACAACATGATCGACAAGAACAGGCGGTAGTTCGGTTATTGTTGTGGCAAGTCCCCGTCTCAAATCGTCCGACCCTTTCTTGCTTTTCTTTCCCGGCGCTCGTTCTGATGCCGTCTTGAGAGCTTCCACAAGACGCTCCTTCGTCAGGGGCGGGACGCCCCCAAAGTTCTGTCTGTTTTCCAGCGTATAAGACAGACCGACCCGTTGGGGCTCCTGGCCTTCTCCCTCGGGAACATTTCGCAACAGCGCGAGGATCTTGAGATCGGCGTCTGTCAGGATGATATTGCCGCTGGCGAAGAACTCGAGGTATAGGCGGTATGTTCCATCGCTGAACTGAAACTCGATGATGCGGTCGGTGCCGATTTGCGAGACGCCAGTGACGCGACGGGTCTTAAGAAACTTGCGCAGGCGCGAGACAAACTGACTCGGGGCTGGGGCGGCAGCACGGGTAAAATCGGTCAAGTGACAACGGAAGCCGGACTCGATAAGGAGCTGTTGTTTGCTATTTGACTTCGCAAATTTCAGGAGGAGTATCTTGGAGTTGAGGTCGTAGATATTCGCCAGGCGCAAGGACACAAGTGCTTCAGAAAGCTCATGCGCAATCACCTGGGGCACAGAAACAATTGGCTCGATTAGTCCCGTCGCTCTCCGCGGGTCGTGGACACGCATACCTTCACATCTAGGGATGAGAACCTCTGCTTCATCTCGGGCACTCAATTACCAAGGTACCTACACTAAGGTACTCAGAGAGGAAATGGCACAAATGACTGGAAACTTGGGACGTTCGCAAGTGGTTCTCGGCGGGGTAGCTTAGGACTTGACGTCGGCGATCCAGAAAGGGCAAGTGGGGTTCCCTGCTTGCTTGTCAACTTCAGAGGACTTCTGATCACTCTTGAGTCCGACTGGTTGTCGCCGACAGAATGTGACCTGCACATCGCGCAAAAGAGTAACGTTAAGAACTACTACTACCTACATGTAAGTTATCATATGGATCGGTAATAATCAACAGGAACCACTGGCATTTTGGACACAGTACGAAGTACACCCTACAGGACAACCGCTGAATGATTGTTGGCGCGGAACTTGCGACAGGGGTTCTGCTATCAACTCCGAAGCAGCACTCCTAAACTACGAAAGGAGCTGATTCAACGCAAAAACATAGAGCGTCTTGCAATAAGCTGACAGGCTGAGTTCATCGGCACGTTTTTTCTGTAGAGAAATTGGCCGTTTTGAAGTTGAGATTGAGAGTTGGGTTAGACCCTGGTCTTCAAGTTAGGCGCTAACGAACATTTAGGGGTTGGACTGTATACTACTAGTGAGTAGGCTACCTACTCGCTCAGGTCAGTCGTATTAGTAATGACGGGTCGATGTTCAAGCCGAGAGGCCTACCACTTGCTACAGATCGATATGGATTATGAATCTTGAGCCCCAGTCGCGAATCTCTATTCGTGGGGTGTAGGATTCACTCCACTGCATGAGGCATTGAGTGCGCATCTCACGCGATGTTGATCAGGATCGAAGAACCTGCGGGAATTGGATTTGCCCAGGTTGACTTTGGTTGCATTGTCTACAACCACGACAGCACAATGATGATCGCGGGTGAAAACGATCCCGCTCATGATAACGAGAACAGCAACATATAAACAGTCCAAACCTTCATCATGGGCGACGAGCTCACAGTCAAGCAGGCTCGACAGCTCCCGGCCACGGAAACTCCAACAGCACCTCGAAACGAAGCGCCCCTCAGTCAGATCCGGCTGATCTGAGACTCTTTCCATGAGAAAGATGGCCCAACGGTTTCCTTCAGTCGCAGTTATCGGGGTGAGTTCCACTTCTTCCAACGCCAAAATTGATCTAGGGCTGCAGCTAACAGATGTTGAAAGGCGACCGGGAACATAGGTGGCCCCATTCTCAGAGCAATCCAGGAGGCCCAGCCACCGTTCCAGTCCATCACGGTCCTTACCCGGTCGGCGAACCCCGGAGGCGCCTTTGGCCCCAATGTCCACGTCGAAGTCGTCGACTACTCGTCCCGCGACTCCATCGTCGCTGCCTTAAAAGGGGTTGACGCCGTCGTTTCCGCCGTCGCGCAGCAGTCCGTCGAGAGTCAGAAGACCGTCATCGACGCTGCCGTTGAAGCGGGCGTCAAGTTCTTCATCCCCTCCGAATTTGGTCTGGCAAACACGCACCCTCTCCTGCAGCGGGACTTCCCCGACTACCGGGACAAGACGGAAATCCAGGAGCATCTCGAAGAGTACCGGCAGCAGGGCAAAATCGATTATGCCCTTATGTTCGTAGGCTTGTGGCTCGATTGGGGCATCGATGGCTTTGTGCTGGACCTGAAGGCCAAAAGGGTGGCGCTATGGGATGGTGGCGAGCGCCCCATATCCATGACTACCTTGCCCAGCATCGGCAATGCAGTCGTCGGTGTCCTGGAGGGCAGAGTCAACGGGAAGAGAGAAGTTAGGGTGAAGGACATCAACATCAGCCAGAAGCGTCTTTACGAGCTGGCCACCGAAGTGGTTGGCAAGGACGGCTGGGATGTGAAGGCGATTGATACCGCCGAGGCCAAAGCGCGCGCAAGCGAGAAGCTTAGCCAGGGCACGGCTGGTCTCCACGACATGTATGCCTTCGTGTGCCGCGCCTGCACGGCTCCCGAGTACGGCCAGCCGTGGAAGCCTGACGAGGACGACAGCGAGAGCGTTGGCCTCAGGGCCTGGACAGAGGATGACGTGAGGGATCTCATTCGCAAGGTTGCGGGCTCAGAGTGACCACCTGGTGTGCAGATAGATCAGGGGGGAATAAAATAGGTCTAACCCAGATGCTTATGGTTGTGATTGATCTGTCATGCTCAGTGACTACTGTCGCATGTCTCTTCGTCCGTCCAGGCTTTCCGGCTCCGGCTCCGGCGCCTGGGCTGGTGATTTACCTCCAACTCACTCGAAGCATAGGAGCGCGTCCGTCCCGGCTAGTGATAAGTACATGGTTGTGTCACTTAACCCAGCGTTATATGTTTCGACAACAGAACAGTTGGGCTGTCGGTTTACACCAGATCACTAGAACTCCCCATTCGTGCTGAATCTATACCAAGTACCCTCAGGAGATGGTGTAGTGTGTAATCCGTACCTATATGTGTAGTCTCTGAAGCAACTGGAACCTGTGAAGCGTGTGTGGGGCAAGGGCAAGTTGACAGCAAGAGGTGCTCAAGGTGAAAAACGACCATTGAATACCTACCTACGCATTTGGCAAAACGTCGAAGAGCCTTGCTTTTATCTCGATGGCAAGCAGCGATTGAGATGAACCAGACGAGGGGAAGGTCGCCATCGAGTCTTCAGAACATGAATTCTCGACAGCCGATTGCAAGACTTTGCATGTGAACGACAGGCTGTGGAGAATCGGCGGACAGTCTGCCTGTTCGGACATCAGCGAAGGCTCAGTCAGCGGGAGGTCAAACAGAGTTGCCATGACAACAGGCAATTATGGGTGGAGAAGCCGAAAGCACCTCGGCAGCTTGCGCGCGTGAAGGCCCGCTACCGTGGTATCGAGGTGCTTCAACAATCAGCCGGAAACACGGCGAAAGTGCGAGTTAGGGAATTTTCGGCCGTTTTTGACAGCCATTCTGGTTTCTTGGAGGCTGGTTGACAAGCGCTCAGAACTCGGCTCCGGTCAGAGCTTATGCGGCCTCACTCACCTCCCACTTGAGGCTTGCAGATGTGCCGAGCAGAACAACCCAATCGCAGGTGCCCACGCAAAATTTCAGCCCCGGCGGAAGACGGGAGGCTGGGAGATAGGTACGTCCAAAACCGTGGTCGATGGCCAATTGGGGTCCGAGCCACTGCTGATCGACCTCCCCAGTCTGCCCAGCTTCTCTCTTGCTGCAGCAGGGGTTTGATCGACCATCCCAACCACCTATCGATCGACCGAGCGTAACCTGCAGACGTGTGCTGCAGGAGGTCGGTTCCGTCTCCCGCGCGTTTGAGGGAAAATACGAGGAGCTTCACTGCCTTTTCTCAATCCGACCTGGAAGCTTGCCAATTGCGATATCCACCAAAGCCCGCCAGCCATTTCAACACTCCTCGTTGTGAACAAATCCTCGAAGCCGATCATGTCACCTCCGCACTCAAGGAGGCTGGAGAAGCGGGCCTCGCCGGCGCCGCGGCACACCCTGGCAACAGAGTGGATGAGTTTTTCAGCTCGCAACGGGACAGCTGCTAGCTCGAAGTGGCTGGACACGACCCCAGCCGACAGATCATAACAGGGAGGTTGGGAAGTCCCCACGCGGACCAAGCAATCAGGGGGCGCCTTATGGGTCCGGGCTAGACCGCTTTGGGCCCCAATAAACATGCCCCACACGATGTAAACAAGCGCTTTCTGGAGCTCCTGTCTGTCCGTCGCCAATTGACCCCGGCAACGACGGGCACACGACGAATCAGACGGCCTCATTGGGTCTCGTCACACCTGCCACTCTCTTTCGCGGTTCCGGGCCAACCAGCAGCAGGTCCGCAAACGCTCCGTCGGATGCGTATTTGAAGCGGCCTCGCCGTGACAACTCGGTCGTGATCTTCTTCTCCTCATCCTGCACCGCAATCCGCTGTCCACTCACAGACGCCCACAAAGCCTCGACCCCATATTCTTTCCCTCGTTGGAATTCGATTGAAAAAGAAGACGGGTCCATCCACAGACCGCCTTCTCATCTTTTCTTTCGACTTCTTTCTAGGAAAAGAAGCAAGAGGGATCTTCTTGTCCACCTTTCGTCTCAACGTCGGAAGGTCGAAAAGAAGACTGCCTCTTCGCGCCGTAAAAGGTCGTCAATCTGGACTTTGAAGCCCGTGTCCCGGTCCCTTTCAGCGTCTTCCCGTCTTCATACAGGGAGGCCGAGACCGCCACTCAGACCCGCATCCACGAAGAGGTTGAGATCAAGCTCCCCGAGCACGCCGGACGGGAAGGTCAACACTCTTCTTTCCAAGCGCAAGCACATCTTCCTCCTCGCGAAGAGGGTCGCTTCAGAGAAGAAGAGGTCCGCATCACTCGTGAAGAGGGACACAACCGCCGTCCCGGCACCCACGAAGAGTTCGTCGTCGTCCGAGAGGAGCACCGCAGGTGAGTTGGGGCAATTGAGCTCGTCTGTTTTGTTTTTGTTTTGTTCTTGTTCTTGATTGATCTTGTTCCTATCTGCCCCGCTTTCGTTGCTTTTTCCTCCAACCCCGGCCCAGCGCCGGGTCCCCCGGGTCCCCCTGCACCCCTGCTTAGCGCCTACACTAGGTCAGGCGGTCTGGAGCTTGGGTCGGTGGTTGACCAAGCGACGGATGCAAAGAAAAACACGGCCTCGCACACAAGAAAGCCGAGTTTTTCTTTCTCTCACTAACCTCTCTTCCTCCTTCATCAGACCCAAGTCGACCTACTCCGAGTCTCGCTTCGAGGTCGATACCCGCAGCAATCCCGGCACTGCCATTGACGTTGCTGAGAGCGAGTATCGTTCCCGTTTCCAACCCAACTACCGCAAGGAGTTCTCCGTCGCCGGCACCACCGTCGACCTCCCTCCCCGGCTTCCTACCTTCAAGAAGGCCAAGACCGTTGTCGACGTGACCACCGTTGACCCCCCTGCCCGCCTTCCTACCTACAAGAAGGCACACACTGTTGTCGACGCGTACACGCTCGACCCCCCCAAGCCTCGCTCTACCTACCACGAGGAGGTAGACATCGTTGAAGAGATCGTTGAGCCTGCCTCTGACCCTTCGGAAGGCCGCAAATCCAAGATGGGCTACTACGAGGACGACGGTAAGCACGCTGCCCCTCTCTTATCCTCCTGTCTTGGGCCCCAGTGTCGGCCACACACAAGTGTGCTCACACGACAGCTCAGGCCACCACCACCACCACCATCACTCCCTGCGTCACGGGTTGCACAAGTTGGCTGACCGCGTTTTGCATCCTGAAGGCCACGACCGCGTTGAGGTCGCCGAGGTCCGCGAGGTCCGCCGCGGCGGCTCGCGTACTGCGTCGCCGGACAACGAGAGGCCGCCTAACACGGTGTCGATCCCGTGCCACCACATCCGCCTGGGCGACATTCTCATCCTCCAGGGCCGTCCATGCCAGGTCATCCGCATCTCAACCTCGTCTGCAACCGGCCAGCACCGCTACCTTGGTGTCGACCTCTTCACCAAGCAGCTCCATGAGGAGTCGTCGTTCGTCTCCAACCCGGCCCCCAGCGTGGTCGTCCAGACCATGCTTGGCCCTGTCTTCAAGCAGTACCGCGTCCTGGACATGCAGGATGGCCACATCGTCGCCATGACCGAGACCGGCGACGTCAAGCAGAACCTGCCCGTCATTGACCAGAGCAACCTCTGGGGCCGTCTCCAGAAGGCGTTCGAGTCTGGCCGTGGCAGCGTCCGCGTGCTGGTCGTCTCCGACCACGGCCGCGAGATGGCTGTCGACATGAAGGTCGTCCACGGCTCGCGCCTCTAAGTGGACGGACTGCCTTCAAGGACGCTGTCGTGCGCCTGTAATAGATCCAAAATCAGTACATCTGGGTATGGCTTGTATGTCGTATGACGATTGGACAAAGTTCGTCTTGGGTAGGCGCACTGCGTCGGGTAAACGGAACCCATTTTCTCGAGGGATATGAAGGGGGCTCATGTTAGGTAGTTCATGTGTATATGATGACTGTAATGGATGGATGTTTATGGCTACCTATTCGCATGGCATTATCTGATGTGAGGTGTACAATTCTGCTCCATCATCTCGATGTGTGACATAAGGTATCTCGAGTCCCCCTCAGTCCCTATCAGGGATGGTCGTGCTAGGCCCCCGGGTGGGTTGCACGATGAGGGGTCGCGTGCGCACCCTGATGACCCGAGATAAGCCTCCCGGTCTCCGAGCACCTGCTATTCTTGGAAAGCCCCAACCTCCTTCTCACTTCCCTCTGGACTCGAACCTTGATAGCCAACTTAACCTCGCACAGGTTGCCGGCTGTCTCCCTCGACTTGAGGTTACTACTTACCTACTTTGGAGTAAGAATTGACTCTGATGTGGGTGTGCGCACGAAGCTCGTCACCGTGAACTTCATCAAGACAACCACAACTCTCAAGCTTGCAAGACGAGCTCCATAAACTCGGCAACAATGGGTTCTAACCAGTCTACCCCGTCCGCCAATCCGACGGCACATGAGAAGGCCGCATTGGAGCGGTTCCGCACCTTGCAGCTCGAGAACAACAAGGAAGGCCTGGAGAATGGTTATGTGTATATCGACAATGAGAAGGCCACTGGGAATGGTCGAGACGTCCTCCGTTCGCGCGAACCGGAGACGGTCCCTGTTGCGCGGATGGCCGAGTGGCAGGATGCTTTGCTCAGGGATTCCCAAGAACAGGTGAACACGCTACCTATCTATAAGTCTTCAAACTGTGGAATGTAGACCTAACTAGCACATGCTGATCTCGGAACAGACTGGCCATCTCGGCACTAAGTTCGGCCAACCCCAGGGCTGTGCTGACGTCGCCGGCCGCCAAGATTGCCGAGCAGCAGGTGTTCAACATCAAGATCCCCTTCGAGGGCGGCCCGATCACGAACCAGAGGCAGAGTGGCCGCTGCTGACTGTTCGCTAGCACCAACGTGTTCCGGGTGGCACTGATGCAGAAATACGGGCTCGAGTCGTTCGAGCTCTCGCAGTCGTATCTCTTCTACTGGGACAAGTTGGAGAAGAACAACTGGTTCCTGGAGCAGATCATCTCGACGGCGGACATGGATATTGACTCACGGCTTGTGCAGACGCTGTTGCGTGAGCCGCTGAGCGATGGCGGTCAGGTATGACTTGAATGACTGACTCCCCTGTCCCGGTGTTAAGAAACCAAAAAAAAAAAAAAAAAAAAAAAAAAAAAAAAAAAAAAAAAAAAAAAGACAAGAAGCTCTGGACTGACATGGCGCGCAGTGGGACATGGTCTACAACCTGGTGGCCAAATACGGCCTCATCCCGCAGTCCCTCTACCCTGACAGCTTCTCTGCAACGGCCAGCAGCACTCTCAACAGCATCATCTTCACCAAGCTCCGCGAAGACGCCCTCGTGCTGCGCAACCTACTCTCCAGCCCCTCCACCTCGGCCACCGCAGTCTCCAACGCCAAAGCCGAGATGCTCCGCGAGATCCACACCATCCTCACTCTCACACTCGGGCCACCACCGTCCCCTTCCGAGCCGTTCAACTGGGACTTCACAGACACGTCCGGCAAGGCCCGCACCGTGCGCACCACCCCACAGCGATTCGCGCAGGACATCTGGTCGCCCAACTTCCGCATCACGTCCGCCGCGGCCGGCCAGGGCGGCTGGTTCGGCATGGGCGATTCGTGGATGGATGAGTTTGTCTATCAGGCGGTGGTCGACCCGAGCGTGTTGCGCGAGGAAGTGAAGAAGGTGTTGGATGGCGAGCCTGTTGTGTTGCCGCTGTGGGATCCCATGGGGAGTCTGGCGTAGTAGGGGGATACCCTGGGGGGGATGCTGTTTCAATCGTCTTTGGCGCCGGTTTACATACCTAATACTACTAGTACTCAATTCTACATGAGAAGTCTCTAGCGATCTCCTGACAAGCGAAGCAGGAGACATGCGACTGGGTACCTTACTCTACCTTACCTATCTTGGAAATCAGGTACCTTTTGGTCTTCTTCCCCTATGTTAGCTTGGAACACCCTACTGAAGGCACTCCGTTATGCCGCTCGCCGCTCGGACAAAGGCAAGTTGCCTAGGAACATACCTATGCATCAATGAGCTAGAGATTTTAAATCCGTAGACGCAGGACCCCCAAACAAACCAACAGATAGCCAATATCTTCCCAGCCTCGATACCTCTCGAGACCACCATCCGTATCAACCAGGAAGGCAGTGCACAAAAAAGGGGAACCCGCCCTGTTCTGATGTTGATCCCGTGTTGCAGAGGCATCACTAACTGATACCTACTAGGGCCTAGGCCATTGATGAGCTCTCCCCCGAAGTATTACGGCTCTGAAGTGATGCCCGCGTCCATGTCCGGTGTATAGGTACCCACTCGGTTGGCTCTCCGTCATCCTTTGACAGTGTTGCGGCATCCAGGCATCTCGGAGCGACAACAACGGCGTGCCCGGGTTGGTGGGGATGTTCACATATTATTTAGGTAAGGGCCGGGTACTACGGTACTGTACTGTCCTCGTACAAAACAGAATTTGGACCGGCCCAGACGACGTGACCATGGCACGGCGTGGTGTGGCGTGGACCGTTATGTGTTCAAGGTTCCCACGGCGCCGGGTATGGACATTGATTGCATCTGTTGTAGAACTTTCTGTCGGGCTGCTCTACTTCAAGTCTTGCCACTCTGGCTTACCTAGTAGCGGGGCAACAGACGGAGGGAGATCAAGAGGTGCGTGTGTGTGTGTGTGTCTGTGTGTCATGGCAGACGCCGGGTCTGTGTTGCAGGTCTTGCTTCGTATCTACTAGTACCTAGTGTAAATCTTTCCATCCATGCCCGAGCTACAACGAGTGGAGGCGGTTATTAAGGAAGAGGTTATCAGATAGGGGGGAGGGTGGCAGAGGCGATCCTCGTGTGGCAAGTCTGCAGCCTTGCGTAATGGTGACGACGTGGAAGATTACCTGACTTTTGAAGGTGCACACAGTCAGGAGGCAGGCGGACGATATCTCTCAAAACCGAATCTTTGTTCTATTCGTGCTTCAGTGTTGTGTATCATGGCACGACAGGTCCAACCCGAAGAGGCGGCTGCTGCTGCACTACCTAGCTCCCGGTCAAGCGACGGGAGTTCTGCTAACCAACCGCGCACCAGCCATTCTACATCCATGATGTCCCTTTCCGCCAGGCGGAAGAGCCGCCAAGGTCAATAGGCCTTTGAAACGGACTCCGGAACCTAGCCGGAGGACTGAGAGGGTGTGGTGATGTGACAGTTCCTCTTCGAACCCGCGCTACCCTTGAGTTCGAAGCCAATCGGACTCCGAGGGCTCACCTTCTATCCGCAACAAGAATACCTAGAGAGACGGGAGCGGCCACTCAGAGGAAAGCAGGGAACTAGCTTCGTGTGGGTTGGGTGTCCGGCCATCGGTGCCCAATCCCACAATCGGCTGCCGTCTGCTACCCTACTTGCCGCGACTTACGTACTATACATAGGTAGGACCGACGGAGATAGCCTCTTCTGGAAAACTCAAAACAATGAGTGGGATCACAAGACCATCAGTCAACCAGTGGTAGGTAGCATGGTTCGCTGCCGTAGCTTCAGGGAGGGAAAGGTAAGCGCGCGCGCGAAGATCGTGGGAGTGGCGCTTCTGCTGATCAATCACCGCGTTGATAGTGTAGAATGTTTGTTTGCCACTCGGCCTTTGCCGACGGAGGAAAATGAAGCCTTTCCTTGGATATCCCGACAACATACCGTAGCGCCCAGCCTTCTTCGCGATCCCAGGCCCGGGAGCCAGTGAAGCCGGGCGTGATATACTGCGTAGTACGGTGTAAGTGATCACCGATCGGTCCCGGGCCACTTGCAAATCATCGGACCCCTACCTACTAGTAGTCAGTGCTAGTCCCCTACGCCATGTTCTGCATGAATCCGACGATCTTGAGCTCAGAATAAACGACGGACATACTGTATATGTATGTATGCACTTGTAGGAGAAGGCGTGATGTATTCGCCTCTTGCTGCTTCGCCATCTCTCGGCTCGTCGGACAGCGCTACAATCGAATGTTCGATAGACCTCCACCATTGACAAGTTCGTCGTTGAAGTTGGTCCGCAGGGCTGAGCCAAACGTCAAGTCACCGATCCCAATTGGGCACCGTTTGCGGTGGCGACGGACGTCATCCTTCACCTTGGCATTGCAGTGCAACTATACTCCGGCGTATTCTACACTATACAGTAACTGGACAACCTCGTGTCCAAACCGGCTGCGCCGGCTCAGGCAACCCCATGGGCACTGCCGTCCGAAGCACGAGGGTCTCGGTCGCGAAGTTGCGTTTGTGTCGGCTTGCACTGCGCACACGAGATAAAAGCCGCTTGAGCGGGTTATCTGTGGAAAGAGCAGAAAACGGAGCTGCCGGTGGGACACTCTACCCCCAATAAGGCAACGGTTCATCGGCGTCACAAACGGCAGCCGGCGTCCTCGACCTGCATGGAAGACCTGCCTCAGCCCCTGTGTGACGATTAGCTACGGAAAAGCAGAAGAGAGACCCCTCTTCAGACACGGGCCTCGAGCAGCACAAGCTGCAGGTTGAAGCTTGTCGTCGCCCTGTCCTTCGCCCGGCTTGTGCGAGAAAGAAGGAAGTGGGGCTGAACCGTCGCATCACGCAGCGTGGTAGCGCATGCTGGTAGAGAAAGTCTCAATTCCGACGGTTCGGCCATGATTACGAAGTGATGATAGGATCCATGCTGACGGTGCGAGGGCAAACTTCAGGCAGACATCCGGACTCCACTTTCGGCCATTCCTTGGAACGAACGAGCCGGATGTTTGGGTAATTTCAAGGTTGGGCGATACTACTACTAGGTAGTACATGAAAGTCTTCAGGTTGTTGAACCCCTCCAAACCACAAGACCCTGGGACCCCGCGATCCCCAAGGCCACCGGCCCTACATCCTTCTCACCGTCTTCGCCCTTTTCCCTTCGGTCACTCTCAGCTGAACTCCACTGTCAGACGTGCTTGGGAGAGCTTCCAGACCTAGAGCAAGGGTAACTAGGAAGGCGACCCAAGTTTAAGTACATTCCAGCCGCAGAGCTTACAATCCCGATTGCCCCGCCATCATCTTGAACCCCGCCCTGGCCCTTGACAGACCCCCGGGGCCCTTCCCACGCTGCGCCCCCGACCGGCAGCAAGACGCACACCACTTAACCGGCCACTTGCCCCCCTCCAAAATTACCACCGCTTCCGCTTCGACAGTCACCGCTCTTTCCCCTTCTCGCAAGCACCCAGAACTGAGTCGGCCCAACGCTGAGTTGACATCACATCGGCCCTCCCCTGTCTTCTCGGACCGCAGTTACTACTCAGCGTGAGGCAAGGCCGGTCGGAAACTATCTTTCTTCTACAGCCCGGTGGGATCTTGCCTCGGAAACATGGCCGACCCTGCCCGGTACAGATACGCGGACACAGCGGGGAGGCGATCGCCTCCCCTTTACAACCCCGCGCGCTCCTCGATGCCCGTCACCAGCGGCGGTTACAGCTCACTCTACAGCGGAGACCTCCATGCCATGTCGGCATCACACCACGAGGGCCTCGCCTCCCGCGCCCCCGAGGAGTATCGCACAAGCGCAATCCCGGTCAGCACGACCACCTATGCCGTCAGGAAGGAGCTGGTGTCGAGGAGCACTGGCGTCCACGACAGCACTCGTGTCCACCGCGTCACTGACGACAACTCCAAACGGCCCATCATCGTCACCACGAAACATCACCCGTCGAGTCCGCGGTCCGGAAGCCCGCCACGCCACGCCTACCGGTCGAGTGACGAGGGTCCGTATTACACCCAGCCTGCGTCGTCTATACCCCGGAGTCGCGTTACCAACCACCCCCCCGCCAGTGCCTCCATGGATGACGAGGAATATCAACGTCTGAAGGACAGGACTCACTATGACAGACTGGAACGCCGTGGCGGGGATCCATACCGTGCTCCGCGGCCCGGCTCACTCTACGCCGGTCCCAATCATCGCATCAACACGCTCGAGTTTGACGAGGAAGGGTATGAGTACACGAAGCCGAGTGATCTTGCCAGATATGACCTTGACCACGATCAGCGCCGCAGGCCTCGTCGCGAAAGCCTCGATCGATACTATCGACCAACTGTGAGCATTAGCACAGACCTGGCCAGGCCATTTGACCAGACCGACCGCCGTGTGCGGGGCCCGCCACCCACGGCCTGGGGCCTCGACAAGATCAACCGGCCAGCAGCCGGCGGCATTTACGAGGGAGCCGGCTCCCGTATGCCACTGCCTCCACAGGTCCCTCTCGCCCCTGAAGCACGGCCGCTCAACCTGCTCGATGCGCTAGAAAGCCCGAGAGAAGAACACCGAAGTACTCGCCCTGTGTCTACGTATCAAGACGACCGGGATCGGCTAGGTCATCGCGGCCATTATTATTATGACGACGACTTGGCCTCAAGAGACACACGGGACCGGGATCATGATTACTATCAGGACGACAGTGTCACCGCCCGTGGCTTCGGTATTCGAGTGAGCTCGGACGATTTCGAGGATCGTCGTCGGCCTGCCGAAAAGCAATACCATGACGGACGCCGCGAGCGCCGGGAGCCGCAAGGGCGCTATGAGGTCCGCGAGCCAAGGAGGCGATCGGATGACGACTTGGAGGTCGTCAAGCATGAATATGATGAGCGAGATCACAGAAGGCGTCATGATCGCGATTACGTGGTGGACGGGGAAGCCAGACGTGATAGGAAAGAAAGGAGGTCTGATGACGATGAGTCCGACAGCAAGAAAGAGAGACTCCGCGACAAGGTTGCTGCAGGACTCGGCATTGCTGCCGCCTCTCTCGGTGTCGGCAGCGCTGTGAGAGGCACGGACGACAGGGATCATGAGGACCGGTCTCCGTCTAGAAGGCATAGACACGAAGAGACTGGCCGCCGAGATCCTGACGAGGTTGACTCAAGAGGCAAGTCCAGTCGCAGGGAACCTCTGCTAGGTGACGAGGAGTTTGAGATAGTCGAGTATCCAAGAGATCGCGAGAGATCGGAAAATGGGACGGGAATGGAGCCCGAAGCTCGTGGATCGAAGAGAAATGGCGACGCTGAGGCTCCGTCGTCCCGGGAACACTCGGCATCCACCGACGATGATGGAAAACCCAGGACCCGCCGGCGGCATCGAGATTCCGCGTTCGACCCCAACGACACTGCCGCGCTGGCTGAAATGAAAGCCCGGCTGGCCGCACTGAAGGCGGACGAGGCCGCGAGAAAGGCGGAGCAGGCCGGTGGCGACGGCAAGGAAGTAGCCCCTATCAGGGAGCACTCGCCGGAGCGGAAGCCGTCGCCCGTCGAAAAGCGCGATCCCGACGCCGACGCTTCGGCGTTGGTTCCCAGGGACAACGAGAAATCTCGCGACGAGAGGCAAGTCCGGGTCGTGCCTCCACCAAAGGAGACGGAAAAGAAACCCATCAAGGGCATCCTCAAACCGCCGAGACCCCAGTTCCCGGAGGAGCCAAACCCCGTCCGGGAGGGTGTCGCCCCTCACAAGGACGACAAGACCAAGGCCAATGTCCCCCCCGGAGCGAGGTGGACCAAAATCAGCCGCAAGATGGTCAACCCCGAGGCGCTCAAGATCGGCAAGGAGCGGTTCGAGGTTCGAGATGACTTCGTCATTGTGTTGAGGGTGTTGAGTAAGGAGGAGATTCAGGCTTACGCGGCAGCGACCGCAACCCTGAGAGGTACGAACATGCAACCCGATCCCTGTCGTGTATAAGGCAAAAGCGAGGGTGGATGTATGCTGACGTGCCACGGGACAACAGAACGCCGGAGGAAAGAGTACGAGCTTGAGATGAAGGGGGAGGGTGAGCGCGAGGGTGATCGTGATGACGATGACGATAAGAAGACACGACACCGCCCACACCGACGAGATAGAGACGATGATGACCGCCGAGATCGCGATCGCGAGAAAAACCGGCATCGACGACACAGGTACGAGTCAGACAGTGAGGTTGATGATGATAAGCATGATGAGGGAGCACGCCATGGTGGTCACCATAGGTCGCACCGCGACTAGGGGATGGAGCTGGATACATGAGCCATGATCTGATGACTGGGGTTTCCCTTTGGTTAGATGTATGTTTTGGCTGGTGAATGGGACCAGGAAAAGCAATGTTGTATAAGGGACATGCTTGGAAAATCACTGGCGGCGCTATCTGTGAGGAGGAGACTATCTTATGGGAGTTGGTTCCTAAGAGGTTGGAGACACTGGCCAATGATGCTTATTTTCGGACTGAGTTATGGAGGGTAGAAGGCGTAATGCAGAACATCTGGCCTTACAAATACACGCCCTGAACCCCTGCCGTGGTTGCTGTCGGTTACCTGCCGCTTCGGTGCATCGACGCTGGTAGGGAGTATGTTGGCAACCGCAGCCATGGTGGTTCCCCCCAGAAGACTACAGCTATGGGGCTTTATCTTGTGTTGCGTTATCTGCATCCCGAGGGTATGGAACTCGGCGAGAGAGGCCGGGACATGGTGGATGATATCTATTCTGATATTACTCCCCGACCCTTTTACCTACTAGTCCTTGAGGAACAAGGCAGGGTGATTTGAGGAGGGCCTCCCAGGTTAGAGCTTGAAGGTGGACTGAGGTTGAACTAATCATCTAGTGTGCTAATAGCAGCTTTCCACGGCTCGAGCTACTATAGTTACGTGGTGCACAATCAGGAGAGCCTGTACCCGAGCCACATCTGTTGTTGATACATACTGGTGTGACCTGGTTCAAGCGAGGCCTGTCAACCAGGCGCTGGGAACATGGAACCCGACGGTCGGGGCTGTCTTGCTTCGGTTGCTCACCGAGGTTGAACACCTAAACAAGGGCGTTGAACAGGCAAAATCCTCGTCGTTGCCCGTGCAGCTTTTGCCCGTGCAGCTTTTGCCCGTGCAGCTCCCTACCCAACTCCCCTGACCGCTGCATGATCCCGAAGCTGCATGGTAGTTGGGCAGGGAAGACAACAGGGACCGCGTCCCAGGCTTGGACGGAATGGCATATCGACAAGGCAAGGCGCATTCTTCTTATTACACAAATACATACATGTAGAGGTACTCTTCAGTACTCTTTATAAAGCAAGATTTATCGAAGCCAGCATCGACGTTGGCACGTCGGGCAAAGAGCACACTGGTTGGTGTAAGGTTCTCATCAGTTTCAGGGCCTCTGTGATCGATGTCTTCGAGACCATTCCAACCTAAATCAACGTTCATCTACGCCACTGATCGACGCCTGTGTGTTCCGTATCACGAACATGCTGGTGGCTGAAGGGTCCGCCTAGGGTTTTCGCTCTCGTCCGTAACCCTCAAGTGGCACTCGAGGAGGATTCCCGAGATAGCAGACGACCACACTCTTCGCGAGTCGCCGTCCTTGTTGGCGACTGCTGGGTAACTTACTCGCACTGTCTTTCTCTGTACCCGAAAGCTGGCTGAAGCCACCGATGTCCAATATCCACTCACATGACCACGCAAACCGATCGTTGATGATGACTCTAGCTTGCGTTGCGGGGAAACCATGGGAAAAAGACGCCATGACTTTCCTAGCCAAAAGAGTTACCTCTTAGCATAGGTGGTTAACAAAAGCCGGCCGATCCGAGCGTCAGCCCAGTACGGACATCTTAGTGTAATCCCTCGGTGATCCCGACGACGAAAGCGAAAGGGGGCTGGGGCTGCTGAAGCTTTGATTGGGATTTTGAGACATGAGCGTTCCTACCTTACACAGGTACACAACAGACCTTGAATTCTCTTATTATTTAGCTCCTGCTGTTGTAGTGCGAAATGGGATGTCTCGGCTGTCGTCAGCCCGCTTCCCTGCACACTGTTTGATGCCGGCGACGTTGAGAAGTTTGAGCCACTCACGACGACGGATACCTTAGGTACTGTACTTCCCAAGTGGACATAGAGCATGCTCGGTAACCTACCTCCTTGGCGCATTGTAGATTTCCATTGGACCCAGCCGGATGCTGAGCTCTGAATTCTGTCACGATGACGATCACGTAGCTCCTTCCATTGGTGGGTTCGAATATCGAAGCTCTCGCACAACTATCCCACACAGATAATTCGGCCGAGCATCGGCCTTGCGCCCGTCAGAATGATAACGATCCGTATCATTCCCCAGACAGCATCATCATCCGGACGGATGCGTACGGCGGACGCTTGCCTAATAAGGAAGAGAGCTCAATGCTGCGCGCGCGTCCGGAAGATGCTGTACTAGTTTAACGTGAACAGGTAGATTGACAAGCACCAGCGTCTCATCGCCGGGATCTGCGGGGAGGAACAGCCGACTACGTACTTCACACAAAGTCTGATGATTGACTCATCAATTCAAAACGGCTGATGCCCTCATTTCCGCATGTTTGCTGGTGGTTTTGACGTTTGTCAGCGCCCCCTTGACCATGACAGCATTGAACACCCCTGAGCTTCCCCAATCTCGGCAAGGGTTCGCTTGTGGGACGGCGATGCAACGGGCAGGGGGAAGCTGCGTTTTTGTGCAACACCATCCCATGCGCTTTACCCTTGAACGCGCAGCCGGTAGAGACCAGGCTTTCTCCGACGCCCTTGTCTATCCGTAAGGCTGGGAATGGCAGCGGCGGGGGATCCATGAATGTTCCTGGTGCTGTTGGAACGCAGGCCATTGGCAACATCATCAACCTTTCTGGAAGGAAAGCTTGTGTACATAGGTTCTGGATCGAACAGGGGTTATTTCTCACGCTTTGAAATCAACGTAGGCTTCCAGGTACGAGAAACCAAAGCCGATTTGATTGATTTGGTTGTCTGCCGCCTGCAGGTGCTGGACCCACTTGCGCTGAAATGAGGCGACAGTTTTGTTGCTTTTCGTCCGTTCGTGCACCACGTAAGTTATCGTCGGCATTACCAACGGAATTAGAGACCGCGAGGGTAACAGTTGGCCATTGGTTTCGCCCGCGTTACCTGCTGTTGCAGTTGTGTGCTGGCGTATCCGTATATCCACTTTACATTATATGTGAAGTGAGTGTACGAAGTAGAAATCGACGTCCTGCCCAACGGCGGTCTGGAGTTCGTGGCGAATCCATTTCTCGAAATTGTCTCCGGCGGCGGAGGGACAACGCACCCGACCGGCGGGTACCATACGGTAAGTTACCTTCCGTATCCGCTTCTGGTCCCCTGACGGTTGGTAGTAACCTCCATCGGTACACAGAACTACCTACTAGTAGAAGATAGCGGAAGCCGTACCTGTGCCAGCGGCCTCACTCCACGGCTTCGAAGATGTGTCAGGTTAATGCTATCATGTGTTTCTCCAACCGCATAGCTAATCGAAGGGCCCATGGGTGATCCCATAGCGAGGAGATCGTAGGCCGACATTGTCCCTGGTGTGACGAGGGCAGGGGTTACGAGGTCACTGTCTGGCGGCATGCATGCGAAGCTGCCCTGCTTCCGATTGACGGACGCGGGCTCGGTGGGGCGGGTCAATTCACAGGTCACGGCTCGGGGAAGCTTGAACTTTGAAGAGCACACTACGCTGGTAACTGGTGTACTAAAAATGGACTGTTGTTCCACGCTGCTTTTCACGTCCGATGTAATCAGTTTTGCGGCAAAAGCACTGTGTCTGCTGAAAGAGCGACTCGAAGCAGCTTTCGAGACTTCGTGCCTGCCACAATCGAGACTCCAGTGCTCGACAGGATATCTGCATCTGCTTCTATGCTAGGGTCCTGAGGCTATGGTAGGCCAAGGTGTGTATTGTAGAGACTACAGTGTACATACCTTGGTAAGCTTGGTATGTGCATACACACGCCCTGGCTTCCCGCGTGGCTTGATAGATCAAATCGTGGGGTGAGGTCGGATATCCCATCGACACCACCGCTGCTCAGGGACTGCACCGTTGCGCTGTTTTGGATTCCCTGGAGGCGATGCGCGCTTCCCACAATCTCCGACCAGAGGCTTGTCTAGGTATCCGTATGTAGGTATTTGGTTGTCATGACCGAACACCCGCCTGGTTTGGGTCGCTCATCAGGCCGTTCATACCTTACCTGGTGGATAGCCAAGCGAGATCTGCCGCGCGGGGGTTGGTAGTAGATGCCGTACATATAGCTTTGGTATCTGGTGATAGGAACATTGCCCATACTTCATGGCGCTCCGGGCTTGTTATTAGCGCAGCGTCGAGACAAGCGAGGGTTTCTGGTCCCTAAAATAGAAACCGGTCGCCCATTTTGTCTACCTATTCGTTTCGTCTTGCTGTCTCTACCTATCAGACGTGTATGTACGCTGGTGACACAGCGGGAAAGCCTGCGTGCCCGTTGCATTACTGTACTGTGTAGACGCCGAAAACGAAGATAATGCATTGCGAAACGTCGATGGGGCGGAACTCCGACTTGTGTTTTCTGATCCGGGAACAGACTACACCACGTCCTCATTCAATTTCGCTACCCGGCCGAGACAAGAAGCCGGCAAGCTGAGTGTCGCCCATGTAAGCACCGTAGTAGCGGACGGAGGTTGAGTGGGTGCATTCGATTCAGAAGGAGCAATGGTTGATCGATGCGGTGAGAGACCGTGGAAGGACCACCGAGGTCGACTTTTGCGGTGAAGCTGGCACACTAGCCGCGATTGGTCAGTTTGACGAGCACCAAAAGCCCACAGGTTGGAAGGGGATTGCCTGTACGGAGTATGTATGAAGTATTTTGACAACACCGGCCTGCGGCCACGTTATGTCCTGCAGATTGAACGGCGCGACCTATTTACCACACTGGCAGATAAGATGCGTTTTCAGCCGTATTAGAACCACGCTATGTCGGGGACATCTCCCATTTGTCAACCCACGCCCGCCACTATGCGCCATGTAACTAAGGTACGTACAGTACAGTACGTTGATTCAGATGCGATGAGGAACGCCTTGCTGTTTGAAGGCTGTTTTCTATCCCGTCGTCCACATACCTATGCTGATGT